TTTAATCCTTAATATCTAATATATATTGAAATAGATATATTAAATCGAGGAATAGCTAGTATTCTCTTTTAACTAGATAATTAAGATCGGTATTATCTAGTTATTTTTTAGTTAAAATTATTCTCTAGAGTAGAGTTAAATTATAGTATACTAGACTAAGAATTTTTTATAATTATATACTCTTTTAAATATTAAAGATAGTATTTAAAAAGTAATAGATTTATTATTAAAATATTATTAGATTATTTAAATCTTTAATCTTTTATAAAATAAACTAAGCTAAATAGAAGATAGATATATTAATATATATATCTTATACTATTTAACTTTATAGTTAAGTATTAATTAGGAAAAAATAATCCTATAGATAGACTTTCAAAAAAACCTAATTCTATTTAAAGGGACGCTCTAGGAAAAGAATTACTTATACTATTATAAGAATAGATTATAACCAAAAAGCTACTATTTAGCCTATAGAAAACTAGTATTTAAGTAATTATAATTATAGATCTTATCGCTAAAAAGTCCTAGTTTAAACCTAGCGAGATACTTTTAGGAGAAAGCGATCCCTAGTTTAGTATCTATATAATAAAGAGTAAAAAAAGTCTACTAATATAAAAGTAGTTAACTAGACTATTTAAGAAAAACTTATAAAAGATAAAAGAATACCTTAATATAAAATATAGGGTATTTATAAAAAAGAGTATATCTATTTAGTAGAAGCTAGTATTAAATTATAGATAATAATTAAATAGATCTAAGATAAGGATCTAGAGACGTAAAGACTAAAAGCCACGTTAAATTAGATATCTAAAAACTTTAAGAATTAAGATATTAACCTAAAAAGCCTTCTTTAATTTAAGAATTATCTTTTTATTCTAATAAAGGAGAACCTTAGAAAGAAGTTACTAAGTATTTATTATAATAATCTTTTAATAAGTTATTTTAGGTAAAATAGGACCAAAACGTTACTAAAAAAGAAGTTCTACTAGATTAGACTTTAGGATAATATAAAAGAATATATCTAGATATATATAATATATTAAAGAATAATAATACTAAAGTATCGCCTATATAATAAACTAGAATTGCTACTAATATTATCTTAGCCCTTTAGCGAACTATTAATAGACTTTATTATAGGGTTATTATTAAATAGAAATAGAACCTAAGAAATTAACGCGATATTAGTTATTATTAATAGACTAATAAAATAGTCCCTATTCTTCGTTATATTAATAATAATCGATACTATAGAACTTATAGAATTATTCTATAATAAAATAGAACTATAATATAGGCTACTAGATAGAATTATCTTAGATTAAGGATCACTCTTTACTAATAAATTTTAGTTAAAATTATATTATATTAGCTATATTAAACTCTATCTTTTAATAGTATTTTATCTATAAACTAATAGCTAAATAGAAAGGATAAACTAGACGCTAGAATATTATTTTTACTATTTTATCGATAAAGAATAGATCGCGTGGCTAAAATTACTAAGAAATATATAATTTATATATAATAATATCTCTAATATAATAATAGGGAAATCTATATTTTAGACTTTAATAGGATATTCGCCTAATTTCCGATTACGTATTAAGGATAATATATTTTTAAAAGAGATCCTAATAATAGAAATATATATTAAAAAACTATAAAAGTTAAGATAAGACTTAATAGAATAATAGCGAAAAATAATAGAAACGTAAATAAAATACTATAATAAAATCTATAAAAAAATATTATTTAAATATAGAGACTTAATTATTTTATTAATAAGAAACTTAAGATTAAAGATAATAAAGAAATTAGTATCTAAATTTATCGGACCTCTCTAAATTCTTGAGAAGATCGGATTATAGATATATTGACTAGTTCTATTAAACTAATATAATTAAATTTATAATATATTCTATATATTACTTCTTAAACCCTAGAAATAGAGGGATAAAGAGCAAAACGATAATAGAAGTATACTAATACTAGAATTATAAGATAATAATAAATAGGAGATTAAAAAAATAAAAAATTACTAATACTTTAATAGAAAATCCTATTTCCTAGTTAAATAGAAAGACTAGCTATTAGAGTATAATTAGTAGATCCTAAAAAAAATATAACAAATATAAAAGGAGCTATTATAAAATATAAGAAATAAAAATAAAAGAGATAAAATATTATTTAAAAAGAAATCTTATAAACTAAATAGAAAACCACCGAAACTCTACCAGAATAATATTATTATTATTACTATAAAATAACGATATAAATATAAAACTCTACTTAAAACTTAGGAATAGGAATAGGGAAGTTCTTCTTTAACTACTTTAAATAATATTTAGTATCGGGATTATTAATCGGATCGGAGACCGCCGGATTAGGACTATATTTATTTTAAGATATTAACTATAAGGCCTCTAAAAGCTCTTATTTCGTTATTATCTAATATATAAAATTATTATCTCCTAGAACTAAATAGAGAAGACGCCGAGACTAGAACTTTTAGAGATACTTCCCTAAGAGATCCTTAGATAGAAGGATATAAATAGCTATATCCTAGCGACGAATAGTGATATATATTATATAAACCTTATATTAGGCTTACCGGAATATTAGTAAAATTATACTAGTACTAGTAATCCTATTTACTATAATTAATTTATAGATAATAATAAAAGAGAACTAATAGCGATATACTAACTCTATTATATTAAAAGCCTTTATAAGCTCTATTATAATCTTTTCGGCTATAATTAATATATTTTCTTTTTATTTATTCTCCTTCTTTTTATCTCCCTCCTTAGGAGTACCCTTAGCTAAAGGCTCTAGAAATTCCTTATTTAACTAGCTAAGGATTATCTATAGATTATAAGCGTCTCTAACTATACCCTCTATAACCTAAAAAATATTAATATAAACTAAAATAAAGATACTATAGAATATACTATATTATATAATATATTATAGACGGAATACTACTAATAAATAACCGAAGCCGCTATATCTAATTTATATTCGATAATAAAAGGCGATTTAGAGTTATACGCCTTAACCTTAGTCCGAAAATACTTAATATATTATAGAAAGATAGATAAAATAGTAATAAAATATATTGGCTAGTATAATAACTAATCTAAATAATAATAATAAGATATAATAATAATAATAATCACGGAAAGGGAATAGGAAGTAGTAGAAACAGTAAGAAATAAAGGATAAAACGTAACGAATATAATATAAAAAAGAAAAGAAAAAAAAAGAGTTACTACTCGAAAATATAAATAAAGACTTAAATATATAATTTAATATATCTTTATTTACTAGTTAACTATATAATCTCTTTATCGCCTCGATAGTAAGATAAACGAAAACCCTACAAAAAGATACCGCGCCGACGTATCTATATTATAGTAATAAAATAAACGTATTAGTTAAGGCTACCTAATCTTAAGAAAAGGGATAATTATAAAAGGTCTACTAAGATAGCAAGGTATAAAGTTATTCTTAACTAACGAAAGAGGTAAATTAGGTAATATTATATAATCCTAAAAGAAGTCAGAACTTATTACTTAATCTACCCTATAGTAGAATAATCACAATATATAATAGAGACCTAGTTATTTATATTATCGATAATACGTGGAGTTACGAAGATACTATATAATAAATTAACACTCCTGTATCTAGCTAGTAAGATAAGATTCAGTCTTAATAGTAATAAGGATATACTATTTTCTCTTACTCCTTCCCCTTGTTTCTTTACCTAATCGATAGGCCTTATACCCTAACAAGTATATTCTTTACACTAACGCGGCATTAGATTAATTTATTAAAGGCTGCTAACTAGCGATATATAGCGTTATAATCCTCGCGTATAAAAATAAGGATTTACGCGTAGTTAATAAGAAGTAGAAGCAAAAACGAGTTAGATCTAATAGATAGATACCTTAAGATTAAGGCCTATCAATCTAAGAGACTCGTGAGCTAATATCGACGGCGTACCAAGCCTCTGAAGCTTAATCAACTACCCCGGTAGATCTTTATTAATAAGCTTCGCAGCCAATTCGGCGAGCGCTACCGCGGTACAGCGACTGCCGCGAATTAGGGCATCGAAGATTATAGTGTCCAAAACGATATAATTAGATTTTTTTTGTATATAAAGGCGTTATGGCGAATATAAATCGATTTGAATTCTATATACTTAATATACTACGGCACTCGCTTGTGTGCGGCACTCGCTTGTGGATTACGTTATATATCTTTATAAGGGGATACGGGGTTGATAGCTTCTATCTTTAACTACTCGCTTTCGGTACTTCTGTTTATAAAAATTTTAAGGTCAATTCTACTATCAATATAAAAATCTTTATTAAGACTCCTATATCTATAATCCAGCTAGTAATCATACTCGGGCTGGTCTTCTCGACTTACCTATCAATGTTAAAGTCATATGTGGCCAGCGGGACTGGAAAGGCCAACAAGACCAGGGAGGCCAGTCGACTTGTTCCAAAAAGTGTCGCAGATTTGCTACCACTTGATTTACGTCTGAAACGGATTGTCGATCGCAGCTTGGGCGATCAAACGCTGCGTATCGAGCTAGAACACTAGTTCCCTAATAAAACACTGCTTACGTAATAAGACTTACTGATTATTTTTATCACCAAAGGGCGCTATAAAACCAGCACCTTTAATTAGCATACAAGTGTTCTAGCCGGGTGCCTGTCCATAGGGCTCCTATATGTACTATGCGATCAATTCCGGAAATTATTTTCATGATCCCAGTATAGTGTGATGACTCGCTGGATTTCTTATTAGAGGGAACGGCATACAAGATCAGTGCTCGAATCTGTCATTTTATTGGACCACGGTTTCCCCTCTCTCTAAGCTATCACAGGAAAGCTTGCCTCTTTTGATAGAGCCTACCGTGAGACGGACCACGGTTTCCTTTAAGCTACCCCAAGCGACCACGCTTTTACCCTCTTTAAGCTATGACAAGCAAAGCTGCTTCTCTCGATCGAGCCCGTCGCAGGGCATACCACGATGGCATTGCATGTATGAGATCAAAATCGCGAAGCAATCGTCTTCTTTCAATAAATTTCATGTAATAATACAGGGAAATGTAGAAATAAAACCTTGTTCTTATCCAGACGAGCCGCAGCCCCCTTGCTTGCCGACGCTTGTGCTCAGGCAAGTAAATTCGTCAGTGAGTTCATCATTGCCACTTAACGATGTGCATTTCAGCCGATTGGTATCGTCAGACGTCTTCGCAAGCCAGCACCAGTCACTTTGTTCGGTCCAATAGCCGTCGACGGGTGTGCCATTGCCATCGGCTCCTTTTTTGCAACCGACCATTTTGTGGTGGATGATCCACCCGTCGTCGCCGCAGACTATCCCAGTGTGGGCGTCGGAGTCCGTATCGCTGTCGCTGCTGTCGCCGCCGGTGCCCCCCCAACCGCGACCGAGACCACTAAGATTGATGCTGGCCCTCCGACTGAGCTGGGTAGGGAAATCTTGACAAAGACAAAGGCGTTAGCTTTACCGCCCTCAAGACTATTCGGGGTGAAGGGAGCCCGTAGACCAATGGCCCTACTTACTGATCACAGCTGTATTAGCTACCACCGAGGAGGCGAGGAGAACGAGGGCCACGTTGAACTTCATGATTGAGGATTTGTAGTGGTATAATGGCACCAAGGGTTTAAGAAATTTTCTGTTGGCTATCCAGAAAGACGGTGAATCTGGAGGAATTCGCGGCCTTGATATATCCATTTTCCCTTAGGGCAATAGTATATAATCTACTAGGGGCTGTATATTAGCCCCCCTATTTGGGGGCTATGGATCCTTTGGAAGTGCCCTGACTGGCCCCCAAATACTCGGCGATCGTTGAGGCCCTGACTGGCCCCCAAATACTCGGCAATCGTTGAGGCTAAAGCCCCCGAAACATGGGAGTTGTCTAAAAAAAGCACAAGAAGAAAATACTAACTAGAGTGCACCCATAACTAATTCATCTCGCGGTCTCTAGCTTATAGATTGTGTCAAAGAATGATCTCATCCAGTTGCCTTTCTTTCTTGTATAAAGCCTCCTGTTAATCGCTCTCTATCTAAGTCGAGGATAAGAGAGAGAGGCTTTTGAATTGGACCCCTAATCCGTGAGTATATGGCGCTACGGGAGTTCTGCTAGTTCAGGAAGTAGGGAAATGTAACTGAGTATACTGTAGCGGTCATGTGGGTAACACGTGACCAAGTGGTCATCCTTACTGGAAGTGGAGATTATTCTCTTCTCACTACCCTTACCCTGTTCTCTACTTTCTGTTTTTTTTCCATCGTATAAATGTTGTGTATTGTTGTTTTACCTCTTCTGGGAATTCCCAAGCCTTAATTTGGTACTGTGATGTATCAAAAATTTCACAAAACTAACCAACCAACTAACTAACCAAAACACCCATCACTCGATCTAGCTAGTTAGTTATCTCTTTCCTCCTGGTCAGCACCGACTGGTTTCTATTCCCTCCCCCTTTTTATTCTAGTATTTAATTCCCCTCTTCCTCCCCTAAATTTTTTTATTACCTCTATTAATATCTATTTTGGCAGGATACAGGATATATAAGTAGGAACTTTTGTATTATTAGGTTATATAATATACTAATAGTCTATAAAGCTCCTTTTACTTAAGTATAATTAAATAAAAATAGTAACGACTATATACCTATAGGAAGCTATAGAGTATACAGAGCGCCTTTTAAACTTATTTACTCTATCTATAGCTATACTATTACTAGTAAAAGGACTATATCGGAGCTATAGAAAGAAATATCTCGCAAAGCGTAAGTATATTAAATCCTACAGAAAGCTTAAGGTCTACTATATTTATTTTTCTAAATACTATCGATTTAATAAAAGTTTACTTTCTTTATAGGGCTAGTAAGATTCGTTATATATTTATTATAGACTAGAGAGGGCGAAAATACTGTAATAAGGGAGCTAGCGTTATAGCTTCGTTAGGAGATCTATAGATCTAAAAAGGAAATTAAAGCCTTAGGAATAATTTATAAGGATCTTCGCTATAATAAAATCCTTTAGAGTAAGCTTAGGTAAGCGTTAATTATTAACTTTTACTACCCTATCTTAAAATATCGGCTAGCTCTAAAGCGATTATAAATAATAAAGAGAAAACTATATTAGGTAGAGCTAAAAGACGTTAAGTGTCTATACGTAGTATAAGATCTTTAGAAAAATCTACCTTCTATTTAGTATAGAAATAAAAGAGATACGATAAGTCAAAAATTGTACGAGTATTACACGTGTGTGATCCAGTGTAAAAATACAGCTAATAACTAGTTAAAACAAAAATCTGTGGAATAGAGACACTAGATAACGCCCCTTGTCTAGCGGTGACTAACCTATCTATCTAAGCCTAGCCCGTTTATTATAATTCGCCGTTCTATAATAGGCGGCTCGCTATTTGTCGAGAGTTGATTAATATAGAAATCGCAACAGGGAGGGAGCCGAATCCGGCAGCGCCAGCACAAACAACAATTGTACATTTCTGTAAGACTATCTGCTGAAGTCCCTTTTCTTTCTTATTATCCTCCTGCCTGGCCGAGTAGAAATTTTGCAACTTTACACTATTCACGTAGCCAAATCAACTGAAACATTGCGTTTAACGCCTCGGTGGGAGCCGCTGGCCGACGCACGGTTCGCGATAGGACCCACACGTGAACCGAAGTTATTGAGGTCAGAATACTTGGGGCTAAAATATCCTACCCTATCTTGATACTACTTTTTGTTACTATTTAGATCTTTCTTAACGGCAATAATCTAAGGAGACTTATATTAATTGTTCTCTAGCCGTCAATTCCACGGTATCTATTAGTATAATCCCGTATTTAATAAGTAGAAATAACAATATACCGGCTTTTTCTTAATATGAGTTATTTTAAATTATTCGTTAGTTAAATCAAAAGCTAACGAGATTTTGAAATAAGCACCTTATCGCTTCGGTAGAGAAATAGTGACTATTACTTATATTTAATATTCTAATTACCTAATAATATTAAGTCTCTGTCTATTATCTTTTCGATACTATTAGACATAGACAGACCCGTCCCATGGGTCAAAGATCTTGACCCATGACCTAAACCCACGACCCATGGGTCGGGTTAATAAAATCCTGACCCGCCTATAGGTTGACCTATTAACCTACGGGTTAACCTATTTTTAACCTATTTTAGTATAAATTTCTTAATTAGGATAGATAATTTGCTTATCTTTTTTAATAATATACTATTATTAAATACTGTTTTTGTTCTAATATAACTTATAATTCTAACTCTTTATAAAAAGAATATTATATAGTAATAATATATTTAGAATATATAATATATTAATTTATTAATTTAATACTTTAAGATAAGAATTATATTTTATAATAGGTAGATATAGGCGAAAAAAGATATTAGTTAACTATTTCTTATACTAAACCTAAAAATATATATTTAAAGTCTATAGTAGTACTTCTACTTTTTATATAAATAAACTATATATATTAGAAATAATAAAATAGATATAAATCTAATATCTAATATTTCTTTATTAATATATAAGTATATTATAGTCTTATTTATATAAAAGAATTATTTTAAATATTTTTTCTAAATTTATATAAAATAATAATATTGGCTAGTTAGGTTGAAATTTTTTAGGGATAAAAAGAAAAATCTTAGGGTATTGCTCTTACCTAATTATTTAGATTAACGGGTTAGTCTATAGATTAACCCGTTAACCTATTTCTTACTATCTAATAAACTTTATATATATTAGTAGAGCCTGTTCTGATTGGTTATAAAATTCAGTACTAGGATAGTGCTGAATTCTATCTACTAATAAGAAATAAGTATTAGACCTATATATTCCCCTAAATCTACGATGATTTACCTTAGATTATTTTTCTATATCTTAAGTCTCTTATTATAAAAGGGTTATATAGTCCCCCTTTTACTAGATATAATAAAATATATACCTTTTTATAGTAGTCTTTCTATCTCTATTAGAACCGGGGTTTTAATCTATCTACGCGATTACTTAAAACCCTAGTTTTAATCTATCTACGCGTTTATTTATAGCCCTAGTTCTAATATACCTATATAAAAAGGTTGGCTGGTTAGGTTGAAATTTTTAGGGGATAAAAATAAAAGTCTTAGGGTATTACTCTTATCTAATTATTTAGGTTAACGGGTTAATCTATAGGTTGACCTATTAATCTATTTCTTACTATCTAATAAGCTTTATATATATTATAGTAGAGCATCTTCTGATTAATTATAAAATTTAGTACTAGGATAGTGCCGAATCCTATCTACTAATAAGAAATAAGTATTAGATCTATATATTCCCCTAAATCTACGATAATTTACCTTAGATTATTTTTCTATATCTCGAGTCCTTTATTTTAATATACTATTACTATATCTCTTCTATATCTTAGTTATTTATCTTATACCCTCCCTCTCTTATTAAGAGTAAGGGGTTTAAGTTATCTATTTTCTATTCTAATCAACTTCTCGATACCCTTTTAGAACCACTAGAAAGCTAGCAAACTAAGTAAAGCCTCCCTCTTATTATACTACTAACACTAAAACGATCCAATAATCGGAAAAAGATCTAGGTGATTTTTGATAGTATAAATAAAGTAGAGTTTTTAAACTAGTGGCTTAATACCTAAATTAGTGGTTCTTATAATACTATAAAGAAGATGAACTAGGAGGGTCCACGACGGACTAATATATAGTTACATTTTGATCAAGTCGTATATTTAGTGATAGGAGAGCCAAAGCTCCTATATAAGCGATATAATAGTTATATTTTGATCAAGTTGTATATTTAGTGATAGGAGAGCCAAAGCTCCTATATAAGTGATGTAGTAAGGTTATAGACTATCTAGTCTACACTAAGAATGGGATAATAGGTCTCTAATATTATTAGAATTGGAGTATATACTAAAAAGGCTAAAGCATTACTAAATATTTAATAATCTAATATCTTATAGAATATATAGTATATTATATAGCTATTATTTAATTTATAGGCTAATCTTTCTTAGGCTAAGAACTCCCCTCGAATAGCCTAGCTAGTTATCTAAGAGCTATAGGAGTAATAGTTAATTATTATAATAATTACCTTATAGCTTCTTTTTTAAACTATTAAGTATCCTAAATTCTAAGCCTTTCTTCGAATAACTTAATTATTATTATTTATCTTTAGTTTCCCTTCCTATTAAACTATATAGCGTCGAATCTAGGGAATAACCTAAGATTAATAGAAAGATTTACTTTAGAAGCTTCTATCTAAGACTAAGCTCTTTATTAGTCTTAACTATTAGATATTACTATTTTAATAAGTATTTATAGCTATCTCTAGCTATTTTATTAATATAGACTAGAATTATTAAGAGGTTTTACTTAGCTTCGAACCTATTTCTAATATATACTCTAGGCAGAATCTTAGTATAACCCTCCTCGATATCCTCTAGAAATATTAGATTAAAGACTAAGTATTTATAGTAATAACTAATAATATATTAAATAACTCTATCCTTATTTTAAGTATCTAAGATTCTATTTAATTATTAGATATTAACTCTAAGATAATAATTATTTAGGTTCTATATATTATATATATAATTTAGTTAAGTTTAAAATAACTATTTAGCTAGATAAAAGCGAACCTTTAGAATAAGGTAATTAAGACTATTTAATCTAAGGAATATATCTAATATATCTATCGAAAAGTATAAAAACGAGATATTACGATAACTCTTATAAAGGTATATATCTATATTCTTTATTTATTAATTAAAATATTAATCTATTTTATATTTTAGATTAGAAACCTTATAATCTTTATTAATATAAGCTTTTAATATTAGGAGTCCTTCTTTAGTCTCTAGCCCGATCACCCTCGATTAGTTCTAATTTAAGATATCTAAATTAGATAGAATTTAACCTTTTTAATACTCTAGTATATAAAGTAATTATAACTAGTTTTTAATCGATTTTACTCTAAATATAATTATCCTTATTTTAAAATTAATATAGATAAGTAACGCTAGATTAATTACCTTCTTAATATTACTTAGCTATTTTTCTAATTTACTATAGTCCTCTTAAAAATAAAGGATATTACTATTTATACTATCTTTACTATCTATAATAAACTATTTAATTATCTTAAAAGGTTAATTAGATAGCTTAATAGAAAAAAGGTTAGATAGAAGTAATAGATATATTAAGCCCTTAAATTAGCTAAAAGTAAACTCCGTAAGTATTACTCTATAATAAATAATAAAAAGCTCGGTAATATCTATATAATTAGTACTATTTTAGCCCTTTAATATAAGATTAAATTTTTTTAAATTAAAGACTAAGACTACCTTTAGATAGATTATAATATTTAATACTAGTAAAATCTTAAAGATTAATTTCTAAGTTACTAAACTAGTAATATTCTAAGCTTTTAATTACTATCTAAAATAAAATAGTCTTATTAAACTAACGAGCTTAATATATTTTTAATAACCGATTCTTCTACCTTAAGCTCTTAGTCTAAGATAATATAATATATTAAAAAAGGTAAGTTTCTATATATATCTCTATTAAAACTAGGGTTCTAAATAATCGCTTAAAACCCTAGTTCTAATCTATTAAGTTTCTATCTTTCTATCTCTATTAAAACCAGGGTTTTAAGGCTTATTTTAGAACCCTAGTTTTAATAAGGATATTAGTTCTAATCTATCTAAATATTATACTAATTATTATAATCTACCCTTTATCTAGATACTATCCTAATCTTACTTTATTAGTTCTAGAAGGATTATTAGTATAAATTTCCTATATTTATAAGCCTTGCCTATAATCTCCTCTCGATCTTAGCTATTAGTATTAACGTTAAGTAATTATTTAATTCTATATATAATATTTATTATTATTAACGAGAGACACTAAATATATCTATTATATAAGATCTAATAATATTTATATATATTACTAAATTCGAAGTTAAGAAGAAGTAGCTTATATTTATTTAAGAGCTTCGGGAGTAGGATAAGTTAGAAATTATATAAAAAGAAAAAGAGACCTAAAAGACTTATAAAGAGATTATATTAATTAATAATAATAAAAAGGAGGATACTATAGATCTAATAATTATAGTTAATATATCTTATTAACTATAGTAAGAAAAGTTAAAGAGTAATTATAAAGATAATTATAGCCTCCCGCGGATTTCTAATAAAATTCGTAAATATCTATAAATATTTAATAATTATAAACTTTAAAATTAAAATCGATTAATATTTAAAATAATATTCTCTAGAATTATTTTTTAAGAATTATTCTCCTAATTACTATAAAAAATTATTTAACTAAAATAAATATAATATCTAAAAATATAGCTAAGAATAATATAATTTATAAAAGTTATATAGTTAATAAAGTATCTATCTAAATAGGTTAAATAGGTTAATCTATTAACCCGTGGGACAGGTTAAAAAAATCTTGACCCGCCCACGGGTCAAGAGGTCTGACCCACAACCCGCCCATGGGCTAACCCACGGGTCGACCCATATAGGTTGTCCGCGGGTCTGTCTAGGTCTATCTATATAATATTTAAGAAAAGATAGTATAAATTAAATATATACTATGATTAATTAAAAAAATCGCACTAAATAGTTTAACCCCCCTTTATTAGGATTAGTTTATTAGATAATAATATCTATAGGCATATACGATAAAGGCGATAAGCAAAACGAAGATAGAAAAAAGGAGATCGAAGGTAGGAAAACCCACCCACCTTCGCGGAGCTACCATTAATCCGTGGTGGGCCACCTTCGATTTGATTTTAGCCACCTTCGCTCAGCTGGAACACGGTGCTGTCTTTTTGAACTTCGACTTCCTCAGCCATGGCCTTCGGCTTGGCTATATACTTGTATTTTGGCTTGCAGCCGCAGCCCTGGTTATCTGTAATGTTCAAGGCCATCTTCTTCATTTGTTCTTTGGAGGTGCTGACACAATCACCTCCACGGATCCATCCATTGGAGACCTCTACATCTATGATGTCTAACATTTGCGCGTGAAATTGAAAGCGTCGATGCATCCTCGATTTTTCTTTCTTTCTGATATTTGTTGAATAACCACTTCAAGCCAGCTCACTTACCCTGGTTCTATCAAACCCCATGTCTGCCCACGCCATCACCCTCATTTTCTCGCCATACCACGTCGGCATCCGGGTCCATCTGGTTGGCAACAGACCGCACCGAATCCGGTCCCTGGGACTCATTCAAAAGTTAGAAGGCTTGGGAGTCTCTGTCAAACTCTATGAAATCGACCGCGTGGACAACTACGAAGGCGAGATCGGGCGTAGCTTCGAGATCATGCGTCGCATCTCGACCGCCGTCCACGCCGCCATCGTCAACCACACATTTCCTCTGATTCTGTCTGGAAACTGCTACGCTAGTGCAGCCGCAGCATGTGGGATTCCAGCTCAAGACTTGGCCTTTATCTATTTCGACGCCCACGACGACCTCGATTCGACCGATGTCAATGAAAACGGCTACTTCGACGCTATGGGTCAGTCCATGCTTCGCAGCGAGAGCTGGAAAACTTTGATGAACACAGTGCCGGGGTTTACTCCGCGCGAATATCACCACTTTTTGTATTGCGGGCTGTGCGATCAGTCCCCGGTTCAGCGCGTGGTCGATGCGGGCATGTCAGCCATCTGGGGTGACCCGGCGCAGGAGGTGGATTTTGCAGCACAGCTCCGCGATCATCTTGAAGGGCGGTCGTATAGTCCCGCGCTGGTGCACTTGGATCTCGATGTCTTAGATGACAGCTATGGGAAGGTGAACGATTATCCGTCGCCGGGGGCATGTTGGAGTCTGAGTTGATTGCCTGCATGGACCTTGTTCCCAAGAAGTCCACGCCTACCTCTCTGACTGTGTGCTCTTTTGATCCAAATGCTGGGGATGGGGATCGCATTGCTGGGATTGCCATTCGCGCGATTGGGACTTTTGTCCGGTCCATGCTGGACATGGGGGCGTTGTCAGCAAGACGTGAAGCATGATAGTTTAAAAGCAGCATCTGCGAGATAGGGTCCATTTTATTATAAGATAGCTTTGGGTAAAACAATGAGATTAACTCCAATTTACTCTCTAGAGATTGACTAGCAAGCTTCCAGCAATGCCACAACCAAATACCCACCAAGCTGCTGATTTCAGTAACTGCGGCGACTCCACCGTCTCCATGAGGCAACATTCCCCGCGATGCGGAGAAGCCACCACGCTCCCCCGCACCCCATTAGCCGTCTGAAAGCAGTCCACGCGGGGCAACAACATCGTGATATTGAGAAAGATCATTCCATGAGCCACTCAACGACGCCCCAGCAGTGGAGCGTGTCGGCAAGAAATGTTTCTACTTCGGGGCAGACTGCCCATCGGCATCTTATGCAGCAGCCACCAAGCCCATCCATGGATACTGTGGCATGATCTCCTCACGCGAATTTATTGAAATACCCCGCGGGTCTCCTTTTCACTTGTCACCTTAAGTTCTTTGTCTACGCTACTTCCTGACTGAATCATAATGTCGACGACTAGTACGATGAAGGCGCTGAATTATCTCGGTCCTTTCCAGGTCCGAGTTGAGGAGGTTGACAAGCCTAAATTGGAGCATCCGGATGATATCATTGTTAAAGTCACTACTGTGAGCAGTCCATTACTTCTACCGGTGACTTTTGTGACTGAAGTCTTACTGACTGGAACTCAAGGCTGCGATCTGCGGTTCGGACTTACAGTAAGTATGGCTAGTAACCGCGAACGAGGGACTGGAGCATGAAACTCAACCAAACTCCAGCATGTACGAAGGCAGAACTGCTGCTGAGCCGGGCATAACATTTGGTAAGGTCGGGTGGAAATGTTGAAAGTATCACAACTAACGCAAGCAAAGGCCACGAAAACATGGGCATCGTCGAAGAAATGGGCGACGGAGTGACGTTATTGAAAAAAGGCGATCGCGTCGTCATGCCGTTTAATGTTGCCGATGGCCGGTGTCGCAATTGCGAGGAAGGAAGAACGGCCTTTTGTACTGGTGTCAATCCCGGATTTGCTGGTGGTGCTTATGGTAAGACGTTTTTGTTGGATAACGGGGTTTTCTTGCTAAATGCTGGCAGGCTATGTTGCCATGGGGCCATACCGTGGAGGTATACACTCTGCATAATTCCCCTAACATTGACGTGGATACTGATCTAATGGGCTTCAAGGCCAGGCGCAGTACATCCGTGTTCCTTATGCGGACTTCAATGCTCTGAAACTGCCCCAGGGCACAGAGCATGAAGCCGATTTTGTTCTTCTTGCAGGTATGTGGCCAACGCCTCCATTCTACAGAACATAATTTGCGGTGGCTAACTTACGCAGACATTTTCCCAACCGGTACATAGCCCTCTCCCATCATTTTCACCAGAATGCAAACAAAAGACGGAACCCCCTCTAATAATTACCTGATAGGCTGGCATGGGGTGGAAATTTCCCGCTTCCAAGCAGGCGAGAGCATTGCCGTGTTCGGCGCAGGCCCCGTCGGCTTGATGGCCGCTTACTCGGCAGCTCTGCGCGGAGCATCCAACATCTACGTGGTCGACCGAGTCGCTGAGCGATTAACGGCCGCCGAGAAGATTGGCTGCATTGCAATTGATTTTACCAAGGGAGATGCCGTTGACCAGATAATTAGCCACAACGGTGGAATGGTCGACCGCTCGGTCGATGCTGTGGGCTACCAGGCTGTCGACCCCAACGGATCCTCAGAAAAGCCGAACATTGTGCTCGAGAATATGATCCGTGTGACTCGTGCGTGTGGTGGGATGGGGATTCCGGGACTTTACGTGCCTAGGTAAGTCAGAGTATTTCAAAATACCTGCCAAACACCCACAGTTGGAATCTGACATGGTTTTATTGCTAGCGATCCTGGTGCCTCGGATGCAGCATCCGCAAATGGAATGATCAGTCTCAGTTTTGGAAAGCTCTTTGAGAAGGTAAGTGATTTCTATCTTGTGTCATTGGGGTTTTCGCGTTTCTCATTTTCTATAGGGCCTCTCTCTCGGCACCGGTCAGTGCAATGTCAAGTCGTATAACCGATACCTTCGAGACATGATCGTCGCGGGCAAGGCAAAGCCGAGCTTTGTTATCTCACATGAGATCGGCCTGGCCGATGCGGAGGTCGCGTATGAGAAGTTTGACAAGAGAGAAGACGGGTACACCAAAGTGATTATCCATCCGAACGGGGGCTTTGATTAAAGATTGTTCAATTATTTTGTTGGGGCGTTGAGTTGAAGTTCTATACACCTGAGCAATACAGCCGAGCCTTATGTCTGGACGTGCTCTTTGGAGATTTGTCGTATGCCATAGTTAGACGTGTCTCGTACTGTCATGATATAGTGATGTTATACTGAGATTCAACTGGGTATGTAAAAGTATAGCACTTTATACAAGACCTAAGGGATTCTCAAGAGTAGACAAGAAAAATAAGATAGAAACATGTATAAGCCAGGATTCACTGCTCGCCCAATTACTAACTAGCGTTGTGACTATGTACGTCTATGCCATGAAAGTTTGAGTCTCAATATCGAGCTCCAAAATGAATTCGCAAGTAGGATGGAGAATTGCTCATCGCATTCCCCGCATCTTCTGACATCACAAATGCCCGCTACGTGGGGTGCTCCATCGCACATGGAAGGATGTCGCCAAGAGAGGATCGAGTCTTACACATAGACACATAGAGGAAATGCAGTATACAGCGGCGACAATTACCAAATCGGGTGCAGTGAGGATCTTCGCCGTGGACCCTCACTTGGCCTGGTGGGTCACCGCGCCAATAACAAGAACAATGCAAGGTCGGGGAATATCGCCTGTTTCGGAGGCAGCAAAAGCAGGTGCGGAGAGCAGGACGATGCAATGATATAAATTACTTGGGTTCTGTTCAATCGGAATTCAGCCTTGGAAGAAGTCAGTTTTGTATCTGCCAACATGAGAATCACTCGGTTTCGCACTGTCTGGGGCATTGAATCAGGCCCTAACTTGAACAGTTGGGCCCAATGGTTTCCCGATCTTAAAAAGCAGGGCTATAGTATGGATTGTTTACTTTCATGATTTGCGAATGTGGTTTCGATGGTACTCACACTATTGCTTTTTAACAGGCGGCGTCGAAGTAGACCTCGCCCTACTGGATCCGAATAGCGACTATCAACGCCTAAGAGAGATATGCGATGAGGTGGGCCTGGAAATTGGCGTGTTGTAAGAGCTTGCATCTATGAACAGTCCATCCACGACGAAGCAGGATAGCATTGCTCATTTCTGTGTCGCAGGGTCTTCTCATCGTGGCCGCAGTATGCTGCTCCGCGTCCAGTTGGGCTCAAGGCCGAACATCATCTGCAAAGATATCGCGAGCAATTGCAACTGATCCGTCCATTGAGACCGGCGACGATCAATTTCCACTCGGGAGAGTGAGTCTCTGGTCATACCTCTCCGAAGATGCCACTGCTCACGCTTGCCACTCTTAGGGACGCCTGGGATATCGACGAGTCGATCAAGTTCTATCGAGGCACGATCCAAGTTGACAAGGAGCTTGGCGTGTCTGGTCGTGTTTTCCATGAGACTCATCGCAACCGTTCACTCTTCACTCCCTATGCCACCCAACGTATCGTGGAAGCCGTTCCTCAGTACGGACACCCTTATCTAAATAAGCTGTTTCTTGTACAATCAATTGACTTAAACTGCACAGGCTACGCATCACCGCCGACTTCTCCCACTGGATGGTCGCGTGTGAACGGCTGCTAGATATCGGAGAAGGTGACCGCGCCATGATGGATGCTATCATCCCACATGTGGGTCAAGATAATAGAATGGAATTGACACGCGCACTGCTAATAATCCCACAGGTGTCTCATATCCATGCCAGGATCGGAACGACGCAAGCCTCCCAATGCCCGGAGCCAACTAATCCGGCCTTCGAGCAAGAGCGACTATGCTTTGAAAGATTATGGACCAAGATCCTTCAGCAACAAGTCGAGCAGAATGGACCCGAGGCCAGCATTGTGTTTGTTCCGGAATATGGGTAAGTCGGTCATGACCTCGGTCTCCAATTAGAAATACACTCGGGCTCACTGTACACCAGTCCATTCCCTTACCATCCGATCGGAAGTGCGAAGACGCATGGTGCCGTTGCAGACGAAGAGGCTCAGCGGTTGCAGACCTTGTTCACCGAGTTTGTGGCCAGCTTGGCTTGATCGGTATGTATAGAAGCGGGGCTTGTATGCAGCCAGGGGGAATCCAGGAACTATATGACAGCTTGTCCATATTCATAGCAGGCCATAAATTCTAAATGCCTGAAAAAAAAGACAAAGAATAAAGTTGTTTTCAAATATACAATCTCTTAATGTAAACCACCAGTGTTGCTAACTAGTTAACTATGCATTGTTGAGTGCCTGAGGGATGAGGCGACAACCGGAACAACCATCGGAACGGTCGACTTGAGAGGCATCAACTCTGACAGTCTGCCAGCCTTCGGTGTGCTGGACAAATCCCGCATACCTCATCACCAGATCCTCTCCACCGGAGTTTTGCTCGGCCTTGTACATATAGTCATCTGATTGGAACTGTGGATGGACCCTGGGGCTCGGATCTTCCCCCTCATCTGAGCGACCGCTTGCAGCCTGTTGCATTCGGGTAATTGCTGAGCTTTTACCCCGGTTTTCCTGCCCCGCCTTGCCCCTAGCGTCAAGCCATGCGAAGCTAGCGTGCGATGCGTTGCTTGGATCCGGAGCTTTGTTGATCGCATAAAATGCGTGGTTCCCCCCTCGGTTGCATCCGCGCATTGTGCCCTGCCCGCATCACACCCCCGAGTCTTGCTCGTCTACTCTTTCTTGTTCCTCGCCATCGCTTGCCTGGCTTGGAGGATGCATTTCTCTTCGTACGTTGCTGCTGCTTTGTACGGGCTGCCGGCCCTGGCGCACGCGGCCCCGTCCCCGTCATCGTCCTCGGCCGCTTCAGTGTCTGGTGGCTCCGAGTCCGACCACTTCAAGCCCTACACCATCAAGGCTGAGAATATCACCGCCACGCTGATCCCGTACGGCGCGCGCCTCACCTCAGTGCTGGTCCCTGACCGCGATGGCCACCTGCAGGATGTCGTCGTAGGCTACGACGAGCCCAAGGAGTATCTCCACGATAGCGAGACCAATCGCACCTTCTTTGGTGCGGTCGTAGGCCGCTACGCCAACCGCATCAAGAACGGGACATTCACCATCGACGACCACACCTACCATGTCCCCAAGAATGAGAAGGGTGGCTTCAACACCCTCCATGGCGGCAAGATTGGTTATGATATGCGCAACTGGACCGTTACCGCACACACTTCGTCATCCGTCACCTTCTCTTTGCTCGACAAGGGCTTCCAGGATTTCCCGGGTGACGTTCTGACCCACGCGACGTTCAGCGTCTCCACCAAAACCACCCCGGATAATCCCAAGGGACTGCCGCAGCTGACCTCGAAACTGGTGTCGCTCGCCTTGACTGAGAAGACGCCAATCATGCTGGCCAATCACATCTACTGGAACCTGAACGCATTCCAGAACCCCACTGTGCTGAACGACACCACGCTGCAACTCCCTCTGTCGCAGCGGTACGTGGCCGCGGATGGCATCGAAGTCCCGACCGGCACCATCCTCGACGTCAGCGACACGCACAAGGGCGCGTTGGATTTCACGAGCCCCAAGCTGATCGGCAAGGATGTCGACAAGACCACCGGCGTGTGCGGCACGAGCTGCACGGGCTACGACACTTGCTTTCTCGTCGACCGCCCCAGCTCCTCCACGGCGCAAAACTCCCTCATCCCCGCCGTGCGTCTGGCCTCCCGCAAAACAGGCATCAGCCTCGAAGTAGCCACCAACCAGGCCGCCCTGCAGATCTACGACTGCGACGGCCAGGACGGCTCCATTGCCACGAAGAAGTCACAGGCGAAGCGCAACAAGGCCTACGGGGGCAATGCCGGCGCTGAGTATGTCAACCAGTACGGTTGTGTCGTCATCGAGACCGAGGACTGGATCGATGGGATCAATCATCCCCAGTGGGGCCGTCGTTCTTACCAGGTCTTTGGTCCTGATGATGGGCCTGCTATCAACTGGGCTACGTACCAATTCGGTACTTTCTAGGTTTAGGGTGGTTGCGCGCTCTTTCTTTTCCCTTTTCTTTTCTTTTTCTGCATTCTATTTCCCAATCCTGGATATAGCTGAACTCCAGGTGAAAGGTAGAATATGACATTGTACCACCCCGTGGATCTTCCGCAGTGAAAAGCTCACCAGGTGGCCAAGTGAGGACTTTCTAGGCCTAGTAAGTAGTAAATGGTATAAGCAATAACGCATGTAAGGTTACTAATCTATTAAAAACTGAATAAATCATGCCCTGCTTCCTACAATGTCTGATCAGGAGTTTTCTTTTTTTTTTTTTTTGTTATTGTAAAGGATTTATGAAAGTGGCAAGTATGAAGCTATTCCCAACTGACTGAAGTGCCCCCACAAAAACATCCTGAAGGATGAGCATCCGGCGTTGAGGCATTAACCCTCACAGCCGAGCATATTAAATTGTCCAATACAAATCAAGCGACAGAATTTTCATTATAGTCGGGCAAACGCTTGTCTTGACTTAAAGTGAGCGAGTGTGTAAAGCGAAATGAAAAAATCTCGATTTGATAAGTTCTCTCGTCGTTAAAAGGGCATTGCCAGCATTCAGCCATGGCTCTTTGGCTCAATTTGCTCCTTTTTCTTTGGTCAATCCCCTTGGTGAAATCCTTTAGTCTCGATACAGATGTCGGGGGTTCCTGCAGCAGCAGCTATCGAAGGGCCCTGAGACGTGCCGAGCCTATCCTCCCCAAAATGGGGAAGAGGGGTGTCGAGGCTGTGGATTGGTACCTGGAGCATTGGAATCATCACGCACTGGGCGATGATGATCAGCTTCATAGGGATACCATCGCCGGTGCCCTGAAAGCCATCTTTGCTTGGGAAATCAACCCGGGCCTGGGCACGGGCACGAAATATTACAAGCATGTTGCGGAGGATCTTCCTGGTACGCATGACTTTCAAACACTATCTCCATTCAAAAGATTCAAGAAACTGATAGATAGCCCCTGACGGGTAACAGCACAACTTGGGCGCGCAGGACACATCAGAGGGAACGATATACATATAGAGTGCAGCCTCTCTTTTCTCCACGCCACCCACGACGGTCGAACTTCGCAAACCCCCAATGGACAACAACAGTTCTGGAGTGACCTCCATAGTGCCTGGGATCTCGCTACCCCCGAGGCCTGTGATGGCGGTCTTAAGACTAGCCTGCTCAATTTCCAACGCGCGCCAAAGGAGGTGGTGGCGATTTGTCCGAATAAACGACAACAGGATGAAATGAAAACGGATCTTCGTCATCTGCTAGACTGGAAAACCTATCTCACCCATGGAGTCGACTATCCTTTGGACCTCTATAGTGGAAGTCTGAGCAGCGTTCTCTTTCAAGAGATGGCGCGCACTAGCAAGGCCGGCAAGGGTAAGGGCGTTAACTTCTTTTCTGGAAGTATGAGTCTAATATTACGGCATTGACACTCTTCTTCTATTAGCCAAACTTCGTGAATATTCCACTTCTAGCGGTGAAAAAAGGGCCGCTTCGAATTGGGCTGGTGTGACGGAATTGGCGGTTCAATCTGCGCATTTGACCTTCAGCAATGCGCCGAGTGTGATGTTTTTTGGTCTCAGTGAGAAGAATCTCCCCTCAATGTCTCATTTTATACTAACCTCTAACACCCCTCAGTCATGTATCTCGAGTCCCTTGGCTTTATTTTCGATTTCGTCAAGGGTACTATGCAAGTGCCAGAGTCGAATGGTTGGGAAGAGGGCTGCACAGTGATGTGATTGATCCTTCGGTCGATTTTCATTGCAGAAAAGTTGTATTCGTGGGAAAATATGCATAATGTGGCAAGCCGGGGGCGAATTGTCGATCCATCATTCTGGTGTCACTTCATACGCCTTTTCTCAGTGATTCCCGTCTCTATCATTCAAACAAGATAGCCCAGTAAAAGTTATCGCATGAATTTATCAAGGCTGAAATCCTCTACCTTCGGTAAATCCCCTTACTTCTTTCTGGGTAACTGCGACTATGTAGTTCGAGAAAGGCCAACTTCAAATCCGTAAAAGGTCTCTCTCATTCCTGTCATCAAATCACCAACATGTCTCATATCATAATATCGCCACAAATCCTCCTACTATATCAACGGAATCTTGGCCGTGTTGACATAGTCAATATTATCCGCATAGCCCTCGACCCGAGGAATCCACGTCTTGAACAACCGATCCCACACCCGAGTTTGCTTGCCGTAATTGTGGCTATTCTTCCAGCCCTTGCGATGATGAAGATCATGATCTTCAATCACAAGCTCCATGTCACAGAGCCGCAACAGCCAGTTCCAGGGATTGACGGCAGTGGCAATCATGCGCAAGCCGCTGTGACCCAGGATCTCAGTGAAAACAACATACTGTTGACAGACCCACCACTCATAAAAGCCCATGGGAAACCCCATCAGCTTCATTGTGCCGTATGCCAGAAGAGGCGTGGCGATGATATCGATAAACTCCTGCACCGTGTCCGCGTACGCCGTCAAGAGCGGGTTCGGGTGTTTGGTAAGATGGTGGGTGCGGTGGAACTGCCACAGACGATCTGTTTCGTGCGCGGAGCGATGGAGGATATAGTACCAGAAGTCGATGGCGAGAGGGTACATGCCGGTCTCGAAGATGAGCCAGCCCCATCGGATCGTCGACGGGCCTTCGTCCGGACGATAGGTGAGAAAGACGGTATACATGGGACGGAACGTGATGACTGAGAGAAGAGTCTGAACGGTCTTTCCCACGCCGACGTCGGGCACACCGTCACGGGCGTGCTTGTCCCCATCGAAGAATCCGATTTGGTGGCCCACTCGTCGGAGAATGTGGGCTTCGTGCACGGCAATAAACTCCAGGGCCAGACTATAGAAGATGAAGACCAGCCACGAGGGCGGGTAGCCGAAGGAGCTGATATAGAGTTGGTGGATGAGGAGTGGGATGGCGGCATGGGTCAAGACCCAGCGATGAAACTGTAGCTCCGGTGCATAGGGGACCTTGTCGGTCTTGGGATGAACGGGCACTTCTTGATCAAGCTCGAGGTGGTGTACATTTAGAACCTCGAGAAGCCAGTGCGCGGGGTTCCAGCGCGAGCGATCCCACGACCGCCAGGTAGACGTCATGGAATCCTTGGGGTTTCGCATTGGAGCTGGCATCGTGAACAAGTGTATTGACGAAGACCTCCGGGGCAGGAAATAGTCAAGCACATCATCCACCCCTGGCAGCGCGTTAGTTGGCTCTTATAGTTCTCCATGTTTTTGAGTAGAACCTGGTGCAAGTGGGACATCTTCCCAACAAAAGCAGACTCGTCTGGGACCGAGGTGTGGGGGCGCTGATCGTGCGATTGCTGGGACTGGACTCTTATCTGGTGACGTTGGTGAGGATCAGGATTTGTAGTTTTTCTTATGACCCACGGCCACTTGCTCGCTAACATGCTCAAATCAAATCCACAATAGAGGGTTTTCATGATGAAATTTGGGCGCGGACAATTGATGGTTAGTGATCAGTATACATCTGATACCGAGGCGTTGGACTCCATGTGAATTTCCCCATTGGGACAAGATGGCTCCACATCGAAGGCCAAGAATCGATGCAAGGCCAAAGGGACGATCTCTACTTCGCATTCTGGCTTGCCCCAGGTGAATTCGCTGTCATTGCATATGTTCACTTGGTGTTCCCATGCGCGTAGGGGGGAGGATTGGTCGACTGCAGGTGGGATATCATGGGACTTAAGATGACTTATTGACTACTCACTTCACAGCACCTTGCCTCCCCTTAATTGATTATCTTTGTCTAATTTAGGGATATACATAGGTAAATCTTTGTAATATCCACAAGGCAGTACCTCTATATTAAATATTTTCGCTATATTATGAGAAATTCTATATCAAAACGCTCATTAGGCGTACGCCTGCGTTCGGTCAATATTTCTAGTGACCCATGGTAGACAGAAGTAATTATATGTCGCTGAAATACTGTGCTGGCTTATAGTCTAATCAACGAGGACAACGAAGTAGGAAAGGTTAATGGATCAATGGAGGCAGACACTAGCTACACTTAGTCTACTTAGCCTCGTAACCCCTACTACATCCGACTACTGAAACAGAAAACTACAGTCTTCAACCAGTATCAACAGATTATTCCAGCTAAACTGTACGGCCGTTCCTAACAAGCACCGTCTGCGCCAGTAAAAGACCAGGAGATCGTCCTCGAAATGCCCCGAACATGCGAGCGACAAGGGAAGAGAAAAAACAACAAAAAAACAGGGGAAAAAAATGATATCATACAAATGGCAGCAAAAATCATCCCATCACAGTGCGCAAACTTTTTGAAGCAAACACATATCCCTTACTCGCCCTTGCTCTTCTTCTTTTTCTTCTCGTCGCCGTCATCGCTGCGCTTGCGCTTCTTGCCGTCTTCCTTGTCGGCCTTCTTGGCGTCCTTCTTAGCCTTCTTCAGGTCCTTCTTGCTGACGGCCGACGCGTTCCCGGCCGCATCGAAGCTGATCTCCCCGCGCTCGAGCTTCCGCTGGTACCGCTTGACGCTCAGGCCGGCCTGTGCAGCCAGCTTCTCGAGGTCCGCATCCTGACCCTTCGACTTCTTCTTGGGCGATTCGTCCTCGGACTCGTCCGAGTCGTCGGCGCCATTCACGGGCTCGGCATCAGAGTCGGCATCGGGCATTTCCTCGTCGACCTCTTGCACCAGCTTCTTCTGCTTCTTCGACTTCTTGGCCGAGGTGGGCTCCTCCGAGGCCAGGGCGTCCGCGTCCGGGTTGTACTTGCGGGCTTCCTTCAGGTCAAACTTCTGGGGCTGGGTGGCGCCGTTGGGGGCAATGGCCACACCGCGCGGCTTGAGGGGCTTGCCCTCCATGCCGGCCAGTTTGCGCTCAAGGTTGAAGCGCGCCTCAGTTCCCAGAGCAGCCTTTTCTTCCTCGGCGACATCGTCATCCCACTCAGCGAGCGCATCCACACGGAGACCCAGCGAGGCCTTGGCAGCCAGGATACGCGCCATCTTGCCCTTGTTGCGCCCCGTGGCCTGGCCGATCAAAGAAGCGTGGTAGATCAGTCCGTACTTGGGGGTGTCGTGCTTGGTCTTCAGGGCACGGAACAGAGCCTTCTCGGCACCGAGGATTTGAAGCGTACTGGCAGGGCTCTTGGACAGGTTGGTCAGGCTGCCGGCGTGGGCAATCAGGCGAGCACCAACGAGGTCTCCGACCAGCGCCGTCAGGTTGGGAGCAATAGCGTTCATGCGAGCAGTCAAGTAGCTTGCGAGTTGCTGGCGGTACTCGGCAAATCCGACGACCTGCTCAGCCAGTGCCTGGATGTTTTCCAGGTCCTCCTCGCTGATCTCCGTACCCATGGAACGATCAGCGGCCGACTTGACGGCACCCTCAATCTCCTCAGGCAGGATCTCGGTGAGATCGGCCGACTCCCAGTTCGACCGCATGCCCATCTTGAGGACGAGCTTAGCATAGGCAATGTTGTCGTTGAGGATCTTAGCCAGCTCAGGGAAGTGCCAGCCGTACCATTCCTTCACACGCATGGCATAGGTGTTCAGTTCCTTATCCAAGTCATCCAGAAGGCCAATGGCCTGGACGATCATGGTGTCGATCTTGTCGGGCGAGAACTTGAGCTTGTGGCGAGCGAGCGAGTGCGACAGACCCAGCGACATAGTCGACATGTCGGTAGGCATCAAGCCGGGGATCAGGGAGGTCAAGTGCTCACGGATAGCACGGTAGACATCGGCGGTGGTCGAGTCAGCGACCAATTGAACGGAGAGGCCGGGGAGTTTGCCAATAGCATTTCCTGAAGGCATTCAAAGTCAGCGATTCCCATGGAACAAAAAGAAAACCATAGCACATACCGAGCTTGGGATCCGCAACAGCCAGAGACACCTTCTTCTCCTCCTTGATGCCATCCAGAAGCGAGGCCAGACGAGGAGTGACCTTGCCTTCCATAACAGACGCAGCCTCCTCCAATGCTGTAGCAGCGCTGTCGAACTTCTGGAAACTCTTCAATTTCAACCTGTAGGTAGTATTAGTCTCGGCATGGAACGTGACAAAAATTTTTGCGCCGGTCGCTAGTTATGTCTTCCCCCTCCTCTGATAATTTTTTTCATGCTGGGAGAAGCTCCAGAGTATGCACATACAGATTAGAGACTCCCTCCGCAGTAGAAGCCTCAGTTGCGAGGTCATCCCGCTTGAGGATCTTCTTGTCCTTGGCCTTCAGCAGGGCATAGCCCGCACTGGTTTCGGTGAGGATGAAAAGCGTCATGGTGTGCAGCCTGGTGCAGGCCAAAAACAAATCAAAAAAGGGACTCTAAAAGATGAACGAAACAGCCCTGACCAGAAACCCGCAGCACAAAAGAAGGAAAAGTGGGCGCAAGCAACGTTGGGGAAATCTAGAAATTTTGCACGAAAGAAAAAGTGCAACATGCACCAGCCACCTGTGGCGGTGGCTTACGTAAAGCCGCCTCGTCGAGGAGCTCCGGCGGTGGAGGGCTGTTGGCCCATCATCTTCCCATTCCGTCTACCATGGAGGGCTTATTTTTCAATGTGAACGGCGGGTAGGTTATGCTTGTGTGCTAGTAGTTACAGGTGCATGGTTTTACTGACCTTTCTAGGTACGTCGAGGGCATCGTTCGAGGATATCGGAACAGCCTGCTGAACGGCCAGAACTACTCTAACTTGATTCAATGCGAGACGATCGATGGTATGCAGTCTATGACCAAGATCTTGGGAATGGCAGCTAATAATCTCCTTTATAGATGTGAAGCTCCAGCTGGCCCCCGCATATGGAGATTTCCTTGCCTCGCTCCCCCCAAACCCCTCCACCTCCGCTCTCGCGGGCCGGATGACCGACAAGCTGGTCTCTGAATTCCGGTACTTGATCGCGCAAGCAACTGGCTCAACTGCCAAGTTCCTTGAATATTTGACCTATGGATACATGATTGATAACATCGCTCTTCTCATCACCGGCACCCTGCACGAGCGAGACACCCGGGAACTGCTGGAGCGGTGTCATCCACTGGGCTGGTTCGAGACGCTGCCCGTGCTATGTGTTGCAACCAACATCGAGGAGCTCTACAACTCAGTCCTGATCGAGACTCCACTAGCCCCATACTTCAAGGGCAGCCTGAGCCACCAGGACCTGGACGAGCTGAACATCGAGATTGTCCGTAACACCCTTTACAAAAACTACCTGGAGGACTTCCATAATTTCGTCAACACCCATCCCAATTTCAGTGGCACACCAACCCAGGAAATCATGGCGGAGATCCTGCAATTCGAGGCGGACCGCCGATCTATCAATATTACCCTCAATTCTTTCGGCACTGAGCTCTCCAAGCTCGAGCGCCGGAAGCTCTACCCGGAGTTTGGCAAGCTCTATCCCGAAGGCAGTCTGATGCTTTCTCGCGCAGAAGATGTCGAGGGCGTTGCCCTGGCTGTTAGTGCCGTGGGCGATTACAAGACTTTCTTCGATGCCGTGGGCCTAAGCCAGGGCGGTGGCGGTGGTCTGAGCGGAGGCCCGGCCGATGGGAAGAGTCTCGAGGATCTCTTCTACCAGAAGGAAATGGAGATGTCGAAGCTCGTCTTCACTCAGCAATTCACTCCGGCAGTGGTATACGCGTGGATGAGGCTAAAGGAGCAGGTAAGCCTTGCATGTTTCAACGTTCCTTTATGGTCATACGAATCATTGGATCTAACTATTACCAGGAAATTCGGAACGTCAGCTGGATCTCGGAGTGTATTGCCCAGAACCAGAAAGAGAGAATAGGCAACTTCATCTCGGTGTTCTAGTCTCGCCAGCACATTTCTTATAACTTTCCGTTTTCCTCCACCTCCATCTCCTTGTACCTACTTACCTCTCTGGCTGGAAATTTCTTCTTAGGGGCACTTTTTTCATTTCCTTTTCTTTTCCCAGTTCATTTCGTTGTATCGAGTACCCAGTTTGTTTGTTTTTTTCAGTGTTCAAGTGAGCGCATCAACTTCCAAGGTTCTTTGGCCAGCCACTGGTTTCGGCTTTCACGACTTTCTCTCCCCCCCCCTCTCTTCTCTTCGTATGCGGCGTTCGGGTATCCTCGGTAAGCGTGTGAGGTAGAGCAAAATGCATCAGGCAAATGTTCATTGGATTGATACAAGTATATGCCCCGAAACCAAAGGTTCAGAATTTTCCACCACATCGTTGCTATTCAGTCAAGAGGGTAACAAAGCTCAGTTGTATTTGGAAATTCCAATGTTTTGTGTAGACAAGCATCGAGGCCAGTAGATAAGAGAGCAGGTCTCGCAGCGCAGAGCATGTCCCCTTGTTTATGTGCAGACACCAGAAGGAATTCCAACTCGGATTGATTTGCCCATATGTGCAGATGTAGAGGGCGTCAGAGGTGGATCAGGAAATAGAACACAGATACAAAAAAAAAGAGAGCCAGCCAGGTCCAAGGACGAGAGAAATGAGAACACAATCAGCAAACCTCCCAGACGCTCTCAGGCACCAAATCTACCGGGAGTATGTGGCTCTAACATGTAAAAAGGAGCTGGCGTTACAGCTCGGGACAAATTCAAAGATTTTCATTTCGATTTGTCGGGTTGGGAAATTCAAAGCCAACCCTTTCCTGAGGGGAATGCGACCAAGCAAGATCAGTCGTACTGGAATAGCACGCTGATACTCTCTCCGTGGTGAACCCGGCGGATTGCCTAGAACAGAGCAGTCAGAAATCAGATCGACAGAGAAGACCGATGAATGCTACTCACCTCGGCGAAAACATGACCAACTTCCAGGACCTCCAGCTTCGGGCAGCGTCGCAAGTGGTCGACCTGGTCCACGCTGTTGGTCACGACCACCTTGTCCAGGGAGCTAGCGTTGATGCGCTCGATGGCGTCGCCGCTCAGGATACCATGCGTGACCAAGGCGTAGACCTGGGAAGCACCTTCCTTTTTCAAGAGCTTGGCGGCTCGAGTGATGGTATTTGAGGTGTCGGCCAAGTCATCGATCAGAATTGCTATCCGATCGCGGACATCGCCGACCAACATCATGGTGGCATTTTGGCGGTCTGTGATTTTTGTGGGGCGTCGCTCCTGCAAGCAACAAGTCAGATAATTTTCAAAAACAGCGGTCAAGCACTACACAAACCTTATGGATCAGTGCAAACTCCATGCCCATCGAGTCTGCAATGGCCGTCGCACGCTTAGCGCCACCCGCGTCAGGGCTGACAATGACAGCCTCCCTGTGGCTCGGGATGTTGCGCTGGATGTAGCTCTTCAGAAGAGGCCGGCCGTAGAGGTTGTCAACAGGGATATCAAAGTACCCCTGGTACTGCGGGTCATGCAGGTCCATGGTGATGATGTGATCGGCGCCGGCGCAGGTGAGCAGGTCGGCGACCAGGGTCCCTGCCTGTGCAACCCACTGCTTGTATCCCGGCCGCGGCTGGAAAGAATTGATTTTCGAGGAGGCCGAAATATTGCTCGCGGAGTCGTCGGCGGCACTGGTGGCTGCCGACTTGAGGGAATCGGTGGTGTCGCTTCGCGGGAGCCCGTTTCCAGGACGTCGTTTTACGGGGCTGCCATTGCTCACATCGTCAATCTGAGCTTTGGCAAGGCTCTTCTGAAGGTTGTCCATGCCGTTTGTAATGCCCAGTCCTTCGGGTTTCCCAGGGCTGGGGGTGGGCGGGGTGCTCTCAAAAGTGTAACCATTGTTGGGGCGGGCGGGGACGGATGACTTGACAAGAGGGGCGCCAGCTTTGTTATAAGGGATATCGCTTTGCCGAGAGTAAGGGAAGAGCGGGAGGACCGCAGTCACTCGTCGGGCCGAGGCGGTCTTGCACGCAGAGATGGTGATGAGAAGCTCGAGGAGGTGGTCGTTGACCTTGCCTCCTCCAGATTGGATGATATAAACATCCTTTCCACGGACCGACTCCTGGACCTCGACTCGAGTCTCACCAACAGCGAACTTGGACAACAGAACCTCTGCTGGAGGGACTCCAAGCACGCTGCAAATTGTCTGAGTCAACTGCGGGTGGGATGTACCCCCGATGACGACGAGGTTGCGGACCATAGTTCTTGATGTTTATTGTACTATATCGGCGTAATAATCGTAAAAAGAGAAAGGCCGGGGTAAAGAAAAGCGCGTGAGATCCGAGAGACGTTGAGAGGAATTTTTTTTGGCGGGGAAGAGCGAAATTGGTCTCGGGGGGGGAGGTCGAGTGCAGGCTAAGAAATGGGTCAAGGGAAGGTGGCAGTAGATTGACTACCTCATGGCGGAGATTCGACAGTATCAGAAAGGGACATTGGAGAGCATAAAAGAAGACAAGAGTCAAAGCTGTGAGTCCCGCAATGAAAAAACGGAAGAGTGGAACGGGTCTTGGCCTCGTGTGCTGCCTCAGGCATAATGCCGCATCAGGAAAAGTGCATGTCGTGACCGAATGGCATCTCCGCCTTACAAAACTCCAATTTGCCGGTAGATACACAATTCCCGCTCCCATGCCCCGTGCTCCGTGATAAGCAAAACATCCATGGTAATATCTGATCTTTAATCTCCGGTCCCAACTTCCCTGCGAATAGTTAGCATATGGATCAACAAAGGGCACCGGTTGCGAGAATGCCGGCATGGGGTATGGGGTATGGAATGGAAGCTCACAGGTCCAGCTGCACTCCGTTGCTCACTCCGTAGTCCTCCAGCGTAAGCTGGTCCTTGAATGGACGTTCTCCTTGACGCTTTAGTAGGATCTCATGGGGCTCGCGACCAATCCGGGCAGCCACTTGAGCTTTGAATAGTTCTGGTCAAGGAATTAGTATATCGGTTTGGAGCAATCAAGACACCACGGGGAACCAACTGATGGGATCCGATGCAAGGCAGGGAATTGCAGCCTTGGTACCCAGACGATCATTGACATGTACCACGATCATGGGTTCCGATGATTGCGGTGCGACGGGCTTCTTCTCCTTCTTTCTCTTCTTGTCCCGATCTTCTCGAGGTGCCTCTCCGTCATCGCGTCGCCTTCGATTCCAATCGCGGTCGCGGTCACTATGCCGGTATCGATCTCCTTGACGATCTGCATCTCGATCTCGCCGAGGCGATCGGGGTCGATCGCAATATCCGCGGTCTAGTCCACGCTCGTCGCCTGCGTTGCGGGTATCATCGTCGCGCCGCCTGTCCTTCCACCGAAATCCTCCTGTTTTGCGTGGACGGTCGCCACCGTCTCGTCGACGAGGGGATCTGCTGCGTGATCGGTCACCCATGATGGAAGTGGAAGGGAAGAGAGAGGAGTGATGCCCGAGCTCCGAGATGGCAAGAAGCTGTGGCACGTGATGATGCAGTACCGCAGTGCTAGGCCGCAGTGAGCCTAGCGGGCTGCGGTGTCCATGAGCTTCTTTCTGCTTGTTGAGCTTCAACTAGGGATGTCTTCAGCTGATTGAGCATCGTTCGCCCTAGCATCGCTATATATTGGCTATCCCTCATAATGCCCGGTCGCCTCAGAGTTCGACGTCCATCTCCGACGACCGTCTCCTTTACCGTCTCAGACGCGCCTCAGCGCGACAGCTCCCCCGCGAAGATCCTGTTCGGCCTTCAAATCCTCCTCCGTGCAATTCTATTCTTCTGCGTCATCTTTGTCGGGATTGCCCGTCTTCGAGGTTCCTTCTTTCAAGAGAATGGCAGATATGTCCGCTGGACCGAAGTGTGGTCGAGTCCGCTTGGGCTCAGTGTCTGTCGCGTGGTCGATGCATACAACCCGTGGGCTGTGGCGGCGACCTGCGCATTGGTGATCTACGGGGTTTTCTGGCGGGGCTATACTGGTAATTTGAGGATCCAATGCCCGAACCGCAGAATTGCATTGCTAATCATTTAACAGAGGAGTCCCTTTTGGTCATGCGTGGCTTCGGGATCCAGACAGCCACGTCGTCCTCGACATATCTATCCACGGCATCGACCAGGTTCATCCCGACCACACAGATCCAGGACATTGTGATCCATGAAGCTTTCAAGGGCTTCGAGGTCCGGTTCTACTTGGCCGTGATCGTGGAAGGGCAAGCAGATGTAGTGGTGGTTTTCCCAGTAGGTCGACTCCTTTTTAGCCTTGCGATCTAAGCTAACCTAGAAATCAGCAATTACTACCCAAACGGGAGATCTTGGAAGAAGTCTGGAGAGGATCAAGGCGATGTCTTTACGATGTGAAATCATGATCGATCGAGCAAGCAGAGAGAACATTCCTTGTATAAGATCAACGCTTTCTCTATGCTTCTTTTGTTCACTTGTAATGCAATAGGTGAGTATTTACAATATTTCCTCAGCCCTCATTGGCCGTGATACCTTCGTTCCTGGCCGTTTTGCGCTGCTTGGCTACCAGCCATCTGGCATTTTGCGCCTCCACTGAGTCCAATTTTGTCTTCTGCAGAACGGGGACATACTTCCCACCCAGGCGGGCTCCATCTGCACCATGCCAAATCTTGGCACCTCTGCTCTGTTTCTTGGAGCTACCTTGTTTCAACCAGGCGCTGTCCATGTTGTGCACTGCGCTTTGATCGCCTTGGCTGACGGACAAATCCAGTAGCGCACCAGCCAGGATTTCGTCTATCTTGCGCTGTCTCCATACCGTCCACAGTCCCTCAACCACACCGCCAATGCCGAATTTCGTATCGCCTTTCGCGCTGCGGCCTTTGTTGAGTCGGGGATCACCGGCATAGACCCACTCCAGAGCATCCTCTCGGCTGCCAGATGCTTCGTCGGGGAAGATACAGTCCCAGAGCACCAGAGGCGCATCCGAAGCCATTTCATAGGTTGGCTTTCGGGGGTTCTTGGTAACATCCAGCAACTCGGGAACGATGGAGGGAGATTCGAGGCCTTGCCCGACTAGGAAGAGGATGGCAACCATATGCCGGACTTGGTGCCACAGGAAGGCCGAGCCATGCAGGTTGAACGAGTACACCTGCGGAGTGCCTGGAGAAGACGTTTCTGACGCTGTCATGTTCACTTCGGGGACCGAGTTCTCTTGCGCCTGGAATCCAGGTTGACCAACGTAGCCCAGTGGATTGGTCTTGGGGTTGACGAGTTCGATGTCTGAGTGATATATCCTTCGCTCGAAGTTTTCAATCTGTTTGCTGGTGTCCAGCTTGCAGAAATTTCGAAAGTCGTGCACCCCCTCGAAATGCTTGGCTGCCTCCCGCATGGCTTCGATATCCAGCCAGCCCTCGCGGTATTTGGCGCGCGGCCCTTGACCTCCCGCGTAATGTTCAAATCCCAGGGGGCCGGGGGTGGGGAGAAAGCGGGCTGGGTGAAGAAATACCTGTATCGGCGTTCACGGCATGAGAACCGAGCATTGAACTCTGGCGGCGGATTCGGACACCAGGCCAGCACTCTGATATCTTCCGGAAGCACCCTGTTTAAGAGTTGTATGTAGGACAATTCATCAGCCACGTCATCCCAAGCCCTGTCGTCGGACGGGGGCGTCTCAAATTGCATCGCACTCTCTTCCTCCAAAGCATTTTCGGTCGAAGAGTTCTTCGCCTTAGGCCGCGCGCTTCGAACGCGGAGCCCAATGACCTGCCCGAACGCACTCACGCCTCGATCCGTGCGACCGGCCTTCGAGTAATCGCATCCATCCCAGTAGATAGAGTAGGGCCGCATCGCTCGAGGCTCAATATCATTCGGCTCGTCCTCTGGTGTCTCCGTCTCTGGCGTTGGAAGGATCAATCGAGTCCGTCGCAACGCCTTCCACAGCACCTCCTCGATGGTTGGAAGGGGTGTAGCATTGCCATTAGTGTGCTCGAGTCCATTATAGCGCTGACCGAGGTAAGCGAACTTGAGCGCAATATAGCGCGTCGAGTATTTGGAAGGATCGAAATCTCGGTCCGCCTTGAAGGGGCGCGACGGCGCAGGCGTGTGGGTGATGTCGCCTTGCGAAGGCAACGCTCGCTTCTTTGAGGGGCTGGTATCGATCTCGGCGGCTGACTTGTAGAGCGGGATTGCGGGTTCACAGACATCCGTCGAGATCGGCCGAGCAGTAGGTTGGGGGGTTGGGTGTGTCTCGAGAGTCGATGTATATTGCGACGTCCGAGAATGGAGTTGACGCTCAAGCTCCGTGATCCGTGCAACCAGGCTGCTGTTGCTCCATGTCGAGTAGTCCGGGCTTGGTCCGCTGGCGTCGTCGGCCATAGTTTGCAGTGTGGGTGTGCGGCGCAGGCACAGGAAACGCGCTTGCTTCTTCAGGGTGTGTTGTGGTGTGGAACTCAACGAGGAAAATCTTGCCAATGGTTTCCACATACCACTTACAGCGCCTGACAGTGTATTTGGCCCACTGGGTGCCGACGCGGGTTGGGCTGGTTGAAGATAGGAAATTTGAAGCCAAGCTTGAAGTTGGTATTTTTGTCAAGGTTGTGGTATTTCTGTGTAATACGACGGGTTGGACGGCCGAGAGTCAAGGAATTTGAGGTATTCTTGTGTACTCGAATGTTTTAAGAGCAAATTCTTCTTCAGGAGGTATCTACTATCTCATATATCGTTTATTGATCTTATACTTCTCGAATTATTCGTGATAAGTGGCGACTGATATCGTAGTGTTCAATAGATATCTTGAAGGTTCAACCTCTGGACTCCCGTCTACCTCATCTCTCAACCCTCGCTACTTTTGGGGCTTGAAGACACCCACAAGACGATCCATCTACATCAACCGTGACCTAACAGAAGCTCAGACTGCATCTAGAGCAGGAAATAGTGGCTTCATTGCCGGACACTTGCCCAAAACAATATACCAGTTTCTCTGCGCCGAGGAATCCCCACACTCGAACCGATTAACTGTTGGTAACATGGCCGAGACAGAAGGCCAGACAGACCCTAAGACGACAGTCACCCTACTACTGCTTGGAGATCCGGGATGTGGGAAGTCAACATTTTTAACGTGAGTGTGGATAACCTTGTTGTGCCCCCCCTCAGGCTCCTCATATAGCAGGATGCCTGTTTCAATTTCAATGCCCACATCTACAATATGGAACATTTAAGGTGCTAATTCTCGGTTTAGTCGCCTGAAAAATGGCAGACAGCCGGCAGCTGCAGAACGAGGCAGTGCCGCTGCTTCCAATAATAATACTGTACTGCTACGAGACAGTGACCAGCCCTTCATCTACGACATCCGGTTCTCCAAGAAAAGCTTCACGCTAGAGCTCTACGACACATCAAGCCCCAACCAGCATTGGTCAACTCTGCGACCTGATGTCGTGGTTCTGGCGTTCGACATCTCCAACCGAGAGACCTTGGCCCGTCTTAAAGGGGTACATACGTCCACATCTTCTCCTATTGTCAAAATGCCAACAACGCTAACTCGGACATGGTATAGTGGCGAAATGATATCACTCGATACTTTCAGCAGGGGCACGGCGAGCGTTTGCCCGTGATGATGCTAGGGTTAAAAAGAGACCTGAGGCGAGAAGGCGAAGGAATCATCTATCCGCAAGAGGTACCTCATCCGCGTGTCGCTGGCATTACGAAACTAGAACTAACAAACTCCTCAAGACCTACCGCATTGCCCAGGAGCTGCGCTGTGATAGGTACGCCGAGTGTTCGGCCATCACGGGGGAGTTGCTTGCGGAGACCTTTGAAGACCTCGCAAGATTGGCGGGGATGACGACCACCGACAAAGGTGGGCAGACTGCTGGCGGCTGCAATATTCTTTGAGGATATGATATAGATATAGCACTGAAGGCGACGGCAGTGATAGTTGGCGGTGAGGCAGCGAGGCTGTATATATCGCCCTCTTCGTATGGCTTGAGAATACATAATTTGTGTTTGCTCAAGTCCACCTACTATTGGGTAGTATAGTCCTTTATGCCCAGCGAAAGCGGATGAAATAGAGCGTGCTGGACTGTCTACGAAACAGTACGAGATAAACAACTACCGAGCACATCCGTTTTCCGATTACCTCAAGATACATACAAGGAGAAACCAAGGTAACGATTAAGTCCACCTTGCAGATTGACAGCACAGGGCTTTCCCCCAGAAGCTTCATCAATAGAAAGCATCTGGATATCTTTCCCTCATAAGCGCCGGTCAATAATTGTCATCGCTATTCCTCCCCGGTGTGAAACAAAAAAAAAATCAGAAAAAAGTGCTGGTAAGAGACCACTGATGCAAAAGGGACATGAGGGTTCCGGTGAAAGCTCGTTTTTTTCTTCTGCTGTTTTTTCAGTTGCTTTTTTCTTTTTGGACATTGCAGAAACTAGGATAAACATGTCAAGGGGATTTGCGGGAGATGGTCGGTACCATTGCCGTCAATGGATTTGATGGTGAAATAGAAAACAAGAGCATTTCTTCGTCTCCTGTGTCTTGAGAACGCAGGAATCGTCACAATCATCCCGGATTGCCATGGCTTGGGTGAGTTCATACTTCCTCCCCCCTCTCAACGGCTATCCTCGTCACGGCGGTGCCATTTACCACTTGGCCTCGGTAGGGGCGGCGCCCTGAGCCTCGGCCCACTCACCAGCGGGAGCGGCGGAGCTGGCGGCCCAGTCACCACCGTCGGCCTCCCAGCTAGTGGCGCCAACGGCGCTGGCAGCAGCGAAGGCAGTGCCGGGGTTACCAGCGCCAGGCGCGTTGGTGTCCCAGTTCTCACCGGCGAAGCCAGACTCAACGGCACCGGCACCGATCTCCTCAGCACCGGGGACCTTGGTCTCATCGGCGATCTCCTTGTTCTCCTCGGCCTCGGGGTCGCGGTAGAAGTAGAGGTCAACAACAGTGTCCCACTCAGTCTCGCGGGTAGCGAGGGTGCCACGGAGGCGGAGAACCTCACGGGCCAACAGCCACCAGACCAGACCGATAGAGTGACGACCCTTGTTGTTGGTGGGGATAGCAACATCAACGAAGTCGGTGGGCGAGTCAGTGTCGCAAAGGGCGATGACGGGGATGTTGACGTAGCTGGCCTCCTTGATGGCCTGGGCGTCGGTGCGCGGGTCGGTCACGACAATGAGGCGGGGCTCCTTGAACGAGCGGGTGATGTAGTTGGTGAAGTTACCGGGGGTGAAGCGACCGGCAATAGCGGTGGCGCCGGTGTGCGCGGCGAACTTCAGGACCGCACGCTGGCCGTAGGGACGAGCAGAGATCACACAGACATCGGCGGGGTTGTCGATGGCGGCGATGATACGGGCAGCCAGGACGATCTTCTCCCTGTTTCCATCGCACCACGGATTAGCTTCCAAACTCCATTTTCTTTCCATCAAGATTCTGCTCCTGCATACCAGGTCTTGCCAATGTTCACCACGTTGACACCGTCGGGGCGGGTCTTCCAGAGGTAGGGCTCCATGTGCACCTGGAGGTTCTTAGAACCCAGGTGGCACTGAGCAGCCAGGAGCATCTCAATGTCCTGGGGGGTAGGGTTGAAGATCGGGGGGAGCTGGGAGGGGGCCATGGTGGGCGATTGATGGATTGACGAGTTGGAAGAATCAATCGTCTGGCTCTTGTCGTGGTGATGGAGGGAAAAGATCAGGGCTAAACTATGCGCGCCGCAGATGCGGAAGAATTTCGCTTGCGCATTGTGAGTGTTAGGGCTAGGGCTAAGTGGATTAAGTAAGATCTTTTTCTAGCCTGAGGCAGAAGTCAGTCAAAGTTCCCGGTGCCAAATACGGACTAGCGCATCTCCCGGCTGCAAGATTTCCCGACAAGAAGACCTCGCGACGCCTGCGAAGTTGATGCTGTCGGGGCTATCCATTCCCAGTCTTGCGTCCACCATGCCTCCTCGCATTTCTGTCCAGCCTTCCTTGAAGGCTTTTACAGGTATGGCTGCCCACCCTCACACCCTGGCCAGTGGTCAGTGTTCAGTGCTCATGAAAACTCTCATCCAGGATCATCCCATGGACACAATCCGCTGGCCGCTCTGTCCAACGCAGCCCAGACTTCGGTGAGGGCTGCATCCAGCAAGCCTCAATCGCGGAGGAGATATGATCCCTTCTTGATCGCCCAAGCCCGCCAGCGCAAGGCCGCCAATATCTCACGACAAAAGACTCTCGCGGCCGAACGGGAAGCATCGATCGGCGATCCTCTTGAGAGCAAACCAACACCTTTTATCCAAGATATCGTGTCACTCCAGACCCAGCAGATCCTTCCGGATGCAGCTACCGAGTTCAATCACTACCTTACATCCGATGATTTCCTCCGAGCCTTGGAATATTCCAAGGAGTTGACCGAACCATTGAAGAACCCGGACCGCGACACGGCGGATCCCCGGCAAGAGGAGGAGGCCGATGAGCTGCACAGCAAGCAGCACCAAAATGCTCGAGAAGCTATTCGTCGCATCATTCACCTCAACAATGGCAACAACAAAGATCGCGTACGGCTTAACATCCAAAAGTGCATCGAGAAGCTTGGACGACACAATACCGACCCCATTCTTGCTGCCAAACCTGCGAGTGTGACACACCCCAATGCTCCTGTCTACCCGAAGAAGGCTCAACGCATTGGCCCGGATACAGGCTCGCCGGAAGTCCAGGCCTCGATCCTCACCGTGAAGATCTTGAATCTCACTCGACACCTTGAGACCACGAACAAGGACATGCACAACAAGCGCAACCTCCAATTGCTCATCCACAAGCGACAGAAGCTGCTGAAGTACCTCCGGAAGAAGGAACGGGGAGGACCCAGATGGCAGAATCTGATGGAGACATTGGGCCTGTCTGACGCAGCATGGAAGGGGGAGATTGCACTCTAGAGAACATTATCTCTTCATATATTTTCCTTTGTCTGTTGAGGTTGACCCTTTTTTTCATCACCCTGGTGCCCTGGACTGAAGCATCAGTGTTGCCTTGGACTTGCTGCCTGGGGAAGGGGGCAGGGGTTTACTTTGTTGGAGCCTATTTCTCTGTGGATGTTCCAATGCCTGGAACCACTAGTATCATATGTACAAATAGCAGTTTTCTTCTTTTTTAGACCCTTCCTGCCTGTCCCAAATCCAACCCCGAGTGATTTTGGCTTTGTCGGGTTCCAGCCATAATGCCTCAGACTGAGCTGTCGAGACATTGAAATGTCTGATGTATTACTTCCGTAGGAGTCATCCCAGGTTATTTCCTGGCACGTTCTGGGCACTTAAACGTACCAGGACCTGAATATAATCCTAAGCTATTGTTCCTACAAATCCCCTCTGTGCTTCTATAGCTGTATCTTCTATATAGTACGTAGAGGCCAATCGGAGGCAGACCATCTGACCGCCCTACTGATTCTGCCGTCTTTTCATCACAGCAACAATTTTCTCCCAATGTGGAAGCTTCCGGTCACAGCTGGGAACACCCTCACTTTGGGTCAGTGCCTGAGGTCACTCGCACCTTCCCAAATTCACCGTTGCTGCCCCACGTCGCCGTGTAAACAAGACACGCCTTAACACGTCTTCTCCCCTCCCTTTCTCTCTTTTCTTTTTCTTCTTCACATCTTCCACCCCCTTCTCATCACCCTCTGGAGCTTTTTGAAGCTTGTGACCAGTTTTCGTAAGTACCTTTTATCCTTCATTCTTCACCTGGTTCTATCATCTCACCTTTCTCTGACTCTCAGCTTCTCTCAGTTTGACGACGTTTTGAGGTTGTCTGCAGACGCCTCACCGGCCTCCCTCCTCTTTCTCTCCCCTCTCCCCTCTCCCTCCTCTCTCTCCCCCCGTCTGTCTCTTCTTCTTTCTCACCGCCCCACCCTCCCCCCCTTTCCTCTTTTTCTCTCTCTTCTCCCTCCGCCGCGTGGCGCATCTTCCAAGATGCGCACGCGTTCTCAACCAATATCCCCCGGTGGCCTTGTGTCACTCGAAGCCGAGCCCCGCCGGAGGCGGGCAACTCGGAGTGTCTCTGCACAGCCGCAGGACACAGAGAATGGCCAGCCGGCTGAGCCAGTGCCGGCTCAGGTGCCCAAGCCTGCCGCCAAGTCTCGCAAGCCTCGTGGCAAGAAAGCCACCCGTGGCAAGAAGGTAAGTCTCCAGAACATCCAGGAACATGGAGTTTGTGTCTCACTGATACCCATCTCTCTAAAAGACTACGCGCCAGACCGCGCCTGAGACCGCGCCCGAGCCAGCAGCTGAGCCAGAGTTCGCGCCAGTGTCGTCCGCATCACCTGCGGAAGGTGTGAAGCCAGAGGACTCACACGAGCAGGTGCCGAATGCCGGAGACACGGCCTCCGACCCCCGGTGCGCCGAGGAAGTCCGTCCTGAGGAACCCTGGAGAAGAATTCCCATCCCTAGGACCGACTACCGCAGCTATTCCATTGAGGACTGTAAGTCGCATTTCACTCATTTCTTCAACGACCCCAGCCGGCGGCGTATCTCCGATTGGTTAGCGACACGCGCCTTGCATCCCAAATCCCATCGCCCTCCGCCCTGGTATGGGTTTCCAAAGGAACTCCGCGTGGCCTGGGAGGAGTTGTACCAGCAAATGGTGTACGAAGGGAGAATCAACCGTCGGCGAGCACTTCTCGCTAAGCCTCCATCTGAGGAAGTAGACTTCGACCCCAGGCTTTGTCGTTTGCCTCCTAGAAGCCAACGTGTCGGCTTGCGAACGGCGGAAAAGCGCTCTGATTCGGACCATACTAGCCCAGGAATGGTGGAACCTCCGCTGACACTTACTCCAGTCCCAAAATCTAGGAAGCGCCCCCACGAATCCCTTGACACGACTTCCACAAAGCGTCCGAAACGTTCGGGTCCTTCTCCTCGCTATAACCCGCGAGCCTCTTATGCCGAAATCGCCAATCGCCGCCGCGTCCAAGCCAGTGGACGTGTCGACCGAACCTTGTATCGGCTTCCAGAACTGCTGGCGCAGAATGAGGCGGATGAGGTGACCAATACCCCCAGCACTCCCCAGGCCGTTGGTACCCAAGAGAGCGTCCCTTCTGTTGCCGCTAACCCTCCTGCGACTGCGCCTCCGGTAGCTGAGACCGCTGGTTGGGGAAGATGGTTCTACAACACCGTTTCGAGACGATGGACTAGTTTCCGTGAGCGATTCGGTAACCGTCCGGCCGTCAATGCCACAGCCAGTAAGTTGTCAATGTTCATGCTTATTCAATTTGTTCATTCATGTCTAACTTGTCATCTCAGCTGCTGAGCCAGAGATTCCTACCGCCACCGCTGCGGAGGAACAAGCGGAGGAAGAACTGGATGTGGAGACTCCCTCCAACGACACACTTTTTTTCACCCCTCCGACCAGTCGACGCATCCTTTCTCCAAAGTCTTACCACGACCGTCGTGTGCCGCGAAGAAGAAGAGCTCGCTCAAATGCAATCCCCCAAGAGCTTTTCGACATTGTTTACGGACAAGTTGATCCTGCTCTTCGTCCAATCCGTTTGCCGGATGGTACGCTTGTGAGACGCCCTCGACCGGAGGCTCCACCGTCAAAGAAGCGCAAGCGTCGACCGTCCCCGGATAGAATTCCCAACCCTGCGGGATGCAGTTACGGCATGGATCTTGACTACTTTTACTTCGATTCAGAGGACGAGAAATGGGCCGAAGAAGAACAGGCACGACGTGATGCGTTGGCCAAGGAGGCTGCGCAGAATTTTGCGGACACTGCACCAGCAGATGTCGATCCTCCCTCGAAGGCCGAGGAGCCTGCACGCCCTGCCTCAAAGAAGGCAAAGAAGGTCCGCGTAGAGGAACCGCCCCGTCGTCAGGCTGGGCCTTCTCGCCGATCGACCTCACCAAATGCCCCACAGCAGCGTCCTGGGTTCATTCCAAACCCGCATGGCACATTCCGAACTCCTGGGTGGTCTTCATCTTCCGACGAGGCCACTAATACCAGCGCCCTTTCCAATGATTCTCGTGCCGAGCCTGAACTTCCGAAGGAACCCTCTCCCGTGGCCAAAGCCCGGGACGAGCCTGTTGTTCCCAAGGAATCTTCTCCGGTGACCAGAGCCCGGGACGAGCCTGTTGTTCCCAAGGAACCTTCTCCGGTGACCAGAGCCCGGGACAATGCGGCGCAATTCAAGCCCAAAACCCCCAGCCGTCTTCGCCAAGTTCACCGCTTCTCGAGTAGCACTGTTTTTTCGAGCTCTATCAACACACCTTCCTTCCTTGACGCCGAAGTTGGCACCCCGTCTTACCTGTCACATTTGGGTAATGATATTGGAGGTACGCCTTCGCGCATATCTTCTACCGGCGATCCGATGTCTCTCTGCTCGGACGCCCCGACCAACGGTGCCGACTGGACGCAGCAACCATTTCCCTCTGACGGCAATTTCGACGATTTTCACTGGCCAGCTCCGAGACCCCTTGCTGAAGGATTCGGTGTCTCCCCCGCCGTGGTAGAAGCTGCAGCCAGTCTGCTGACACCAGAGAGAGCCGACGGGATCCATGCGACCTTCGAAGCTGCATTCAATGCCGAACTTTGATCCTGTCATCTTTTCATTTCTCCTCATGTTTTCTTCCCCGTTTGAATGACGATTTACGACCACAAGGGGAAATCTGGGTGTGTGTTGTGAGATGTTTCTGTATGGTTTTTTTTTTTTCTTTTCACTTTTCCACATGTTCTTTTCGTTCTTCTGGGCCCGCCGGGCTATTCCGTTGGGCTCAGGAATTGTTCCCCCATGCGCGAGCCCCTCCGACCCCTATGGGGTTGGAAGTAGGGCTCTGTATGGCTGGGAGCATTTCTCTGCGTGTATCTAGTGGCCCCGTTTGAAAATAAACCTGTTGGGCCCTTGTTCAGCATGCATCTCAACTTCTTGTAGAAGCTAAGACTTTTGATGCCATATCAGGGTAAGGGCTTTTTCATAGTCTCACATGCCCTCTCTCTCTTACAATAACACTCTAGGGGTGGCCTCAATGTCTTCGAGGATTTCCAAATCACGACACAGAAAGAAATATTTCGAAATACCTTGCCATATCTAGGATTGAAATCATGAAATCAACCACTTCAACGTTGACAAAAGGGTGTTTTGGATGTTTACATGGTGGCAAGAGTCAATTGATTCGGAGATAATCCACAAATGTCATGATTGTCCGACACAGCAGACCTAGTCAAACCCCTCGAATTCTTCGTCGCCATTTCCATCTTTTGCGCCGGTTTTGGTTGCGCGATTGAGTAACCATTGCTCCTCGTTTTTTACTCGGATCTCTTCGACCATCCGCTCTGTCTCGAGAATCTTTTGTTTTTCGTCCTCTGGCAAGCGCTCCCACCGATCCTTGTCCTTCCGCGCCTTCTTCGACTCTCTCCGTTTGAGCTTCTTGTCGCGCGACTCGTTGTTGTGGCTCCACGGCGCATTCTCAGTAGCTCGTCGCTTCCGTGAAAATTCTTGCTGGGCACCGTCTCCTTGAGCCGTCTCCTCCACGATCTCCTTGCGCCGCTTCTCTTGCTGCTTGTCCTTGTATGCATAGCTGTTCCAGTCGATGGCAACACCCAACGTCCGGTCTCCTTTGAAATTGCGGAGCTCGGGCATTTTGGGCAATTTGAGAAGGCCCCATGCTTTACCGAGGGCTTCCCAGTCCAGGTCCGCCACGCGGAATATGCTACTCGCTTTGTGTTTGCTGTAGCTGCGGAGCCAGCTGACAAACGCTTTCTGGCCTTTGTCGTGCAGAGCACGGTCTCGCAGGATGGTCTTGCGCATGGTCTCCGTAGCGACAGCGGCGTCTGTCTCGGAGGCTGGGTGAGAGAGATTAAATGGGGAGACGGGGGGTTTTGCGCACGTCCAGAAACGAGACGTAGTCTTCCTCGCGGCCGGGGTGCAGAAGAACTATACTGAGGCCTCTGCGGCCGGCGCGTCCTGCTCGGCCGCATCGATGGATAAAGGTTTTCGGGTCGGACGGTGGATCGATCTGCACAACAAGGTCGACGGATGGAATATCCAGCCCGCGGGAGGCAACATCGGTGGTGAGGAGGATGGCGGGTGTTGTGGCAGTGGTGAAGCGGGTAAAGTTCTTTTGGCGGACATTGGCAGGGTGTTTCCCATGGAGTGGGACCATGAGATAATCATCTCCCAATACCAATGGCAATATTACGGATAGATAATCGACGCTGGAACATGTGGACACGAACAATATCGTCTTTTGGGGTGTGGGTTCGACTGATCCAAGAATATACTTGAGTATGGAAAACTTGAGTGCTGGGGGCGTTGTCAGGTAGGTCATTTGAAGACTAGGTATGGTGTGAGTTGCGCAAACTTCAGAAAAATTGCTCGGGTGGAGGACACGGGACATACCTTGCAGGGGTGCGCTTGTCCTCGACACCAGCAGCTCCTTTAACCTTCACGGCAACTTTGACGGGATTGCGCAGGCCAACCCGGACGATCTGATCAACAGCTTCACTAATACTTGCGCTAAACAGACCTGTCCGCCGTTGTTTGGGTAGCCGGCGCAAAATGTTCTGAAGGTCATCTTTGAATCCGAGATCCAACAGTCTATCAGCTTCGTCCAGAACCAGCATTTCAAAGGACGCCTGTGGACAGTGGACATGGGGCGACGAAAGAAGCTCCAACAATCTTCCTGGTGTCGAGACAATCACATTGGGGGACCGTTTCAGAAATGAGCTGAGATCCTCCGCAGGAGATGTCGAGCCACCGAGGAGAAGTTGCGGGATGACTTTGAGCGTTGACGAGGGGAATTTCGGTCGAGGCGCGTCGTCTTCCGGAGGGTTGATGGCTGCTGCCGATGGAGGATGGAATTCCAATAGCGACAAAAGAACTTTATATATCTGCGATGCCAGTTCTCTGTATGCCGGCATTAGCGACAGGGCCTAGCGGTCACAACCCGCGCATTGCTCACCTCGTCGGAGAAATGATGATGGCTCCGATATGATGCTTCTTAAGTGGCTCTTCAAGGCGCAGAAGCTTTTCCACGACCGGAATCAAGAACGACAATGTCTTTCCACTTCCTGTGACGGCCTCGACCACCACATCCTTGTGCGCCATAAACAACGGGATGGCGGAGGCCTGAACGGGGGTCATGCGCGTGAAGCCCATGGAGGCCACAGCGTCGAGCGTCCATTCCGACAGCGAAGGCGTGAGGCCATCCCACACCCGGGAAGACGAAGACGACTTCGGAGCCATTTGCGACAGCCAAAAACAGCCCCAAATATGACCGAGGCACTGATGTTCTCTGCAACAAAAAAAAAATCCGTTATCGATTAGATATGCGGCACGTGATTGCGGCATTGGGCGGAAACGATGCGATGGGCGATCTGCTTTTCCTCAACGCCCTCGCCGCTTACTCTGGTGCTCAGTGCGCTCTCATAATGCGCCGGGTCCTCCGTCCTATTTTTATGATTCTTCCTTGACTAGTATTCACGCCTCGAGCAAACCGCCCGCCATTGAGTCGTTACGAAGTCCGTTGATATCCCTCGGCATTTTTGCCTACGACGGCGATCATTTTGCAAGGCCACTTCTTGGTCTCATCCCGGCCTCTACACTCCCGCCCTTTTCCGTGAGAGTGGTCGATATGGCCTCCTCGCCAGATACGGTGCCGGCGACACCGCGAGTGATATCCCCCACGCCCCCGCTTTCGGACCGGTCAGACACGCAGGACGGATATTTTGCGCCGACAACACGGTCAGCGGCGCGCCGGCAGCGTCTTTCAGATGTCGCAGAGCAGTCCCCAGGATCTTCGCGGTCGACAAGATCGCACAGTCCAACTGCTACAACACCTCGGCGCTCGACGTGGCAACACCGCTCAAACCCCAAGATCCCGGCCTCGCCGCCCTCGGTCAACCGCCCTACCTCGAACGGCTACCTATCGCCAACTTCGAGCCTTCCCGATGCTTTGCGTGGCATTTCGCGGTCACCGTCCCCGCTTGGACTCATTCCTTTACATTCGCGCTACCGCAACTTCATCCACCGCCATGAGATCCCGCGCAAGCTCCTGCACGTGTCAATCGGGTTCATAACCCTCCACCTTTACAGCCGGGGCATTCAGACGCTCCAGATCACGCCAGTATTATTCTCGGCTCTAGTTCCCATCGCCGTAACAGATCTGGTGCGCCACCGCTCAGAGAAGGTCAACAGGTTTTACATCCGCTCCTTGGGCGCGCTCATGCGCGAGACCGAGGTCTCCGGCTACAACGGCGTGATTTGGTACCTGCTTGGCGCGTACACCGTTCTCCGCTTCTTCCCCAAGGACGTCGGCGTCATGGGCGTGCTGCTGCTCAGCTGGTGCGATACCGCTGCCTCGACTTTTGGCCGCCTGTATGGCCGCTACACGCCTCGCCTGCGGCCGGGCAAGAGCCTGGCTGGCACGGCGGCTGCGTGGATGGTTGGTGTTGTCACTGCTGCCGCCTTCTGGGGCTGGTTCGTCCCGTATGTCGGGCCCTTCCCCAACGACCCGCCGGATGCGTTCATGTTCACTGGTCGTCTGAACCTGCTCCCGGACTGTGTCCGCGGCCTTTTGGGCTGGGAGACCGGCCCTTCGGTCTCGACTGTCGTCAAGGGCCCGCTTGCTCTGGGTGTCATGAGCGCCGTTTCGGGCTTCGTTGCCGCTGGCAGCGAATTCATCGATCTGTGGAGCTGGGATGACAACCTGACGATCCCCGTTTTGAGTGGTGTTGGGCTATGGGGCTTTTTGAAGGTCTTTGGGTAGACACATATATTTCTTTGTTTTGCGGCATATCAATCGTCTTATTTCTTGGGTTTCTTATTACGATTCATTGATTGATTATAAGGGGGTGTTTTGCTTCATGTTAAACCCTTCTTCTCTCGGGCATTGCATTGCATCAGATCGGGTTTTCGGCTTGCACGGAAAGCATTTTCGACCTTGAGATGCTTCTTTGCTTTTTGTTTTCTTCTATTTGTTTTTCTTGGATATCCCCTCTCTTCTCTTTCTGCTATACTCGATACTGGTGTGCTTAATTTACTATGGGCCCTTGTGCTTGCTTGATCATACTCCATTTGCAATGAAGATCCGTTACGACTGTGTTCATGCGTTCATGTCTGATGTGCTGATGTGTACAACTGACTCCACAGAAATATGACAACAAGAATAACCTCGAACAAAAATTGTCCCCGGACATGAAAATGTGCTGTGATACCTGCAACCAATGCCACTAAACGCCATATCCTGACCAAAAGAAGACTCAACAATGATAAAAAGGGTATCAAGAGTGAGAGTGGGGGGGCGGGGCGTTAAATGAGATCCAAGATGCTGACACGCGGAACACGTTTCTTCCTGTCCTGTTTCGTGGGACTGTGTTCGGTGTGATTCTGGAGCGCGGTTGAGTCTGCGCATGGGCCCGCATAGACCGACACCGGCACGTCAAGCGTGTCAACCGACCAAAAGCCGCCGTGTGCTGTAATGTTTTCGATATGATTTGAGCTCTTCGGGGGCTCTGGACTTGAGTCCTTGGTATTGTCCAGGTCTTTAAACTTTTGAGTCCTCTTTCGCGTATGTGTTCCCGTGCATGATCTTCCAGTCGATGGCGTGAGATGTCCATTGTACTGCGGCTTTTCTGGCGCATTCACAGACTCTGTTATGCTCGCCGAATGACCAACCATAGGTCTGGTTGTTTCACAGAGTCGAGGCGACTCCGCTGGTTGCGGTGTAGAGGAGCAAAGGTAGGTTTCGGACTTTTCAAGGGCCTTCTTAGGTGAAGATCGATGCTTAGATCCAGCTTTAGCATCTTCGGGGGAGCTGTTATCGTGTTTCACCGACAAAGACAACGATTCGATGGCTTTTTCCAGCTCTTCTGCCTCCTGTACCTTGCTTGTAGGTTTGACCTTCTCTCTCTTCTTGGGACTGGTGTGATGCTTTGTCTTGGGTGAAGGCGCGGCCAGTAGGGGTTGTGGAATTGTTTGGCCAACTGCGGAGGTTGAACTCTTGTGACTTGAGACAGAGTAGCTCATTTTGATTCCCCGTGGTAATGCAGATCGCAATGGAGAGGTGGCAATCTCAGCGACTGGCGTGTCCAGGTCTGCAATTTCGATTTCACCTGATCCCAAGACTCTACGCTGGGATCGGACACGAGACTGAGCTGCCATAGGATGACGCTTGATGTTGGGACTTGATGATATAGAGCATAGGGATGAGAATGGATCAAGCAGCTCATCCACCTCGCGCGAAAAAGTGTGCATCCCACTTGATGCTCCCTGATGGGTATACATGTTTAGAGCGAAAGGGTCTTCCTCTAAGGACTCGGAGTATGATGGGAGATTTTTGAAGCTGGACAGATTGTCTTTGGCCGATGGCGTCGAAGCAGCCTCTAGTAAATGTGTCTGCTTGGACGCAGACAAGTCGGACTTCTCCTTTGTGAGGGTTCCATATTTCAGGATACTTCCTCGTTTCATTCCGGAGTCGATGGGCCCCTTCTTCTTGGGCGCTGAGCGACGGTTGCTCGACTTTTTCGGAGCAGGCTTCTGGGCCTTCTGGGCTTGTTCATCCTCCCATTTCTTCACCACATCAGGAACACCCAATCTGGCCACCGTCTCAAAAATCCAGACCTTCTCCATGGCGAAAGGATCGAAACGTCGAGCAATGCGAGTCTTTGACGGTGTCGGAGGGGCTGATTCAGCCACAAGCTCTGGGTCTTCATCTTCGTCCCCTGATTGCATGGCACCCGAGCCCACGGTGCTCTGAGATGGCAGGATCTCCTGGGACGGAGGCGGGGGGTTGGGCTCTTCGGCAAGCAAATCGATGCCAACCACATCGATGGGTAGCATGTCCATTTGAAGCTCGGTTGTCCCATCCGTGCCGAAATTGGCTCGACTTCGGTAGACCTTCTGCAGCATGGGCGTATCACAATTAGGTGCGAGTGACTGGTGCAGCGGCAAAGCCGACACGGGTCTTTGGAGGCGGAGTTTGTAGCAGACGAGTGGCTCTGCCAGCAGCTTGATCACTTTTCTTGCTCCCGAGCGATAATTCCACTCAAAGTGCTCTGCGGCAAAGGTTCTGATTGCCAGGGGGTCAATATCCCGATCCCAGGCCTGCTTCAAGCGAAGCCGTAGAACAGCCATCTCTTCGTTGCTGGAAACTTTTGGCTGAGCGTAGTACTCGAGGATGGTTCGGTCGGGGAAAGAGTCAGGAATCCGGACAACCTTGTGCTTTGTCACGAAATAGCCACTCTCATTTTCCTCCAGCTCGTACTGTAAGCGTTCTCTCCACTCGGCCAATCCGGAATCCAAGTCCGAGGAATTTGATGCAAGCTGTTGTAGTAGATCCTCTCCAAATCCAGCCTTGGCAATCTCTGCCGCTAGCTTACTGCCGCATTTAGGGACACCAGATGGTAGGTAATCACCTCCGCTCAACATGGCGAACAAAATCATCCCCGCCCGATCAAGCGGCACATTCGAGGGATGGCCTTCCTTGCCCATCGCGTAACAAGTCACATGGGTCGAGGCAGTCGTGCCACTTCCACTTTCTTTGGAAAAATTCATGATAGTCAGGGTCGATCCAAACATCAAGGCATCAACATCGTTGCTCATCACTGCATCAACGATGCCCGCCTGCTGTAACCGCGCACATTCCGCTTCTGCTTCCCCAGGAGCCTCATGCCAGGGAAACCTGAAGCGCTCTATGAGGTCCTTCGATCGCTGAATGATTGGCGCGTTCCCGTAGCTGCGCGCCGAGACCGCCTTGCCTCTCTTAAAGGGAGGTTTGTGCCGCCCATCGTACACAAAGAGGGGGTGGATCGGCAAAACCAGCAATTTCAGGAGTCGATAGAACAGTGTGCGAAGCTCAGGGTTTCTGCCACCCCGACCGGCCTGTACCTGGAATAGCCATATCGAGATGTCAACCGCGACGCGGATGGGTCTTGCAGTACGCTCCAAGTGGGCGATGGCCAATTTGGATAGAGAGACACGCTCTCCAGCCCCAATGGCATTAATAAGTCTGAGTCAAATTAGCAAGTTTGGTCGATTTTTTTAAAAAAATTTGGTAGGCGTGCGGTCTTGGGACATTCGGTGGCAATTTGCTCTCATACATTCGGGGATATATGTTCTTTACTGGCAAGCCAGGGAGGGGGATTGTACTTACCCAGGGATACCCATGCCGGTTCCAAATCCACGAAGTTCTAAGAATGTAATTCAAAACCAAGCGATGTGCCAGTCCATGGGGATTTGGGAAAGCGCCGGGGAGATGAAGAAGAACGAAGGTTGATTGTTGACGCTGTCAACGGCGGACCGGCTACATACGGTTAGTTTTTCCTCTTAGGGTTTAGCGCCCCAATACAACGTTCTGTAATCTCTCCTTCACATCGCCCAGGCATAAAAGACCCGACCTCGCCCTTTCGACCAAGTTTCCCCTTCAATTTCTCTATCTTGCACTCATCGCCCTTGGTTCTATTCCGCCATATGTGTTGGCTTGTCGCCAAATTGTTCGCGGTAATAGGAAATCATGACCCGGTCTATACAGGCACCCCTGTACCCCTTGTTCATCGCTTAAAGTGTGACTCCTATAAAGGACCAAGGATTGGAGCCTGGCATTTGTATTTCCTTACCTCCCTGGAAATCAAGATAAATCTAATGCCATCACCACACCTCAATGAATCGATACGTGAAGTCGATAAAAGCTCCTGGCTAATCTCTAACGCGCTTCTTCTTACTCGTTCGTCGGCCCTAGTCCCGGACAAGATTCCAACCGGCTAAGTATACTGGAGCGATAGCAATAGGGGCATTTCCTTCTCTCCACTACACCCGAGTATCTTCTAGATTCTAAGCCCCTCGCAGAAGACTTATCTCCTATCTCGAGGGTACACGCAGTCGACAATCAAGCGGCCGTTTAGCGAGTAGTTGAAGCCTTCATCAAAGCGTATCACATAGACTATCCCTATATAACCAGAGAGTATACTACCTTACAGTTTCTCAAAGACCAAAAGCCCCGGGGCTTTGAATTTCCACACGTATACCATTATTTTGAGACTGGCTCGCGATATTTCCTCGTTATCTTGAGAGTTCCCGGCTAGCTACTTGAGGAAGCTTGGCCCAATATAGACGAGACGCTTCGCCGGTATTATATCGGCAAGGTAGCAGATATTTGCAATCACTTAGCGGCATAGAATAGCGACATCATTGGTGGCGTAGACGGACACCAACTATTCGAGCGTTATCTTGTCAGAGACAATAGCAAGATAGCGGATGCCCTTTCTCCGCAGCTACTTCTGAAGAACTGTACCGAGATATCTATGGATGTCTCTACATTCGTCTTCTACTAAGGGAAATATTTTCAAAATTAATATCAATAGTCGAGTAAGGGTAGACACTATATTTTTCTATAAAATACAGCCAAACTACTCCCGGCCTTCACTCCGTAATATAGGGATTAAAAAAAAGGACGGGATTATATTTATTGATATAGACGCTATATTTATTGAGGATCGCGAGCGAGATAAGGAGAGAATATAAGGAGACGGTATAAATACACAAAAGCTGAGCGAGGCCGAATCATTAGTTTAAAGTTTAGAGGTAGCTAACTAAAACGACGGAAATATTCTAGTCTAGCTCGAGTTTCCTCGTAAAGGATAAGGTCGGTCTAGTATTAGTATTTATCTTCCTAAGTCAACCGAACGAGCAGAGATACTATCGAGGAAAGCTAAGATAGATCACGAAGGTAAGGATCTAAAAATATAGATAACGAGAGTATTAATGTTGATTTAGAAAGACAGGGTCGGAAATAAAAAGAGACTTAGGGATATATAGATAGTGTAGAAAGGGGAAGAGATATTTTATAGACGCCCGGCTAGACAAGATAAAAAAGAGAGGGCGCTAATTTCGTTGCTAGAGGGTAACTAGGGTATAAAATAGAGGGGGTACTAGAAAAGAAGGCAGTCAAGCGACGGCTCGTTTTTCAAAGTTACGGGTGGAAAGGGAGCCGTTTCTAGCCCCAAAAACGGCCTTTTTCGGCGTCGATTTCACAGGTCCTCATATTTTAGTTGTAAATAAACGGCCCGATGTAGATCCGCCCAGCTCTCCGTGTCCGCCAACTTCACTTCTGAAGACGGCGAAGAATTGAACTCCCCCCAACTTGGTTTTCTTGTTGATACTGATGCTCTTTGATTCAATCTGATGGCGCTTCAGTCACGGTCGGCGCATCGGTGAAACGAGTCTCTTCGGCAGCGACTCCCCCCGCGGATTTCTGTTGATCCGAGGAGCGACACGAAAGAACAGCCACTCGAGCTCAGAACACAATGGCAAGCGCTACGCCCTCACTCGGTGACAATAAACGAACGACTACTACAGCATCAAGTTGGTTGCAAAACCAGTCAGCCCGTCCGGCATCCCCTCACACACCACAACATCAACTTCGGTCCGGGAACACGTCATTCACAAGCACGTCGCCAGGCTCGGGCTTTCGCAATGAGGACGATGCGATCATATTCGAAATAGGTGCGCGATGGCTTCGGGCTGGGTTCGAGGGGAGTAACACACCCATGTGTGTGGTGGGATTCGGCCCGGAACAATCGAGGAGAGCGGGGGACTATCGCAGATGGATTCAAGGTTCTACTGGCGCCGGAAATTTGCCCCAGCCTGTAAATGCAGATGTATGGGTGCGGGCATACGAATTGTGGCGACTGGATCTAAGAGAGGTTGATCTGGGGCTGGTCGAGGATAAGATCGAACGTGTTTTTCGGGAGGCATACAATCAGTACCTGCTCACAGACGCAGGGTCGTCGCGTTTGGTTCTGGTTCTGCCTTCACTGATGCCGCATCCGCTTCTGTCTTCGTTACTTTCTACCTTGTTCAACCGCTGGCGTTTCCCCAGTGTCACTCTTCTATCGAGCGCGCCCATGTCAGCGGCGGCTGCCGGATTGCGGTCTGCCTTGGTGGTAGATCTCGGGTGGACAGAGACTACAACAACGGGAATCTACGAATATCGGGAAATTACGACGAAACGAACCACGCGCGCTATGAGGGCCTTGCTGCAGGAGATGGGTCGACTTCTGACCAGCCTGGCTTCGAATGAAGGTGCCCCCGAGGTGTCTGCGGATGACATCTCCGTGGGTTTTGAATATTGCGAGGAGGTCACAAGCCGATTTGCCTGGTGTAAACCACGGGCAGAAGATGATGATACTAGCGAACCTCCCAAAACAGTTTCCATTCCTTGTCCGTCCAACCCCGAGCAGCAATACACCGATGTACCACTGGCACGCCTTGCTGTGCCTGTCGAAAAGGTCCTACTTGCATCGGGTGTTTCGGAGGGTGACCTGGACGACGAAGAGAAAACGATACCTTTACTGGTCTACAACACTCTGCTGTCGCTTCCACCCGATGCGCGCGGAACATGCATGTCGCGCGTCACTTTTGTAGGGGGTGGCGCTCGCATTCCCGGGTTACGCCAGCGGATTTTGAAGGAAGTATCGTTGCTGATAGAACGCCATGGGTGGAGCCCCATCCGAGGGAAGGCAGTGGAGCGACAACGACAGCGACTGGAGGAATTGAAGCTTTCATCCCAGACTCAAAATGGAGAAATCCCTGCGCCAGAAACCAGCGCGGCGCCATCAGCGGATCGCAAGCAACCCGACCCATCCCAGGAGGAACCCGAGGTTGATTTTGTGGAACAAAAGCTGCGTCGCCAGAACAAGGACACACCCGTGCCTGTCCGCGGAGTCTTGCGCGAAGTCGAATCTCTTGGGCCATGGGCCGGAGCCAGTCTCGTTACCAGCCTGAAGATCCGGGGAATGGTGGAAATTGAACGGGAGAAGTTCCTGCAGCAGGGACTCGCTGGAGCCACTCGAGACTCGGAGCATCCGGTCCCTGATCGCCGGTCGGGCCTGAGATCGGGTGGTGATCGGTCCAGCTGGACATTGGCAGGCTGGGCATGAGACTACTGTACATTTTGCGCTAAATAATAGATACCCCATTGACCCTCCAGCTATTTCGCCTAGATGTAGAAGGAATAGTAGCCATCTATCCCTGTAAGTTTTCAAATGTGTTAACCAAGGTGTTCTATAGATTGGAACTGGTCAACTTCCGATTTCCTTCGAGTATAGATGAAAGCCTCTGCTAACCTAGAGAGATATTTATATATATTTATAGTAATATCTAGACTTAATAGGAATAGGAATAAAAGTTTTCTTCTAAAAAAGATTATCTATAACGGATCGACGATAACCTAATATCTAAATATACGAGGAAACTATATAAATTACTACCGAGAAATCGCGCGTATTTATTAATATAGCTATGTATAGGCTATAATTAGCTAGCTATATCGCAATTGACGTCTGTTGAATACTTCTCAATAGGGGTTTTCTTCGTGAGTCTTTTCTCACCATCTCGCTTCCTTTAATACCGGCTACAATGGCGAGAAAAGTGATCGTTGTGACTGGGAGTGCTTCAGGTATGGGCTTCGCAACGGCTACAGCTCTTGCTAATAGTGGAGTCCATCTTGCACTTTGGGATATCAACGGTAGTAAGCTTGAGGAGATCGCGAAGTCCTTGAAAGACCAATATTCGGGAAATACCTTGGCTCAAACCGTCGATGTGTCGGACCGCGCTGCTGTCAATGCCGCCTTAATTGAGGCACAGCATCGGCTCGGCGCCATTAATGCGATTGCGAACTTTGCGGGGACTGGCGGTCATCAATTGGGAGTGGAATCGATCTGGGAGACAGGCCCCGAGGAGTTCGAGTTTATCACCAACCTGAATATCAGGGGTCTTTTTAGTATATTAGGCGAAGCTTTGACTCCTAGGTTTCTTGGTGAACTGCAGAGTGTTGTGCATATTGCGAGCATGTTCGCTACCCGAGGTTACAAGAACGGGGGCAGTTTTCGCTGCTAGCAAGCATGCTGCGGTCGGGATGGTCAAAAGTGCAGCCCTCGAGGTCGGATTGAAGGGCATCCGAGTGAATTGCGTTCTACCGTGCGTTTCTTACTATCTTACCCTGCTTTGTGATAAGAGATTCTCGCGGAATATATAGTGGAGCTATCGAGACCCCCATGTTCCATCAAGTCAGTAATAACGCTGGTCTATCTTCCTCCGCATCGAACACGCCGATTCCTCGGCCTGGTCAACCTCAGGAAGTTGCAAATGCCACAACTTTCTTACTGGGTGAGCAGAGCAGCTACGTGACAGGGGCCGTGTGGAATGTGGGGGCGCAAATGCTTAAATGTGCTCTTTGATCGACTATCTATAGGAACTGTTTACTGGAAGTATTCGATCATAACCTCTTCGTTGAATGAACAGTGTGGACTTCAGAATTCAATCGACTAGTGAAGCTGTAAAAGACTTGAGCCATTTTGGTGAACGGGTCTTTGACTTCTACCTCTTTGAAATATTGAAAGATACAGGGCATTTCGAAAACAATTTCCCTTAAGACAACCTGCTTTCTTTCCCAGTGCCCCACTCCCATCATTCTAAGCCTGATACAGTAGAAACTAGGCCTCTTCCAGCAGAGTCTAGCTGGGTGATTGGCTGGAGGGGCCTTTTAGGTTCGAAGATCTAGGCCCTATGTAAGAAAGCGCATGAGTCTGGAGGGAAAACCGTTTTTGAAGTTCTCTTTATTCACAATGCTTATCTTTTTGGCCATATTCCTCATCAGTCACGGCTTCGTGCCATACAGTGCTCCCAATCCCAATGACGAAGTGGGTCATAATGCTCCCATCATCTGCTCCATGCCAGTGAGTAGTTCCAGCCGGAGCCCAAACAACATCTCCGGTCTTTAGACGCTGCGGAATGCCGCCCTTATCGCAGACCCAGCCGCTACCAGCGACAACTTTGATCATTTGTCCCTTTTCATGGGTGTGCCAATGTGTTCGGGCGCAAGGTGTAAATGTGACATTGGCAATGCCTGCATCTTGATCGATATGGATCGGATCCAAAAAAACGTCGCCGCTAAACGTTTCAGTGGGCTTCAAACACTTGACGTCCGATCTGAAGCCATTCGGGATGATGAGAGATTTCGGCATGGTCGAAGCCACAGTTCGGGATTGGCTTTGGGGAAATCGGAGCTGACTTTCCGTTGATTGTTTGATTGTCAGAGTAACGTTATATCAAAACGAAGGAACCCCAAAGTTCTTGGTGAAAGACGGTGAAATATGATGTGATATCGCCGATTTAAGCCAGCAACAGGTTTTGGAAACAGGGACTTATATCACTATTTAAAGATCGAAGTTTTACCCTGCAGGAACCAAGTGATGTAGAGCATTCGTCCTCCGGCAAAAAGTCAGCAGAGTTGGCAGTCAGCAGATGACACACTGATGCGCTAGGAAGGCCCAGCCCCGCCCTTAAGTCCGATATGCTTATATCGGCACGTACCTACTGCTATCCACGGATACTTGGAAGGTCAGCTAGCCCCACCCGTGGACGCTTAAAGTCCGAACTGCTTACAGTGATGCAGCAAAAGGGTTAACACCCGGTGTATCACCGCCTTCTAGTTTGGTTATACCACCCATAATTTGCAGTTTATGATTGGCTGAAATTGAAATTGCCGTCATTGAATCGTAGGGGGGGTGCTAAACCTTTTGCTGCGTCACTGTACATCAGTACCGACGACATACTGTGTATTTCTAAAATTCAAGGCAAATTGCGGCATTATAACAATGACTCGTCTATTTTTATCGATGAATACAATCCAGTCCAATAGCGATTACTGGCTAAATTAGACTCGCGGGTTTAGCAATTATTCCTTCTGGAGGATGATGTTGAAGGAGCCGGAGAACGCACGCAAGTACTCTTTGCCTCTTTGTAAAACTGGTTACATCAGGGCTGTCATCAACTATTACTCCAGCTGTATCTTCGCCCAGGATAGATGGGAATTGGTCGAGCAGAATACCATCTGATCTAAGAGCAAAGCGATTAGCCTGGTAAACCCTTAAGTAATCTTGAATCCCAAACTTACTGGACCTTCTAGTCAACCGGGTTCTTCAGGTAGTAAATTAGTTGAACGTATCGAGAAAGGTTCGTGGGTATAAAAACTGTACGATAGCAACAATTGCATTTTTAATGAGTACCTCTCCCGGTCCTGGAGTTGGATACAGGGCACTCTGGACGCTGAATGGGGTAACCTTTGGACTGGTTATCCAAGCAGCTTGGTTTTGTGTCATATTTGAGAGGTCTTTAATGAGTATAATTTGGTGATTGCTGCTTGCGACAGAAGTTGGGGATTGGGTTAAGATGAGTGAAAGAAACTGGACAATTATTGAACTGAGCGAATAGAATAATAGCGACAAAAAGAGCAAAGCACGCACGACATAATATAGGTGCAAAATCAATGTCATTTGATTACGAGTTGAATATCACAATTGTTTAATACGGAGCTGACATACCTAATGACGACTAACCTCCGGGATATATACCGTCACTCTCATTTGATAAAGGATTCCAGATGGCGAAACAGTGTGGCGTTTTTATTGGCTCCTATACAGCCCTGCAGATTCTCACGACTTCCCGGTTGGAAATCTAGAGCCCCCACACTGGCCGACGATCTGTTTTGAAATATTCGTCCTAAAAGATTCTGACAGTGCTCGGAAAACTCCATATCCGTGTCGTAATTATGGCAGAGGTCGGGTTTTCTAGTCTCTATGAGATCTTTCTAGGAGCTCGTGTTGCTAGACCGACCTGAATAAAGGTAAACAACAGGTCTGCAGGTTAGGCAATATCCTAGGAAATCCTAGCTATAGTTAAGGCTAACTAGCTTTTCTTATCAACTTAAGGTGCCATTAGGCACTGATAAGTCATTTGCTTACAATTATTATACTAATACATAGCGATGAGGAATTCAGCTGTAAAAAGAGTGACTTGCCATTTAGAGCCTTTCAAATACTATGCAGGGATCAAATTGATAATAATCTACTCGGAGGGCCGAATGGCCTTGGGCTGGTCAACCCAATCAAATGTGCCCAACCCCTTCGTCAACCATACATCACCCGCCTTATCCGCCATCCTCGGAGTAGATCGGTCAAACATAGACCCACTCAAGAAAGTGTGAGGGAATCCGTGGTCAAAGGGGTATGCTTTCTCGACTTGTCCAACTTCATCTTCGGTGAGTGTGACAGACAAGCCGGCGATACTGCCGTCGATGTGCGAAACCTTACGTGCTCCCACTATAGGGAATACGTAAGGAGTTTTTTGCATCACATAGGCTAAAGCAACGCTGAATATCTCCACTCCCTTGGCATTCGCGATATCTTCAAGAACCGCAGAAACCTTCTTGTCATGCTCTGATGTTGGTATGAAATTGCGGCCAGGGTTATGCGCCTCTCGTTCCTCAAATCCTTTTTTGGTCTGGAAGCGGCCCTGGTTGAGAACCCCATAAGGACACAGACCCATTCCTTCATCACGGCACATTGGGATGATGTCTCTCTCAAAGTCTCGCATTGCTGCATTCCACATCCCTTGGTACACAGAGAATTGACGAAGGCCCTGGCACCGTGCATATTGATTTGCTTTCGCGACCACCCAGCTTGGTGTGTCGGAGATGCCGAGATAGATCACCTTTCCAGAAACGACCAGATCATTGAGGGCATGCATCAGCTCTGGAATTGATGTTGTGTAGTCCCACCAATGGACGTAAAGCAGATCGATATAAGACGTCTGGAGTTTGCGCAATGATTGTTCCACGCTAACTTTCATGGACTTGGCGTTGTTTCCGCCGTAGTTGGATTGAATACGATCTTGGTGTGTCATATAGGCCGTAGTATATTTGGTGGCCAGCACAATCTCATCGCGGTTTTGATGCAGGGCCATCCACTCGCCGACCAACATCTCGGAGTGTCCTGCCTGGTACCCGCTAGCGGTGTCGATGAAGTTGCCTCCTTGACTGTAAAATTGATCGAGCACAGCAAAAGCATCTTCTCGTGAACAATCTCCGTAAGTCTCTAGCTTTTGGCCACCGAAAGTCATGGTTCCCAAGCACAATGGAGACACTCGGACAGCGGCTGATGGGGCTAGCTGCCGATGGCGACGAAGATAGCCACCTTTGGTCGCGAGATCAGCCATGTTTCTGAGATTTAGTGGTTGAAGAAAAACAGATGAATTCCTATATCCATACTCGTAGCCACGTTCTATTTGTACCCTAAATTTAAATACCCACTTCATACACGTCATTGGCGTCATTCACGTCTCTTAAATCCGATTAGTTATTACTAAGTCCGAGATTTGCGCTGACACGATGCCCCTGGTGTCAGCCGCCGTGAAGAACTTGCTCTTTTCCATGCTAGCGAGCCACAGTGCATTGACACTCCATGCGGGACCTTAATAGCTACCTGGCGCAGAACTACTTGCAATAACAGTACCACCACCTTACATGGCTGCCATTGCTCAGAAGGCGGTTGGCAATATTTGTCCCACTTTGCCTTCACCTCCACTTCTCGCTCCCCTCCTTCTAATGTTCCTTTCTACCTACTAGTGGCCAGTCAATGCGCAAGATCCTTTCACTGCTTCTACGTTCAGTCAGATTTAATCTTAGTATTTAACATGTTAGGTCACGTGCAGAATTAACTAGCAGATCTCGGCATACAGGGGCTAGATGCTATTTAACGGTGGAACATTCAGATGTGTTGCAATACTATAGTGGGCATCACGTTTCAATTTTTGGAGATTAAACCACATACTTTCTTAGCTCCGACCTTAAAATCCCACGGCAACCAATTTGACGCTCTACTTGCCATCCAGGGATACACAATTTTCATTAATTACGCTTTTTGATATCCTTTTTCCATTTCCACCCTCAGCAGGTAGTCAATCCACTATCGATCATATGGATAGATCCGGTACAAAATACGGATCCTTTGTTGGGACTGGTGTTCTGTTAGCCTTTCTCTACCGCCTCCTTGACTGCCCGCAGCGGATCTATAGGTAGTAGATAGCTTCGCTTCTCTTCTTCTCTCTTATAGATAATTTGATTCTTTTTTCTGTGCCCTTTTCCTTTAGTAGTTCTATTTTCCTTAGTTTCCTTTTATACTCTAAAGAGGTTATAAGCCTATTTATATATTAGATCTAGGCGAGAGGCCTATTTTACTAGTATAGTTAGGTAGTACAATAGCCTAAAGATCTAGTATCTACTAGGTATAATTTAATTTGATAAATAAGAGAGTAGTATTTTTATTATCTTTAATCCCTCTCCCCTTTACTAATTAACGCGTTTTAACGTCTCTTTATAGACTATCGCGTATAACGTAGGTTCGATATTTTTTATCCATTTAATACAGATTCTATTGATTTCGATACTAATTTTGATGAATTTAATAATATAGCCTCTATATTTCATGATTAGGATTAATAGGGTAAAAAAATTAAAGAAGTATATTGTAAAGAATATATTTGGCAGGGTATAAAGCCTGTCGGTCAGGTAAATAAATAAGGGGAAGGAGTAAGGGAAAGTAGCATATCTTTATTATTATTAATACTGAATCTTATTTTGCTAGCTAGATACGAGAGTATTAATTTATTATATGATATCTTCGTAGCTCCACGTATTATCGATAATATAAATAACTAGGTGATCGTTCTACTGTAGGATAGGTTAAGTAATAAGGTCTATAAGCTACCCTTTCTATTAATTAGGAATAACTTTATATCTTACTATTTTTATAGATCTTTTATAATTATCCTCTTTTTTAAGATTAAGTAGCTTTAATTAATATATTTATTTTGTTACTATAATATAGCCGTGGGGCGGTTGTTCGAAATCTTACTGGCCACGACCACAGCCATCTCCCACACTGTGCAACCCTCAGCGTCAAATGTATCAAGGCGAATCGATGGTGTCATCGTTGGCGCCTAAAGTGCTCGGAAGAAATGTTATAAGAGGCCAGCGCACACACATATATATATGTAGCACTGTTTGTCGAAAGTAAAAAGTAATTGTATTCAGTATCTCCCAACCAACATCGAAAAGAAGTCAGCAGTATTGAACACTACGCCCAAGAGACGTCCCCAGCCATCGACGCCCGCTAGACGTTCCAACCCCACCAGCTGGTGCCGAAAAACGAGCATACTACATCACAGGTGCCGCAGTCTGGTATTGTCGCGAGCGCAGTATGTCACATTTATATCCTGGGTCTAAAATGAGGCATTGCCTAACCTATCGCAGAGACTGAATGGCGCGAAGGCACGATTGATTCAAGTACATCAAGCACCATATTGCAAACGGTATCCACCCTCCACCCCACACGAACAATGCGCAATGTGATATCTAAACTTGAGAAGGTCAGGGATAACGAAACCAGTGACCTGTGAGACGTCCCAATCGAACGCATTCGCTTAAGAACTTGATTTCTGGTTTAGACTCGTCAAGTTATGTCCTCCCAGTCCTGCACAAATTGTTGAATCCACTTCCATAACGTGGGTGAAGCGACAAACAGATCTTTTCGAAGTCTGGGTGGTTGGTTGTCGGTATATTGTGCTTTCCATTCGGACACGAGCGTCAGCTTCTTAGCTATAGTTTTTCTGAAATCCTTGGACCAAAAATAGTTCTTTTCATCCTCTTCAACTTTCCAAAGAGGCTGATCCTCCTGTTGGACTTTATTATAAAGCCGAATGTAGTGAGGCGAACATCGTTGCTGTAAGAAGTATTGGCCTATTCCCTGATCAGAGCCACGTGTAAACTGCCAGATAGTCGAAAAGAGAGTGTAATCATTAATTGAGTCCAGGTTGAGAAGTCGGCTCAATCTCCAGGCAACTTGGCCCGACTCAAAGGATCCGCGATATTTAGGGATGGATTTCTCGTTCATTGGCCCAGTAATAGCCCTAATAAAGCCATCTATAAAGGGTATGTGTAACTCCGACCGAGGTTCGTCGCGGTATTGCGGCAAACCTGGCGTGGCCAACAGCATACACTTAGGGATGGATGAAGCAAATGCCCAGGTCAATAAGACATGTAATGTTGTAATCGTCATCAACATATATATTATTAACGCTCAAATCGGGGTGGTGTAAAGGAAAAGTCCCTGGGTTGACAGCTGGGAATTCGAGTTTCCGTAGGATGTCGCGAAGAGCGTCGGCCACGATGATATAATCCAGTCTATTATTCGACGAGTCGGTCTTACATCCGACGGTGACAAAATCGTTCCATAAGTCCACGGCGGTCTCGTATTGTCTGCCGGATTGATACTCGTCCCGTGAGGGAACAGGCGCGACAAAGCAATGATGCGATAATTGCAGGGTCTCTGCCTGCCCCAAGAACGCAGAAATAAGGCTGTTATAGAACTCTGTTTCTGAAACAAAAGGACCCCGTGGCATTTGCAACGAATATCGTTCATGTAATATATGACCACGTGAAAGACATTCCTTGATTTCGAAGGATGCAGCCTCTTCAAATAGTGACCCGATTTTATCGAAACGCAACTGCGAAAGCTTCCAGGTAATACCGCCTAACTGGAAAAGTATTTTAGCCTTGCTGGCGGTCCCTAGGTCAGGTTGAGGAGAACCGGCTGGCTTCCAAACTTTTGACAGTGGCCAGCCAGGCGCTTTACTCATAAGAATAAACGGAATCCCGATGTCGTTATCGGAGGAAGCACTAAGACTTTTTAGGACAAGAATAGCGCAACCTAGGAGAATCCGTTACCAATAGTCTAATACCTCTGGAACTGGAATGTCGCTCTGAGCCCTGAGGTATCGCAATGTGGCAGCCTCGCTTGCTAGTAGTTTTCCCCCCATTTCCATTGGCATAAACGATCTGGGGTGTGGGGATCTGAAGACCCATTGTACCCTGTCTTCAAATGAAATAAAGATAGCCCAGTTGAAACTCCCCGAGGCGGGACGTTGTTCGGGATCGCAACCACACGGAACACCCTGGCGAAGAGTGCTCGCTTGACAGCACAGAGCTTGAAGATCAAAGTCGCCATAAGTGAATATATTATCGTGGTTTGAATTTGGGGACATTTTAATAGAAGGAATTCTGGGAGAGAAACATGTGGTGCAGGGCGAAAGCAACTGTTCAAATGTTGATCCAGCTAAAAGCGGTGAGAGGCACATGCTATATCACGAGGATGTACAGGCACCCTTATTGCCTACCACGTGCATTTCCTTGGCCCTTTTAGACCTTTTTGTTCTTCTTGCTTGCTATACTTGGTGAAAAATGTCAAGAAAATAAAAGATTTTTCTTCCAAGGGTTATTGCTTAAGTCATATTGATTAGGTACCTAGGTGGCATGTGAAAGATACCCAACATAGAAAGTCGCGAAGCAGGCGACGATCCTAAGAACCTTGATATCACCGATTGACGTCTCTCTCCTCTTCCCTACTTAGCCAAACAAGGGTGGCTGAATTGAGATAAAAAAAAACAACCATCTAAAGGTTTCCCCCAATCGACATCGCGCGTGATAGTTTACTCTAAATGAGAATCAGTCATAGTTCAAGTTGTTAGAGAAAATGGGAGGGTAGGGTAACTAACCAGCTTTCTTGATTGTGAAGAACGAATGATCCATGTTCGAGGGGTTTTTCACTAGCTTCAGAGTGTTCTCATCTGTCCAAGTGAGGACCATTTGGGAGCTTATCTCACCAAATCCCCAAGTATCGGATTTCTTCTGATGGTACGGATGGAATATTTGAGCCTGCCGCGACTGCTTACAGGCGGATCCTCCGGAACAGTAGAGGTATTTACCGGAATCGGCATTCTGGATATACTGGCCCTGGTTGTCAGAGTCTTCAGTGAAAAACCAAGTTTGGTCCTCATCTCCAGTGGGACTCTCAAAATTCAAAGGTTGTTTAGACTTCGATGCACCCGTCAGGGAGGAGTCGCCGTTGGCTTGAGCGATTGTTTGGGGTCCCTTGGGCACTCGGGACTCCTGGCTGAACGCCTGGCCACAGAGGGCGACAATGGTACCGATGGCAATGTTGGAGAGACGCATGTTGGGATGGTGTGGTGGGAAGGCTGTAAAGAGATTGAAAGGTTGGAGGTTGGTGTCGGGAACTTGAAACCTGGCAAGAGACGTGGCTTATATACCCAGCCGTTCTCGGCAGAAACTTTATCATCGTTAAAATCAACTTGAAATGGATCAGATGATAGACCTTGAAAGTTGCAGGGTCCATACATTGATGTTCATAGAGGTCCGAGACTGGGGATGATCCTGGGACTATTCATGATCTAGTTACAGGCCCCGGGCCTAAGATATATAGCGCGTGGAGCCGAGCCAACATTTGAAAGGAGGTGTGTAAATTATTGGCAGCCCTTTCTCATATCCTACGATCCTTTGCCCCACACTGATCAGCGAAAGATCGATCTCTTCGATTTGAGTGTTTTCGATAGCATATATAGGAATTCAATAATTGCTCAGCCCCAGATCCACTTTCCTGCATTTGAAAATCCGTCCTAGGTCACTTAAGGTGTACCGCCTGGTGAGAAAACTACGGTGAATCTAGTTATGGCATAGATTTGCCATAATTGGCTCTCAATTTTGCGTCTTCGTCGTGGTCATGGGATTATAAGTATCAAATCTTTGTGTGGGATCTATCCGAGGAAATCCGGGACACGTGAAGGATATGGCCCACAGATCGGTGGGAGCCCAGTCTAATGCAGAATGAGAAGCCCATGAGGCCGACGAAGAGCGAAAATGGCACGTACCCACGTTGATTTTGGGGGGCGTACATGTTGGCACTCAGCGGGCGTGAGATCTTCTCTCTCCCGATACCGACGACGTTATATAGATTATGTTACGTCTGAACCATCTCCTCGACTTGCTTGGGGTCTACAGGCTTAAGCGGGCTAGCATCTGGTAGAGGCCAGTGGCGAGGGGAAAAGTGGGAGGATGAAGGTGAAGGAGTGCTAAATGTCCTTCGGAGCAGAGAGAGATAGAAGATCATTAGGCCTAGAAAATTTAAATCGAGTATAGTATGTCAAGTAAGAACTGACCTTTGTTACGGACCCTGCAGACACCAGTTATCTAAGGACCCCATAACTTGACAATGGGCCATCGAGGGCCAATGAACCGATCAGTGAGCACGAGCCTAAGCGCCGGCGGAAGCTGACGGCAGAATATATACTCCAGGGAAAATGTGCTACATATACACCTATACGTACCGGATTTTCCCTATTACTACCTTATTATATAATCTAACAGAATAGGGAATCTATATAGATAGGTCAGGGATCAAGAAAGACTAGGTATATAGGAATATTTCTCCTTGTATATATTTAGCTCTTTGTGATTAATTACATATTGCTACTTGGATATTACTTTTAGTCTTATTCACAGTTTACCTTCGTGATAACTATCCTATAGGTAGAGGAGCTACTTCGGTACTAACCTATTTAGTATATACTTAACTAACACACCTTCGTAAGTATCTAATAGGATTTATCTATATAAGGCCGGGGGTAGTATTAGTACGATCGAAAATAAACTTAAGGCTCGTAGTTACTAAAAGAAATATCACCTTTAAAGACTAACTTATAGTGACTAGTTAGGTACGCGTAATAATTAGTTTATATAGAACTATAATATTATATAATATTACTATATTTACTAGTAAAAATCTAGTAAAGTACTAGTATAAAAAAATATATTAGATTATTAAATTATAAACACTATTTTCCCTGCTATTCTAATGCTTCGAGCTCTAATGTTATCTTTTGTAATTCTAGCTTCTTTTTCTCGAGCTCAAGCATATATTCTCCCTTTTAAAGCTTATCTCCCTCTTGATTATATTAATTATAAAAGAGATTAACCGATATAGTATATCAGAGATCAAAAGAATCGCCTTAGGAAGAAGGTATCTATTACGCGTATCTAACTAGTTACTATGAGTTGGTCCTTAAAGGTGATACTTGGCTTAATAACTACGAGCCTTAAACCTATCCTTAATCGTACTAATGCCACGCCTAGCCTTAGACTTCCGCAAGGTGTGCATGGAATAGTATCTTGCTTACCTCTACCAGTTCTTGGCCTGCCCTTGCCTACTGAGCTAGGTCGATTATCGGAAAATATCTCACCCGGATGAGGGGGCTGAGCTGACTGATTTTATGTGCGGTGCCACCTGTACCCACCCTAATCGTCCTTAATCGTCCTCGAATCGTCCCCCAATCTCATCCGGAAACTGTTGAGTATCACGGTGGCTGAACCTTACGGCAGGGATTGGGAAGTGATATATATGAGGCATCCCGCCCCCGTTGAGAATAACTTAAGAAGTTGATCAATCAATAATCAGACAATCACTTATCTCAACAGAAACCATGGTAGATATACCTAATATACAAACTGGTTGTTATTGTGTCTCACACCAAGAAATCCTTCGCCATTGGAAAAGCGAAAATGCGACAATAAGGATGGTACAAACCATGATTTGACGCAGGACAAGCTTGACGCTACGGTTGACGATGTGTTGGGGTAGCTAGGTAGAACTAGATTTCCTTTCCACTATAGATGTCGTTATGTATGGTGAATGCACACCCTACAAGACGGTGTGTTCAACGAGCATGCCCTTTCTTTTTTGAGTCCACTGAGATATCGGCTTTGATCGATATCGTGATGGCTTACTAACGTCCTACTCAGGTTCAGGTGGGCGTTCTGTCAATTAGACAGCCTAGCTCGATGTCGTCACCAGGCAGCTATGGAGGAGGCTCTCATGTCTCTGCCGCTGGATCTAAATGATACGTACCAGCGTATGATTGACAGCATACCGATAGACCGTATAAACGACGGGATACGCTTGCTTCAATTCCTGGTGCACTCTAAAAGACCTCTTAAGCTGGCCGAGGCTAAAGAGGTAATAACCACACAGATCGAAGGCGAGTCAAGAGGGTTTGACATCAAGCGTCGGTTATTCTGCGAGACTGATCTTTTATATTACTGTCCCGGCTTAGCGGTAATCGTTCACGCCACGGACCAAGAGGTACAACTTGCCCATTTTTCGGTTAAAGAGTACCTTCACGGCCGTAGTGATTACCAGGTACCGACTGCCAGTATTTCTATCACGGAGACGTGCTTGACCTATCTTGGTTGCCTTGTACCTGCAAAACTTGTAAGAGTATGCGGCGATCACGGAAATATATCAAACCAACTAATTTTGTCTACGTACATCGAGCATAAGCTGCCTTCAGTCGGCTGGACCGATCCGGTGTCGCCGATCAAGTGCGCAGAGAAAGGAGGTAGTAAGGAGGTCCCGAGCTCTCTAATCAGGATTCGCCAAACTGCTAGTTCAATGATATGCCTGTAATGTCCGGCTCATTGGCGAACGCTCTCTTGAGGGCTAGGGTCAGCTGAGGAATCTTGGCACTAGTTGTCTAGTGGTTATCGGAATGTGTTCATGGCATTTCCTCGGCCCCCTCCCCACTTTTAAGGAAACTCGCTCCTACGAGCTTTCACATTTTAAAATATTTTTGTCATTATCCAGGAATTAGTCGATTCCTTCGTCCGCGCCATACCATTCCTGGCTCTGTGACATAGCAATGGCCGTAATAGTAAAGTATAAGTAACAGTACACCATCGTTTGGCTCTGACCGATCAGGTCTGCGCGAGAGAACCGAATAGATCAACCTAAGTCTGTTTTGCAGAAAAACTTGGTCTATGTGGAAAAGCCACTAGACCGACTCCTGTCAATATAGAGTGCTGGCCCTGCAAACGAGGACAGTGGACACGCGAATACCTCATCGTGATTTGTCTGGAGCAACTTCTGTCAACCAAAGGTGTGGTCAGATGCCAGTGAACACATCAAATGCATAGCTGAGCAAAAATCTCTCATAGTGATATCGAAACAGGTTACTCAGTGTGGAGTAAAACGTGTAGGAAATATAGTCTCGCTATGTAGTGTGACGTTAATGTCGCAAAATGTGGCGTTACCTACAAGTTCAATATGCGTCGAATACGTCGATAGCTTCCTTGGCGGCGATAAGCAAGTAGGATTTATAAGCGGAATATATGGCTTGCAGTGGCACACAAGGATGGGAGTCAACTAGCACTCCATCTGTGTCCGGCATCTGCAATTCGGCAAAAGACGTAAAATGTTATCGGCGACGCGGAGGCCCTCCGCCATATACATAGTGAACCTCATCACTATATGTGGAGTGCACGATGTACCATAAAGACTCAACTTGCTATTTTCCCCACATTTTCTCCAGCGGCCTAGACGATCTGGATTTGATGTAAATGCAGTATTGCCACGCAACCATGCATGACACGCTGACGGGACGGCGTAGGTTTCCATACTACATATTGTTTAGCGCGCTGTGGACTAGCCAAGAATAGCCTAGGGGATATAAACCCAAATCAGGGATGGCGGGGCTCAGGTGCGCATACATTCAGCTAAATATCTAAGGTGGTGATGTGGGGGTTGCACAGATCTGTGCCGTGTGTTTTGCATCAAACTCCTGGCTTTCATTTTGTAAAAGGCGCGTTTTTAGGCTAATGTATTATATCATACTGCAGGAAGGAATTCTCGTGAATTCCCGCACACCTGTAAGTTTTATTCCAAATCATTTGGAATAGACTTTTGCACCACGTACGTTCGCACTGCTCAGCTAGTCATTCAGCTTCACCGCCATGTATTTAAGAGGGTTGTCATGTGTGCATATCAATTTCACCGTCCCCGAATATTTAGCAGGCCATGTTGGCCCATTTTTTTGGAACATAACAACTTCTCTTTTCCAAATCGAAGTCGAGGCCGACTCTTCAGGGCTGTCCAGAGATCACTGGATACTGCTAGCACGACCAGTCAGATGCACCACTCGCCAAATCACATACCCGGAGAAAGAAATATACGATAAAGATGATAAGAGCGGTGATCCTGTCTCTTGTTTCTTTGTCAAACCTAGGCTGCGTCCTAGGAACATCAATCTACGAGGCATACCCTGGACTAAAAGACCTTGTCCTCAGCGAAGGCTCCGGCCACGAGTGGCACACAACAGACGAATGGAGATGCCCCTGGTTCCATCCTCGCAACCTCAAAACCGAATTATCCGTCATCAAAACCGGAAGATGCAGCCACGAGTCCGTTAAAGATCGGGTCAAGGGACCCGCACTCAGCTGCTGTAACATCGGAGGACGATCCGGACCAACTTGTGATTATACACAGTCTCTCAGCTACTCGAAAAGCAGATCAACGACACTCGGATGGAAGGTCGGAATACAGGCTAAGTTTGGCGACGCCAAAGTAACGGGCGAGTACACGGCTTCGTTTGATCTCTCGGGGTCTGTTACGGAGACAGCGGCGAATTCCAGTGGTCAGACTCTAGGTTGGAGGAACCTTGAGCCGGGCTATTACTATATTCCGAAGATTGCATATCTGAAATTTAGGTGTTCGGGCATCGTTTATAAGGATAATCCTTGGATTGAGGTGCCTGAATGGGGAGGGTATATGTATATGAGTGGTTATTCCACCGACCCACCGAAGAACGTTTCTCCAAAGAAATGGATGTCGCTTTGGACACCTGAGGACCGGACTTGCGGCATTCGCGGAGGTGCATACTGGTATGGATACCACGATGTGGGAACAGCAAACCCTGGCGCAGTGGCCTTGCAGCAGACCGATAGAACATACAAGATGAGCGACGACTATCGGAACAAATGGTCGGAAACAAGCGTCGAATTCCCAGTGCTGGATGAACATGGAGAGATCCTCTCGGTATATGATCTGGAAAAGATACCCTGTTCCAGTGCGTTTGGTCTGGAGATAAACGAAGACGGCTATGTCGAACTCCCTCCTGCAATATTCCCCGAGGCTACAGACTTGTCCGAGGAAAAGGGAGAAGAGCAGGCCGCTTTCCATGGCGAGCTCTAAACCCTCCTGCGGTGGGGTATTGAGTTCTAGATGTCAGATATTTTGTCTATTTTATCGGTGTGGGATTTGCTTTGTCGCTTCCTTTGCCCGCACTAACTCTATGGGAAGTGACTACATGGCACTAGATAGTCCAAAAACTGAAACTTCTCTTTCGAGCATTTCAAGCTTTTGTATTTATCTAGCTCTTTCCTTCGACGGCATAAGTTATAATTGCCTTCATTTCCTATGTACTACGCCTCATTTCCGACCATACACCACCCTGCGGCACGCATTTGGGCCATTCAGCGGGTGGATAGAGGCCCACCGGGAGGTCGTAAGTGGAGAACTTGGCCCTCAAGTCCTTGCTGGAGCGATCGTGGGCCGCTGATTCGCCCAAGAACGACGGGTTACAGAAAGCTCAGGTTTTCCATTGAACGTTTCCACTTCTCTTCAGGCTGTAGTGCCCTGGTCCGTGGCTGGTTTCATGTCCCTGTTCCTGGTGGTTCCCTCGTCAGGGAGCTCGACGCTACTATCCCCGAGTAACCTGTTAAACCCTGCGTCCATGCTGGTCACCTTGGCCTCAATTGTGCTCAGTCTCTTGTTCAGTTCCTTGTTATCGGACATGAGGGAGTCTACCATGGCCTTCAAAGCCAGAACCGTCTCCGGGGAGCTAGCTCCGCCTGCCTCTTGGTAGTTGGATGGGCCGTCTTCTGTCGCCAGGCTGACATTCCCAACCGCTTTCTCGATCGCGCTGAAGTCATTCATCCTACCGAATTTTAGTGTTATGAGCACAATCCCTTGTCGAAGTATCTGACTCAATATTTCTAGCATAGTAAGAATATCCCACGGGGGCCGAAAGCTGACCCGAGTTTTCGTGCCCTAGTAAGCACTTTATTATATAGCCATCTCCTACGTACATAATAGCAATCTAGCGGTGGAAGAGTCGGCCTTTATTCTCGAACGAGGCAAGGGATGGAAGTTCCATGTTCGGATGTGACCAACCTAGGACAAAAGACGCTTACGGTCTGAGCATTGAAGATCATGGTGTACTGTATTTTTATTAGCTTATGTGGTCAGAAGACTATGTTTTCAGGTGTGCTGCGGACCTAAGTCCCGGGAAAACCTACTGAAGCTCCAAGGCACCCGACAAAGCATCCATGTCTGGCTGACACGTCACGAATATCTGTAGACTAGCTCGAACTTGCATTTCCCGCTTCTAGCCTTCTACCACTCATATTGTCTTCGTTCTTAATTTCATTTCTGGCCAAATCACACACAGAGAGGGACGGTTGACTGAGCATCTCATTCGACTAGTGCTGCTTCATTTTCGTTTTTGCCATGCTTCAGTCTTTAATTTTGTCCGCTATCAAGCAACCCCTGGATGAATGTCCAAAGAATACATGGAAGATAAAAATGAAAGAGAGCCTGGTTTCATCTAACATGGGACGGGGGTGCGAGAAAGCAAGGTAATGTATGCAAGTATGAGTTGTCCTGCAAGAAGCCCAAACACGACTTACGTGCAGTGAACGGCAATGTCATGTCAATCGTTGAAATGCGGTGTGGGCTAGTAGACGGCCTGCTACAAATTTCTAATTTCTTTTCTAATGTCAATAGGAGCAAGCTTCTCTGGAGTTGATGGATATTTACCTATATAGTGAACAATTACTATAAACGTCTTTTGATAACTACTTTACCTCAGTATATTTATCTTTTATCTTGTCTTCAACACAACTACGCCGTCACTATAGATAACTAATATTGTAAATAGTGTAGTGTATTAAAATAAATTATAAGCTATACACGATAGAAATATTAAATATTTAATATAATAAATTATTTCGGTAAATCTCCTATCCGAGGCTTACAGAGAAGGATCCTCTTTATCTATTTATCCCGTGGATTCTTGATATTCTAAATTCTCCGTAAGGTCGGAGTTATATTATATATAATACTATAGTAAAGACTAATAGTAACTTCCTCTAGTACTTAGCTAATAGCTATATTCTAAAGAGTTATTGTTTAGTTAGTACTTAGTATATATCTATAACAATCTTCTAAAGGCTATATTTTATTAAGGTATACTCTATTACGTAGAGACAATTTACTATTAATTTCTAATTCCTTAATTATTTATTCTTTTATATAGAGCTATATATAGATAACGATATAGCGCCTATTGTCTAGGTATCAAATATTAGATATCTTTACGGGGGAGGTACTATTTCCGGTATCTACGTTAACGATAGATCCGTAACGTAATATCTAGAACTTAAAAAAGGCAGAGTCCGATTCACGGAGACTCTTCTATAGCTTTATACTATTTATTAGTAGTGGCTAGAAGCTTTTAACCCCTTCTCGTGATATATAGTATAGCTCTTATACTAGAGTAGCTAGCTATCTCCGTTAGACAGCGATTCCTAAATATAAAAAGCACAAAGTATCAAAAAAGACCTATTTATAATAGACCCGCAGTAGATTTAGTCCTACTATACCTTTTACCGAATAGGAAGTAAAGATAGAGAAGAGAAATTTAAATTTTCCATAAATTAATTTCAAAGAATCTTATAACAAAATCATCTCTATCTATAGTATTAAAACTCGTTTATACACCCCTACTAAGTTCTGGTTAATAGTTAAATATACAAGTAAAGGCCTTACCTAGAATAGAGTCTAAAACTCTATCCTTAACAAGCCTTATATATATTTACTTAAGGGAATCTTCACTTAATATTTTAATGTCACCCACGCTTTTAGGGCCCGTGGATACCTCTGGCATTCCTGGAATAACCAGAGAATTATTTACGGTATTAGGAGCTGATACGATAGTCGGCTCGACTATATAAGGACGATTAGGTGGGACAGGTGGGACAGGTGGCTCCGCACATAAATTACTGTCAGCTCAGCCCCTTATCCAGCTGAGGTATTTTCCGATAATTGGCCAGGGTCAAAAGTCTAGCTCAGTGGAAATATAACCCTCGCAATTAGGTTCTGGCTCGTGCCTGGAAACAGTGGCTAGATCTTAGAAAGATCCGGCTTAGACTCTGAGGCACCAGAAAAATTAAGATAGGTCCTATAATAAACCCCGGCCCTAGGACCCTGTATTTTGTTACTAGGAGCTATTACCAAGCCTCTCAGAGACTATTTCCTCGTCTCCCAGGATCAATATTACCATTCCTAGAGATATCTCCTAAGGACTACTCCTATAGCTCCTAGGAGCACGTGGCGCCGTACCTAGGGGCCTTACCCTGATTCCCAGGGTTAGCTTAGCTAACACCCAGAAATCGAAGTTACTAGGGCAAGTTTAAGCGGCCCTCGAGCGGGTATCTATAAAGCAACCACCTACCTTACTACCTTCTAGCAACAAGGAAATTTACTGCCACTCTCCAATCTCCTCGGTCAGCATTATGACTCCGGACAGGGTCGTGTGACTAAACTTACGACAGTTTCTTTATTTAATGATTAACGCAAAAGTCGGGAACCGCTATATCCCAGATTCCAGGGAACCTCCAGAGACATTTCCCCTTAGTAACATTTTGCCTCGGGGACTTATCCTACTAAAGACATCGGTTCGGACCGTGAATTTAGCCACTAGTTTAGTAATGTCGTGGTTAGACAATAAACCCTAATTTAACGCTATCGATACGTCCTTCTTATAGAGATCGATCCAAAGGTTATACCGCTTGCCCTCCTATCGATCATATTCTATTATCAAGATACTATAGTAGGCAGGGATTCATCGGGATCCGATATCCACCCCGGGTAGTAAGCTATTAGAGGTCTCGGGGAGTCCCTAATTGAAATACTTGGCTAAATAGCATCTTTAGCTTCAGTAGCCCCTTTAACGCGGCTTTTTGGATATTATTATTATTACCATTCCTATATTACGCGCTAGAAACAAAATAGACCAGGCCTTAATTACTAAAGATCTAAGTCGGGTTTCTTTCATAGAACAAACTCATGTATTAAATATTTACTTTTCTACTCTTTTCTTCGGCAATACTAATTAAATAAATAAAAATTCAAGAGATTTTCTTTAATCAGAGAGCATATCCTCCTTATATCTAGTTATCCGACATTATAGATTAGGCTCGCGATATAACCGTTTTCTTTTTATATATAATCTAGTCGGCAGCTTTCGTAACTGCCTTGTTAGGGTTATCCCTAAACTCTATAAAATAGTTATTTATTTCTACCGTAGTGAACTACCTAGAAGGGACTATTCCTGTAAACCAATCGGAGAGGCCGTTATCTCTTATCAAATAATCTAATAGCTCCTTGCTAGTCTTGTTCGAAGACGCGCGAGTAGACCCCTCGTCAATTTCTCTAGTATAGAATATTTAAAAGAGCTGCTTAATACTTAACATATCCGTATAGCCAAAGTAATACCTTTAGTCCACACGACCAGATCGTTTTAAGGCTTTATCAAGTTTATCTTCGTGGTTAGTGGTTATTATAAGAATACGACCCTTATATACCCCAACGCTATCCAGATAGTTCAGAAGGGCTAATAAGGAAATACCACCGGGTTAATTATCCTCAAACGGATCCTCCAGTCTATTAGTATTAGTCTATCCTTATATCCGCCGATTTTAGATCCTAGCGTTATCTATATCTTCGAGAAGCACTATACAGCGTTTCGGAAGATCTTAGAAGAGGGTAGCTAAACCATCCTTATCAAGCTTCCAGGGGTTTAGGCTAATAGTATAGATATTAAATTATAGGGAGTCTGGAGGTGGACATCCACTCAGATTGTCTCATTGTCGTTCTGCCTTAATTAACGTGGAAGCACCGAAGGATTTCTTTTGTTTGCCATTCTTTGTACAAATGTTATGTTTGCATTTCAAATTCCAAGCGAGTTCTATGGCATAGAACATGAATCTAGATAGTATATATTAGAGTTACCCATTTTATAGAGCCAGCTTAGATTCACTTCTAGGAATGGTGGCTTTTAGTACAGCTCTAACCCAGTGGATTACAGATTGACTCTGGCTAATAAATACAGGTTATGATATCATTAGGAAGGCACATCTGACTCGATGACTATGATCTGTTCGAATCGAAGCCGTCTATTTGTACCGTTGGCTGGCCAAACTGGGGATTTGGGTATGTGCTGAAGAACGCCCTCATCCCAGGGCTGTCTGTTGTGGCCGGTGGCTCGCCAAGTTGGGGATCCGTAGAAGACACCTGGTTAGGTATATTGCTCCGCGAACTAGTGGGGACTAGCAAATTATGTAGGCCCTTTCCCAGCGACGCGCTGGGCGTTGATCGGGCAAAGAGTGGATCCAATGTTAATCCGTGACCTAGAAATGTCAGGAATGGTGTCAAGCTGATATACAATTGATTTATTGGCGACAAGTACTCACCTTGGGATGAAAGTTGTTGGTGGCCGAAACCCCGTCTCGTTGAGAAGCGGTCGTATGTCTGAATCTGATATGGATGGGCCAAGGCTCCGGTAGGTTGACTCTGGTCAACTGCTTCAGTAGATGAGAGTTCAGGGGTTGGGCAATCTGTATCTCGGAATTGTTAGTGGACCGTGATTTTATTTGATCAAAATGACTTACTGGAAATGACATTCAGCTCTGAGTTAGATTCTGGAGAGGCAGGCGGGGAAATTGACTGGTGATTTGAATCTCCGAAGATTTCTGCCAACAATATTTGGCCATCCTGGGTGTCATTGCAGGAACCAATGCTCAAGGGAGGCGATAGACGAATTCGTTTTTGTGAACTTGAATTTTTAATTCACCAACCTCTTGGAATGAATTTCACCAAGTTCTGGAACTTTGTTCCCTGATAATATCTTGTCGAAGGAACTTGTCCAGAGAAGTGTTCAATTCGCCCTGATCCAGTTGACTTTTGTCCACGAAAACAATGTTGTGCGCACTACTTAGTTGTCATTATCAGTGAGCAACCTAGAAGGTGCAAGATCGGCTAACGCAACTGTAAATATCTCGTCAAATAACATTCACCAAGGAATTGCGGATCCTTCTATTCCCTCAAATTGAAGAAGATGAAATGCAGCGACCAATTGCTAGAAAGGTTCTGGCTGATCGTCATATCTACTACTCTCGACCAATGCCTATCAGCACAGGGTTACCTGTCCTTTCTGATCTCGGCGAGGCTAGAGTCGGAAACTATAAGCACCGAGGTGATATCATGCCGGGCATTTACCGTGTACCGGAAGTGATCTTGGATATGCAGTGGAATTGTAAGGTTGATATCTGGTCTGTTGGGACAATGGTATGTTGGGTCTTTATTCTCTTATATTCCTAATTATACAATACCTTAATCAGGAATCTGCAAGCTAACAGACCCAGTCTTGGGATTTGGCGGAAAGCAGCCATTTATTGTACGCAAAGAAAGACTATATCCTCAGTGACGAACAGCACCTGGCGGAAATGGTGTCTCTCCATCCTGAATTTCTTCGACGGAGTGAAAAAGCCCTTCAATACTGGGACAACAAAGGTATTTCCTTTACCTGTTACCTGTGCAATCTTTGGATTCTAATCTGGTATTCTTCTTATAGGGAAACTGGAAAGGTTCCGTTCCCATACCAGAGAAATCGTTGGAAATAAGAGAGCGCCAATTTTGGGGCGAAAACAAAGAACTTTTTCTAACTTTCTTGCGGAGAATATTCCGCTGGCTGCCCGAGGAGCGACCTACTGCAGAGGAGCTCGTCTATGATGGGTTTTTGATGCAGCCACTGTTCCAAGCAAGGTCAACAGCTTGACCGATATGGCATGCGAAGATTCTAATACACTCTCCCCCGGGCCATGTTATAGATTGCATTGAGGTTCGGCAGGCCAGGAGGTGGGTGAACATTGGTTCGTTTGAACGAGCTCTCAATAGCGTATCTCTTCAACTTGGAAGCCGAAGGGATCCCACCACGGTAAAGTTTTCTTTCGAGATCCGCATATTCTGGATCAGCATTGCACGGATCGATGCCGAGGAAATAAACAAGCAGGGCAGCCTGTCAGCCTGTTAGTGCACCGAAGAATAATCATAATGGCAGTGAAAAGAGCTACTTACTGTTATTGCAGACCCAATACTCGTCCCTTTGTTTCTATTCGGCCCAGTCACAAACCTCCCAGTGTTGTCTCTGATGTCGACAATCACAGGACCGTAAAGACTCAGTGACCCTCCCTGTGGGTGGCCCGTATACTCGGGCGTGGTATCCATGTACGGGGACCCATCGGCGAGCACACCCCCCACGGTTACGACGTTGTTTTGTGACGTCCCAAGAGACGTGATATACCCATGGGCCAAGGTCAATCCTCTGCGGCCGTCGTTTCCGGCAGAGACGACGAATAAAACCCCGTGTTCTGCCAGCACCTCGATGAAATCCTTCCAAATTATACGAGCGTTTTCGTGCTCCTCGGGGTCGCTGTATCGCTGTGGGCCTATAACGAGGTCAGATTTTCTTCTTCTCCTTTTGTCTTTGAGAGTATCACTTACTGCCCGAAAAGTTGACCACAATCTTTGCCGCCCGGTCTCTTCCTTTTATCTCCTCAATCCGATCCATCACATAGTCCACGGCATTTTGATATCCTTCCACAGTAAACAAAATTTTGGACCCGCCACGCCGATCGTCGTAGTCGGCGCACATCTTGACCAACTCGAGATCTGACTTAGGAACAATCCCAATTGTTCTACCTCCGGCTGCAATGGCCATCATAGTGCCATGGTTGCCCCGGTCCTTGATGCTGTTCCGCTTGATTTTTAGCCCCAGGTGTTCCTGAGGGAACCTGTGATTGGGGACGACGTATGTTTTGATTGGGCCCGGACGATCTCTGAGTTCCTATCGAGTCACATTCGAAAAAGAAAAAACACATCAGCATGGTTGTATTGGAGGGGGAGGAAGCCAGTGTTGGCATACCGGGATTTCCAAGTTAAAGCCGCTGTCCATCATAAACAGCCGGACATTTTGGCCTTCGCTGTCATCGCGCTTGTACTTGGCTGATAACGGAGGTTGGCCCATTCGATTGAAGGAAATCAACCGCTGTTGCTCAATGAGAGAGCGTCCACTCACCGTCACTCTAGGCTCGAGCAAGGACCTGTCATGAGAAGTTAAAAAGTCGTCCGAGCTGTTTGAGCTGTTTGGAAAGCTCTCCCAGCGTTTCTCATGTTGCCCCAGGAATCGTGGCGCCACAAGAAGAATGAAATCTTTCTTTCGGATTTCATTCACTTGAGTGTCGGTGAGATTGGTTATGTAGCTGTAGTGGCTCAGATTCTTGAATGCAATCTGCGTGCCTTCATTCCCATCGATCTCGTCCACAAGTTGGTCGAACTTCTCCCGGGGGTGTGTCTTTTAGTCCGGATAAAGTAAGGTTCTGGTTTTGATGTATTGGCCTGAGCCAGTCCAAAAAAGACGAGGGAAGTCACTAATAAGCAGACGAATGAATGGACTCCGGCTCGCATGGTGGGCAAAGACAATGGCTATGTCTATCTTCTATCTTCTCAGTGGATACCTATCTACTCTTAAAACATTATAGCATCGCCCCGGCCCCCAAGTCTTTTATTTTTTTATTTTTTTTTTTATTTTTTTTTTTACCCAACAAAACCCGAAATACAGTTTCTTCGGAAGTTTTCTAAAACCTTACGGAGTAGAATAAAACAAGCTCCCTTTTATCACACACCCAAATCCTTCCACTCACACACTCTAATTATATTTAGAATATAATAAGAGGATCAGTTTATGCCTGATTAATAAGGTAAATAATAAGAATTAGTTTTTTTTCTAGTGTAGTATTATCTTGTATAGTATATGTATTACCTTTCTAATATAGTACTAGGGTGTGCAATTACAGGGAGCCTAAAACAACATCGGAGGTAGGGAGACCACTGACCTCTCAAGTTGTGTAACTATGAACAACCCCTATAGTTGGCTTCACAAGCAAATATTGTTAGTATGAGGATCGGGGTTATGTCGTAAAAGAATAAAATCCTTCAGGTAAAAAAAAAAAGGCCCTATATAGAGACCGAATTCTTATCGAGGTATTAAATGCACAGGAGCCGCTTCTCTTCATGAAACTAAGGTTGGTATTTTAGCACCCACAGGTCTTGTCGCGAATCCAACCTTGGCAGGGCAACCATAAAAATTAAAACTAAATTAAACCCAAAACTTAAAAACTGATTTTGACTTGAACTCTAAAACGTAACGCTTGACGTGAGAGCCCCCTTTTTTTTTTCTCTCCAAGTAGAAATCCTACAAGTCTCTTGTGAAGCCCTAATTGCTCAACATCTCCGCCATCTGCACCTGCTGTTACACCGCCCAGTTCTGCCGGCAAATCCACAAATTTCCTTAGCATCTTCATCCTCTCTATGCACATCGCCTCAACGCCATGAAGGTACGTATGCATATTCTCTAAAGGCAAGACAGAAAGTGCTTCTTCTGACTTATTCTCATTGATATAGATCATTGACCCCCAATCAGCCGTTCTCACCAACGTCGAGGTCCTGGCCTACCTCGACGCCAATCCCCCGCGCCGACCCCCGAATCCGCCATCGAAGCCCCGAAACTGGGTGCCGAGCCCGGATCTGCGCGATCACAATACAGTAGTCAAAGAAGTGAGTCTATTCTTGAAGACTTGTACAGGAAAGACAAAAGAAAAGAAAGGAAAAGCATAGCTCACTGTCCATCCACAGATCCACAATTATGTCGCCCGCCTCTCGCCCTACCTCCTCAAATACCCCCGCTACACAGCGCGCCCCTCGTCACAGTCGCGGTCCCAAGAGGCCATGACGGGGACAATAAACACTGCCAATACTAATAATAATAATACCGCCCACACCAACACCAATACTTCTTCCAATGCCTTCAACACCGATCCAGATGTCTCCACCCTCCCCCCGCCGCCCTCCTCCGAACCCACCCCCATGGACCGCGCCCTCCGCGATCTTGTCACCCGATTGCAGCCCTACGGCCTAACCAAGGCCGAGGTCGTGATGATCCTGAACCTGGGGATCGGGATGAATCGCAGTGACGAGGCTGCGGACGAGGCAGACCGTGCTGGAGCCGAGGGGGTTAATGGGGATGGGCAGATGGAGGCGGATTATGAGGAGCACATGGCGAATGGGACGGAGGCGGCAAATGGCGGTCCAGAAGAAGAAGGGGGACGAGAGGGCGGAGGAGAAGAGGTGGAGCCTGAAGGAGAGGCGGATGACTATGGGCCGTTGGCGCTGCTGGATACGGTGATTGAGGAGCGCGAGGAGAGGCTTGCTAATGAGGATGTTGAGGCTGTTTTGGCGATTGTAAGGGAGACGCTGGCTGGGGATTATGAGTCTTCATAGTCATTAATCTGTGGTCATATGGGGTTGAAGAGGTTTCTTCTATTCTCCCTTTTCCCCAATTATCTTCTTCAGTGTTAAGCATAAACTACAGTCCCGACATTCTCGGATATTCAAAATGCTTCATGATAGGAGTTCGATTCTATGTACACCGTTCAACAGCAGGGGCATCTCATCCAGCTCCAGACCTAGTATACAACCGCCAGAAACTCAAGCCAAACGCCGGAGCAGCCGTGGTCATGCAACGCAGCTGCGATGTCATGCTCGGCCATGTAACAACCGCCCTGGTATCTAAAAAAAAATCAAAGAAAACAAAAGAAAACAAGACTGATTCTGGTACTCGACAGGATATGATCCGATCCTGATTGGCATCTCTTCCCAAAGCATGGCACGATCGTGTGTCCAAGTTCAAGTATGGATCAATGCAGTCTGTCATAGATCCGTTGGAAACCCCTACAGTCGTATAGGAGATCAATCAGGCAGCCAGGCAGTAGACAGTCAGGTCGATCAATCGGGCAGAGCGTTGGCAGTGACCCTACCCATGAATCCAGCTCGAGGCGTGGAGGTATTGGTGTTGACACAAGAGAGAAATGGCGAGGGTGATCAACCGTCGTTTTTCTCTTCTTCATCCGACTCGCCTTCATTCGCCCGTCCTTCCTTCATCTGTCCTTTCTTTTTCTCGCCTTCATTCGTCTGTCCTTTCTTCGTCTGTTCTTCCTTCGTCTGACCTTCCTTCGTCTGTCCTTTCTTTTTCTCGCTTTCATCCGTCTCGCCTTCATTCGTCTGTCCTTTCTTCGTCTGTTCTTCCTTCGTCTGACCTTCCTTCGTCTGTCCTTTCTTTTTCTCGCTTTCATCCGTCTCGCCTTCATTCGTCTGTCCTTTCTTCGTCTGTTCTTCCTTCGTCTGTTCTTCCTTCGTCTGTTCTTCCTTCGTCTGTTCTTCCTTCGTCTGTCCTTCCTTTGTCTCGCTTTTCTCCGTCTCGCCTTCCTCCGTCTCGCCTTCCTCCGTCTCTTCTTGTTTGGTCTCTCCTTCCTTTTGCTCCTTGCCAAAAACCATCGTACCAAACTGATTATAGACCGGCGCATCCGGATCGCCCTTCTCTTTCGCCCACGGACCCCGGTTGTCCTCAAAGAGGGAGTGTTCATGACCGTTGCACACGTCCGAGAGAGCAATCCAGTTGCTCTGGTCGGTCCAGATGCCGCCACGGCCGCCGCGCATGTCCCACCACCCCTGGCCACCCTGCATTGAGGACTGCGAAGCCTCGGAGCCGTGCGCGAATCGCACGTATTTGCGAAGTAGGGCTCGCCCCCACGGCCAGAACCACATTCGCCGCCACCAGTCGTCACGCCATGCGGGGTCCCCGTTCATGTGGATAACCGCCGGGATCGTGCCCGCGCGAAGGTTGGTCAGGAAGGGGACCTTGGACCAGGTGTTGTTGCCGGGACTCGGCAGATAGTCGAGCTCCGGGTCGTAAGTCGGTCGCACGGTTTCCTGGTTCACGGCGTTGTACTGCAGGAATGGGTCGTGCAGGGCTTCGATCTCTTCCGGGAGGAATATAGGACTCTCCCGCGGAATACCGAGCTTCTGCTGCTCGCGGCCGGGCACTGTTTTGTTGTGGAATTGGAACCAGTTGATGTCCTCGTGGGTCATGTTCTGGTTGTAGAAGATCTGCGACTCGAAGTCGACGGTCATCCCGTATTCGTACCGATGCCCCGTCTCCAGTTGGACGTTGATCCCCGAGATGTTGACGGGATTGGTCATCCCCAACTGCTTATACAGCCAGCCCGTAAACCGGTTCGTGGTGCGCCGGCGCTCCAGCTCCCGCACGACTTCTTGCCGCCCGTACATCCGCGTCAGAGCCTGGTGCTGGTTGTCATTCATGAGAGGCTGTTCGATCTGCCAGAGAATTTCGTCGAGGATTAGTCGCACATCAGCTACCTGGCCCATGATGGTTCCGGAGGTCATCCATCGCGGTCGATTTAAGACTCCGGTTGGGCGATGGTCAATCTTTCCGAAGCGCATTTTAGGTTCCTCATCGGTCTCCCAGCCATGAACATCCGGGGGGAGCGTCGACGGCGGAACCGAAATGCAGCCAGGGTCGTCCCACAGCTCGAAGGAACAGACCTTGCTGGCACCGAACAGCACGCGCTGGCCGTACTTTGGCAGGGGCGCCGAGGCGCCACTCTTGGCATCATCCTTGGTGCTATCCTTGGATTTATGCCCTGGTGCGAATCCATAGAATCTTTGCTGTCTCAAGTTTTTCTCGCGGAGAATGCTCTGGAATCGCTGCACCAGCACTGACGGCGGCAACTGGAAGTAGACATTTTCGGCTACCAACACAAAATCCCGGTCGTGGACAGTGCTGCTGTCTCGAAGATAGTCGCGCATGCGCGTGATCCGATCCACCGTACGCTCATGCTCGCTCCCATCAGTCTTGCCGCGGCCGTAGCCAATTAACGTCGGGGGCGGGTATTCCAGAATCATGGCAGACGCCAACGTTCGACAGACTTCGCGGGAGCTTTCAGGCGCCGGGACCAAGACATGGAGTTGCGGGTTAGGCTTGTGCGGATCGTGAGGAAGGGTATCTTTGGAGTGCACGTCGAGCCGCCGAGGTACAGCAACTTCGACATCTTCAGGACGTTCGGACAAGGGAGGTCGCGAGGGAAACTTGGCCCAGTAATCGGGCTCGGATGTCTGAAACGAAAAGTCAGTTATTTGACCGGGGGGCGTGTTGCTCCTTGTTTCTGCGCGCGGGCGATCGCGGTATGTTCGTAGCCAAGGCGGCAAGCAAGCCGGGCGATCTTTCAACTCACGTTCGATGAAGGGTTATGCAGAACAAAAATTACGACGAATGTCACCACGGCCAGTATGATTCCCTTGGCTCTCGAGTTTCGTGGACGAGGATGGCAGATTGCCCGCAGGATGCTTGCCGGAGAGGATTGGGCCTCATTGAACAACGGCAATGAGGCGCCGGTCGACGGCATGGCGGAGAGCAACGGGATCGATCGCAAAGATCAGATCACAGAGTTAATTGAACAGAAGAGGGACATTTTGCAAGTCCCACGAGTCAATTCCAGGGGAAAGAGGCCACGCGGAAAATACGCAATGAGTGGAGATGCAGATCGCCCTGGTTGCGGCCCCAATACACTTGGCAAGTCGGGCGGAAAATGCTTAGTTATAATTAGGGGACTGGTTTCAGGGCATATTTCCCAAGGATTTACAGGGGATGATGTGATCATCCCGTCGAATTCAGGAATTGATGCTTATGTCGCCGTCATCGGCAGGTCATGCTCACTCGAGGTACATTTCCTCGCGCAGCCGTTGGAGATTGCGAAACAATCCCCCGCCACCACTGTCGCTATCCCGTCTTTGCTCAGACCTCGGGCGGGGGCCACGCTGGGGGTCCGCGGTCTGTTCCAGCGTGCGGCGCCGATCATCCAACATCTTGGCCAAACTGTCCACAAACCGACCGCGCGCCTTCTCCTCGGCCGATCCCTTCCAAACCGTAGAGAGAATTCGTAGAGTCTCCACGCGACCACTGGCAGCCTCCAAACCAGCCCAGCCACCGCCCTCACTCTCTAGTAACTCCGACACTTCGGTGCGTAGCTTCTTCATGATTTCCTGGCCCTTCTCCTCGTGGTTGTGGCCGGTCGTGTCGCGGTCAGGGCCCGAGACAGAGATGAATGACGACGAGAAGGAGACCTCCGACGGCGGCAGAGGCCATTCCATCGCAGTGCCAAAGGTCTGCACGACATCCTCCAGTCGCGACCGTACCTGGTTCAATGTGCGCAGGTTGGTGATGTATTCGGGGTCGGGCGCGACCGCGTTCTCCTTTTGTTCCGTCTTCTTGACCTCCTGCTTCTCCGGGTTCTCTTCCACCTCTGTATCTGTATCTGTATCCTCTCCTTCCTCTATGGGTATCGATGTCGCAGTGTCTTTCAAGTCGTGAGTCTGTTCGGTCTCGCGGCCAGTAGAAACAGCCACGGGGGCAGCCGAGGGCTCCGGGACAAACTTGGCAATGTCCTCACGCAGAACGTCGGTCAAAGTTTCAGACAGCCCAATCGTTTCGCCGCGTAGCACTTCCACCTCGTAAGCCAGACGGCCGCCACTGCGGAGAATCTCATCGGTGAGCTGGGACAACGTAGTCGAGAGACGCACATTCTGGGCGCTGATCGTTGAAAGCAAAGACTGGACCTGCGCGGACAGCTCGGTCAGGGGCACGGAGCCCGGCGCTCGTGAGGCATTGGGCTGCGACGCTGCCACGGTCAGCGGGGAGAGCGACTCATTGAGAAAGTCGGCTGGGTCGAAGTCCGGGTCGGCGAAATTGCGGGTTGTCTCGGGGCGAGGGGTGGACAATGGGGGTTTGACAGCGCGGGCTGTCGAGCTGTAGGTCTGGGAGGCCATGGGCTGGTCTGCGCTGGGAATTCAATGGAGGCTGCCTGAGCTTCGCTAGTGAACCCCCGAGCTTTGGTTGTTCACCGCCTTCAAGACAGGTTCAATTGGGGATGGGGTTTTGATGGCGAGAAGAAGGCTTGGAAGATCTATGGGTGCATGGTGGCAGCCTAATTGGTACGGCTTACAATGTGGCTCTCAACCTCAACAATCCGCTTCAATACTGAACCCTTTGTCTCCCTCTTGGCAAGATGTCGCCTGTTACATCCAACCCAGACCCGATGACAACTACAGTTACCACTACAGGACAGTGTGGCCATGAAAAGTGGCGATGCAAATGTGTTGGCATCACAGTTAGCGCTATCTTCGCCCTTCCAAGGTTCCCTGCAGCCCCCAACGCGCCGCTTCACAGGGCTGCGGCTATGCGATGATCATGCCCGGTCTCAGGCGTGGGTCTGATGCCCCTTCGACAGCATTCAACTGTCGAGAACTGAAGTGTTCCGAAGTCAACATTGGAACAACCCTCGTGACATTGGTCTACAGACTGTTCTTTGCCGGGCCGGTGCATTTTCACGAAAACTCGAATGCGAGTCTCCTTAGGCCCAAGCCAACTTTGGGGGGGGTGAGTTCACGATACTTCAGCCCCAGAGTCGATCCTGCGGGAGGCACTGCATCACGGATAAGCTTGAGGCTGAAAATCTACAGCATTTTCGAATATAAAGAGAGGCAGTGTCAATGACCCCCGGGCGCGTTCATCCATAATTTGTGTGTGATTCGAAAGCATCTTCCTTATAACAATGCTTCGAAGAGCAAGCAAGCCGAAATCCAGAAAAGGGTGCAAAACCTGCAAGTACGTCTGCCACAGAGAAACACTTCATTTGATCCTGCTCATTCCCCTGACTCGGCCAGAATCCGACACGTAAAATGCAGCGAGCAAAAGCCAGCGTGCAGCCAATGCACTCGCTCCGGTCGCAAATGCGACGGCTATACCGACGCTTCTCAGACAGAGTTACGCAGTGAGATCGACAGGGCCATCCCGCGCCGCACTTGGAACATCAACCCAGACCAGCGCATCGTGCTCGTCCCGGGAACCCGTGAGGAGCGTCAATATGTGCATTTCTTCTGCACGCAGGTCACCGAGGCCATATCGGGGGTTTTCCACTCGGACGTTTGGTCCCAGTTCCTCCCGCAGCTGAGCCACCAGAACTCCACCATCCGGCATGCGGTTGCAGCCGTGGGTGCGCTGTACGAGCGACGTGTGCTGGTGTTGTCGAATGGATCGAGCGAGCCGGAGCATTTCGCCCTGCAGCAATACAACAAAGCCATTCGGGATTTCCTGGGACAGCTGGGCAGCGCACAGGAGGTGGGCGTGGAATTGATGCTCATCACATGCCTGCTATTCGTGTGTTTCGAGATGCTCCAATTAAACAACCAGCGAGCCCTAGACCACGTCCAGGGCGGCGTGCAGATTCTCTCGGAGCGGCAGCGAAATGGCCGGCCCATCATTCGCAACAACATCGACCGAGAACTGTGCCAGTTGTTCTCGCGGCTCAACACCCAGGTCTCGCTGTTTGGTCGGCCCACCCTCGCCTTAGACATTACCACAGAGAAGCCATCATCATCATCAAATGCGAGTGTGACACTCGAAAATATCAGCCAGGCACGCGACTCTCTCTCCAATTTAGTGAACCGTGCCGTAGCCTTTACGCGCGTGGTCGGGTTCATGAGAGAGAGGACGCCAGAGCCCGAACACCAAAGACAACTACAGATGCAGCGCGACCTAGCCGAAGACTTCAGCGAGTGGCACGCCGCCTTCGAAATCCTTCGAGCCAAGCCAGCCAAGAGCGCAGGCATCAGCGATCCGCGCGCCCCGCTCGTACTCGTAACCGAGTACCATATCATGCGGCTCTGGCTTCTCAACTGCGTCACGCGCGAAGAGTCCAGCTACGACAACCACTTCGCCGACTTCGACGTCGCCGTGTCGGCCTCCGAGCAGATTGTCGCGCTCAGCGCCGCACCCAACTCCAAGCTCGCCGCCCACCAATTCACCCTCGATGCGGATGTGGTTCCCGCGCTCTGGTGGGCTGCGCATAAATGTCGGCATCCGCTCATCCGTCGGAGGGCGATGCGCGCGCTGGATCGGTATCCGACGCGCGAGGGCATGTGGAATAAGACGCGGTATTTGCGCGCCGCCGAGTTGATTGTGGGATTGGAGGAGGCGCCTGTGGCGTCTCTTGCGGTCGAGGAGAGGACTGTCGCGGAGCGTCATCGTATCCATAATTCGCTGATGTTTGAGGAAAATGAGTTTGGGCCTGGCTCCTTGCCGATCCTTTTGATGACGAAGCCGCATGGTCTGGATGCGGAATGGGTGAGTCGTTGGTATAAGGTGTGATGGGGGACTTCTTCAAAGAGTCTGGTGGAAGGAGATTTGGTTCAAGGAGCGAATTGAATAATTGCATATACCCGCACCACATGTCAGTCGTGTGTAGCGTCATCTATCCGAGCTACATACCAGGTGACAGGGCCCAATAGAGCTAGAAAAGGCAAGCATCCGGGAAAATACAATATGATACGAATTGATTCAAAGACACTATTCATTAAAAGCAAGGCAAATACTAAGCCATACAGTAAAGTCAAAGAAGGTGGGTATCGTCATCCAAGCGCATTCAGCCATAATCGAAAATATAACAAAAAAGGGGGAGTCAGTAGGTATGCGCCGACCAGCAGAGCGAGATCGAGCTGGCAGAGCAATGTCCTCCCCGAGGAGAAGCAAGAAGCACAAGATAAATCACAAGTCGAAGGATAATGTCATATCCTCATAGAAAAGAAAACTGCCGCGGACGGCGTCGTGACCCCTTCATAACTATTCTTGGGGCATCTAAATGTCCTCGACGACGCGCGCGTTCATCGCACGCTGGAAGCCGTCATCGGGCTGCTCCGACTGGTTGCCGTATCTGCTGGGACCCTCGCCGGCACTGTCGGCCGCGGACAGCTGCTGCTGGACGGTCTGGTTCGTGGCAGGCAGGAAAATGACCTTGCTGTTGGCGGTCTTGGCCATAGCCTGCATAGCCTCGAGGTAGCGGATCTGCATGGCAGGGGCAGAGGAGAGGATATCGGCAGCCTAAATGGGTCAGCGAAAGCTATGCAATACAGTAATAGAGAAGTGGAATCGTACCTGGCGCATCAGTTTGGCCGACTCGACCTCAGCACGAGCAGCGATGACCTTGCTTTCACCAATCCGCTTAGACTGGGCCGCCATGGAGAGCGAGTCCTGCAGGTCGTTGCTGAAAATGATGTCCTTGATGAGCATGGACTCGACCTGCACACCCCAGTCGGCCGCGACACCCTCGATGATCTCCGAGGTCGACTGCGCAATCTCCTCGCGGCGCTCGATCACGTCCTGCAGCACGCGGGCGCCGATGACATGGCGCAGCGTAGTCTGGGTGCGCTCAACGAGCGCCTGCTTGACATTTGCAATTCCAAAGGCGGTCTTGTGTGGTGAAACAACTGCGTAGTAGATGACCGAGCTGAGATTGAGCGTGACATTGTCCTTGGTCATGCAAACCTGGCGCGGCACTTCGACGATCTGGATCTTGACATCCACCGTGATCAAGTTCTCACTCAGCGGGTTCACCTTGACCAGACCGGGATCGATCGATCGCTCAAAGCTAAATGGTAGAAAAACGTTAGAATCAATCACCAGGTCCTTCATGCGATCGTTACGAACCGTCCAAATCGCGATACCAGGCCGACCTGGCCTTGGTCGACCGGCTTGAAGGGGTTGGGGCAGCAGATGCAGCAGGGGATCGCGCCGCAGAAGCCGATACATTCGCCCAGGCTGTGGACTATGAGAGTAGATCAGTATCAGTCAGGCCTGTCGAAAAGGAGGAAGCAAAGAGGACAGCGGGACGTGGTACATACTCAGTCGCGCATACCAGCCGTGCGCATCGGGATTCTCATCGTCATGCTGGATTTTCTGGGCGTATTTGGGCTGAAGATCACCCAGGCGAGCAGGTTGGACTTTGACCAGGCCCCGTTGGTGGGCCGCGTGGGCTGAGTCCTCTGGGTTCTGGACAGGAGCCTTGCCGGTGCCATTCTGTGACATAGTGTAGAGCTGATGGATAGTAGTTCCAAATAGGTGGGATGGATGCAAAGTCAAGATGGCAATGAAAGATGAGTTGCCAAAGTGTGCCTGAGAGGGCTGCCTGAGGGGGGGGGATGGGTGTTTTAAGTAATAAACAAAGCTCCTCCGCAGTGGGGCCATTAACCCTGGCAGTCCTCAGCCTCTCCAAGGCTGAGTCCCTGGAAGCATCTCCACCTGCCTCCACATTTGCTGCGATTCACCGTTTTCCTATTCCAAGCTTCACTCTTTTCTGTTATTATTATTTCCTCATGCATACCCTTTCAAGTATACCCCCGGAATGACTGAGCGATGCAATGTTTAGATGTACTTCTATTCCGATTCCTCGACTCTTCTGAGGCATTCTCGCCGATCGGCTGCCAACAGCACGGCATGTCTGGGCATCCGTCATGGCCAGCACGTCAGCCTTAGGCCTTAAGCCTTCCAGATGTTTTCCAGTGGCCGCCCGGGGGTGGAAAAAAAAACCTCGAATAGAATATTCCAAAGAGCCTCACATGGGCCATAGCCACGGTAGAACCCGTGGTTGGGAGCGACAATGTGCGGGTAATCTACAGGCTGTGTGGTTATGGTTGGCTTGGAGGTCTGACGTCGACTACAATAGTCCGCGGGTCCAAGGTTATATATCCTCGTATACGCTGAATGAACGATTGGCTAATGCGGCCCCGACAAATGGCCCACGGACCGGGGCTGTGCCAATGCATGCCGAGTTCCGTTTGCATCAGGTCATGCGGTACGATTGTGGCGGTCAGGTGACCAAAGGGTCATTTTGACCTGGAGATGGCCCCGACCATCTTTACCCTCTCTCGCCCAACCCTCTTACTCCGTCCTTTCACTGTATTTCAGTAGTCTCGTCATTATACTGTTAGCAGAATCCTTTTCGGCATCGTTACGCCTCTCAACATCTGCCAAGGTATAGTATATTCTGTCCAAGTATTTCAAGTAGGATGGGACCAATTTGGGATTAAACGACTTGGGTTATGGTACGCCTTGAAAACTAACCATATACTTTGATAGGGCCATTTTGCGGCCCCTTTTCATAAGCATAGCATCATTGGTCTAGTGGTAGAATTCGTCGTTGCCATCGACGAGGCCCGTGTTCGATTCACGGATGATGCATTTCTTTTTGCATTATTTTTTTCTTTCCTAAACATGTCTTCAATCACCCTTAAGTTAGAACTTTGATTGACATGGTAATCAACTCTTTTTGTTTGATCGAATTTAATTTCATGTTCATCGACTATAGATAAAGCCATACCCTTGGTTATGCAGCTCGACCTTGAATCCTAACAGCATAATATTTCAGATTGAATTATATTCTCAATCATGCCAATATTTACTGCCTCTCGTCTTCTGGTTCTATTCCTATTGCTGACTGCAGCCATCGCTGACCCCACCCCACTTATGATCTCATCGCGTCGGCCGTCACGTTTGTCGACCGCATCACTTCTGTTTTCTTCCAATATCGACGCAGTACCACATTACACAAAATGGCCGTCAAACAAACCCTCCAAGCCAAATATCGACTGCTGTCAGGCCATGAGATCCCAATCCTCGGGTATGGGGTGAGTATCCCATAGAACCCAGAACCAGCCGCGAGCAACTACTTACTGACTTATGTTCGGTACAACAGGTTTATATGATGTGCGTGCCGATGGTCTTTATATTCATTGATTTCTTCTGACCGACACAGTCCCGCATCCTCGACCGAGAAAGCCACCCGAGAAGCCTTCAACGTCGGATTCCGCCATGTATGCCTCAATCATGCCATCTCGGAACGTCTCTAATGCCTCCCCACCAGGTTGATTCAGCCATTATGTACCGCAATGAGAAGCCCTGCGGCCAGGCGATCAAAAATTCCGGACTCGAACGCTCTGAGCTCTTCTTCACCACCAAGATCCCTCCCGGATCCATGGGATACGAGCGCACGAGGAGATCCATTGACTCGAGTCTGCGGGAAGCAGCGCAGGAATACTTTGATCTGTACGCTACCACCATACCGCCAAAAAAAAAAAGTCAATGGCAGACTAATAGCCGAATTCCAGAATCCTGATACATGCCCCCTACGGCGGCAAAGAAGCCCGTCTAGGATCGTGGGACGCACTGGTCGAAGCCCAGAAAGCAGGAAAAGTCAAGTCGATAGGCGTCTCCAACTACGGCCTCCACCACCTCGAAGAGCTGGACGAGTACATCCGCGGCGGTGGCGGCGGCGAGATCTCAGTCGGGCAGTATGAGCTGCACCCGTGGCTGGACCACTCGGATATCGTTTCGTGGCTGCAGCAGCGCAAGATCATTGTGGAGGCATACTCGCCGCTAGCGCATGGTAGCCGATTCCGCGAACCGGTGCTGCAGGCGATTGGGAAGAAGTATGGCAAGTCGCCGGCGCAGGTGTTGATTCGGTGGAGCTTGCAGATGGTGAGTAAATACCGCGCTCCTGGACATAATGTGGCTAGGTAGTGTCGCTAATATACCGATTCAATCAGGGATTCGTGCCTCTGCCCAAGTCTGCTACGCCGCAACGCATCCGGGAGAATATTGATGTATTTGACTTTGAATTGTCGGCTGAGGATATGGAGTTGTTGGATACGGGTGAATACTCGCCCACGGACTGGGACCCGACTGTCGATGTGGACTAAAGCATCTTGGGATGAGAGTGTATTTAGGCATGAAATCAAATTACTTGGAAAGAAGCACCTTATCTATGAAGCGGCTCACACAAAATTCACAGCTCGCTCAATTCAAAGTGATAACTACAATAGAGAAAGAAATTTTACAATCCCATATCTTCTCACAGACCGTCAGTCTCAACAGGAGCAATCATTACATTGAACCGGGGGGGGAAAGGCAACGGGCAAGCCCTCGTCTCAGTGAATCCCGATTCTCTTCAACGATCATTACATCTCTCTTATTGGCTTTACATCTTGTCGAAGAGCTTCCCACTCCGGGTCTCATATCGACGAAAATCCATTGGAGTCTTCGAAGCTGCCCTGGAGGATGCACCCGAAACCTCATCGTGGGGATCCGTCAACCAAGTGCGGCTGGACTTAGTAGTCTTCGTGGGGCGGTTCTTCGAGGATGTAGACTCAAAGGAAGGAGCTCGTGATTGCAGTGTAATAGAACCATACTGGCTGGTCCGGACATTGGGCCTGACTCCGTTGTCATACCCGAACAACAACAACCCCCGCTGTTCATTGCGAGACTCAGTCTCCGTCCTTTCGAGTTCTCGAGGCCCAGGGGTGATTGACGAACAAGACCGCGGGGCACTGAACTTTCCAAGGCGAGGGGAATTCAATGTCAGAGGACCGTCTTTGCCCAGCCGTATGTATCGGGACATAGGGCCAAAACTGGGAGAACTCTCTTCTTTGATGACAGGAGAAAGTTCTAGGATCTGGCTTGCCTTTTCTCGACTGCAAGATACAGCCGGTGCATTGAGGAAGTCTCGAAGAGCCTGGACGACCATTTCATTGGTGGCCACAGACTTTTCGGTGATGGCAATCAGTCTTTCCATGGACCGGTTCAGCTGGTCGAGATTGCTCGTGATGGTTTGCGTGGTAAAGTCTCCAGTCCCAAGCTCTTGGAGAGGTGCAAAATCAGCAACAGGGCCTTTGTAGAGGTTCTCCTTGTCGGAAGCTTCCTCGTCGGCGAATATCTCCCGAGACACCCGGGACTGAGATCGGGATAGCGGAGCAGGTGTGTCGGTGGCCAGGAGCTCATGGGCCTCGATGATTTCCTTCCATTTGGGAAGAACCCGGTTGAGAACGTCGTCAGAGACCTTGAATCTGCCTCTGTTTCTTTCCAAGATGGTCCAGGCGTAGGGCCACTTGATCTGGTACGCAAGCACGGTGGTCGTGTAGAAGACCTCGCCGTGCTGCTTCATCATCTTGGTGTCCCCGCTGCGTGCGATATCCCGGATTCCCTTAGGAGTCAAGGTCGTGGGCTTCGCCTTCGCAGTCTTTCCACTTGCTGCAGCGGGCTGGGCGATCCCATTCTCATCCGTCGTCCCGTCGATGGGGAAGTCATTGGCCAGCTTTCGTTGTTCTCGACTCGGGACCGGTCGGAACAGCTGTTGCTCGTTGCGCTTTGAGTCGGAGCTCGAGAGAGAGCAAGAAGTCTCGTATCTCTTTTGCTTTGAACTGAGTTTCTTCTTGCTGCGCGCTGACTTCTTGTGGCGGCCCGAGGCAGGGACCCTCTGCGAGGACTCTCGGTCAAAACTCAGTTCGGCCGAGGCAGCAATGCCCCGGTCGCCAACAACCACGCTGGCAGGCGAACTAATCCCATCCCTGGGGCCGGAGTCGGAAATCTCCTCATCCTCGATGGATGGGAGCACGCGGTCACAAGCAGAAAAGCCGACCTCACTCTCTGGGTCGTATGCCTTATCATAGCTGACTTGATAGTCAGCCTCGGGATCCTTGCGGACCAGACGCCCCAGCCGACGAGCAGCACCATCCAGGACCAGCTCTGAGATCTGACGGTGGTACCGTTCCGTCACGACCAAGTATTTGGATTCAACAAGCTCCTCGAGAACCGATTCTGTTGCGAAGGGGAGGAGGGCATTTCGAAGGAGATGGCAGGCTTCAATGGGACATTTCTTTCCATTTGCCTGACACTCCACATAGAGCTCAGCCATAAGCTGGAGGTCTCTTCCTTGGAAGAACAGAGCTCCATGGATGACTTGTCTCATGACTTCGTTGCAGCGAGTTAGGGTATCATGTTCCTCACGTGACTCCAGACTATATCCATTCTCATAGCCCTCCGCATGCTGTCCCGTCCCCAATCGGAACAGGGCAGTGCTCAGGATAGAGTGGAATTCGTCCATAATGGAGTCAGCGATGAGTGAGGTATCTTGTGAAGGATCGGACTGGGGACAGCTGGGTTTGTTTGGGTGTGCGGGAGGGATGAAAGCCGTGAAAATCACAGAACGTGTGGTCTCAAGAGATACAAAATGATCAAGGAACACGAACAAAAGAATGTTATTGAAGGAATGACAGGAAGATGGGAAGAGGAAGAGGGGATGTCATGCGAAGGTGTCAAATGTAAACGAAGGAAGTGTGGTAAACTAATGTATCCCGTTTTGGCGCATGTCCAGCGACGACTCATCCCTCCTCGAATTTACAAAATGAATCCCTCGCGGACTCAGAAATGATCTAATACGAATTGTTGTATATTGACTGACTATTAGGGTCATTTGGTTGCTTCATTGTTAAGCATGGCAATAAGGATCATTCCAAGGCACAGCCAGACTGGCAGCTTGAATCATTAGTCTCAATGAGTAGAAACAAGATCAAAAAGTCAATACTAAAAAGATGATACATTCATTGTGAAACAAAGAATAAAGAAAAGAGAAAACTTCTAGGAAAGAAGAACAAAATGACAAGACTGGGATTCGAACCCAGGTCCCCTTTCGGAGATGCGGATGCTAGGAGGGATTAACCTAAACCGCACGCCTTAGAACCACTCGGCCATCTTGCCAATCAAGTGTCAAAAATTCCATTGCAATACTCATGACAAGATCCCTGAAAATCCAATTTTATAGCCCAATCCAACCATCAATGAATCGGATATTCTCTTAACTTATTTCTTTTTCTCCTTTTTCAACTCTATAAATTAAATACTATAAAATATGACAGAAATATGGTCTTATTATATCTCCAGGTAAATGAATTTTGTTCTGTTTATTTGCTACTGCTTTCTCCGACAGTTATATATATGCAAGCCCCACCCTTTCTTAATGCTCCGACCCTCAGGACGGCGATGTCGGATTCACCTGAACTTCCAACCACCAAGCCCAGGAAACCAAAAGGTTGTCATTATCAACCCCTAATATTAATCCTATCAATCCTCTCGAGAATGTTCCGACATTGGCTGCCTCAACTCCACCCCTCGCCGTGGACGCTGACGCCATCAGACTCCAAATGCACGTCTTCTTGGCGATGGCAGACGGCAAAGGCTGCGGGGCTGATAGGCAAAAAGGCCATACAGAAACAATAAATAAGACGAATTGAAGCTGCTCCTGGTGGGTTGAAACCAGACATACTGTGGTCATACACACATCCGGAAATACTAAAGCTGGCGCCAGGCCAAGAGCCCTCATCATGTCTTCAACAAATAAAAAGCAACTCATCATCAATGCCTTCGCCATGCATTCGCCCAGCCACCTGAACCCAGGGCTGTTTCGCTATCCCGCAGACAAGGGCTCCGACTACAAAAACATTAAGACCTGGATTGCCCTCGCGCAAAAGCTCGAGGAGGCCAAGTTCCACGCCATCTTCTTTGCAGATGTCCTCGGCGGCTACGATGTATACCGTGGCCCGGCCAACCTCGACCCGACTATCCCCGCGGCAGCCCAATTCCCCATCAACGACCCTCTGTACAGCATCTCTGCCATGGCGGCCGCGACCGAGAGCATCGGGTTTGGAGTGACAGCGTCGACCACCTACGACGCGCCGTATGCGCTGGCGCGACGCTTCTCGACTGTGGATCATCTCAGTAACGGCCGCATTGGATGGAACATCGTGACCTCGTACTTGGATTCTGCGGCACGCAACTTCGGGCTCGACACTCAGATCGAGCATGATGAGCGCTATCGCATTGCTGACGAGTACCTGGACGTCACTTATAAACTATGGGAAGCGTCGTGGAGGGATGATGCCGTGAACTGGGGACATGATGCCCCAAAGTCTAGTGGCGAGGCTGAGGGCCAGAGATACGCGGATCCTTCTGGTGTGCGGCAGATCAATCACAAAGGAAAGTATTTTCAAGTGCCCGGCCCGCATCTCTGCGAGCCGAGTCCCCAGCGTACACCTTTCCTGCTGCAGGCGGGAACCTCAACGGCCGGGAAAGCCTTTGCAGCCAAGCATGCCGAGGCTGTTTTCCTTCACGCGCAGAAGCCGGAACTTGTCCGGCCCTCGGTGGATAGCATTCGCCAGCAGGCAGCCGAGGGCGGGCGCAACCCCGAGGACATTAAGATCGTCGCCGGGGCACTCGTGATTGTGGCAGAGACGGACGAGGGGGCACAGGCCAAGTTCGAGGAGCTCAAGAAATACGGCGATCGGGAAGGGGCGCTGGCTCTGTTCGGGGGTTGGACTGGCTATGACTTGTCGACGTATGCTGACGACCAAGATTTTCGGTTCGTGGAGCTGCCCGCGGTGCGAAGTATGGTGAACCACTGGGCGAGCACGGTGCCGGGTACCGAGGGCCAGAAGTGGGACAAGAAGACTATCGCCGAGTACCTGACGCTCGGTGGAAATGGAGTCAAAATCATAGGCAGCGTGCAGACCGTGGCTGACGAGCTGGAGCGCTGGGTGACTGTTGGCGATGTCGACGGGTTCAACCTCAGCTATGCCAGCATCCCAGAAACGTTCGATGATGTTATTCGCCTGCTTCTTCCGGAGCTGCAGCGACGCGGTCTCTTTTGGTCTGACTATGCTGTTCAGGGAGGGACCTTTCGGGAGAACATGTACTCCAAGCAGGGCCAGTCGAGACTGCCCGAGTCTCACCCGGGTGCGAAGTATTTCTGGAGAGAGGGACAGGAGGTGCCCCCCTATTCATTGACAGAGTCAAAATAGATTGCAGCCTGTGGATATGGAATGTACATAGTGACACATTGCAGAAGAAATGCCATGCTCGTGCCCGACGCCGAATAGTACAGTAAAACGGGCCTTTGGACATCACGTATCAACGGGAAATGCCCACATTGCCCTTGCTTCTTCCGTCGACGTCTCTCCCGCGATTTGGTTGATACACATGGCATGTAGCTCCTGATTCTGCCTTTTCTTTTCCGTGATATCCAACTGAGGTGCGATCCACCCTTCCGCATCAGTATCGAGGCATTCTTGAGCAAGAGCTTGCAACTCATGCCAAGCCTCATTTTGAGCAAATTGGCGCCCATGTACTTCAATTTCTTCGTCACTGAATGTGAAGGGACACTCCCTAGAAGATCCCAGCTGGGACCAATTCTGGAAGATCTCGATCAGACAAGTGCGAAGTGGGAGAATGCCCATCTCCGAGACTTCTCCGCACCGAGGAAAGAGTTCTCTAAAGACGAGGGATATTCATCGCATTATGTGCCGCTCTGTCCTCCAGGTAGTTGGATACCTCGTAGGCCTTTGCTAACTTTGCCTGATCCCATTGTTGCAGAGCAGCGGATTTGCATTCTTCGTCGAGGGAGTCAAAGTCGTCGGGCAGCCTTTGACTGGACTGGACTAGGCCCTTCACATAGTCGTAGCCTTGGGGAGGCTTGAGAAAGACTGGCCACTGGGCCTGAAGAAATGCTGGTAGTACCATTATGGACTGGAAATCAATGAGAGATACTATTTTGGAGCATTCCTCGGGGTCGACGTAGATGTTTCCCATGTGCAGATCAGTATTCCAAAGTGTTGGTTGAGAAGCACGTTTCAATGTTGGGTTTGAGTCCAGGGGTTCCATTAGGTGCATGGTGGTCTCCGGGATCTGGGATTTTTCTTCGGTGCTTCCTTGATAGAAAGTTGGCTCTCCCCTGGACTCTTCTCTGAAAGACGAGACAATTGTCATTTTCCAACGAAGACACCAAAAGACGATAGCGAATCCCCTGTGCAAACAAAGATCCTTAGCCAGTGAGCTGCCAGATTGTCCATGTTACTTACAAGGCCCTTGGTCAATGTTCTTTGACCTGCTATTGTCTTTCGCCAAATCATCGTTAAACGCGCGATCACAAGAAAACCCAATGCAAAAAGAGCTGGACGGGTCGATGTCCTCGGCGAGTTGTTGATGCGTGAAGTTACCCGCATCTGCTCACAGGTATAGTCCTCCATAACTAGGGAATTGAATGGAAGAAAGCTGGCACTCAAGATTTGTCGGATTCTGGATCAGCTGTAGCTTATCGAATTCGGTCATGGTGCTCCATCGCTGAAAGAGCGGGACTCCTGCAGCTTTCTCCATGATGATGTCCTCGACACCAACAGAATTCGATTTATTCAATGACCAGGCAAGAATACACCGAACCTGAATGCTGGTGTGCTGCCGGACTAAGTTGCACATCCTTAGCCAGTGTGGAATTCTTTTGGGTTGAAGAAAACATACTGTATTCCAGAACTCCCACTTCACATGCCGTTGTTAATAACGGAGGGCCTGCAATTAGACATGGAATTTTTGTGATGACTTCCATTCCGTTGCTCTTTTTCATGAGAAGGGCCTTGTTGAACCCTCCCTCCATCTTCCCAACGGCAGTGATCTCAGATGATACTCCAGCGTAGCAGCGGTGCTGTACAGCGCATCCAAGTCAAATTTTACATGGCGTCGATTGAACTGGCGCTTTTCATCGAACGGGAAACGGCCATTAGTATAGGCGAAGGGTTCATCGCGGGTGCTTGATCTGCCTGGTTTAAGTTAGAGATGCTCTAGTAATAAATCAAGGGTTTTGCTTACCTCGACACGTTATTGAGAGTGGGAATTGTCGGCTGTGTCGTATTCCTCTGAAGTTTCTGAGAAGGGAGAGCGTGGCAATGGTGAAGTTGTGAAGTGAGGATGCGCTGCGCTTTGGTTCCTACATCGGGTCGATTAGCACCGAGCCCATCAACTACATCTTTGTTTACTAGACATATGATGATTTAAAGAAATACACTTAAGTATCTTTACTAGATGATTTTGAAAAAGGATTGCTCGGAAATAACCGACGGAATTGCACGGCGAAGAGTCGGATTCAATGACATGAACGATCCATGGACACACTTAGTTGCGGTTTGTCATGTAGTTATACCCCCGGTCAACCATTACCTTGGCCTTCTTGGTTTGCTCATCCAGATCCTCCATAGGCAGGCCCAGAAGTGAATTGGCCAGCTCATGCGTGCTCTCGAAATTACCACCTCCGTTGGGGAAAAGGACACGCGAGTACATGGTCAGAGGATATTTGCTGAAATCCCCCTGCTTCACGCGCTCCACCCCCCTCTGATGTCGCTGACTGCTCGGCTCGTACTCGATGGTCCAGTCACTATCCTGGTCGCCCGTGACCCGCTTCCAGCTCTCAAACATGTCCTTCTGGCTGAGCAAGAAGCTCGAGATGAAAACTTGCTTGTTCAGCCAGCGAGCCACCGTCAGGCTCTGGTCATCCTCATCCTGAGGCAGCACCGGGAGACTCAAGATGGTGGCAACCGCCCGGCCACACTGGGTCTGAGTGCTGATATTGATTTTGGTGTTTCCATCATCGCACAGAGTCAACTTCTTCTCCACAAAGTTGAACCCAAAGGCGTCGGGCCCGAGTGTCACACTGTGCTCGTACCAAAACCCGCAGATCACCCCGATCCACGCGATTCCGGCTTTCTCCATTTCAGCGGCTACGGCGGGCATCCGGTTCCAGCCCGGCACATCGTTCGCCAACCCTTCGTTCGTGACGTCGCAGCCCCATATGTTCGGCATCACATACTTGACACCCGCTTTGGCGGCAGCTTGCACAAGCTTGAGTTGAGTGTCGGACGGCGCTGTAACGGCCAGAGTGATGATGAGGCAGTCCTGGTCCTTGAGAGCGCTCATCAGGCTTGCCTCGTCATTGTAGTCGACCGAGACCGACTGGATGCCTTCGGGCAAGGTGTTTTGGCTGCCCACGCGAGTCAAGGCGGTTAGAGTGTGCTTGCCCGTTTTAAGCACTTCCTGTGCGATGGGCTTGCCAACGGAGCCTCCGGCCTGCAGTCTCGTCAGTCAATGAGGTCGTCAATATAAAGGTGTGAATAATTGACGTACGCCGACCATGGCAACGCGCCGGATCTGGTTTATAAAGCCCGGGGCTTGGTTTTTCACGTAGTTGCCAGCCATTATGCTTGCGATGAGGTAAGAGTTGCTCAATTGATTTGCACGCAATGAAAAATGAAGTTTTGATTTAAAGATTGTCTTGATTGACCTTAAAGAACCTACACTTGAAATACTGAATGCTCTTTATACTTTGTATTTTGTAGACTTCTCTGACCTCAGCCGGCGATAGTCGCCCAAGGGTTGTTATCTCCGCTCTCAAGCAGGTATCTCCGTTGCAAGTCTTATTCAACGCCCCGCTAAAGCTCATTCCTGGGGTAAATATGTGGTGAGATTAAGTTCCTTTTATTATTATTATTATTACTATTACTATTAAAAGGAACTTGATGTTAAGAAAAGCCAGTTCAAAAAAAAAAATGGGCAAGATTCCGTCCAAAAACAAAGCCTACTTACACTTTTCTTAGACAAGCTCATAACTCTAGGGCCTGTCGCCGAAGCTTTGAGCGACAAAAAAATATTAACGGCCTGTTGCCAAAAATACAATTTAGCTATGATATGCTGGTGATCTGTGGCGCGGACATATCGGGCAGCGTAGAGGCCGAGCACCGAGAGCGTGGAAATCGTCATACATAGCCATTAAATTCGGATTTGGATTGAACGAGTCGTGCAAGCATCAAAATTCCCTAACACTAAATTGCTATATCAGACGTAATCGCCCGGTGGAGTAATTTGCCTCCGACAATGACTCGGTAGACAGCGTGCCTCGGACATACCCTTGGAAGGCTGCCTAATCCCGGACCGACCTGATTTACTTAGTTTTGCTCTCAAATGTGCCACGCTACGAGATAGATTAGATTGATAAGTAGTAGTTTGTGACCTCGTACATTTCCATTACTATAACCAATATAGAGACTGGCGAGAATATTTCAACCCATCAAACATCCGACCAACCCTCCATATAAGACTTCAAATCAATCTCCTCGGGCAGTCTGAGATGGGGAGTCAGATAGGCATCCGGAGTCAGCTCCTTCAAAGTCCAGCCATTCCCAAAGTATGCAAATCGATTGCCGCTGGGGTTGATATAGGTGTACTCCCAATCCTCCCAACGAGGATCGCGCCGGATATAGTTCGCATGGGAGGCACTACCAGGGAAGAGGCCGTGAATACGGGCGCCTGGACGACCGCCGTTGTACCAAGAGCTACAGTTAGCCGACCATACGGTGCGTGGATAGAACTGGTCACAGTATTCGACGAAGTCGTCGGCTGCCTGCTTGGACGGCGCAATAGCCTTGATACCCTGTGTGCGGATCTTGCGCAAAACCTTGGCAATATATGTGACTTGGTTTTCGAGGCTGTTGGGCACGGTGCCGCTGTGTCCAGAGGAGTAGGGACCGCCGAGCCAGAGAAGATTGGGGAAGCCCGGGGTTGCGAATCCCAGGTAGGAGTAGGGGAAGCCAAACACTCCATCTTTCTTCCAGGCACTTTTGAGGTCGATTCCGTTTGCGATGATTGAGAATGGAGGCGCATGGTCGACGTTGGCGCCCGTCGAGCAAATTATTATGTCTGCTTCTCGCTCCACGCCGTCTTCGGTCACGATGCCCTTCTCAGTGAAGCGCTGGATGCGCGTCCGGATATAACTGACATTGTCCTTGGTGAGTGCTTCTAGATACCCCGGACCAGGCGTCGGACGACGACAGTTGGGTGGGAAATCAGGGAGGATTTTGTCTCCCAGCTCTGGCTTGTCCGAGACACGCTGCAGCATTAGATCCGTCCATTTGCCGTGCAGCGTCCGGTTCTCGGGCGAGTCTTTGAAAATTGCCCCGAACCGCTGAAAATAGCCCTTCTCAACGCCCTTGCGATATTCCAGGTATGCTTGTGGATCTTTGAATGATTCCAACTGTGACTCTGAGAATAGATTCGGCTCTAGCCGACGCACTCCTACGTTACCGCTGCTGAACGATTCTGCGATCCATGTTGGGTTCCGCGCATAGTGGTCGACATGGCTGGCAATTGGTTGGATAGAGGGAAGCACTTGTAAGCCGGATGCGCCATTCCCAATGAGGGCAATTCGTTTCCCTTGTAAGTTCAGATTGTGGTTCCAGTTAGAGGAGTGGAAAAGTGTTCCCTTGTAATCATTGATTCCTGGATAGTCGGGCAATTTCCAGGCGTTGAAGTGGCCTATGGCGTTGATGAAAACATCTAGTTTCTCTTCGTAAACCTGCGGCTTCAAATTAGATTTTACCTCAAAAAAATGAATATTGTGAATACGACGTACCTTGTTGGAGCCGTCGACGTGCTCAATAGCAATTTTCCATTTGCCCTCGTCGGCCAGCCATTCTGCTCTTTGTACTTGTTGTTGTGGCCGAAGGTATTGGTACACATTATGTTTCCGCGCCACACCCTGCCAGTAGTCTCTGATCTCTGCTCCCTGGGCGAATTCTTCGGTCCATTGGGTGTTGGGCGCGAAGCCAGACTGGTATACATGGGCAGGTATATCACATCGCACGCCGGGGTAGGTATTTTCGAACCTGTTTCAATGCATTAGTGGACAGAAAAATGAAGACGCGAAATAAAGAATCAATCGCTCTGAATTCACAGCAAAGACGAGAGGGAAACTATACCATGTTCCTCCCTACATGGAGGATGGTTAGTTGGAAACTGGGATACAAAATATATGACAGGCCACATACCACATCTGAATTCTTGTCGTAGATTCGAAGGTCCAGTCCCGGAAGCTTTGCTGGCAGTAACACGCCCGCCGTGATCCCCGCGATGCCAGCGCCGATGATGCCCACTTTAATCGATCTCACTTCATCGACTGGGTGTTCTTCGAGCGTAAATGGGGTCTGTTCTGTTGGGTAATCCGACTCAGATCCACTAATGCTACTTTTCAAAGTCACGATAGGTGTTCGGTCCAAGCCCGAAAGACCCTTGACTGGCTCGGAGATATGTTTGATATCCGACAGTGAGGACAGGCCAGAGACTTCGGGGGTCCCACTAGAGCCATGACGAATGTTTGATCTCCAGCGCAAACGTTGAATTTAGAGAATGCGAGAGAAAATTATGAATTTGTTGTGGTGAGCTGGGCTGGCACTTTTGTAAGTAAACACCCCCCGCACATCCCTGCACGCCATTTGGGCCGTTTTCGACGCCACTCGAGAAATTGGAGTTGGCTCTTCAATCTGATAAGCCAGTAGCTCTCTGGGACTGCAAGGCGGTTGGATATTGGGTCAGACTTGAGATTGGGGGGATTGATTTGGCGTTGCTAACATCATCGGTGATCGCGATGGCGTGCCGAGCATTGAGATGGGTTTCTATCAACACCATCCGCTCCACTCCCAACGCCATTGTGGGGTGCAAATTGCAACAACTCTGACACTTTTAAGGCAGGTCTTGGGCCAATTTATTAACCCGGCAAGTCAACTACTTACCCTGAGCCCCATTCGTGGTGTGCTCGGCGGGGTGTCTGTTCGACCTTGACGAATTTTCTTGGTCGGTAGTAGAGCTAAGATGATGCTCTGTAACTTGGAACCAAATTAAACATGATTAAGAGACAGGAGGCTTACTGGGGGCTTTGGCAGAATCTTTTGGGTAGTTTAGGGATAGCACAAGAGTTTGTAAAAGCTAGGTTCGGAGCAGCGCATGAAATACTTCGTAGTATGCGTGAAGAACGCCAGCGCGTCCTCCGTAGTCAAGTGCAACGACCAACCTCTATACGCAGTCAGCAAGGCTCAATGTATGGCTATAGGAAGAATCAATGCTCACCGAGAAAACACGATCAAATCATGCAAAGTATTTTGCATGATCGAATATTTCTGGGCGACCATAGCATCCAATATATGACAGGCCAAGGCCGCCACCAGTAACTTTGAAGGGCGTGCATCGTCGCCACAAGGTCAGACCCTGACAGAAGCCCATCCATGGCTTTGGCTTTCTGTATTGGCTCGCTCACAATCGGTTCCACGATCTCTCTCGGCCACTCGCCTGTCCATTTTCTTCGCGTGCAAGGGTCCCAATCGCCAATCTACCGTTTGCAACACAGCCATGTCTTCGTCCTCATCATCTGTCAATTCACGATCATTCATTCTAAATATAGCCTCACTTTCATGTGGAAGAAAGTCAGGGGTAGTCAAAAACGGAAAGTAGTTTCAAACTTACTTGTCGCAAACCCAATCGTACCTAACCGATGGAATCATAGGGCAACCTGCCTTTGAAGAGGTACCACCCCTGGATAAAATAAATATATTAGTAGCTTTCAATCATCACATAGAGTGTTGGCATACCTTGGAGAATTCACGTTCAAGATTGCGATCTCTCTCAAATGAGTGCAACGTGTAAGAAAGGCTTAAGCTCCAGGAGAAAATGTAGAGCATTCCATTGCTCGTCAACATTTGGTTCACTTCATCCTTTGCAGCCTCTTCATTTGCGTCTTTCAGAAGGTAATCCTTTTGAAGCTCCTGTTGTTAAGTGTTCGGGATCTCTGGAAAATCAGTCCTTGGAAGGGAGTATGGTCTGCCAGGAGGGGAAATGGCGCCAGTAGCGATGTCCAGATCATGAAGCTCAACTCCAAGGCGCGATAATTCCTCATCGCTGATGAGGTAACCGTGGGTTCGGTCCTGCGCCCCGATATTATCGGGCGAAAGTGACTGGATGATATTTCTCAAGCCAGCGCAGTGTGAGGTATCGCTGGTAGTCAGTTTCCATTTTGATGAAGAATACCTTGTAAAAAGAGAATATCAGAAAGCCATATCAGTCTATAGACAAGAATGAATTATGACGGCATGCCAGGTTTGACCTAGTGCGGATCCAAGGAGTTGATGATGCAACTGTCATCTATCCATGGAAACTCTGGATTCCAGCTCTAGTAACGCAGGAGAAACATTTGTTTCATTAACTAGAAGTTACAAAATTTTAAGCATGGCAATAATACCAAATAGAATATATAACTAAGAAAGTGAGATTGTACGTCATCCATTTAGATCCAAGTATGCTGATGAGCACATAGACTGTCTCTAAGAAATCGCTAATCAGAATAGTACATCTATATACGGTTATATTGCTAGGTAATGTCGTGCCCTCGAGTTATGAGCTGCTTGAATAAGGTTGGGGATGTCTAAAGATGAACGGGAGGTAGGTCACAGGTTCTCTTCGACTTCTTACTCGATTTCCATAGTCAACTGAGGATCCTTGGACATAAAATTAGGTTATATGTAAGTTATTTATATACATTTGGAAATCCATGGATATAATTGATATATTGTGCCGTTCACATCATTTTGAGAGCCCTTCAGCCTATTCTTGTTGCAAAACGACCTTTAATTTGCACCAATCAGAGCATGTTAGCACAGCGGAAGAGCGCCGGGCTCATAACCCGGAGGACCCTGGATCGAAACCAGGACATGCTATCTTTTTTAGACTTTTCTTGTCTTTTTTTATTCTAATAATTTCTGATGGCTATGATCAATGTTATACCACTCATTAAAGCTATGGAAGGTTGCTTATTTCGGTTTGTTGCTAACCTAAAGCACAAAAACTGCTTTATGTGTCATGGTCGACTACGGGTTACAGCCAAGGGGGGCCCAGAAAATGCCAAGAGGGGTCCAACAGTCGGGAGAATATTACGCCGAAATTTTTGGGCCCCCCAGCTCACTGAGTCGACCGGGGCCCAAAATACTTGATATATAATAAAATTTCTTACTAATAATACTTTCTTTATCTATAGATCAACTCTATATAATATATTCAAAGATTAACAAACTTATATTAGATATACTGTAAAGAAGATGATTTAACACATAAGTAATACGTTAACTGGAAGATAACTCAGACCCTGCCTCAATCGGGGTAGTATCTCGTAGTGGTCGGAATCGGGGTCCAAATAAGGGATCATGGAAATACTGTGAAGGTGCCATGATATAGTAGATATAGAATAAAAAAGATAAAAAAAAAGATTTGTGTATAAAATTAGCTTAGATAATAAGGAATTCTTTGGGCCCCGCTTGGCACTTTTTGGGCCCCCTTAGCTAGGTGCCCACTTAATATGTCACCTAAAAAAAACCCTAAATGCTCAAATATTAAAGCATTTATATAACAAGGCATAATATTAGTATAGTTCTTTGTTCTAAGAAGATAAATAGATAGGAATAGAGTAGACAAGATTTGAAACTCACAGAAAAGAAGAAGGTGAATAAAAAGTATTCAATTTAAAGGTTAAATTTTTGGCCACTATAGATACAACCTTTTCTTAATTCTTCTCTAATATACGTTTAGTGCCTTTAGCTCCTCTGTTGATAGGTGGATGTATCTCAGATGTACCCAAAAAAGCTCTCCAATGTATTGATCTAGAAAATCGATTCAGCTATAATACAACTTATTGAGCACGAGCTTATTGAATATCGACAATGCTCTGGTTATCTTGACCTGGAATCCTGTCAGAGGATATTTTATAGCAGTGAAGTAATCGTTACTCTGGGCTATGAGTCTGGCGCTATTCTATTTTAATATACTTTCAGTGCCTATACTCACTCTAGATTGACACACGGCAGTTTGCCCACGACTTTCCCCAGACCCAGACGAGCTTTACCCTTCCCTCACAAGATACAGAAGAGCCACTCAACTTCCGAGAGACCCTGACCAACAGGTCGAGGGCGGGCGCTGTCAACAGGCTGGTGGTCATGCACTTTGCTTGAAAATGCCTTCTAAGGCCACCATTTATGTGACTCTACAGCTTGACGCGTTGCAATACCCTTCGGGAGATCGCGGGGCTACGGGCGTAGTCCGTTGCCCTAAAAGGAATCAGAATCTTGATCTCACTATCTGTCAATGCCCTGGCCGCACGTTCGGCTGCTGAAAGCTTCGTAAACTTCTAAGGTATACCTTCCTCCTTCTGACTAGGGTGAAGTTTAAACAGAAGCCTAAATCAAGCTGAAGTGAATGATCTACAAGACAATATTTAAGATCTTCACCTTGTTCAGCTTGGAGCCTCTGCTGCGATTGACCTCGCCATCGAGACCAACCCCCACGCGGAGTTCACATCCGTCCTGGCGCCAACTACAACCAAGAAACAGAGGACAAGGTTACCGCTGCCAGGGAGATCGATTTCCTGCGCAAATCTGTCGAGCAGCTCACCGAGTCTAACAAGAGACTCGTTAAAACCAACAGCAAGCTGGTTGATATCATCAACGAGCTCCTCCTCAACAAGAAGCTTGCCGATGCCAAGAACACGGGTTCTGGTGTGTATTCGTCTCCTCCATCTCCTGGAAGAGATCTCTAAATAAGGTCCGAATGTAATCCGCCTCCTCGAACGGTTGGTGATAGTTGTGAGCGAAGATGAGCCGCCTCGGGGTAGTCTCCAAGGGTCCGTACTGACGGACGTAAGCCCCAATGGTAAAGTCGAGGCTCGAGTTCAAGAACTTCTCACATTCTGGCCCGACGGCTCTAGCCACGAACGCAACCTGGGGTGGTCGCTCCGTTGGAGCTTCATCATATAAGAGGTTAGCGGGCTCAGCTTGGGGGTTTTTATCGGGCTCACAAGCATCACAACAAACCTGGCCAGGTCGCCAAAGCCAAGCATACTGAGGCTGGAAGCGTACCCATGACCTCTCAGACGAGTATTGGCCGGTGACATTTTGAGTCGACGAGCTCTGTGGCTACGGCGAAGAAGCGTAAGCTCTTCAATACCCCTATGGGTTTTTATATTTACTCGGTCTCTATTTCATCATTGAGCTTCAATCACAGAGGAAGGAGCTTTTGTACTTAGTTGAGAAACAAGAAATTCCCAGTTTCCCTTTCTTGTCATGCACATAAATGCTTTAAATTCTGGACAGGCCACTGATCCTCGCTTCGCTCGGGCGACGTTAGGAGGCGTAGTAAAGAGCAATAACTAAGATTCACAGGCTTATTGTTTACTAAATGTATAGCTTATAATAGTTACTAATTTTTCTCTTTATTCTTCTTCTCTTTTTCTAGGTATTTTTCCAATTTTCTTTCTAAGTGTTTTTGTTACTATTAATATTAGAGACCTGGAGAGGGGGCGTTGGTTAGAGCATGTTTTCCCAAGCTAATTGCTAGATGATCGTCACGTAGACACAAAGAAACTCGAAACGACATCCCGCTATCATATAGTCAGACCTTTGTCTAAATTATGGTTGATTTTTGCTTCGAAACTGGCGGTACCCACAGCACCGGGCATATACATCAACCCTGTTCCTCACAAGCTGACCGACTTCTTCCCCCCTCTTCTACTATTGAGATGGCGAAACACAGACATACTGACGACCCTTCAGACCCTCGCCAGTCGAAAGCCGCGAGACTCAATGTCCGTGTCTTGGACAAGTTGCAAAAAGCTGTTAACGACAACCCGGAGGTTGATCTTCTCACGTTATTTCCCCGCCGATATTCACAACGTCTGGCCGAAAGCATACCCTTTGTTCATGAGCCTGCCGGTAAGTAAAGCCCGTGGTCCTTCTTTTCGCATCGCTTATATTTCCCGTATACAAGGCAGAGAGAGAAAGACACCCAGAAACGACGAAAAAGAAGATATTCGAGATTTCCTCAGCCCATCAGATCCAGTGGAGATTATTTTCCCTTTCTCCCCAGCGGTTTCGACTCTCCTCGATACGGTATCAGAGACCGTTAATCCACTACCTCAAGGACTCTCCCAGAGACTATACGAGCTCCTCCGCAGAAGCGAAACAGTTTGGAAAGCCCCGTTTGCCAACCAGAAAGGGGTATACATATGCTCGCCCGACATTGTGGTCAAAGTGGTTTCCAACCTCGAGGATGCGACTGAATACACCACCCTGCAATATCTGGAGCAACACAAATCAGATATCCCGGCACCGAGGCCTCTTGGAATGGCGCGGATGAACGACATATCTTTGATCTTCATGAGCCATGAAATCGGTCTCGCTTGGACAAGTATGGGCCACCCTCAACTCTCGCCAGAAATGCTCCATCCGCGACCAGCTTGACACAATCTTAGTTGATCTGAGATCCCTACCTCATCGCGAGGGAACACCGCTTGGAGGAGTTACGGGAGAGGGCTGTTAAGATATCAGGCGGCATCTTCGCAAGAGTTCGATGCCGATCACCAGTCTGGGGGATTTTAAAACATTCTTGCTCTCGAGCCCACATCCGGGGGGAGAGGTGTTAATTGAACTGCTTCATCAATTATCTCCACCAGTCGATCCAACACCTCGTATGGTTTTCACCCATGGAGACATCAAACCGGACAATATCACTGTGGAAGTGACGGAGAATAACTATATTACCTCTGGGGTCCTTGACTGGGAATACAGCGGATTCTATCCGGATTATTATGAATCGGTTCGGTGCACCAACTGCTTCGCGCCGTATAGAAATGAGAACTGGTTCCTGCCTTCCTGAGTATGTCTCCCCGAAACGTTTTGCGCATTGGTGGCTCCTCGACCGAGTGCGAGAAGCCAGAGTTCTGTAAAATACCAGAAGACCATAATATTTGCAGCATATCCAAATGCTAAAGTAGCAAAGTAGCAGTATGACAAGATAACGGGAGGAGCCGGAGGCTCATAGAAACCTTGGAAGCGCGGAGTGGATTTGTCAGTTGGTTCCGCCATCGCGGGGTTCCAAGGTTGTCTTCTCTCTCCAGCAACACATCCCCGAGTGTCTGATCAGCACGATGAAGCTGGTGCTCTCGACCTCGTAAGACTTCTCCCTCCATATCCCATATCCCGTGGCCAGGACTGACATCCACGCAGAAATATCATGCAGGGCGGACGCCCGTCCGTCCTCCGGCAGCCGTTGACCCAAAAATCCAACGTCGAGCTGATCAACTCGCTGCGGTTAAATTTCCTCGCCTCGCAACACATTGAATCCCCTCCGAGTAATGGCGCCGACTCCAACGGGACCAATCCCACAATCACGAACGGATGCCCCTCGTGGACGCTTCACCGCGACGATGCCCTCTACATCCCCGCAATCGACTTCACGCAATCCGGGTTAGCAGAAGAGCGAGACCAGTACGACATCACAGTGAAACTGTTTTATTTACCCGGGATCCCAGCCTCAAGACGGTGCGCGCACACGCGCGAAGCGATAGATCTCGTGCTGAAAGAGCTGCACGTCGAATCAATCGACCTGTTAATCGTGTCGTTCCCGGGGATCCTCTTCGATGCCGACGACGACAGCGACGAAGAAGAATACGCAGGGGACCGCAGCGGAGACGCAGACGATTTCGATAGCATGGTTCAGACGTGGCGGGTGCTGGAGTCGCTGCACGAGCAGGGCAGCATCGCGCAGCTGGGCGTCGCCGAGTTCGGCTGTGACCGGCTGGCCCGGTTCCTGCCGCACACCAAGGCCCAGCCGTCTGTTGACCAGATCAATCTCAAGGACTGTTGCGTCGTGCCTAAGTCGCTGATTCTCTATGCGAAGCAGGAGCATATCCAGCTCCTGACTCACAACGACTGCAATGATATCCTCCCCGTCGGCACGACGCGCGAGCTTCTCGGGCCCGGTGAGAAGGGTGCCGGCATCCTGGCCTCTGCGCCCGGTGCGACCGATGGGATCCAGGGCGATGTCGAGCCGCAGTGGGTGGTCAAGTATACGGCCGTGGTCAAGGATCGCGGGGTCGTGGAGAATAAGGGCTACTTTGCGCTGGCGGATGTCGGCACCTGTGTCAAGGCCCGATCATGAATCCCTTTTCTCTTTCTGATGGCAAGCGCGGCGTTTTTATGGTTCCCGCTGAATGGGTACAGATCTAGTGGATATTCACAGAGCATCGATATTTCAATTCAAATGCCCGGCTTTCTAAAGCATCTGGCGGTCTAAGCAAGTTGATCGAAGGCAATACGCACATGACGACATAGAGCCATAGGTTATTGTCTATCTATCTACAAGTTTCTATATAAAAACGGCCCGGCTTGATGGAATGTGGACAGTGGCTCTGACTGCAAAATGTGGGGCAAATCTGTATATTTGCTCCTGGCTAGGGTATATTGCAGCGACAATATGTGCAAAGCCTCTTAGATAGTCACGCCTGATCTATGTTTAGGTTTTCGGGTTCGACGTCTAAGGAATGGAGCGCCAGGCTTGATAAAATGATTGCTACAAGAGAGTGTATAGATCAACAGCAACCCCTCAAGTCCGAATACAAGGGAATCCCAGATGTACAAGTGAATTGATAGAATGCATACTTGTTGATTCTCGACCCAATATCTTTTGAGGCCCTATGAATTTCATTCCCGAGTCCCCAGTGGGAAGGGGTTAAGTTTGAAATCCATTCGCTGGATTTCCCAACGACCCTTGAGCCCAGCGGCCTCTTTTTCTGTAGATAGCGAATTCCAGTAGGCCGTGAGCACCAGAACCAAGCCCTAATTGCTGGGCCATACACGGTGGGCGTCATTAGTAGCCTTTCGGAGAGGCAGGCAGCGACACAGTCGATAGAGCGTAGAGCATCCCCCGTCAGAGCGGATTTTGACTTCTGGGCGAGTGAGACTCGAGATTCTTAACCGTAACCAGTCGAACCACTTCGATTGTTGGCCGAATAATATTAAACCGTAGACATCCGTCTGGGCTTTAGCCAATCATGCTCCGCTTGCGACCTCGCATCCGCACGTCCTCGAGTCTCTTCAGCGTAGACGGAGCGCCCCGATGACTCTCGCGGTATCCCTGGACCAGCGCATCGAAGAATGGTTCCGAGCGCGGATGCGTGCTGCCAATGGCGCGCTCCAACACATACAAATCCACCGCGCGGTCTTCGTCCTGGACGCTCTGCGACGCGAGCCCGAAATCAATAAGGACAATGTCGCCCTTCATGGATGCGCCGTTCTCAGTAGTGGTTGTCGCGGTATTATCCTGCGGCGAACCCCGCAGCATGAGGTTGCTGGTAGTCAAGTCACCGTGGATAACGCCGGCCTTGTGCAGCGCACCGATTGTCGCTCCCATCCGCTTCAGGAGCGCCCGCGCACTCGCCTCCTCGCGCTCACGCTGCACCGGGTTTAAGGATGCCTCATTCTGCTTCATCCATGCCTCCCATCGCTCCAGCACCACGCGCACAACCGCCCCCTCCACCCATTCCATTAACAGCCAAGCTCCGCCCCATCCGCTCTCGGCGCCGCCGTGTCCCTCCCAGTCCAGTGCTAGTACACCCGGCACGCTGACGCCTTCTTTAATGAGCTTGAAGAGACATCGAGCTTCTTGGATGATGCGTTGGCGCGTCAGTCGTCGGTCGAGGATCGGGTGTCGGTACGGTTTGGAGGGGCGGATCTTCAGTGCGGCGGGGATGGCGGGGTCGAGAGAGGCGGTTTTGTAGACATGGGCTTCGGCACCTTGTGTGAGGAGGGTCGGAGGTGGTGTTGTGTTTGTGAAGGGCGAAGGGAGAGTTGGTGGTTTGTATTCGGCCATGGTGCGCGTGATGTGTGGGAGGTTCTGTGGAATGTGCATAAAAAGTTGGGTGTGGGGCACCTTTGGAGTTGGCAATGCTACATAGCAATATACGGTATACCTCACTAGCGATGATTCTTCATAGATCGCACACATGAGTAGTTCTACTCTATGCTCAAGATCATTATTCCTCCACTTTCCCGGTCTATGAATTCAGCATCCTCTATGATACAATCCAATCCTAGATTTTCCTCTGCGCCTCCGTCTGTGCCTCCGCCTCAATCTGCTCCCTCAACTTACGCTCCGCTTCACGCTTCAGCTGATCCTCGCGGCGAACCGCAATGTCCTTGGGACGGAAATCACTGAACTGGGTCTTGAGCACATTCTCAATCAGCCAACAACCGGCGTAATCAATCGCCATCACCACAGTCAAGGTAACCTTAAACTCGGTGCTGAAGGGGACCAGGCGCAGCTTCTCGTTGATCTCGGGCACAAACTCCGTGGCACAGGAGAAGGCGACACCCGAGGCAGCCACCAGACCCCAGTACATAGCCTTGTTCTCGCGGATCGACTCGCGGAACGGACGGCCCTGGTAGTTGATCGAAAAGGTCGAGATTTGCTGGATCAGCTGCAGAAGATAGATCGCGCTGTTCAAAAGGGACGGCTCGAACTCGCCCTCCAGGTCGATATCGGATTGTCTCCTGCAGGTGGTTAGCACGAATCTTTCTTGAATTTCGGCTAGCAACTTACGGCTCAATCTGGTAGACATAGTTCGAGATGTAGATCAGCGTCACAATGTGGATCGCAAATTGTCCGAGAATGGACCCGATGATGTAGATGTTGAAGATGTTCGGCTGCGGGCGCTCTTTGGACAGACCCTCGACAGACTGTGGTTGTTATTTATTGACACAAAGACGCAGAAAAAAGGAAGAGGACATACCTTGGCTCGGGAGATAGACAAGAAGCAAACACTCATCAACATCCCGCTGATCGTGACTTGACCATCACCGAACTTGATTCCATCCAGGTAGATAACACTCAGACTGTACGCACTGATCAAACAGTTCAGGGCAAGAATCTTGTACATCTGGATCGTCGCAACCAAGGTACAACGGCCCTGACGAAGAATGTTCGGGATAGCAATAACGTTGGCCAACTTGCTAGTAAACGGCGCAGCAACGGACGCATCGCCCAGCTTGATTGTCGGCGGCTCGCTCTCATCCATCTCCTGCTCCAGCATAGAAGAAGTAAGCTTGTCTGCAAGGCCGGCCGCGGCAATCTGGGCCTGCTGCTGCTTCTGCTGCTGCGGGGTCATGGTCGAGGACGACTGCTGAAGGGCCTGGGCGCCAGGGGACGTGATGGTAGGGATTTGCTCGGCGCTGCTTTGCTGGTTGCCGGAGGCCGCTGCAATCGCGGAGCCCTTTCGTTGTGCCTCTCGCTCAATGGCCTTTTGGTAGTGCGGGTTGGTAGGTCCAGGGGGGTACAGGTGAGCGATCTGCACGGGCACCGGGGGCGCAGGCTGGTTAAATCGTTGCATCATGCCAACCTGTTTCTCATACAGTTCCTTCATCTTGGTGATCCGGTAGTGCTCGGCAATCTTGGAAAGATCCTCGGGCGATCCATTCAAAAGCGCAACACCAACGTGGGCTTGCTTCAGCGCGCCGACGTCATTGGTGCCATCACCGCACATCAAGGTAGTATAACCCGCATCCTTGAGACCCAACAGAATATCTTCCTTCTGCTTGGGAGACACGCGAGAGTAGACCCAGGTGTGGCGGAGCAAATCGGGCAGAGCCTTTTGGCCCTTGAACTTCGCCAGAGCATATCCAGTAATACAAATATCCTTGCTGTTCAAAATCTCCGGATCCAAAGGCTTGGTCGGATCAACATTGGTGTTCATCTTGTCATCAATTGTTCGCCAAACCAGACGTGTGCCAGAGTTGTCATGCTCAGGAGCATCGAGGATCACCACTTCCCGGTCGACAATCTCAACTTGGCGAGCCACATGAACCGCAGTCAACGGGTTGTCACCGGTAATCATGACGACCCGGTGGCTGCTTTCATTCAGCATGCGAACAGACTTGATTGCGTCCTCCTTCAGAGGGCATTGAAGAACAAGGAAACCAGCAAAGATCAAATCAGCCTCGATTTCGCTCCGGGAATAATTGTTCACACGGCCCTGAGAAAGCTCAGAGTCTGACGAGAGGTACTTGTAGGCAAGAGAGAGAACACGAGCCCCGTTACGGGTGAAATGCTTGAAAGTTTCCTCGTAGTTGGGAGGCGGGTTGATCAACATGCCCCGAATGGTCTCGGGGGCACCCTTGACGCTAACAAAAGTGGCCTTGCTCTTTTTCGAAGTCTTTCGGTCGGAGCTCGTGATAGTCGATATGGTACTTTGGCGCTTGAGGGCGGACGAAAACTGAAACCGTCTCTTGATTTGAACAGACTCAACGGGACGAGAAGATACCACCGGGGCAATGCCCTTGCAGGCCAGGGTGTCATTCTTGCCCAAAGTCCAGCCGAGCCACTGCAACGTAGCCTTTTCCATGGGGTCGCCAACGACATCACCCTCATCCAATTTCACCAGAGAATGAGCACTTGCGAGAACGAGAGTAGTCTCAGGACCAACAGCAGCAGCCTTTGCCAAGTCGATGTGGGCACCGTCTGGCTCGACGGTGGCACCTGTTTGGCCCAAAGTGAGTCCGGCGATACCATCAACAACCAAATCCTCTCCAGTCAAAGTACCGGTCTTGTCAAAGCAAGCCACGTCGACACGTCCAGCAAATGGAATCCGGAAGGGCTCGGTGCAGAAGATTGCGAACTTGCTCAGGGCAGCAAGACTAGTGTTGACAGCCAGGCTAAGCTCCATGGGAAGCTCCGGAGGAACGACGCTCGTAATGATTAGCACGCAGTCCAAGAGAAGCTTAGATCTCTTGCGGTCCTTGGACACACCCTCTTGCCACACGTACCAGGAGGCCGCGATTGCGAAGAAGAGGAGGAAGAGAATAAAAAGCAAGGCCTCGACGTTGTTGGCGGACACACGTTCGGTCGAATAAATCATGGTACGCACAAGACTGCCCTGGCTAGTTTCGAACCCGGTCTTGACCACCACGCCCAGCGCACCATTATCCGGAGGGATTGTAACGCCACTAGCAATGTTCTTCAAGTTCTCGTCCCCATTGGCGTTGGGATGTGTGATCTGCAGGACCTTCGTTCCTCCATGCACAAACGCATTTTTGTCCAGACCGTCAGGTTCGATCAGTTCTTCGCCCGGTCGAAGCTGAACCGAGTCCTTCAGGAGCGGGGTGCTCTCGCCAGAAAGCATTGCCTCGTTCACGATCACGCTGCCTTCGACCAGAAGGATATCACAGGCGACGCCGCTGTCCTCCTTGGTGCGGTTGACCGACATCAGATCGCCAGGCAAAAGCTTGTCGCTGGTGATCTCCTGCCATTTGCGCTCACGGTACACCCACACGTCGTAGGGTTTAATGCTCATTCCACGGAACTCATTCAAGGTCCTCTGTCGCTGCCACACCACAGTACTCTCGAATGCAACCAGCATGAAGAGCGTGAACAACGAGTAGTACCAGTATTCGTCCAGCATCCACAGCCCGACACAGAAAACCTGGAAAACGAAGAACGGCGCAACGGCGTGTTCCTGGAACAGCTCAATGAACCCAGGGACGGGAATATCAAAAGTGTTGTCTCCATAGTGGTGGTGTACGCGGTCAATCTCGGCTTTGGTGGCCAGCCCCTGGCTCTTTTGGAAGTATTGGAGGGCGGGCTTGGGTTCCGAGTCGAGAACGTAAGACAGAGGAGCAAAGGACCGACGATCGGGGTAAAACAAAAAGCGGCGCTTCTGGAACAGAAACGAAACCGTTTTCTTTCCGCCGGTGTTGTCATGGATCAAAGGGGAAATCTCCGCGGAGCCGGCGTTGGTGATGGGAATCACCTTAATCAGGCGGGCAGAGTCGATCGACTTGGCCGAAGTGGTCGTGAACAGAGTGCAGATGTTGATGTTCCACTTGGTCATCAGCCAAAGGAGCGACTGAGCCGTGATGATGGTGCCCGACCAAACGAACGTCCATTCCTGGCCTTGGATGTAGGTGTCATAGCGCTCCGGCGAGAGATAGAAAGCGAAGAAAGCTGGCCAAATAATCAAGAATGGCCAGATGTAGGTGTGCAATTGCAAAGGGAGAGGATTGTGCAAAGATGCATATTGAATCTGGGGGTCATCGGCGAGCTTTGCCCTGTATAGAGTCAGTCGAGATTCCGAGGGGCCACGTATTCATGAGTGGCAGGACGCACATGATGGCAGTAGAGTGACCACAGTCAGGGTCGAATCAACAATTTAATGATTCATAAGAAACAGAGATCAGACACGGCAAGAAATGCAAAGTCAGCAGAAGAAGCCACCTCGCGATGAGTTTGGTTTGGTTCCAGAGGATTCGGACGCGCTAGACGCTGTTATGTAAGAGCTCGAGCTGATCTGGCTAATGAAATACGATTTTTTGGCTGAATGTCATGCCCAGCCGGGCTAGCTCAATCGGTAGAGCGTGAGACTCTTAATCTCAAGGCTGCGGGTTCGACCCCCGCGTTCGGCTTCTTTTTTTTTCTTTGGTTGTTGTTGTCTTACTTATTATAACTTGAGTTGGCCCAGTAAATAAAGATGTTTGCTGTCGTTAGACTTTATTGCTCTATATATTTAGGCAGTATCCAAAATCGATCACTAAGTATAAAACTGCAAATGTTAATTAAACCTGGATATATATATATATATATATATACCTCTGTTACTTTCCGCCGTAACCCTCTTCTTTCTAACTGTATTCTCTAGCTCTACTTACTATGTTCAAGAGACATGACAAAAATCGACCGGCCATTCGATTACTTCCCATCCACTCCTTTCTCGGGAGTCAGTACTTTGACCATCTCCGTCAATGTCGTCACTTGTTCCTGGAGCTCTCTGATCTCTAGAGTGCACCTGTCAACCTTAAGATCAGGCTTGGTGTCGTCAACCAATTGCCTCCAGGTATCCTCGAGATCGAAATCAACATCCTCGGCCACATGTTCCCACTCTTGGGTGTTATCATCATCTTCCTCTCCACGACGACGATTCCATCTGATCCGGTGGGCTTGATGAGTTTCAAGCCAGGCGGTAAAGATCAGCAGCGGCGAATAGATGACGCCCATGATAACATCGTTCAACTTCGCATAATACTCACGTGGGAGCCACCATTCAAACAGGGCGACCAGGCACAAGATTTCGACGAGGTTAAATGCTACCACAGAATTAGTAACGCCAGAAACCATACCAAGTTCACAACCTACGTGGTATAAACACGTTCTCATCCGGAGCGCGGACAAATTGCATGGTTTTCTGTGCAAAGATCGCCATGTACTCGTCGGTGGCATTGCCCGAGATATCTTCGTACGCGCTGTTGTACAGCGCAATGAGAATATTCAACAGCACTAGCCACGGTCAGTTCTTCTTTGCCAACGAAAAACATGAAGCAACAAAGAGCATACCGATCATGACAACAAAATTGAAAACATAGTAAAGAATAATGCCAAAGGGGAACGCGAAGTCCTGGAAGGTGTCGAATTCAGGACTCGACATGACCGAGTTTGCCATCCCCTGTATAATGGATCTGGTGATGTGAATATCCGCATCCACCTGGGCCATTCCGATGAAGGCCTGGAAGAATCCGGCCAGCACCACAAACAACAGCGCGAAGAAGATTAGACTCTCCTTCATCATCACCCGCAGAACGACGAACATGGCCCCGAAAAAGCGGAACGAGTCCAGATAGAGCATCATGCGCATCCAGAACATTGGGCCGGCAAAGGCCAAGAAGTTGTAGCTAAGCTCGTTGTATAGCTGTCTCTGTTCATCCTGAGCCGAGGATGAGTGTGCTAGAGCCACCACTCGCAAAAAGAACGAGGCTGCCAGAATCGTATACAGCGTCGAGTTAAAGGCGTTCCAGAACTCGAGATAATTCCAGCCGACTTTCCAGAACTTGACCACCTCGTCGCAGATAAACGCCAAGGTCATGCCATACAAAATACACTCGGCCACGTCAAGATCACCGCTCGGGTTCACCGTGTTGATCACAGCCGTGTACAGTGCAAGGTATAACAAAGAGAATAAAATCTGGCAGACATTCTGGTAGAGCGGAGTCCTCATCCGGTCGGGGTGGAAATGAACCCAGTAATTGGTGTTGGATTTGTCGACGTACTCGACAAAGTTGGTCGGATTGCCGTCTTCCTGGCAGATCCAGCCTCGCCAAAGATGCTGAATGCATTTTTGGTATCCCGCAGAGCTGATGACCTTTAGAGCATGGAGATCTACAGCCCGCTCGATGACGTTGGCAGGATCGGTCTCCACCCCTTCGCTGAACAAGGAGTATCGCTTCAGTAGAACATCCTTCAGCAAATAATCTAGGTTCTGCTCGGACTCGATTCTGGAAAATATATGAGCAGGGTTCCTCGACAAGTAGGATTGGCAAGGGTTGATACATGCGCTTGGCGATAACCTCACAAGCTATCGCGCGAGCTTCATGGAGATCGGCATCCCACAGCTCCACAGAGGACTGGATCTTGAACCACCGCAGACAAACCAACAAGCAGTAAACTATACAGGCCTTGTAATCATCACCGCCCGCCCGCTTGGTCGTCTCAATCACGTTTGGCGTGATGACACGACTGTTGGGGTCGGTCAGAGCGCTCTCCTCGACCTCGCAGAAAACCACCTGCTCAATCTGGTATTTCAGGCGAAGAGCGACCTTGGCAATTTCCTTGGAAGACTGAGATGGTTCTGCTTCGTCGACGGCATACGATGGGAGAACTGTCATCCGATTAGCGGTATTACACAGATCGCGCTGGGTATGACGTACGCCGCCGACGCTCGACCTGAACGCGGTGGTGGGCTCTGCGGCGATCGATGTTGAAAATGTCCTTCCAATGGACCATGTTGAACATAGTAGAAATAATGTTTCGAGCAGAGTCAAGTCAAGAGAGATGTCGGAATAAGCAGAGAGGAAGGGGAGAAGTTTGATTTAAGCCCCAGGGATCGGCAGATCTGAACCCGAATTTCCCGCCAATGCTGGTCATATACAATTCAGATATTCGGATCATACATGTCATACAATTTATACAATCGTGCTATTCATAGGAACACACGAATCTGTCGACTTTAAGCATCACTGGCATTCAACGTCTCGTTGCATCACATATGTACATCAGAACTTGCCCATGCAGACCGCAAGGACGCCGGACGGGACTTCGACCGGTTGGCGCTTGCACGGGGGAATCTCATCCCAGACCCGAGGAAGCACCTGGGCAAGCTGCCCGTGGGCGGGGCAACTTCTGCCTGCACATTGAGCCATCAAGCCGTTGTTTTTCCCGTGTAAATGTGCATGATTTTCTCTATCCATTTTGGCCCATTCTCTCCTGCGGTTGCTTCTGCGCATTCGATGCCAGTGCTAGTGAATGCGCTGGATGCTCTCCCCCGGCTCCAAACTGTGACGCATGGCTTTTACTCGGGAACCCCCTCGTCGCTCTCCGACTGGCTCTCGTCACCACTGACCTCCTGGTTCTCGCGCTCGCGCTTCTCCATGAGCTCTTGGAGAACAGCGTCGTCGTGCTCAGTAACGGCCTTAGGCGCCATCTTGATGGTGCAGTTGCCGCCCGACGACTTGATCTTCGCACCAATCTTCTCGATGGCCTCCTCTAGCAACTTGATTCCCAGGCTCTTGTCCAGACACTGGCTGGTCAGGACGTACAGCGGCGGCGCCACCAGCTTGACCTTGATCTGGTTCTCGGGGGTGTTGTCTGCCTCTGCGGTTCGCAAAGCCTCCTTGACCGCGTCGATTCCGTCGTATCCGAAGCAGGTGACCTCGATATCGGCACGAACCTTGGTCGGGTGAGGGGTGAGCTTCTTGCTGATGTACTGCTGCAGCTCCTTCTTGACAGGTTCGCTGGGGAAATCAATCTCGTTCCACACGTCGGGGTTCCTGAACACAAGTAAGTCAGTTTCAGAGTTGCGATTTTGCCTGACATTCAAGACAAAACATACGTGATCGACAGCTTGAATGCATCGTGCGAGTGGCCGTATTTCCGGTTCAACGGCCATGCGATCTGCTGGTAGAGGGTCTCGAGGGGAGTCTGGGTCGCCTCGGCGACGTGACGCATGATCGAGTGCACCGCCTTGCTCTTGTTGTATCGCTCCTCACACTTGGTCACATCCTCGGGCGAAACACGGCGCTTGGACAGATCAATGTAACCTGCAGTAAGAGTCAGCCATGGAGTCTCGCACGCAAGTCATGCCTGCCTACCTTTCTCCTTGTCGACACGAAGTACAATCACCACCTCATTGCGCCCGATCCGAATGAGCTTCTGTATACTCCGAATACGTCTCCGCGAAAGTTCAGACAAGAGGATCATGCCATCGATGTTGTCGTATTCAAGCAGTTTCACGTATGCGCCCATCTCGGCAATCTACCATCCCACCAAAAATCGAGTTAGTCTGTGGATATTCGGGATTTTTGACGCTTAAATTTTCTGTACCTGCTTAACGTTGACCATGACATAGCTGTCCACCTCCGGATACTTCTCCTCGTAGAATCGACAATTTGTTAACGACATTTTGGCGGGGTTGCGCTGGGAAAAAAATCTCAGGTGCGAACTGGACGAATAAGACGGCAGTCGACGAAATCCAAAGAAGAGCGAGTCAACAAAAAAGACGGTACAAAGGACAAAGCCCAAAGAAAACAGACTCGAGGAGGATGAATGTGAGCACAATCGAACCTCGCTTTGTGGCGGACTCAAAACCCACACTTGCTTGACGATCACGGGACTGGGATACTGACACGTGACTCACCGCTCTGCTTTCCAAGAGGACTGCTGGACCACCTCAGCAAGTGACGGAACTGTTGTGGTTTGATCAGAACAGACAGAAGATCAAGCGAAAGCACCCGGGAGATTCTCAGCATGGTATACTCATACTGCCCGACCTTTGCAACTATGCCTGGGCTATTCCGACGCTCCGGACGCATTGATCAATGATAACGCTGGTTTCCCCCGCTTATCAGCTACTAGTGGCCACCGCCCTTGCTAACCAGCAAAGGCAGGGGTTTCCTCGGTCTCTGATTTTCTTTCCCGGACACTTATGGCGGGCGTTGATGCTCCTCATCGCTTCCTGGAAATCTGATCTGGTCTTTTCAGTGCATGATGTTCGAGTCCACCCCGTTGGTTCGGCGGGAACCGGATGGGCGTTCTTTGCGAGACCGAGTTGTTGAGATGTTTCGCCCCCAGAGTGGCCTGAGACTTTATTCAAATCCGACTTCTATCCATGGAGGCGCCGAAAACAATTCAAGCAGGGAGATTGGGACCACGAGCGAGCCGGGTGTGAGGACGCGCCTGCTGGAATCCTACGACCATGCGGATCCCATTTGTGGCGACCGGCGCTGTAGCCATGGCACATTCTCCCCGCGAGTGGAGGATGCAGAGCGGCAATTATACCTTGGACAGAATCAAAATTTGGGTCATGGAGGGAATGGAGAAGCTGCCGCAGCACCCAATCGCTTCGCAGACTCAGACGGCCCCGAACCAGGCGCGGATTCGGAGAATCTATCGCAGATGAAGTCGTCTTTCACGGCACTTTCAATGAATGGCAATAAGAAATTGTACGATCTCCACGAGTATTGTAATCCACCTCGAATCAAAGACGACTAACGGAGTGTGCAGGTACATCTCCTATTACATACCCTTTTTCAGTTGGATTGGGCAGTATCGCTGGTCCCTCCTTCGTGGGGACCTCATAGCTGCGCTGACGATAGCATCCATTTACATCCCAATGGCCCTTTCGCTGGCGGCAAATCTGGCTCACGCACCACCCATTAACGGCCTTTATTCTTTCGTGATCAATCCCTTTGTCTATGCGATTCTGGGAAGTTGCCCTCTTTTGGTGGTGGGCCCAGAGGCTGCCGGCTCTTTGTTGACGGGAGCCATTGTCAAGGCCAGCGTCAGCGAGGGGCACTCGGGCGAGGATGACAATTTGGAAAACGCCATGGTTGTTGGCGTAGCCACCGCCATGGCTGGTGGCATGATCCTGGTCGCTGGTCTTACTCGACTTGGCTTTTTGGATAACGTGCTGAGCCGACCATTCCTGCGAGGATTTATTACTGCCATCGGCTTCGTGATTTTTGTTGACCAGCTCATTCCGGAATTGGGGCTGGCTGATCAGGCCAAAGAAGACGGAGCCAGTCACGGCACCACAGTTGCAAAGCTCGCATTCATTTTCCGAAATATCAGGGACTCTCATGCACTTACTGCGGCTGTCTCGTTTATCAGTTTTACCATAATCATGGTCATCCGGTGCGTATAAACCGGGAGCATACCAAGTGCAAGAATGCTAGAGCTGACCCTCTTACAGGACCTTGAAAAAGTGGCTCATGCCGCGCATTCCCCAGGTGGTTTACTTCCCCGATCGATTTCTGATCGTGGTGCTGTCGGCAATCTTGGCCTGGCACTTGAACTGGGAGGACAAAGGGCTGGAATTGCTAGGACATACTGAGATCAGCTCCAGCAGACTCTTCGCATTCAAATGGCCGTTTCAGTTCGAGCATATGAAACACGTGCGTACCGCGATGAGCAAGGCGTTTATAATTGCACTCCTTGGCTTCTTCGAGTCGTCTGTCGCGGCCAAGGGCCTGGGCGAAGGCGGTCCTGACGGAATTCAGGGCATGCGCATGAGTGCTAACCGCGAGATGGTAGCGCTCGGCGTGGCCAACGTTCTCGGTGGCTGCTTCATGGCTCTCCCGGCGTTTGGAGGGTACGGACGAAGCAAGGTCAGCGCGCAGACTGGGGCTCGTTCCCCCATGACTAGTGTTTTTCTGAGCATCATTACGTTCTTCACCATTATGGTGCTGTTGCCGTACCTCTTCTACCTTCCGGTTCGTACTCATCGTCTATTGCTTTGGGGATTTGCACTACTTCAATTACTGACTCCTGTCCAGAAAGCCGTTCTTTCCTCTATGATCTCAGTTGTCGCCTTCACACTCGTCGAAGAATGCCCGCAAGACCTATCATTCTTCTTCCGTCTCCGCGGCTGGACTGAGCTCAGCCTGATGCTACTAATTTTCACGGCAACAATCTTCTACTCGCTGGAGCTGGGCATGGCCCTCGGGATCGGCCTCTCAGTAATCATCCTAATCCGACACGCGACACACCCACGCATCCAGATCCTGGGCAAGGTCTCCACAGGAACAGGGACGCGCTTCGAGAACGCAGAACTGCACCCGGAAAATGTCGAGCTCGTCGCCGGCGCCCTGATCGTCAAGATCCCCGAGCCGCTCACCTTCGCCAACACGGGTGACCTCAAGAACCGCCTCCGCCGCCTCGAACTATATGGTTCCAGCCGCACACACCCATCTCGGCCGCGCATGCGCGCCCCGGAGCACAATAAGAACATCATCTTCGATGTTCACGGTGTCACCAGTATCGATGGGTCTGGTACACAGGTTCTGTGGGAGATCGTCCAGGCCTACACGCAGACTGGTGTCTCTGTCTTCTTCTGTCGGCTGCCTACTGCCGGTGTCTTTCGCATGTTTGAGCGGAGTGGCATCGTTGAACAGTGTGGCGGTTTGACGCATTTCGTGCCGAGTGTGGATGAAGCGTTGCGCTTGGCTGAGACTGAAGAGCATACGCAGGGAATCTAAAGGCAAAAGTTGTATTGCATTTCATGAAGCGAATTTTGGATATTTTGATGTATTTATGATCTCTTGTCCTGGACATAGTCTGTACATAACGAATATTGCTCTGCTGGCTTCTGGTCCAGTTTTGACTGGTTGCGTTGTTTGTGGATAGTTCCACCGAATCCATATACCTCTCAACACTAGTCACTCGCTCCCTATTGAGTGTCTTTCCCGATGACCTCCAGTCCAAGTAAACCGCCTTTCCGCTTAACAATCCTCGTAGCCTCTTGGCCTGAGCCGGGGTATTGTCTCTGGGGCGCCGCTGGCCCTCCCCAAACAAGAATGGTACGAGAAATGCCATGGCCAACGACCACAATAGAAGGGTCTAAGCTTATCCAGAATATACCGGCATCGAGACACACCAGTCTAGATAGACACGGCCTGACTCCCCAGCCGATGCCAGAAAAAAAGAGACGGCTGATGCTATTCGAATCACCACCGCAAGAGAGCCGTTCCAGCTTCTCTAGTAGTCTAGCGCAATCACCCAAGCTGCACTAAAACCAACCAGCAAATCACGTAGTCTGCTCCCCAACGGCAGCCCTGCGAACGACAGCCCGAAGCAGCGTCTCACTCGCGCGCAAAGCACGCTGAAAGCTCGAGTCACGGCCCCGTCCCACGGACGCACCATCCTCGTCGCGGTTGGCACTAACAACGAGCTTCATGCGGCCCTCGCTCCCCAGCACAAAAGCCGCGCACGCGACCTTGGATAGGCGCACATGCTGTCGAGCGCGCTGGTCCGTCGCGGAACCATCCATATCGAGCGTCATGGCGAGATGGGACTCCAGGTACGTCGTGAGGTTTGCGAACAGCGGGCTGCGCAGTTTCTGTTGCAGCGAGCGCGTCTTGGATGCTGCTGTGCTGGGACCATCGCGCAGAAATCCCGCCAGAGAGGCGCGGGCGATGCTGACGTTGAGGGAGCGCAGGGCTGGTGCGATTGATGGCGAGAACGAGAGCGTGAGCTGCAGCTCCTTGATCACGTCCTCGATGTAATCGGACGCGCGGGCGCTGCGGCCGTCGCGTAGAGCTTCGACGTAGGTCTCTAGGCCCGAGCACAGGAGCGCGGACGGGAGCCGCAGAGGCGAGCAGTAGGTGTCGAAGTTGGCAGACAAGAAGGAGATGAAGGTTTGGCGCAGCGCGTTGGGGAATCGGGTCAGGAGCAGTGGGAGAAAGGTAGATCCCTCGCGCTGGGTCTCTTCTTTGCCATTACTTGAGTCGGAGTCTGCAAGTAGAGCTGCTTTGTAGACAATGAATTCGTATTCCAAGGTAACTAAAATCCCAGGAAATGAGGGGGTGGAGCGTCGGCTTGATGCTGCATCGCGTGGAGATCCTGCCGTGATAGGCTGCCACAGACACTCCTTCAGCGCGCCCGTCTTGGAGAGCGCGTCGTCTTCGGCTGCGCTGGCGCTGTGGATCCCGGCTATCACGGCGCCGGTCAGTTGGTCGCGCAGGCGCGTGGCATATGTTTTTAAGGCACTTTCGTTGTCGAGGAGAGTCTCACAGTCCTTGCTATGGTGGAGAGGAGAGAGCCGATGGAGAGTCCAGGAAGTGTTGAACAATTGATGCGCATCTATTTGCTCCATGGCAGCGATTATTTCAAATTGGAATTTAGTTGCTCTCGTTCACTCTGGTCCTTCCCCAAGTTGACGGTTGATAGACATGACGTGCAAACAGAACAAACATGGAGTATTCCATCGCGATGAAGTATACAGTTCAAGAGTAAATCAGAAAATCGCATGGATATGAGCATGAACTGCTAAATAAATGTAAATGGCTTAAATCTCGGTAACCAAATCTACGCCGAAAATGTAAAATGTATCCACCCCAACGCCTTGGACGCTCAAAAAATCATAGCATCATGCCTGCCATCCCCGTGTCGGATAGCAATCCGCACACCCAAAAAAAATGGGCACACCATTCCAAACCCAGGCATCCTCCACATCATGCGGAGTGGCATTTCTCGACGCCATCTCGGCCTTGGCGACATCGAACCAAATGTTGCGCACCGAGCTATGCATGTGCTGGTCGGACTCCTGGGCAAAAACCACCGAGTTCATATGATCCTGTTCGTGCATCGTCATGTCGTGATAGAAGTTATACATAAAGTCCTTGCGCTGCAGTCGCTGGTTGCCGCCGTCCCCAATCTCCGCGGAGAAGAACTCGACAATCCGTACGAAGGGCGACAAGGTGAGCAGGGAGCTGATCCACGAGTCATCGATCTCCGCCTCGGGCGACATCGTGTACCGGATGTACGACACCAGCAGCTGCATGCAATGATGCGTGGCTACCAGGGTCGCGGTGTTGGTAAAGGGCGGAGAGCGGAGGATTCGGGTCTGCAGGTCGCGGTACATGGTCTGGCGCACCTCTAGCGGGATCGCGACCGGGATTCGTCCGGCCTCGTAGTCTCGTAGGAGCACGTTGGCGTGCTCGCGTCGCGCGGAGGTATACGATTCGAGAAAGTACAGCGTGTAGTACCTAGCATAATCAGCAATGCCACGAGAGCGTGATAACGCTTGCGCTACTCACATTAGTGGTGCGAGGTGGAACCATATGCTGGCGATACCGCGCTTAACCAGAGCGTTGCGTTCGCTTCGCTTCGCAGGGAACGAAGACCGTACAAGGTCGGACTCGGTTTGAACGAATCGATCCATCACCCGGTCTGCAAGGTAGTAGCAGAGGCGCGAGCAGAGCTTTTGACGGCGCCGCAAGCCATGCAGGTATTTGAAGGTATAGATGTGGCCACCCTTGGCGCTTTTAGACGGTGGAAAAAGGTCCGACAAGAGCACCACGTCATCTTCCGGATTTCGAGTATAGGTGCGCTCACTGTCAATCGGCGAGGGGAGAGTACCATGGCGGCGCTGGCGGAGGTACTGCCGGACAATCTCATGTTCGTGTGACCCCAGCAGATGGTAAAAGGCGCGGCAGACAAGCTTCAACGGACGGAAGTCGGAGATCCCGCAATGGGCGAAGATGGTGATTTGGATTTCGACCGGGAGGTTCCATGGGGATGACGGCGGCGTGGGATTAGGCAGACTGCACAGACAAGCCAAGGGTCAGTATCAACCAAGACAACCAAGAAAACTGGGGCCAGGAAGCTCACCCCAACGAGGACGAGGAACCGGGGATGTCCTTGGCACCCGCCTTCCTCCCTTTCTTGATGGCAGCTCGGACTTTGTGCACGGAAAGGGCTAGTTTGGCAAAGCCAGTCATCTTTTGGCCTTTGAGATGGTCTGCCCAGCTCCGGCGAGGCCGTTGGGGAAATCCAAAACAAACTCGCAGATTGAAAGCCCTTGAAGGCGTCTCTGACTAAGCGCTTCAGCAGCACCTGCATCCATCCATGGACTGCGTGGGTGGATTATTCCACCGTTGATTCAAGAGCTATTCTCGCCCAGCGAGACATGGCAATAGAGGCTTGTGGTGAGGTCACCCGGGCATGTTGTTCGAGATCAACCCGGGAAGGAAGAGACACGACAATGGCCTCGGTCACCCTCAGAACACCGCAATTCAAGGGAACACAGCTGGAACCCAACCAGTCGACATAAAACCAACATATGCAGCAGCTGAGGTTTAGATGAGAGCTGCTTTTGACAACTGGCCGGCAATGCTGGATTGCAAATATATATACTGACGTCATCTGCTGGTGGACTTGCGTCAAGCAGAACCAATTTATATGAGCAGCTCGACCACTTGAATCTTGCAACTACAACCTGCAGCATGACTCGAACCATTCTAATTGTGGGCGCTTCCCGTGGCCTTGGTGCCTCTCTCCGGGCCCGTTATTCCTCCGAGCCATCCACGAAGGTGTTTGCGACATCGCGAACGACAGCCCCAGACACGACCCCAGGCGTCACCTGGTTGACTGATATCGATGTCTCCCAGCCCAACGTGGGCCAGAAGCTCGTGTCACAACTCCCAAAGTCAATCAAGATCTCCACGGTCATTATCACAGCGGGCTATTTCGGGTTTGAAACCTTCGACGCGCCTGACTGGGAGAAACAAGTTCAGATGTACACTACTTCCGCGATTGGGCCCGTTTTTGTGGTACACCACCTGGTCAAGGCCGGGGTATTGGGAGAGGGCAGCAAAGTGATCTTGGTTAGTAGCGAGAGTGGTAGTATCACTCTGCGCCATGAGAAGGAAGGGGGAGGGAACTTTGGCCATCATGCCAGCAAGGCAGCGCTCAACATGGTGGGGAAGCTCTTGAGCTTGGACTTGAAACCCCAGGGCATTGCGGTTGGTCTGGTACATCCAGGTTTTATGCGTACCGAGATGACCAAGAGCGTTGGATTCGACAAGTACTGGGATGCTGGCGGAGGTAAGCTCATTGTCTATATATGTGATTCTGAGTGGGAGAAGCGTCACTAACATGAGAATTTGTTTGACCAGCGGTGACGCCGGACGAAGCAGCTCAGTCGTTGGTCTCGTTCATTGATGGATTTGATCTCAGCAAGACTGGTGAATTCTGGGCACCGCGGGGTCCGGGGTAAGGCTGCTTTCTTTTGATGACTGGGCAATCAAGCTGATTTTCGTTGACAGAGATATTGGGACCGCCGAGGATGTCCTTGGAAAGGACTTGCCAACTCCTTTACAGCTGCCATGGTAGGCCTGGCTGTTACCCAGATAGCAGTAAACAAGAGTATTTGTCGACAGTATGATGCTTCAAAGACTACATTGACCGAGCAACCAACCTCTATTAGAAGCGGAGTAGATTTTATAGACATCAAACCATGCATGCTCAAGGAGTGGCATTGGGCCGAGCACACATAAAAACCAACGTCCGGTCCATATCCTTGCGCTCTTCGTGTCCCACGACCTTCGCCCCAATAATCTTCTGATAAAAGTCCTGCATCCGCTGATCATCCGTGAGCAGGATGATCCGACGCAGATACGGCATATTCTCTTTAGAGAAGATCTCCGCAACGCAATCAATGAGCCACCTCCCCAGTCCATTCCCCTGGTACTCGGGAAGGACATAGACATCAGAGAGATAAGCAAACGTGGCGCCATCGGTCACCATTCGTGCCAGACCAATCTGCTCCGTATTCTCTGGGCGTGGGGAACGAGAATCGGTTTTCTCCGGGGCAGGGGATTCCGTCCATCGGTACACGCCAAAGCTCATTGAGCCATGGAGCATCTGCCAGAGCACGTCCTCCGGAAAAGACTTTTGCGACCAGTAGACAAAGTCCTGTTCAAATGCTGCCTTAACTGCTGCAACTGACAGTAAGGCTGGGTCTGTCGAAATGAAAAACTCGCTGCGATTATCCCGGGTCCATGTGCGGGGAGCGATCAAGCTTGTTGGCGGGGTAGACGACATGGCGCCGTGTCTCGAGGATAGAAAAGACTGAACGCTCTGCTTCGAAGAGTAAGGGAATTGAAGGAAAGGTACTGGACCAGAAAAAAGAAATGTCTTGCCGGGGAGAGTCTTGGAAGATTCTCGAGTGACGCGCCTTCAGCCATGTGAGTCATTAGTTTACTTCTAGTCAGCTTAGTCTTCGCAATACATGTATGCCATTAAAAAAATTGAACAGTGGCTGAGCTTCGCAATTAAAAGATAGAAATGAAAACATTTTCAATTATTATCACATGCACCGAATACTCCATTGCGCCAAAGACCCCGGGAATCTATCGTTCATTCATTCAAACATAACATTGGCCGATCAAGAGCAGGATCATTTCAGCAATGTCTGGGTGTTTCCCTTAACCTTGCCATACCACCATAGACAGAGGTCGGCCGCTTTGGCCTCTGTGCCCTGACGCATATCGTAAAGAGGGGTGTTCCGCACGACAAGCTTGTCGCCATTAAAATAGGCTTCCAGAACTCGGAAGTGCCAAGGGCCCATGGTAGAAATTAGTAGCATCTAGAGAGCCAAGTTAGCACGAGTTCAATATATGGGCAAGACAAGATGTGTTCGTCGCATGGACAAGGGGGCGACCTACAGGTGCCATCAGGTGCGGACGAAGAGACTTGGCAGAAAGCCGAGCATCCATGACGTGGATGATAGCCATGATCTCGCCCCTGAGCAGGCGATTGTCTCCCATGACATCGCTTTCCATTAGGCACTTGACATGCGGCAATGGGGGGTTGGGATTGGGGACGTTCCGCAGGTTTGCCGGATAGATCCCGGAGCCCGGATTCGTCATAGGGACGGAGGCATTCACAACCTTCCAGAAGTAATCGCCAATTTCATAGAGATCATGACATCTGAGGCTATCCCATCTGCATAGGTGTGAGAAATGAAACCCTCAAGCATTGCACGAAGTGGAGGAAGCATACCCTACATCGTAACTCCCAGCGGGCTCCAGGGGGGACTGATCACGAATGTAACGCTTGATCCAAAAATAGAGAATCCGCACGTTCTCGTAATTTTCTAAATCGGCATTGTACTCCGACCAGGTCGAGTCGGGTGTTCTTCTATCCTGCAGCCTTCCCTGGTAGCGATCAAAGAATAAGGGCTGGCCATCGGACTTCTCATTCAGCGACAGTGGCTGTCGTACAATGCTGGCCTTTTCACACACGTTGGGTTCGATATGGTGGGTTTCGGCGCTACAGATGGTCTCCATTGTGGCTCGCAGCGCCCGACGGTAGCGGTTGCGCGTCTTGATCTGCTCCCGATCCGTGTCGGCGAGAGACATGATGGGCCAAAGGGAGTTGGCAAAACCAAGGGAGGAAATATCACACAAGGACTGAGATAGGTGAAAAGGTTCAAACGCCAAAAGGAGACAGCAGAGGAGCATCTTAAGTGAAGAGGAAGGAGAGGGAGTTTTGATAGTGAGGTTGCCGGGCAACGTGGGGAACCAATCACAGCGCTTGCGTTGGCGCCATGAAGTACCAGCCCAGCAAAGCCTTGGATACTATGGATAGCTATACTTTTAATTGGTAACTATTACTATTAAATCAATACCCCACTGATGATAATAATAGCTATAGGCTCTCGATTTTTTCTTCCTGAGGATCAACAAATATATGAAACTCATGCCTTTATATGTTTTTTTGAGATAGTTTCATATCTTGTCTTGTTTATGATTATGTAGCTAACTTCTTATTTCACATTTTTATTTTTATTTTTATTTTTTAAAAATAATATTCCTTGTAATATATTTTGCAATTTTTTTTTGTCGAAATACTTTTATATTATTTTTTTTGTTATGCTTTGTTATATTATTGGATTCGAAACGTTCCAGGTCTCAATGTGCCGCTAAAGAGTACATTGCATATTACCGCGCGACAAAGGAAGCGTATCTCCTATATTACTACGATAGGGTACACTGATGACCTAGGCGCCTAATGATACATGAAAAACCTAGTGTGTAAGTTTTTATGATTCTCTGTACATTGTTAAATACCCCCCTCTAGATCTTTTCCTACCCCTCATTCTGCTACCATTTATACGCCTGCTTCTATCTCTATTTCTGTCCAGTTGATTCTTTTTCACCTGGAAAGAGCCATGAATGACCTCAACTCTCCCCCAACCAAGCCAGACGAATGGGAATCCACTGCCCGCCGATGGGGGGTAGCGGACAGAACAATCCACAAGATCAACCTATACTCGGCTTCTAAATTACAACCGGAGCAATTCTTGATGCTTCGCATCTTGTGGCAAGAACTCGACTATACTCATCTTGACCTGGCGAATTTTGGCCTGACAAAATGGGTGGAAGAGGCCTCCCACATCCTCCATGGCTATCAACCGTGGCAAGACTATTACTCCAAATTCAACGATCGACGGCTTCAGGGGACATTTGCTCTACCTCGATTCTACCAAAAGCAAGCATCTCGAGTCTCGCAGGACACGTGCAAATTCGATGTCACCGCTGTCCCAAGTCCAATTTCAAAGCACACTCGCCAACAAGCAAAAATAAACGCGGGAGTCAGCAAGCTATCCCTCGAAACCCCGAGCAAGCAGCCAAAAACACCCAGAACCCCTACCTCTGGCTGGAGCCTTGATGATGAGCACGATTTACTGGAAAGTGATGATACGCCTCCCGAACAGAGATCTTATGGGCCAGAAGAGCTCCTGGATAAGGATTATCCAAAGACCAAAGACGAGCAGATTGTCAATACCGCACTCATCGACTTTCTCAATGCGTTTATTGTTCACCTTGATCTTCCTGTACAATGGTCGCTATACCGGAAACCTTTCACTGCCAATTTCAACATGGCCTCACTGGAGGCTCGCACCGATGGCTGCTTAGAAGAGAACGATGCTAAGGCGAAAGTCCACGCACTCGTGGAAGTCAAGCCACTACTGAGAATTAAGGCTCCTCTTGCTATCGCCATGCAGGAGGCTGCTCAGATGGTGGCCTGGATCAAGAGTGTCCCGGATCCAGTGGGATTCAAATACAGCTGCGGCGGGTAAGCCACCTGAGTTTTGTTCTATCTACCTCTCGGATTAGCTGACAGTCAATCAGCCGCCTGCACGTATCGCAGGATAGAAACGAGATCTACATTATCTTTGCCGAGTACGATGAAACCTACGTCAAATATCTCAACAACACTCTAGAGGAAAGAGAGAACCCCGGGTTCATGAAGATGCACCAATTTGGTCCGTGGGATACAACGCGAGCTTCGGACATGAAGAAAGTTGGTCCGATATTGCTGGGAATTGCTTTACGAGGGAGAGCAGAATGTCAAGCTGGGAAACCTCGGCGGTAAATCGTTTATACAGAAAGCTTTGTTTCTTTCTTTTTGTTACTGAGATATCCGAAGCATAATTAGTACTGAATTATTCTTTATCCTTGAATGAATTTTCTTTTCGCATGTTTTTCTAAGTATTTTTTTTAGACATTCTTCTATATAAATTTCTAAATGACAATCGAATTATCTTACATACTATGATATAAACAGCTTTCCTATGACTACATAGCTTGCTATCCCCTCCGGAAGAGACTACAAATTTATACTATTTTCTCTGCTTACAGTGCATTTCAGGTTTATATAGCATAGAAAGAGAGAAGGCCATCACAATAGTGAGACCTCGGGGCGTATTTGGCCATGTAGACTTATTGTGTATGGAACAGAAATAGAGACAGGTGGAGTCGATGATTTAGGTGGCTGAGCTGAAGGTCTTGAATTCATATGACAGATTCTTAGAAAGTCGAATCCTTCATCAAATAGTCTCCAGTAGAGCGACGAAACCGGTGTGAAGAGGGCGGGTGAGTTCGTGGATCGAACCCGCCGAACAAGTCATCGAAGATCTCAAACCAGGATTTTCAGTAGAATCCCTTAGACAGATCTACCACGCCCAAACTATTTGTGATTTCTCGTGCAGAGTAACCACATTTTGGGATCGGACCATTTGCGGATCCTCGCGTGGGGATCAATAGTTTTCGTTGGCTAGCAGTGACCAGCACCCTAAAAGCCCTAATGTGGGGGTTGGACCCCTACTGATAACTGCCAAATTGATGCTTGAGAGTCTACAGAATTGCTTGTTGTAAATTAATAAAACACGAAGGGCTTATTGAACATTCGAGTAAATTTGTCCAGTATTTTTTTTTTTTTTTAAAAAAAAGAAACTCTTTAAAGCTCACTATTTTTGCCTCATTTCTGGCATTTGACCAGATAATTCTCGAAATGGCTCCAATAGTAATTGCAGAGAGTAAATCCTTCAGTATCAATCATTGAACCATGCCCAAAGTGCTCTTTTACCCAACTGCAATCATAGCATCCCGGCCAAGCAGGTGGTGGGCTATTATATCCCGACACATCGGTCAAGTCAATTATATCGGGCTGAATATTCAGCTTACTCCTACAACTATGTAGGATGAGAGAATCCAATGGTCTTCGGAATCTATTCAATAAATGATATCACCATAGACATGCCACTATCAGGCAAACCATTCAAACTCTTGTCTCTCACTCACTCTCTCACACTCTCTTGATTGTCTATCCTTAATTATCTTTTATTGTCTGTCTTTTAATCAACCAATCTCACCACACCCAAACAAACGACAACATGCGTCCCGTTCTCTTCATCATGGGTCTGGCCTTCGGTGGCCTCACCATGGCCGCTCCGGTCGATGACGCCAAGAGCCCCAGGTCGAAGCGGGTGAAGCTGGTAATTTGGATTAGTGAAGCTTTGTACAATGGTGTTGGATGGGTGTTTATTTATTTGGATAGTTATTAATATTGGAGGGCAATGGAACTGCTTTTGATGAATATAGCATTTCAACCATTGCCGCAAAAGGCATAGAACATTGCTATAGTTCTTATACAAGGGTTGTTTAGCCCTGACGTATAGATAGAGTATCCTATTTCCCCTTTACTTACCCTGTTTTCTATCTGCGTGCATCTGTCGATCAAATATGCCCTGAGATACAATCTCGATATCTGACCATTCCCCAAATCAAACTTTCTAAAAATAGACCCAAGGATGTCTTGAAACAACCCAATTGCATCAATGAGTCGTGGGTATCGACGTCCCTTATATCCAACTCCGCGGATGCACCAGATGTGGATGAGACCAAAGCCAACACTGGAGAGCTTTCTTAGCCCCAGATAATCTAGAACATTTTGAAGAGAACACAATATAGGGTGATTGGCTCTCGAAGTGACCCACTCAACAGCTAGGGGTGAATGGACGCTGGGGCAGGATCGGCTTCACTTCGACACAATTCCACCCCGTTCACGAAACGGCTCCAGCAACCGACCTCATCCACTCACCTTAAAACACCCAAGCACGCAATATTACGTGTAGGCCAGGGTTCGTCCACGCCACATCGCACCCACTCCAGCTGGGGGGATCATACATCGCCGTGGGATCCACTTGGGTCCACGTCTTTGCGTCTTGGCTTCCTCTTTGGAATTAGAGGACCCACCAGGCGATGGCATCTATGAAGGGCACATGGACGGGAACAAATTTCTTGTGGGTAGATATTTATTCTGCGCCCCTTGAGTTCAGCGTTGGAACTATCAAAGAGCAGGGAAAAACAGGCGTGCACAGTCATGGATTCGCAACGTCTATGTCTCACTGCTCCAGTCACGCATCGCATCTATACTAGTATCCACGGCGATACCCGCAGCCCTCTTCTTGAGGGTGGGGTATCTCTGCCAAAGTCTTCAGATGTTGATTCGCCTGGGCTGTGCCAGATCAGTGTTCGTCTTGTCCAGACGGTGACTTCGACTGCCGACTGCCTGGCTAGCACCAACAAGAGCCAGCATGCACTCGAGCATATTCGCCGTCGACTTCCCATTTCACGTCTGGGAAAGACACAACTCATTCAATCATCGTCGACAGTGGAAGAGCTGAAACAAGACATGACATCCTCTTCTCAATCTCGGGACCAGATAACTTTCTCTCTACCCGTCCCCACCCCTCTCGCTGGGACAACAAACACAACATTGGGGAGTATTTCCTACAAAATCGTGGCGACGGCAGTGACAGCAGATGAAATTTCCATCAGCACAACCCGCCCAATCCATATTGCACGGCAGCTCGTCATGGAAAGCCCCAAAACCATCCCACATGTCTGCCGGTTCCCCAAAACCAGCGCAGTGACCGAGCTCACCCTACAACACAACCTCCCTAGCTCGGGGCAAAAACACTCATTCGAGGCTGTGATGTTTCTTCAATGGATCACAGCACCGGCAGTCCGCCCGACCGAGTTCAAAACTCTGGTGGTGCGCGAGATTAACTGGCGCATCGAAGAAACCACCCGGTTGATGCGCCAATCCAGCGGCAGTTACGGCAATAAACCACAGAAGAAGAGTGCCGCCTGCACGAAAGAGCGCGTGCGTCGGATATCCCACGGAAAACAAAAGGGATACTGGCCCGCCCCCAAAATCCGTCTCAAGGGGCAGAGCCAAGGAAGACAGAGAAGGACGTCCCCGTCCGCATTCCGTTCGAATTGACCCTGCCGGACAGGGAAGCCGCGGTGGATGTGGATTCGTCGTGCTCAGATGACAATAGTCAACCTTTGACCCAGGATATCCTCTCCATCGCGGTCGAGCGTCGCATCAGACTTGATATCTTCACTGGTGAAGACACTTTCGATCGACGCTCCCGTCACCTTGTGGATCGGAAGCCGCGCTGCAGTGTCTCCAGCGCATCTTTCTTGCTTCCCATTGACAAACCTCTGGTACATACTGCTGCTGCCACTTTGTTTAATGATGTGTTGCCGACATATCAAGATGTCTCGGGGGCACCCCCAGGGTACTCGTGAAGGAAAGCAGGAATTTCTAGAGCAAAGATGGGAGATAATAGGCGTTTACCGGAGAGATAGCTACCTCGATATACCAAGTTAATTCAAGTCCCAAAGTGGACTCCAGGAATACAATATAATGGCCCGGTGCTCTCTGGAATAAATCATCCACAGCACGCTTCTTTCTTAAAAAGCTCATATTCACAATCCCACGTAAATGACAGCAAGTAATCCGAAGAAAAAAGTATATCAAATCTACACACATAACATGTAAACTGTACTTTCCCACATTAATAACGACCAAGACCTACTAGAAAGGAGCATTATCTGGCCGAACGCCAGCCAACCGACAAGTCCCCTGATACATGCGCTCGAGCGTAGACCGCATAATATCCACATCAATCGACTCGATAGACCACAGCCGCAGCGTACGAATAGACAAACGGATCAGCGCAGGCCAGTTATGCGGCGGGCGCAGCCCCCAGCCACTAGCTGTGCGCGAGCTGTTCAGGTGGCCCAGAACGGCCCCAATGATCTGAATGGCGGCGCCGAACGTGGCGCGCACGATGTTCCAGATCCACTCGTGCCGGAAATGGTACCAGTAGTTGGGAATCAGCTCAGCACAGTTGTCGACGGCTTCCTGCGCTACTTCAAATACCTTGCGGAAGAGCTGGTTGTTGCTGTGCGTGTAGTGCGGTAGCGACTGGTAATGCACGGCTAGATAGAAGACCGGTCGGTAGATCTTCTCCAGGCAGATGTGGTAGCGGCCGCGTAGGAAAAATTCTAGGTCTTGGTTGTCTGCGGATGGAGAGGGGAGGCCGTCTAGGGACATCTTGTACCTGGATAGCGTGGATGTGTGAGTGCTGTTCCATATTTAATTCTCCAGAGATAGAGAGATCCTCACCAGGAATAGACGACTTTGACTGCCTCGGTGGTTTGATCCAATACCCCGTTCATATTAGCCACCCAGCCCTGCTCGCCATCTCGCCACATGTCTATGAGCATGTCATTGACAGTGCGGCGGTTACAAATAGACCCAATGTAAAATCTCCAACCTTTCTCCTCTTCCGTCCCGCTGAGCTCGAGCCCGGGCTTGAGCAGGCTTCCCTGGTCGTCCTCCATCTGGTCAGGCGAGGAGGTAGCGGTTTTCGGGAATGTGGGAAATGGATCCGAATACCCCAGGCTCTCAAGCCCACTGCTCCACAGAGGGAGCTCGCTCTGCATCTCACTATTGGGCCGTCAGAAAATCATTCACCATGAACCCAAGTCTAACTTACTGCTCCGCCTGAATACAAGACCAATAGAGCCGCGACTCGAGGTTGTGGTAGTTGACATCGGCCGTCCATCGCTCTCGACAGAGGGACCGCAGACGAACTTCTAGCCGGCAGGACGCTTGCTGAAAGCAAAACCAAGCCTGCAGAGGGCGCATGGCATGTCGATGGTAAAACCCAGCTAGCAAAAAGCATTGGATGTCTGTCGGGGACGTATGCAGCGAGCCGAATCGCTGCTTTGCCGCATGGAAGTAAGTTTCAGCCACTTCAATACTTGCATCTGACAGCGGCGGTGACGGTAGCCTGTCCAGATCTATGGGGATTTCCCCCAATGGAATGAAAGGCGACGTGCAGCAAGCCAAGGCGCATGCTAAGAGCTGCCCCAGAGTTAGTTTTGGGAGAAAGCCTTTCGGCTACCCGAGGGTATACCACGCACCACTTGACACGACGGGCCGTCCCATCCCAACCCTTGTACAGTCACCTCCCGTGCGTAACGCTCAATCTTCTCTGCATCGACCACCGGGTTCCGCCGGTGTACCAGCATGAGATATTTTCGGCAGAGGCGCGGAATGTCATCCAGCAAGGACCCAACGCCCATCTGTCTAGGTGGCTGCATACTGGAGGGGTATTGGCTGTCCAGGGAATCAAGCAGAAAAGAACGGATATGCTTTTCGGCCTCGGTAATGACTGGATTATATATGGGCCACCGAAGCATATACTCCGGGGAGTTGGCCGCATACAGGGTCAGGGGATCATGCTCATAGCCCCGATCCTCCACACCCGTATTGTTGCTATGGGGGAAGCTCCCCGACAGGTTCGTAGCCAGTGGGGCGGGTTTCTGCACGGCCATCTCGAAAAAGGAGTCTTTCAGCGGGCGACCCGGGGCGACGGAGCCGCCGTCCTGCTTGAGATCCTCCAGCACGGACGCAATGTGGCCCAGGCGCTGGAGGATCTCCTGGTTAGTCGAATCGAAGCCATTTCTGTAGAAGTCGGTCAGAAAAGCACTCCCCCCTGTCCTATAGCTACCAATTTCACCGGTGACTTACTGGGGCTGGCTCGGGGATGATTCAGGATAGATGCAATCGACCCCCTGCACCGCACAGTAGCTACAAACCGGCCGGAGATTATCGCAGCGGGTCTTGCGCAACCGACATGTCTGACAGGCGGTTGGAGCTCGGGTCCGACTTTCACGCTTCTTCACAAAGTCCATGTTGCTAGCATTTGCCCTTTGGGGGAATTCAGGATGCAATCCGGGGAGCATCGGGGAGACCGCGTGGGTAGATCCAAAGAATCAAGTGCAAATCGCGGCGCTCTGGCATACTTAGGGGGGTTTGCTATTCATCCCCTCCCCTCCCTCTCCAGAGGGGCCCAGAGGGGCCGTCAGACGCGGAACAAAGAAATGCACTTTCGTTCTCGGTACTGTCGAGTGCTGACGGTTATGGCGTGGCCGGATAAGGCAACGCGAACAAAGAACGATGTGACGGGCAAACCCTAATGCTGCGAACATCCCCGGCCCGACCAGGATCACCCGAGCCTGATTGGAGGCCGCTGGGCCTTGGCCTGCGCCAGACAAGGTTGCTCTCCCCGACGGCGGCAATTTGGGCTTCGGGGACACTCGCCCAAGTCTTCTTTGGGTCGTGTGCATCGTGTCTGCGAATGAGGAGACTTCTGATGCCTGGTGTAGTTTTCGAGTCGGGGTAATTCGGGATTCCCGGAAAGTCCAAACACCTAGAGACATACACACGGTTGGAAGCATTCGATCGCTAATGGTATTGCAAGTACATGTACATGGTGTTCACAGAAAATCAATCTCCAACGCCCGAGAAATGCTGCGATAATCGCTCATCATCGCACTCTCCGCTTGCCCCTCTTGACAGGCACCTCACATACCTCGGACCACGCATCCTCAAAGACCGTCTTGCGCGGGCCGATTTGACCCTCGTAGAAATTGAGCTTGCGCGCCACCTCCATGGCGCCGGTGCCCAACCCCACCGTCTTGCCCATGATAATACATTCCGACACGCCCTCAATGAGATCGGTGCGGCCCGCACCGCCGGCATCGAAAAGATGGTCGGCGGTCTTCTCAAAGGATGCCAGCTGGAGCACCGAGTCTCGCATCTTGGCCAGTCCAAATCTTGTAATCCCCAGGACTTCTCCCTTGTAGGTCATCACATCGGCCAGCAGCTGCATGTGGCGAGGATCGATGTCCATGTCTTTCATGACTTCGCTGATTTCCGTGATGATGGTGCTTCGTGCGGCCTCGATACCAAGAACCTCGCGCGCTTCCATCACATTGTTGGTCGTGGTGTGCAGGCCGTTCACACCGAGAGTGGTCATGCACTCTCGAAGTCCGTAGCCCTCCACGAGCAAGGTGTTGGTGGTAGATGTCTCATCCGTCCGGATAATGGCCCGGTTGGCGTGGGGGTGGCCCAGAATTTGGATGTTGGGGAGGAAACGCTTCAAGTGTTTGAGGCGCAGGAAAGGATCGACGCTCGTCGCCGCGATCTCCGTCTTCGACAGTGATGCCTTGCTGGCCGGGTCGAGGTCAACTGCGATCTGGATGCTGCCCATGGTATGGCGGAACTTGAGGTCATCGGCTTTGAATCGCTTGTGGCTCTTGATTGCAGCGATGATCTGCCCCACTGTGAGTTCAAGGGCGAGATCCTGAATCGTCTTCCAATTCATAATGACCGTCAAGTAAGCCTCGCCGCGCGTGGTCCAGTCTTCGCGAATGGCGTGGATGACATCTCGCAAATAAGTCTTTTCAATCCGACCCTTCACAATACGAGCAGCAATCGTACTATCTTTGGTGACGAGATCACAGGCAACGACAGGAGTACTGATCTCCTTGGAGGCGTTGATGATTTCCTTGATACGCGGCACACCCTGCGTGATACTCATACCAGCAACACCAGCAAAGTGGAAAGTCTTCAGCGTCATCTGCGTACCAGGTTCACCAATGGACTGGGCACCAACAGCGCCCACCGCATGACCGGGCTCGACTTGGGCTTTCTTGTACTTGGACAGACAGGCGGTGATGAACGCCCTCAAAGTTGTTTCTGTCAACTTCCCCGTGTGGTCCAGGCCTTTTCGACTTCTCTCGTCGGACGGATCAATGGCACCGCCACGAGAAATTAATTTATCGGCCCTGGCTTGGACGTATTGCTGAATCGAATCAAGGAAATCGCGGGCGCTCTCAAATTGGTCAATACCATGGTCACTGCGGTCCATGTAACCAAGTTTTTGGCCGAGCAGATCCTTGCGGACCAGCTTCGCACGTTCTTTGCCGAGCATCTGTTCACAGACCTCCATAATCTCTGCTGGTAACAAGCTTCGCTCATCGTTATTATACGTCGTAGACTCGGAGTGTGTGAACGTTCGGTCGAAATGAACAGGCTTCGCGTTGCCTTCCATGTCCACAGGATCCAATTTGTCGTCACCATACTGGAATTGCACAATGGCAGCAGATGAGTTGCGCACCGTATCGTCGTACAACGTCGACAGGTCTTCAAGAGACTTCATCAACCGACGAGACATGTAACCGGTCTCAGCGGTCTTGACAGCCGTATCGACCAGACCTTCACGTCCTGACATGGCGTGGAAAATGAACTCGGTGGGCTCCAGGCCCGAGAAGAAGCTATTTCGAACAAAACCCTTTGAAGGTGGCTGGCGCGCATTCTTCGGGAAATGAGGCAGAGTACGATCCTGGAAACCATCCTGAACACGCTGGCCGCCGATAATTTGCTGACCGACAAGCGCAACCATCTGAGACACGTTGATACTCGAACCCTTCGACCCAGACGTGGCCATGACCAAGGGCGAGTTGTACTTGCTGAGTTGTGCAATACACTCGTCACCAGCTTGCTGACGGACCTTGCTGAGAATACCAGAGAGTTGGTTTTCCATAGTCTGCAATTCATCACATCCCGGGTACTTCTCCAAAGTCCCAGCCTTGTATTTGGCAATGACTTCGTCACATTGTGCGTACGCCGTTTCCACCAGGTCGTTCTTCGACTGGATGAGCTTCTCACTGGGGTACACATCGGTGATACCAATTGAAAATCCCATGTTGGAGAACCATCGCGCCGATAATTTCGACAGGCGATTCATGCCCTCCGCGGCGGCTGCAGGGCCAAAATCTCGAAGCATAATGTAGAACACATTGTCCTTCTTTCCGGAACCAATCGTAGATTTGTCCATCACACCACACATGACCTCTGAGTTACGGATGACCAACCACGCATCGTTCGGGTCCAAATCCTTTGGTCGACCGTCCTTGGGCTGTTTGAATTGGCGGCATGAAGCATCCAAATTCACCAGAACAGGGTCGTCCTTGTTAGGGTGCATCAGAATGTTGAACACTTGCTTTCCCGTCCAGAGCATCTGTGGCTTGAGAACAGAGGGCGGGGGAAGGTCAAATCGTGTCTCTGGGCCCAACATGTACAGACAGATCTGAGAAAATGAGCGGCGATCGAAAAAATTGTCTTTGCTGCTAAGCAGAAAGGCGGCACTGATGAAATCCTGAATAGCAGAAATAATGGGTTCGCCGTTCTTGGGTGTGGCCAAGTTGTTCTTCACACCCATCAACTCCATAGCCTCGGCCCTCGCTTCCTCTGTTTGGGGGACGTGCAGGTTCATTTCGTCTCCATCAAAATCGGCGTTGTATGGATTGCAGACACACTCATTCAACCGGAACGTTCGGTGCGGCCGGACCTTGGCAAAATGGGAGAGAATACTGAGCTTGTGGAGAGAGGGTTGACGGTTGAAAAGCACAATATCGCCGTCTTCGAGGTGACGCTCAACGATATCACCTTCTTGCAACTCGTTGGCAATGTGATTGAGAACACCGAATTTCAAGTTGACCTGGCGAAAACCAAGGTCTTTCTTCAAAATGCCGTTAGCTCCAGGCCACTTGAATCTGCCGTTGCGCACCCGCTGCTGCAATTTCTCCTTATTGTACCGATTCACTACCTCTGGGTAGGTCATGTTTTTGGCCACCAGCTCTGGAACTGCGACCTCGTCCACGCGCAAGTTCGGGTCCGGCGAGATGACAGTTCGGCCCGAAAAATCAACACGCTTTCCGGAGAGATTACCACGGAAACGGCCCTGTTTACCCTTGAGGCGCTGAACGAAGCCTCGGATGGGCTTTCCCAGATCCGCTTTGTTGAGACCTGGCACATCGCTGTTGATATAAACAGCAATCTGAAGTTGCATGTAGTCCCAGCATTCCATGATGTTATGCACCGGTGCCCCCTTCTGCAGCGCGTTCTTCAAGTTGAGGTTGCTCTGTACGATATCACCCAGCTTGGCCGTCAAATCATCCTCTGTCGACGCGGAGTCTTGTCCCACTGAAGGTCGGATGCAAACGGGGGAGCCGGAATGAATTGCCAGAGAAACATTTCAGGCCGCGCCTCTTTCGGGTTCAAACCCAAGAGCTCACAATCGGCGTCCGAGACCCTCTTGAAAAGCTTCAACACACGTAAGGCATTCAGATCATCCTGCGCTTTCTTGTAGTGCTTCTCGACCTCTGGGTTGGAGTTTCTCGCCTCAGAAAAAGACTCGTCGAAAACAATCTTGCTGGGAGGGGCTTGCTTTTTGACCGAGGTTGAGCTGTTGAACGCCCGAAACTTGTCGTGCGTGATCTTGAGCGCGCTTGTGCCGGTCTTTTTAACCACACCGTTCAGCGTACCACAGGCCTCACATTGTCGAGTTTTCCGGCAACGTTCATTGATCCGTTTAGCGATCTGCATCCGACGCAAATTATCCAGCCCCGGGCGGCGCATTTCGCGGAGGAAGGAACGGCGTTCTGACTCGGGGAGCAAGATGCGTGAGCATTCTTTGCAAATTTCCTGAAGAATGCCAATGACGCGCTTGAAGTAGCCGACATGAAACGCAGGCAGAACCAGCCTGACATGACCGAAGTGGCCGTTGCAATCTTTCACGCCGAGACCGCATGTTGGACACGTTAGGGCCTTGTTCGAAATTCCCATGCGAGAATCGAGAGGACCATGCGCGACGACCGCCCGGTCGTGATCCAAGTCGAAAAACTTTCGGTCCGAAACTTCTACCACGGCTTGACCGACAATGTCATCGTTGGTCCTAGAAAGCAAGGAGGCGCGGTTAGCGATCAGTTCATCCCCCGCCTGGGGTTCAAAGCCGGCCGAGTTCCATACAATACACCGAACTTCAATTCTTTGATGACTTTGGGCACACGATCGATAACCTGGGCCTTGCCCAGGTCGATTTGCGCACCCTCTGGAGGCTGCATTGCCGCTGTCAGTGGAACATGGCAGGGTGACTCAAGCTGATCCGATCGGCATGGACGGACGCCAGCCGCAATCCACGCGTTGAGGGCAGAGATCCAAAGTGAAGATTAGATAAAATTGCACTTCCTGCCTCTCAGGCTCTCAAGAGGACACAGTAAAACCGAGCCAGGCCAGTGAAAAGCGATGGTATGAATATGGGAAGATTGAGGGAAGAATATTGAATGGCGGGGTCGGCCACGAACTTTTTTTTTGCCGGCGAAGCTCTCACCGCTCGCGCATAGCAGAAGAGCTCGGGTTGCTCTATGCGAGTGTTATACATTCCACTTTTCAACTAATGTACAGATTATTTCGACAGGAAGGCCTGGAACGCCTTATGTTCAATCACCACATTCCCAACTGCGCGCAGCTTCTTGCGGCCTTCTTTTTGCTTCTCCAGCAGCTTGCGCCGTCGACTAACATCACTAGCATGTAGCTTGGCCAAGACGTCCTTGCGGTAGGGCTTGATGGTTTCACGGGCAATGATTTTCTTGCCGACAGCTGCCTGGATGATAATCTCGAACAGCTGCCGATCAACATGCTCCTTGAACTTGCTCACCCACACTCTGCCTTGCCGACTGACCTGGCTCATGTGCATAATCCGAGCCACGGCGTCCACGGGGACTTTGTTGACCAAGAGCTGGAGCTTGACAATGTTCCCTGTTCGCCAGGCTGACTCCTCGTAGTCCAGACTGGCATAGCCTTTAGTGGACCCTTTTAGTTTTCCGAAGAAGTCGTCGACCAAGTGTGCCAAGGGTAGCTCGTATTTCAAAATGACTTGGGTCGAGGTGAAGTATTCCAGGCTCTGTTGCTCACCACGGTTAGACTCGCACAGCTCGATCACCTTGCCCAGATATTCATCGGGGAAGGTCAAAGTGGCCAGGACATATGGTTCCTGAATCTCGGCGACTTTGAGACGAACGCTATCGTCGTCGGGAAATTTGGCTGGGTTGGTAATGATTTCCTCGGTGCCATCTTTCCACTTTAGCTTTACTGGAACTGATGGAGGGGTAATGATGATGCTGGCACCGTGCTCCTGCCGCAGACGATCCTCGAACACAGAGCAATGAAGGGTACCCAGGAAGCCCATGCGGAACCCCGCTCCCAGAGCCTCGGACGACTCCTTCTGAACAGTGATGCTTCGGTCATTCAAGATGAGCTGGTTGATACTATCTTCGAGATGCTCAAAGTGGTCCGCGTTCATCGGGTACACGGCCACGAAAACCATAGATTTCGGTTCTTCGAATCCAGGTAGTGGTTCAACGGCCTTCTCCGACCCAACTGTCGTGAGAGTGTCGCCGATCTTGGCCTCTTTACTCCGTTTCATTCCAGGATTGAAGTAGATATACCCAACCTGACCGGCACGAAGGACTGACTGGGCGGTCTCAACGGGGTACATGATCCCGACCTCTCCCACCCAGTACTTGAGACCGGTCACGAATGACACGAGCTGCTGGCCAGCACGCACCTCGCCGTCAAACACGCGCACCAAAAGAATCACGCCTTTATAAGGGTCGTACCAGGAGTCGACCAGTAGCATCCGAAGCGGTTTCTGGCCATCGCCTACAGGTCTAGTAAAACAGTTAGATCGGAATATCCCACACTTAAGCTCATGGAGAAACATACGCAGGGATCTTCTCGACTACCGTCGGCAGCAGCGCCTCGACATTCACCCCAGTCTTGGCCGAGACCATCACTGCATTTTCCGTGTCGAGTTCAAATGAACTTTTCATCTGCTCCAGAGCCCGCTCTGGGTCCGCAGACGGTAAATCAACCTTGTTAATGACGGGGATCAACTCAAGGCCCTGCGAAAATGCCAGGTAGAAATTGGCGACGGTTTGCGCCTGGACACCCTGACTTGCATCGACCAAGAGCAATGCCCCGCCACAGCTGGCATAGCTTCGCGAGACCTCCGCTCGAAAATCCACATGCCCGGGCGTGTCAACCAAATGCAACAAATAGTCCTCGCCCTTGTGGTTGTAAATCATGGTACATGTTTGCGCCTTGACCGTGATTCCGCGCTCTCGCTCGACATCGAGTCTATCCAAGACCTGTTTGTTTGTTCCGGGCTGGATTGTACCGGTCAGCTCGAGTAGCCGGTCCGAGAGTGTGCTCTTGCCATGGTCGACGTGCGCGACGATGCAAAAATTGCGATACCGGTCGATGGGGATTGCGGCGATCCGTTTCTCGAGGTCCGTGTCAGGCATGCGGGAAACTCCCTTGGACCGTGATGCAGCCCACACGGCAGACTGAGTGAACGATCGTCTTGTTCTATAGTGGGATGGAAAGCCAACGGGCGGCTTGAAGCTCGCGGCTGGAGATCGCGGCGCTGCGCTCAGCCATCGGGCTAACTGCAGACATCCTCGCATCGGGATTTCTGTGGCATGAGAGAGGGAGAGATTGCGCAGGCTCCCGTCAAAAGAATGTAATTGGGTCAATTGTGGTGGAGGGTCGTCGGCATCCACGGGGGAATTTGCGGAGAAAAAAAAGATCGGGCGGGCGGTGACGGCGATCGATTGCTGCGGCGACAATCGACATAAACAAACCTCTCGTCCTCCCAAGTTCTGCGTCAACGTCACAAACCACTCCAATTCACTATGCCCGAGACTAAAGACAAGTCCAAGGTTCACAAGCTGTCCCTGAAAGGTAGGTTATGTTTCCTGGCAGTCGCGGTGCAATATTTACCAGACAATAGGGTCGGCGAAGCTGGTGTCTGAATTCGTGAGCTCCTTCGTCTCCCCGATAATTGCTATATGCTCATAAGAACTTAGTTTGAATACTCGATCAACTCGATTCTGTGCGTTTATCGCCATGGTTAATTGGCAGCAATAGCTCATCCCATTTGTCTAGGTTTCAACGAGGCGTCTATCCTCCCGAGGATTTCACCACGTAAGTCTTGATGGTGCTGTACAAATGTTCCTTTCAACTGACCAGTCATCTTGGGATAGTGTCAAGAAATATGGCCTCAACATGCTTGGTTCGTTTCCCGGTCTCTCATACCAAAGAATCCGCCCACCCTAACCCTGCGATAGTGTCGGCCGACGACCAAGTGAAAGCCTACATTAAGAAGATTATGTCGCAGCTGAATAAGTGGATGGTTGGTGGAAAGATCTCCAAGCTTGTCGTGGTTATCACGAGCAAGGAAACCGGGGAGCATGTGGAGAGATGGCAGTTTGACGTATGCACCAAGCCCACGTTCCACCATTGCATGGTCTGGCAGCTAACTGCGATATGGATTTATAGGTTGAGATATTTGGCAAGAGCTCCAAGAGCTCGAGCTCTCGAAAAGTGGGAGACAAAGAGAATGCGGCCCCAGGGTAGGTTCATCCTCTCCAGGACTTTCATGGCCATGCCAGTTCAACTAACAACACTGCTTTGCACCAAACAGCGATGCGGACCCCCAATCCCCTGAGCCCGTCGAGAAGACCGAAAAGGAAATCCAGGAAGAAGTCCAAGCAATCTTCCGCCAGATAACCGCTTCCGTTACATTCCTTCCTGTGCTGGATGGCGATTGCACTTTCAACGTGCTGGTCTACGCCGATGCCGACTCCGAAGTGCCCGTGGAATGGGGAGACAGTGATGCCAAGGAAATCAAGAACGCCGAGAAGGTGCAGCTGAGAAGCTTCAGCACGAACAATCATCGAGTGGGAACTCTCGTCAGCTATCGGCTGGCGGATTGAGGGTTCTTGTTTATGATCGATACGACAGATCCTCTCTGCAAAGGCGTTTGGAAAGGATGGTGGCCATGATTTTACTTTCTTCTTCCTAGAATATTGTCCTCTCGTGTCTAATGAATCGTTACGTTATTGTCTATATGCCTGGCTGTCATCCCACTGGAGCTCTGTAATGCCAGGGCAGTTCTTCCATCCTCGAGAACCACGCATTGCACTGCCCTCCATCCCAGCAAACTAACTGCTCCACCACCTCTTCCAGTCCCTTATCAACAAAAATGTCCTTCATTCCCGGGTCCCAGCCACGTTGGTTTCGTTTGCCGGCCAATTCCACACCAACCCCATATAAATCCCGTCTCCAGAGCCCGATCCCACGTTTCGACTCGCCTTGGATTAGAACTTCTAGTGGACTGATGGTCTCAGGGGGATTGATCCCTATAACGGAAACCGAGCTGTGGTCCGCATCCTGTGCCCCCTTCCAAGGAAGTAATCCCACCGCAGGGAAGTGACATTCCATAAACCGCGCCCGCTTGAACTCGTGTGTCACGACTGTAACTCGCCGTGGATAGACGCCCGCATGTAATCGAAACTGCAGTAGGGAAAACAAGACATTTTGGTACGAGTCTGTGGCATGGGACTCTGCTATAATCCTTGATTCGTCAATTGACTTTTTGCACGAGTTTTGGAAATAGTAGTTGTCTTTGACCAGATTCTGTAGGTTGCTGATATTAGCCCTGCAGGTTCGAGGGATGCTTTGACAGCGATTTTTGAAAGTCCCTTACCAGGTAAGATTGCCCTTCAGCAAGCTGTGTTCTCGGTCTCTTAGTGGGACCTCTGCCACATATGTCAATAAGCCGACTGTGCTGGGTGACCCTCGACCAAGGACGGATGAGCCATACCCCGAAAACACTAGCAGTGCACGCGAATCCTCCGCCCAAGCCTTCAACCCAGCCTTGGCATGACTGGTGAAAGTAGGTGTCTCCCCCTGCTGAAATGGCTCGATTAGCCTGCAGCGACGTCAGACTTTGTTCTTTCTGTATACGAGAAGAGTTGGACTAGGTTTCAGGCCATACTGACCATTCGTCTTCGGAGGCGCCATGGCTAGGGCCTCCGAGGTAGATGGCATGGCAGCAGACCAGAATGAGATGATTCAAAGGGCTCATTTTTGTTTCGTTTGAAGGCATGGCCGGGATTGGATGCATCCCATGTTATCCAGGGCTGCCCACGCTGTGCGTTAGTAAGCAAGAAACAGCTCTTCAGGGCTGGTAACAGAAGAAGGACAAACGACGGGTGATCATAAGATGGTCGTTTCTTGGAAAGTGGTTGATTGGATAGCAATATCTAGCGTCTTAGCAAGACTACTCTTCAGCCACAGACTCGTTCCCATAAAGAACAGTGCTGCTCATCTTCTCGGCCTGTTCATACGTTCATCCTTGCCATCTCTGCACGAAGAGCACGCATTTCCGCAAAAAGGCCAAAGCCGAAGCCGTCTGCTTTAGCGGCCATTCTCTGCTCGATATCGGATTGTAGGGATGGCGCCTGTCTAACCATTTGTCCACACAGGCTTCAAGAGGATTTTCCTTATCCTCAACGGAACTATATGAGCCGATTTGGGTGTTACTCTGTAGTATAAGCGAATTAGTAAAATACATCATGCGAAGAGAGGAAAATGCGTAGAATCTACCATTCCTTGTAGCCACGACAGGAAATAGCGGCCGCCCTTAGCGCAAAGAAACTTTAGGATGATCAATGATGATGAATGAAGCTAAGCCAGGATAAAGCTAAAAATATAATATAGATAGAGGAGGTGGGGGAGATGAAGAAGACGAAAGAGACGAGGAAAGAGATAAAGAAAGATATGAAAAAAAGATGATTATGGTAAGCTTATACTAAATAGATAATCAAATGTCCTAAAATGAAGGGAAAATCAAGGAATAATTCTTGAAAACCTGATATCTACTTTTCACTATGCCCTCACTAAGCCATACGAGTAAAGCGAGGGTCAGTAGCTTGTGCAGACAGGCTAATTCTGACAAAGAATGGCTGCTATTTCCTTTCGTACCAAGGGCTATTGCTGTGCGTTCGTAGGCAAGAAACAGCCGGGCTCTTCGGCGATCACCTGGAGATTTCGTAGGTGCGACTCGAGCTCTCATTGAAACGAATAGAAAAGAATAATGCATTATGTGTTCAACCAGCCGAGGAGATAATGGATATCTTTAATGTACATTTTGTCAGAAAAAGAAATGCGCCGTAAGTGATCTCCGAGTCGTCAATCCCTGTGAAATGCAACCACCAACCGAGGAAACAAAGGACAACATCAATGGGGAAAATAGAAAGAAAGGGGGAAGAGGAAATGACAGAACAAAGAGAGCTCCTGTGCTTTCGACGGCCATGCACAAGTGCTTTGCAAAGCACGAAAACAGAGACCGAGGCTACGAAACTCGCCACGAATAAACGCCATGGATATCCGCTAGAAAAGAGCTTGCTCTTTCTTTCTGTCTCTAGTGAGAAATGCATCGCCATGATCGAGCATGACATACAACAAGAGAGTGATGTAAATCGACACGAGAAGGAAAGAGAAAGCGTCATATCACAAAGGAAACAACGAGAGTGTATCGGTTAGAGACGGACTCATCGAGCCACCACCTGGACAGGCTTGGAGAAGGGGATGTTTCACGTATCGTGCCGGAAAGTGCAATTGTCGCCCTTTCTGCACTTTCCTTCGGCCCAGAACTTGCAAGCAACGAGCCCGACCTTGTACTGTTGTTTTGTTAAAGATTAGTTTCTGGTTCCCTTTAAATAAATAGTTGACTGGAAGACCACATACAGGTTTGGGATCGTTGGCTTTGGTCCGCTTCTGACGGCTCCAGGATCCCTCAAACTTGTCGTCATTATACGCGCTCTCGCGCATTCGCTTGCGTTCAGGGTCTTCATAATCGAACCCTTGTTGTGATGCCCCTTGCTGATTCTGAGGCATGAATTGTGAGAACATAGCCCCGAGATTGGGTGGCATTGCCGGCTGCGATTGTTGAGGCTGAAGCATTCCAGGTGCCTGCTGCATCTGCATCATGACGTTCAAAATCCCTTGGAAGTCAACGCCTTGCCCAGCGGGTGGTTGGGATGGCGGTTGGGACACGGGCATCTGCGGAATCGGAGGTGCCGGGGCCTGAGTTTGATGTTGCCGGAACATACTGATCGTGCGCTCAAGATCAGATGTCGGGGGATGCTGGGGAGCTTGTGGTGGGGCTACAGGTTGCTGTTGCTGCTGCTGCTGCCCAGGTGCCCCCTGGATGATCTTGAGTAAATTGGAAATGTCAAATCCATTGCTTGTTGGATTCGGTTGCGGGGGAGCTGGAGGTATGGGGTTAACCATGGAGAAGTAACGTTCCTGACGCGCCTGTAGCACCCGATATTAGTGATCAACACTCAATACCTGAAATTCCATTGAAGATGAAACATACTTTGAGATCATCAGGCAGTTCGCCAAAGGGAACCTCATCAGGCACCACCTCGTCGGGATCCGGGGCAGGCGGCTCCTTCGGTGAGGGAGGCACATCGGCCGGCGACGAGTAGAACACCATAAGAGTGGTGGATTCCCGGTGGTCCTGAGCCTCTTTTTCTGGACTTGTAGGCTGCTGTGTACCTCCACGTTTAATGAAGTTGGCTCCTTTGAGATATTCCGCCTCAAAGGCAATTTCTGTATTTTGTTAGTTTGCTGTTCAACACGAGCAGTGGTGAGTAACATACCCGAAAGGTCCTGGTAATCTCGGAGGCTGGTCTCTCGAATACCTCCGAGATCATCTTCTTCGAGTTCATCCAAGTCCTTGTGGAGTTTGAGCACACTGCCCTCGCCCTTGACATCACCTGCGCCACGCAATGACCCATCGCCAGGGCCCAGTTCCTCATCGGGGTCGTGAGTGAACAGTCGGACTTCGGTAAGAGAATCGTCGGGCTTCCAGCTGACGCGAAGCTTGCGTCGTTCTTCCTTACGCAGTCTCTTTTGCCGCTCTTCTTCCGTTTCTGGGGGTTGATCCTCAGCAGGCTCTGTGGAAACAGGCTCCTTTGGCTTGTTGAGATCGGCCATGATATCACCAAACGAGAACGCAGGCTTCGGAGGTGGTGCTGCTTTCTCCTTCTTTTCCGCGGGACTAGATGTGAGAGAGAAAAAGATTAGTGACAAGGCTGCGTATAGGCGAAACAGGGAGCACATACGTGGGCTTTGAGGCGGCAGCAGCAGCCCTCTCTGCGTTTGTTGTCCCAGGTCTCTTGGACGCTGAGCTAAGACTACCGAAGAGACTCGTGGGCTTGGGAGCGATAATGTTGGCTTTGGGACGTGGAGCTGTTGCACCAGTTGCCTTGCCATTCTGAGCACCATCTGCTAAGCGCTTGGCCGGACCATTACTCGAGGGTTTATTCGTGTCCTTGGCGCCGGCAACAACCATACGCTTGGTCGCAGGCTGGTTGCCCTCGCCCTCGCGAGGTCGTTTTGATCCAGCGACCTCGCCCTTGGAATCTACAGGGCCGGACTCTGCAGGCATAGGTGAACCGTTAGATTTTCCATTGCTCTGCTTCCGCTTCGTCGAGGCCACAGCATTGTCAAGAATCTTCTGTGCAAGGTCCTTCACTGGCTGCCCGCCCTTCTTCATGAATTTCGGGAGCAGCTTGGCTATGTTCGTTTTTTGCAGCAGTTCCTCATCCACGGTGCTGAAACGAGCAAGGAGCTGGATTATTTGTGTTAATGGTCTGTCATGCCAAATGAGACAATTGATGCGGGTTTGCTCACCTTGAGAATGTTCATGGTCAAAGCAGCTTCGAAATCAGCAGCCTGGAAACGATCTGCTAGGAAGGAGTAGATGGCTGCCAGGGCCATGGGATGTTCTCCCAGCCTACACCATTGAGAGTTAGCCATTTGATACCAGAAAGTTCAACATGCAATGGGAATAGTTCAGGTCTTTTGGAGGAAAGCTTTCTAATAGGGTGCAAAGCACGACCAGGCCCTGGCAAGGAGTAATATCCCCTCATCGAATCTCGCAGATATCTCGCTACAGCATATCTGGAGGTTCCTATGATTGGGACTCTCTTGTCTTTTCGGGGCCTGTCTCTCAGCGCAATCCCGGGCCACATCCATTTGGAAGTACCAAACGGATGCTTTAACACCGGAGCGCTGAGCGATAGCCCTTACTTCTAGCCATATCGAGAATTTTATGATCCACGACCACACGAAGCGGTTTGCGTGGGCAAAGCTCCCATTTTGCTTCCAACATCTATGGCTTCGGAAACCGGATGCTTGGTTGGTGGGGTAATGACGAATAGGATGAACATACTTCTCGACGATCCTGGGATGGCCCATGGCCAAGGCGGTAGTCACGATCTTGTCCATGATGTGCCGTTGAAGAGCAACATTTTGCTTCAGTTGAGTTGCCTTGTCATTGTTGCCCTGATTCTCAGCTAGCTTCATCGCTTGAACTTGCTCCTTCCACGAATCTCTGAGAGCTTTGATAACGTCCTTGAACGCAACCAGAGCATTCTTGACTTTCTCCACACTGGGGCGCTTATTTCGCGGAGACCACACGGCGTGGAGCGTGTCGAATTCGGCGGCGGCAGCGGGCTCGGTTGGGCGAGTTGCGGGGATGGGAGATGGCTCATCAGGAGCTTCGATCTCAAGATCAGAGTCCTCGGAGCTATCGCTGTCTGACTGCGCCTGGGCTTTCCTCGGCGCTTTCGTACCGGCCTTTTTCGTCTGAGTCGGCTTTTTAGTAGTGGCCTTCTTGCCTGTTGGCATGACAACCTGAGGCTGAGGAAACTCAGTGATTCTAGTAGCATTTGCTCCTACTTGAGTCAGAATACGATTCAAATGGCCAAACCTCAATCAAAAGCTTACCAAGGCTGGGAACCACCGCACCCACAGCTTGGGCTATCTGCGGTTGAACCGATAAATTGTGTTGGTAGTAATCAAACATCCTAATACAAGTGAGTCAAGGGAAATCTTCCGCCAAGAGCGTCTTCGCAGTGACGAAATGCTTACTTTCCGTTATCTGGCCTGTCGAATCCGGCAGGAATTCCATAGAGAAAGTTGTTCGATAAGGATGGATGCTGCTCAGTGGAGTTTTGAGGGGCGGAATCAAGGTATTGGGGGTTGATGGTCTGGTGGTGGGGTACGCCAGGTTCGGCTTCAGGGTAGTCGTTCGTGAGGTCAATGGTATTTTGCTGTCACAAGTTAGCCCAATATCCTATCAAACCATTGTCCAATGTTCAGCCTACCAGCAGCCCTGGGGGATAACTTGGAGGAATCGGGTATTGAGAGATCGAGGACTGGGAAGAAGCAGGCTGATACTCGACAGGCTGCTGAGGCTGTGAAGGGACGTTCTGCTGGCCAAACGGCTCGGGGAAGGTATCCTGTACTGAGAGCTGTTGGGGATGGAAGGAGTTTGGCTGGTAAGAGTATGCCGGAAACGGTGAAGTCTCGGACGGAGTCAGGGGACGAGAATCGAAATTCATCTGGCTTTGTTGAAATTGAGGGACTTGCGACGGTGTTTGATACTGCGATGGCACTCCATAGCGTTGTGGAGGCTGATGCAGTGGATTCGGCTGCCATGATTGAGGAACAGAGTAGATGCCATGATTTTGCTCAGGCTGAGGAGTAACTTGATCACGCTGTTGCTGCTGGAACACTGGATGATCCCACCCTATCCCCAGCGGTGTTTGCTGAGAGGGCGGTCCCTGCGGCTGCTGAGATGACTGTGGAAACTGCGGGTCACCAGCATAGATTGAATCGAGACCATTCCAGTATTCCGGGGGAAGCGACCCCTGAGTCGTCGCACCATGGGGCAGACCTGGCATCGGGTTCTGAGCCGAGGACTGCTCCATGCTGACTCCGACACTCTTTTTCTCTCTAGGCTACTCAGCGCGTCCACAGTATCACGTGTGTTGACCGTCAACTACCTCCCTTCACCGCCTTGGTTTCTGGTGCTTTCCTTTTCGGGACCGGCGACGGATTAACTCTTTCCGGGGTCAGGTGCGGGGGAGCGGATTCGAGATCTGATTGGGTAGAAGCAAAACAGAGTTGGAAGGAAGGTCTGAAGAATTAAAAGAGCGTGGGTAAGCAGGGGAGAACAAAAGATCTCCATACGTGCCTAACACAGGATTGGAGAGGTGTAGTATGAGTACAGTCCGTACCTGAGAAAAGGAGAGCAATTCAACAATTTTTGCAGGTAATTTCTTTTGAAGTGATTAATGTGTGCCTTAGGCACCGATCCTTCTTCCCGAGGCACGTCCAGATGGCGTCGTCCTTGGCCTTGCACTTAATGACGAATGCTCTGTCGTTGCGAATACACCGCAGTATAATAGGGATTTCCCTCAAGGTCATCAAATATCCTGAGAAGCTTCTCTGGCTTGTGCCTTTCTTGACTTGTATCTTTGATCCGCGCACTAGTGCCCCTGCAGAGCTTTTTCGCGTCCCCTTCCCTGAATTTAAGCCTGCCTTTGTGAAAAAGGCCTCGATGAGTCAGAGAGAACGGCTCTCATTAAATGGTCACCCTAGCGTCATAGCAATTCGCTTTACAGAAGAAAAATAAGGGAATAGGGAAGGGGAAGTGGTGAAATGTGATGGAGGAATGAGAGAGGTGAGGTGGAAGGGGGACAAAAAGCTGCCTGGCGGTTAAGCTGGTAGTTTGGTACCTTACCATCATTGTCTTTGTGAGAAGGGCTTTCATTGAAGGACACGTACGTAAATAATGTAAATTACGGTATTCCCTTCAACAAGGTGGAATTCATGTGATGTTGACTGTTTGCTAGGTTTGCACTCTTATGTCAGCCAGTCCAAGTGGACGGGATGCCAGGTGGAGCAATAGAGCGAGAGGGAAAGGATGTCAACAGTGCTTCATCATTGAGCTGACCAGAGAGATCGCCCTTCATTATTCTGAGTGCAATTCCAAGTGAAGTGGGCTGTACGCTGAGAGTTTCTCCAATTCCACAGCTCGCGGTGCCAGCTCTGCCATGGCGTCGCATCCCACGTCCCTCCGGGACCGACAGGTCGGTATGTGAATAGCAGATTCTCTTTGGTCCGGGGAGCCTTTCGAACTGATATAGCTTCTAGTGTCTATTCAAAAGCTCCTCAACCTCAACCATGACCCACGACCCGCCGAAGACTCTTCCTTCGACCCGGCTGCGCAGGGCAGCCTCGTCTCACACTCGACTCCGATCTTGAACGAAGATGGTGATCCGATCTGGAAAGTGCTGGTCTTCGACAACATGGGCCGTGATGTCATCAGCAGTGTTCTACGAGTCAATGACCTTCGAGCATGGGGGATCACTATTCATCTGTGCGATCTGAAGCGCTCTCCCGGGCACCTTGATCACCCGCTAACGCCAAGATGTATCCAGAAATATCAACGCGCAAAGATACCCGATACCCGATGTCCCCGTTGTCTACCTGGTCGAGCCCTCACCTACAAACATCCAGGCGATCACCAATGATCTTTCTCACGGGCTCTACTCCCCAGCCCACGTGAACTTCTTATCCTCGGTCCCTCGGCCGCTCCTGGAGGATTTCGCATCCCAAATAGCCTCTTCCGGCGCATCGGACCACATCGCGCAGGTGTTCGATCAGTACCTGAATTTTATCGTTGCGGAGCCGGACCTTTTTAGCTTGGGGCTCGGGAATGATGCGTACTACAAGATCAACAGCCCGAAGACGAGTGATGAAGATCTGGATGAGATTGTCGATAGGGTGGTGAGCGGGCTGTTCAGTGTGAGCGTGACTATGGGTCAGTATAATACACTTCAGGCCACCAGGATACACAACAACTAACTCTTAATAGGCACTATCCCCATTATTCGATGTCCGAAGGGGGAGCGGCAGAGTTGATTGCCACCAAATTGGACCGAAAACTGCGCGACCACATTCTCAATTCCAAAGACAACCTTTTCTCTGGCAGCCAGAAAGCCTTGCCGGGCGTACCGTCGTCGCGACCCGTGTTGATCATTATGGACCGAAATGTCGACCTCGTACCGATGCTCTCGCACTCTTGGACTTATCAGTCACTGGTTCAGGATGTTCTTCAGATGCGCTTGAACCGCATCACTCTGGACGCTGCAGATGAGCAGGACTCGACTAAAGCCTCCAAGAAGTCGTACGACGTGAATAGTAACGACTTCTTTTGGCAACGCAACGCAGGGGCCCCATTCCCCCAGGTTGCCGAAAACATCGATGCTGAGCTCACACGGTACAAGGAGGATGCGAATGACATCACCAAGAAAACAGGTGCTTCTTCGATTGAAGACCTGCAAAACGATACCAGCGCCTCGGCGCAGCACCTCAAGGCGGCAATTACTTTGCTTCCAGAGTTGCGGGAGCGCAAGACGATCCTTGACATGCATATGAACATTGCTACGGCCCTGCTCAAGGGTATCAAGGACCGACAGTTGGATAATTTCTTCGAGCTGGAAGAGAACATCACCAAACAAACCAAGGCGCAGGTCTTGGAGCTCATTGGGGACCCTGCCAAGGGCAACAACCCGTGGGACAAGCTGCGCCTGTTTATCATCTGGTTCCTCAGCACTGAGACCGAGCTGAACCGCACAGAGATGGCTCAGTGTGAGGAGGCGCTCACTAAAGCCGGCGTGCCTGATGTCACCTCTCTGGCTTATGTGCGGCAAGTGCGCGAGATCACCCGGATGACAATGATGACCACGGCAGCCCCCGAGCCCCAATCATCTGACCTGTTCCGTGGATTCTCGTCGCTATCCAACCGTCTGACGGATCGGATTACTTCGGGCTCGCTGGGTGCCAACTTTGACTCGCTCATCTCTGGCGTCAAGAATTTCCTGCCGGCAAACAAAGATCTGACTGTGACCAAGATCACCGAGTCTATCATGGACCCGTCGGCCGCCTCCAGCTCCGCCATCGCCAAGACTGAGAACTACCTCTACTTCGATCCTCGGAGCGCCAACGCGCGTGGTGCCATGCCGCCAGCGGCTTCATCGCGAAACACCCAGATGCCCGGTACGATGGGCGGTGCAGGGCCCGGCACAGGCGCCAGCTTTGGGCAGCGTCGCCAGGCCTTCAACGAGGCCATTGTTTTCACTGTCGGCGGTGGCAGCATGGACGAGTACGGTAACTTGCAGGACTGGGTCCGCCGGGTCAGTGGCCAAGTGGGCGCTGACGGGATCGCACCGGCCCCTCGTCCGGGTGGCGGCGCACCTGGGCCCCGGCGCAGAGTGGTATACGGCAGCACAGATTTAATGAACGCCAGCGAATTCCTGTTGGACTCGTTGGCACCACTGGGCAAGGAGAGCTAAATTTGAAAAAGAATGGTATCCACATGGGATCAAGAGGGTTTGTAAACATAGGATAATTCAAATTCGCCTAGGCATGGTGTTATACTAGGTAGTCTAGACTGGTAGAAGGAATCGATGCCTTCCAAGTCCATTACGTTTGTTTTTGTTTTTGTAAATTCATATTTCTTGTACTCTTGTTTCTCCCGCAGAGACAGCGATATAAATATAGAGGCAGATAGATAGAGACAGACCCTTGGTGGGTCCTAGCGATGTGGAGATACTTCACATACAGTATTGATCTACATAGTTTACCAGGTACCTAAACTATGACGAGCTCAACGGACTCTCCCTACAAATTACACCAAAGATATCTCATTCAGTCACAGTATGTTGGCCCAGCAGAAAAGGCGCTGGGCCCATAACCCCGAGGTACGCATCTCTCTCCCCAGTTCATGTGTTTTAGCATAACCCTAACTGGACCAGGTCCCTGGATCAAAACCAGGACATGCTACACCTTTTTTGCTTCTTTTTAAGGAGCATCTATCTATCTATCTATATATATATTATGATTAAAATGAATATCATCATTATAATAATATAATTTCGCTTATCTTAGGTCTTCTATTATCTTCGACAGACGAAGTTCTTATTTCCGCCAGTGAGGGTGTATACCCAGCCATTCCCCGAGTGGTAGAAACATCCACGCCTTCTAAAGAAATAGCGAGTAACATCATCCGCCTCCCGAGGCAATAGCCTGGAACCATATCCCCAGGAAAATCAAGCAATCAGCAGGCATTCCATTACCCACAACCCCCCGCCTCTCGAGTCCATTCCAGCCAGTCGCCTTGCCTCATGGGCGATTTTTCTTTTCTCGAAGGGCCGGGTGATGTCAGGACGGAGTCATTCTGGTGTGATATGGCCAACGCCACGGGTGCCCAATATAAAAATCCGGGGAATTTTGCATTCCAACGAAGCTTTTTTCCCTAAGATCAGATTCTTGTATTATCCGGAACAGGCTGACTCTTCCCTTCCACCACCGTGTACAAAGACACACGAAAAAAATTCGAAAACAACCGGCATCTTGTATCTCTCTTTGCAGCTTCCGAGGAAGTCGAAAATATCATTGCCAACATGACTGACCGCCGCTACGGAGATTCCACCTACGGTACCACGTACGATACCACGGGGACCACCTATGACACCACCGGCACGACGGGCTACGGCACTACCGGCTATGGTACAACCGGCTATGGCACAACCGGCTACGGCACGACGGGCTATGGCACCGACACCACCGGCACCAACTACGGTACCACCTATGATACCGGCTACGGCACCACGGCTTATGACCCCAGCACTGGTGCCTACGACCAGCACCTCGACTACCGCACCGACGGCTCGCGCCGCCATCACCGTGAGCGAGTCGATCCCAGCAGCACCTATCGACACCGCGACGTTGACCGACGTGACGACGGAACTACTCGCGTCCATCGCGAGTATGACAACCCCAACACCGGTACCAGCTACCACCGTGATTATGAGAGGTAGAGTGTGTACTGGCAACAAGGAGGATTTGCATTGGGTTTGGGCTGAAACTTGTGCATAGAGAGATATAAGTTGATGAAGCATGTATAAAGAAAAAGTACATAGAGATTAACGAAAAAAAGGGGGAAAGAAATAAAAAAAAAAACAACAAAAAAAGAAATAAAAAAGAATAAAAAAATTGGAGGTCGACCAGACCACCCAAAAAAAGCGATTTCAGTGTCATGTTTTTTAGCGATCATAGAAACATACGCTCGTTACTCCAAGCATACAAGTGAACAGCTTCATAGTTATTTCTAAGTGTTGTATGCTGGAAGTATGAGGAAGTATGAGTTTAAGCTTAATCTGAAACACAAAGGTATAGAAGTATGCGGCAGTCCAGCGGACTCGTCAATTCCCCTCCATCTTTCGTCATCGAACTATTTGCACCTCACAACCCCCCAAAAAGTGGATTATTCTATCTCGTCTATCTTCAATATCTACCCCTCATGTTCTCGGCCGACTCTTGATATTCGATTGTGTGATTTGTGCGTAAGTCACATCGCCAGCCCCTCATTCGTGTTTCTCTAGCTGTAACTGGCGAAAGCTGACGCCTTCAACCTTCGTCCACGATGCTCGCCCCCTTAGAGCTGAGGCGCAAAGGCTGATAATGGCGATCGTGATCTGCCTATCGCTCAAACAGTCGAGGTCAGGTGTGACCATGTTCGCACACACAGTTCGCAATGGTGTCATTGCCAACGATGGACCGAAGAATATAAAGCCGGCCTTTCGTCCACAGTCTCGACATTCCACACTCACTTCTCCCATAGCTCTCTCTGAATTGAAGAAACATTATGGCAACATCTACTCCCAACCCCGCTCCTCCTGCTTCAGACCCGTCGGTTTATCAGCCCCACTATGATGCCTTTGCGGCTCAGGGACAGCCGGACTCCGCCGCTGCATGGATCGAGCGAGCGGAGAAGGTTGCTGAAATTCTCGAGCAAGATCGCGCTGCGCGAAACAAGGAGCAGAAGACCCCGCAGGCGGAGGTTGAGCTCCTGAAGCGTGCTGGCCTGACCAAAGTCCTGGGCAATGTCAAGTACGGCGGCGGTGGACAGAGCTGGGAGGTTGGATACAGGGTAATCCGAGAAGTTGCTGCAGGCGATGGGTTGGCTTGCCCCTTTGAAATTGATAGTACTGAACCACCTCGCTGACTTGACTTACACAGATCACTTGGCATGTTGCTTGGATACCACCTCCTGTGGTCGATTACGGCACGCATCGTCGGTACCAAGGAGCAGCAGGAGCGTACAGAGAAGCTCATCATTGAGAACAATTACTTTGTCGGTGGTACGAATCACACAGCAATTTGTATTTTCTTTCAGACACTAACGAGGCACTGCAGGCGCCGTCAACCCTCGGGACAACGACAGTCGCGTCAGCCCGGCACCTACAGGCGATGGTCTTGTATTCAATGGCTTTAAGAACTTCAACACGGGTGGCGTAATCTCCGACCTCACCGTGTTGGAGGGTGTGTACGAAGGCACTGAGGGCCATATCTTTGCGCTTGTCCCTACCAAGCAACCGGGGATTATCTTCTCTCACAACTGGAACAACATCGGGCTTCGTCTGACCGAATCCGGTTCTGTGAAAATCGAAAACGTGCCAATCCCGTGGGAAGATGCCCTGGGATGGTCAAAGGAGACCAAGGCGCCTATTCCAGAGACACTGCAGACACCATGGGCAACGCTCCTCTTGCCCAGCATCCAGCTTGTCTTCTCCAATTTCTACATTGGCATTGCCCATGGCGCACTTCGCACCGCACGTCATTACACCAAGACCCAGACGCGCCCGTGGCCATTCGCTCTGCATCCCCAGCCTAGTGCCACCGATGAGCATTATGTCTTGGCTCGCTACGGCAAGTTCTTCGCGTCGCTGCGTGCCGCCGACTCGCTGGCAGACCGGGCCGCCAAGGAGCTGGCCGATCTGTACCGAAATCATGGAGAAAAACGCGATATCACCGCCCGATACCGTGGAGAGGTAGCCGAATGGGTGGCCAGTGTCAAGGTCACAGCAACGCATTCTGCATTGGAGGTGACCGCCGGTGTGTTCGAAGTCACCGGCGCGAGATCCACGGCGGAGAAGTACGGGCTCGACCAGTACTGGAAGGATGTGCGCACCCACACCTTGCATGATCCTGTGTCTTACAAGGAGTCGGAACTGGGGCGGTTCTTCTTGCTCGACGAGACCCCGACCCCGAGTTGGTATACTTGAGTGGGCCATTGGGGACGATGTAAGATCGTTTGTTTATACTCGGCCGTGTTTGGCCCAACCTGAATATTCTATGCTAACTCTAACTCTGGATATATTTATTAAATGCAAATACCATTTTCTATGTCTTCTACTATCCCAATATCTCCCTAGAAACTAGTTCGTGCCAAGGCAATTAATTCCTGTAGGGCTAGTTTAGTTGTTCTGCCTGAGGCACTAACGAGGCTGACCTCCACCGCATCAGCAGTGGCCCTTTCTCCGATCATCCTGTTCCCCTCCCGGGCGCCCCGATTTGAGCAGCCAACTGATGTTGGGCTGAGCTAGTTCCTCCCCATCTCATGTCCCCGTAATCATGTCCCGGAGGACGCTGGGAGGAGGTCGTGTTTTGGGCACTCCGAGCGCTCTCGCGTCCGCTCCGTCCCCGCAACCCAAGCCAAGGGTGCTTTCGCCGACTACCAGCAGCGTATCGCTCAGCTCACAGGCATCTGCATCTCAGTTCTCTGCAGAAACACAGGATCTCACCTCGCGCATCTCCCTGGAGAATGGCGATACCTCGATTTCGGCGCCGCCGGCCGCGCCCGGAGCTCAGCTCTCCTGTCCGATCTGCAGCGAGGAGATGGTACGCTCGTCCCCCCCCCTATGCTCTTGAAATGTCGAATGATATCATGCTTACTTGGTAACAGGTGACTTTGCTACAGCTCAATAGGTACTTTCCGACCGTCTAACGCCCCAAATCCGTGCATTCATGGTTAACTCAATCGCCACAGACACCTCGACGACCTCCATCAGAACCTCGAAGACGATCGGCAAGATGAAGTCAAGGACTGGTTCAAGGTGCAAATGGAAAAGGCGAGACGGTTCCAGCCTCTGGCAGTCTTGAACCAGAAACTGAAAGGCTTGGACGTGTTCGAATCGAATGAAAATCAAACTCCGTCGACTCTTCCCAGTCGCCCCCTCGCAGCCCATGTCGGGGCGCCGGAACCGCCGAAGCTATTAGAACCCGAAGACCTCATCACAAAGGAACACTGGCAGCCCGCTTGTCTTTACGATGTCTGTCTGGAGCCGTCGTGCGGACAGCGGCTCAATGCTACCAACGGGTGTGTGAACTGTCGGAAGTGCGGGAAGCTCTTTTGCGAGGAGCACACCATGTACCAGATGAAGCTATCGCGGTCGGCGCAGCACGAGCCCGTGCGAGGCATATGGGCCCGAGTTTGTGAAACCTGCTATAAGTCTAGAGAGGGCTACAATGACCATAATGGTGAGAATTTCCTCGAGGGTTTATTTGCGAGCAATACTAACAGGGAATAGGTGCCACGAGGAATCAAACAGATGCTTTCAAAGCTATCAGGAAACAAACTGTCGACAAGGATTTCCTCGAAGTTTCTCGCCTGGAGAAACGGTTGACACGCCTGACCCAACGTTTAGCTATTTTACCGCCGGACCAAATTCAGCCTGGTGCAACCAAGCTGTGGCCCATCACATGGCAGAACGATCAGCGGAAAGCTCTAGAGCAGACCATTGTCAGTTGGGAGGATGACGCTAGTGTTTCGCGGTGTCCATTCTGCCAGCAAGACTTCTCGGGCTATTCATTTCGGAGACACCATTGTAGGACTTGCGGGCGGGTTGTCTGCGGTGATTCCAGCACGGGATGCTCCAGCGAGGTTGGGCTAAGTGTCGCACCTGTCTCGAAAGCTTCGACGGAGAAGTCCAGTACGGACGAGTTCATTAATGTGGATGTGAGACTCTGCAAAGACTGCAAGGCCACCCTGTTCGATCGACGAGACTTCAAAGCCGACATCACACGCAAGCCCCCGGAGGTCAGGGGGTACGAGAATTTGGTTCAGTTCGAGAGGGGGATCCGTCTACACCTACCGAAGTTTCAGAAACTTTTGGCCGCTTTGCAGTATGTTCGATTGTCTTTTATCATTCATTCATCCTTTTACTAATGTATGCTACTATACAGAGACCCGAAGCGACCACCATCCTCGGCGCAAATCGCAGATGCATCCAAGGTGCGCAAGCGGCTTATGGACTCGTTTGCCCAATATGACGTTGCAGCGCGGCGCATCCGTGACATGCCCACCAAGTCTCCCACCCAATTGCGATTACAGAAAGCTATATATCAGCAAGCCAGCAACTTCCTCCATCTCCATATGCTTCCATTGAAATCCCTTCCCAAGGTTCTCAAGCACGCCACCCCCTCGGTGGACCGAGTGTCCAGCCGAACCAACTCCCCAAACACTCCGGTGAACGGGTCCTCGGCCCGGCCGTCAGAATCCGCGCTCGCATCGATCAAGTATAATAGTGTTACCGCCAGCGGGAGCAACAGCAGTCTTGCCAGTGACACGAGCAGCGCAGTTTCAGCCTTGGAAGCTGAAGAGAAGTCTCTCCGCGACCGGCTGATCGTGCTGGAAGAGCAGAAATTCTTCGTGTCTGAGATGATTGCCGATGCCAACCGGCGACGCAAGTTCGACGAAGTGAGCAGTCTCGCCATGAACGTTGAAGATCTCAGTCGCGAGATCGACCGCGTCAATGGGATGCTCTCCACCCTGGATTTCGAGGGTGTCTATACTGGGAGTCTGCAGTCGAGTGCATGATTCTATACTCGAGCTGTTTCTTGTTATTTCTCCCTCTTATTCTTTTCTCTACTTCTGTTCGTCCTGCGCAGATTCACGGCGTATCTCTTGTCGTCTTATCTTGCTTTTCCTTGTTTCTTTCCTTGTGTCGGGATGTTTGGCGGGCGTTTTGTAGCACCTCACCTCACGATGATATGTGCATAGCATCGGGCGTTTGGGCGGTTCTGGGTATGTATAATGAATGGCTTTGGATTTACCTCAATCGATCTATATAGTCTGTGTTATATCTATCTTGCTCGAAGGACAATAAACAAACCCGTAAGAAATAAGAATCGAGGGTCTCGCGTGGGCTGCACGTAGTACAAGCCTAAGGATCGTGGCTGCAGGTACTGTACTTTTAAACGCAGCCACATGGACCCCACGTGTTCGTAGTACAGAAACATAGAAAAAAAGGATATACAAATCATACATATCCCAGTTAATGTAGATATATTTTACTTCTATGAATACCAGTACAATTGTAAACACAGACCACAAATGTGGAATACATAGAAAGGTGTCATCGCTCCGCCACATCCGCCGAAACATAAAACGTCTTCTGCACATTCACCCCAGCAAAGAACGTCCCATGCTTCGGATTCAGATCCTCCTGACTACTAGTCCGGCTGCCGCCCCGGGGGGTTGCCGGTGTATGCACGGTAGTCACCATGGCGTGCGAATGCTCCGGGTCGAGGTCTGGCCGCCAGAACTGCGGGCCCGACGGGTCGGAGCGGCCGCTCACACTTGAGAGTGGCACGCTGCCGCCGGTGCGGCGGCTGCGCGTGTCTCTATTGCTTGGGTCGCGGAACCAGCGAAATAACGGGCGCAGGGTTACGAGGCTTCCTGCTGCGATGCCGAGGCTTGCTTCGACGTTGGACCAGATCGAGATGTTGGCTGTTGCGTCTATTTGGTTGTTAAATTAGTTGTTGGCTTTGGCTTTGGGGGAGTGAGCGGTAAGGTGTATAGGGATAATAAGTGACACTCACATAGGAAATCGTGGTTCTTGTAATCATGCAGATATGGGATCCGGATGATAACTGCAGCGCCAGCACTACTAGAAATTAGTACTGATATAAAGCCAAAGAGAAAGAGGACATACACGCATCCCATGCCCAAGATACCCGCCAGCGCAACCTTGGTCCTCGTGTTCATCTGCAAATTCCACACCAAGAAGATGGGCAAGAGACCCAGCGTCAAATCACAGCACGTCGCAGTAACACTGTAGACATAGGCGATGGCGATGATCCTGTCGAGATCCATGCAGGATCCATGGATATTGCCGGTAGGATCGGTGGCGACGCGGATTCGTTGCCAGAAGAACGAGACCGGGTTGCATTGCAGCGTGAGCATGAAGAAGAATACTATGCCGATCACTGTTGTCACACTGATGACTGCCCATAGGATGATCGCATGCACTCGGGCGACGGTGAGACGGAGCAGGGCGACTGCGATGGAGATTCTGGCGACTGCGCATACCCAGACGTAGCTGGTTTGACCAAGCCACCACCACTTGAGGTTTGTCAGTACTTTAGGCTTTGGGCACATGGCGAAGCAAACAGGTGTATAGATTAGAAGAGAACGGAATGAACATACAAACATGGCGGTTTCCGCTGTGCCTCGTTGCTGCAGATCCCAAGTCTTTTGGCCGATTCCATATAGCGCGCCGGTGATTCCGCATAGGGCGAACAGGACATTCAATGCCTGGTATATATCGTGAGTTTCCCAATTGTACCTGCTAGAGAAAAAAGCTAGGTTGCGTACCATGGCAAACACCATTAGGGCATCATCCCAGCCGAAGGCCTTGACGATCTTGATACGCACGAAGCATCGCAGACACACAGCAATGAACGAGATCCCCAGGAACACCGTCGTGACGATGAAGATCGCCTTGCTGCGCCCGTCCAACGGCTGCATGTTGAAAAGCCCGGCACTAACTGACTCGACAACTGATGAGTGGGTCAATCACTTGCAATTCATGACCGATGCTGGCGAGGGCATATTCCACCAGCGGAATTGACACCAAACAACAATCCAAGTGGGAATCAGGAGAACAGGAGAGATAAAAAATAAAAATAACAGTAAAAAAAAAATTCAATCCACACCCCAGTCACGCACGACCCTCATCGTGGCAAGGACCGTCCGCCAAGGCGGGGGGCTGTTCGTGTCGCAAATACCAGCCCTGAGGAAACCCAGCACGCAGGTAGCATGGACCCGACTAGGGGTTGCCACTTTGCGGGATCCGCCACGCTTGTGAGTTGAGATAGTCAGTGGAGCCAACTATCGATTCTTCTCGACGCCGCGGGAGAGACGGTCATCGAACTCCAGACCGTTTCTCAACCGCGGGTTGGAGGTTGGAGTGTGGGGAGACCAAAGTCAAAAGTCTCGACAATAACATCCGAGGCATGTATGGGGACTTCTCATGTGGATGATCATGATCATGTTTCGCATTATATTTCGCGGGTTTCAACGGGGAATGTCGACCTTGGCCCTCACGAAAACAGTAAAACCTCTTGCTGAAGGCTGTTCGGTTCGATGGCCAACAAAACGCGTCTGCTCCGGCGCCAAGTGGAGAGCGCAAATGTTTGGTGGCCTCCACCTGCCACACCACGCCCAGTTGGACCCACGTCGGCCGTCTGTCGGGGGGGGAATTGCCGCCCGTAGGACCGTGGGAGGTGCGCAATACGAAGTGGATGCGATGTCCAAGAAACGGTGAACTTAGCCGAACCCATATCTGTTCTCGGTGATTCTTGGCTCAGCATAGGGTGCTTGGCCTATGGTGGCGACTTGTCAAGTGCATACAATGCATGTGTAGTCGAGACATGCGAAGACAAACCGAACACGATTCATGCATCGGTCCACGTTGCGGTTGGCCTGACATGCATCGACAAACTAGCTCAATCCGCTCGAGGCTCGTCTAATGAATGAGACATGATCGGCAACGCTGTGGGGACACGGAGATTGGCAACAATGCTCTTCTCATGGTTTGGATGTTGATGGGGTTGAGATGCCGGGGAGAACACAATCAGCCTCGAGCGGTCCCTTCAGCCGACCAGGCGCAGATGAACTATCTACGGATATATACCCAACTATCCTTAGTCCCTAGTCCAAGATCCTATCTTGAGTGTTCTGGTCATTGTTCTATTTTCAATTACTTTGATCGAAGTGTAGCATAGTACTACCCCATCCCACTGCACACCATGGCCCAACTTCCACTAGGATGTTTCACTTGGCCGAATTCACTCTGAGGAGCTGACAAGAAATTCAAAGACTTGGTCAATGATCCCTAGGTAATATGTAGAAGTGAATATCTATATCATGCCTGAGGCAGAGTACTATAATCACGTGACTAATCTGGCACGCTTCTTCCCAATCAGGAAGGTGGTTATTCCCCTATGTTTCTACAGTATTAAACACTCCCCTATTGCACAGCTAGGGGCTGATGGTCGAGTTCCTAGATTGGACGTATCTCTTGAGGTACACTCCAAGGTTCCAGGATGCTCTTAGCGTCTTTTTCTTTTTTTTTTTTAATCCCCCTCCCCTTCTTCTGCATTACTCTGCTACCATTGGATTTTCTACAGTGATTATTAAGGACTATACTGATCAGAGTAATGATTCGCTATATCATGAAACGTACGTGCTCGCAGGTAAGTCCAGATCGAATATGTACATATCAACAAATTCGCCTCATGCACACTCCAGGAATCAAATTCATCGAAGCCTTCCCGGTATACGTGGGCCTACTACCATTGGGCTTCCTTGCGTGCCTGGAAGGTCTTCAGGATGCTCACCACCTTCTCCAGAGCGGCGACCTCCTTCGAAAGCGCAGCCGAGACCTTCTCCTGGTCATCTCCCAGCTTGGCGTAGAAGTCCTTCCGGTACGGGGTGGCCGACATGGCAGCGCTGAAGATGGGCTTGATCACGAAAGAGTGGTGGGGCTTGAGGGTGCCGCCGTAAGCCTCGCGGAAGGAGTTGGAGAGTTCCACTGCAGAGTTGTCGACATTGTGGCGCAGAGCCTGCGCAGTGAAGTCGAGACCGCTAATTGAGTCGGTGCATGTCAGCCACAATCTATACTAGGTACAACTGAAATCATCTGAGAAAGGTGAGGGGTGACATACCGGACCAGCCAGACGAGTCCCTCCGTGGCGGTGTGCTTGCCGGTCTTCAGTTCGTTCAAGACCAGCTCCTGTAGAGTCTCGGATTCCGCAGGGGCAGCCAGCTGCCGGTCACGGACTTTCTATAGCGGGGTTTAGAATCGGTTCACCATTGGAGCAACTGCATAGATGAACGCACCTTGATGTTGCCAAGCAGATCATTCTTGACGGGGAGGAAGGCCTTGGAGCCGAGCACATCTGTCGTTCCTGCATTAGTCTTCTGTACACGCATTTCGTCTAACAGCACCCACCAAAGAGAGTGGTCAGGGCCTCGGCGGCCTCGAGGAACTCGGCAGTCGAGATGCCCTCATTCTCGGCGATAGGGACATCCGCGAAGGACTTCTGGATGGTATCGAACCACGTTCCACCGGCGGGGATTTCTGACATGATGTAGAAGAGCAATTGATGGATCACACAAAAGCAAAAGAGAGTTGAACGAACGAGAAAGCACGAAACTCGGGAGAGACAGCTGTCACTCACCGCCACGCAACATGGTGGGGAGTAAGCAAGTGGTGCAAACAGACCCCTGTGATTTGCATGATTTGCGCTGTTTGTGCTGTTTGCCTGTCTCTTCAGCTACGTCATCGACGCCCGTTACATCGCGATCTGCCCGATCGCACTAAGAGATTCGTCTGGGGAGTTTCCTCGTTCCTGGACGATTTTCCTCATGCATTTCTACTTTGCTTTCCCCTTTTTCGATGTATCATCCATCTTCTAGCCCACGCGGGTAACACATCTAGGGCTATGAGCTCTCCACTGGATCAGCCCGACGGTCGGCCCCGATCACAAGCCGACCCACGCATACCGTACCATGACCATTATCATGGCCTGCGGTCCGGTTCCTACACAGATCTGAACCTGGTATAGCTCCCTGTTTTCCGGAAATAATTGACCAGTCCAATCTAACAATTGGTTTCTCGAGTAGCGTCATGCCTCTGCGCATCACTTGCATATGACCAGCCGGCGCTATTTCATCGGTCCAATCCCCGAGGGCTGGTTGCAGGGTCACCGCAAGTCATGGTATCGATCTCGCCTCCGATTTAGGAATTATACTTCACAGACCATTTCATTCTCGGTGGATCCTGTGGCATCTCACTATGGCAACCAAGGCGATCAGATTGAAGATGTTGCCTTGGCGCTCACTAATACTAGCGAAGAGCCCGCGAGAGAGCAGCAAGCCAAAGTACAGGAACAAGAACAGACGGAGGAACCCTCAGGAGATATGCATACGCTTTCTCATCCCATGAGAAAGATAAGTAACAATCCCTCTGCGGAAGAGACGGGCGACAATGAACCATCTTCGGAAGAAGACAGCGACAGCACGCCTAGGCCAAGTACAGCAGGACGAGGGAATATCTATGATAATGGCAATGCGTCTTCCTCTTTTGTTACTGCCAGGGAAGAGGTTCCTGGGTCGGCAGACTCGGGTGGTCCCTCTACCGTGCACCTTAAAGGATTGCCGCTTGGTCAACGGCCAAAGTCCCAACGATCCCAAAATCCGAATATCGCCGGGCCTAGCGACGCTGCCACCCTGACACCGAATACGTCTGCGGCTGCGAGCGAAGCCGATTCTACAACGCAACTACTGCGAAAAAAATCCAAAGCTAAAAATCAAAGAAAGAGCAAGCCCTCTGGTTTATCTCGCACATCCCTCAAGCAACAGGACCCCCAGGATGAAGACGAGTCTCGTGAAAGCGATCCGGGGGATGAAGGGCCAATTCAACGAAGGTTCACCAGCAAGATAGCAGCCAAGTACAACCTAGATGACAACCTCAGACACAAGCAACGCAGACTTCGCTCCCAGATCGCAAAGACCCAGGGCACCATCTCCGCCAACCGGCCGCGTCGAAGGAAAGTCCAGGACGGGGAGATTGTCAAGGCAGAAAGGATGCTGGTACGCGTCGAGGAGTCGCTGCAAGATAACCTCCCTGCCGACTACTCCGAGAATGACAGCCTTCGCATGGAAACCCGAGTCGTTGACAAGTGGCGCGAGTTTCTGGTTGTTTGCAGGAAAAGCTCTGAGGAACACACCCCGTTTGCTTTGCAGATGTACCGGACCCGAGTCATCCCTGATATCTCACGATCCGACAATAAAACACCACCCTACTACGAGCTACGCCTGAACCACAAGAAAACCAGGGTCAACCTATACTCCTCCCTCGACAAAACCATCGTGGTTTGGCACCCCTGCAAACGCGGCACCCGGATTTATATCATTCGGCCCAAGTCTGCAGCTCACGCTGCCGAGTGGTACACATTTGTCCGCCAAGTCCTGGGCTGGCGACGGCCCACTTCTGTTCCCATCCATGTTCCTGATCTCGGCGTCTCATTGATCTTCAAGCACCCCTTTGAGCACCTTGAGGCTAGTCTCGGGCCTAAGGATGACGATGCGCAGCACACAGCTGTGCTGAGTCGGCCCGCAGGCGACAGGCGCTACGCGGCTGAAACCATCATCCGGGTCTGTATGGAAATGCTCGAGGGTCGGTCCGAATGGGCCGAGGTGTTGAAAGCGTGGTCCAAAACGGAGAAGATGGGGCTCGCCTGGAAGCGGTATGATCGCCTTGAATGGGTTTTTGGAGTGAGCGAGGAAAAGATGTACGGAACGATTGCGATGCAGTCCTCGCATGAACTTGAGCTGCGTCCAAGACGCCATTATTCCACTGCAATCAAGTCCGGCGGCGTAAAGGAAGAAGAACCGCCCCCGGTCGAAGGGTTCCTGGTTCGGCTGACATCCCAGAAGGGCGTGCACCAGCGCATGAACAGGATGTTCTTCAAGAGGCTTTACTTCTTTACTGAAGATCATTACCTGCTTTTCTGCAGGCCCGCCAAGGCGTTTCCGCCGACACCTCCGCAACTTGTCCCGACGGAAGACTCGGGTGTGCCGTCATCTCAGCAGATCCTCGACGAAATGCCTCGGTCTTGGGATATCGACCCCTACCCCATCCAAGACGGCGAGATTGCATGGTTGTCCAGCGGGAACCAGGAATACGTGCAAAGGCACGACGAAGAGGCCTATGCGCAGTTGCAAAGGAACGTGCACAATATCGGCCACGCAGACGGGTATATTGATCTATGCCGCGTGCAAGAAGTTCGCAACATCCACCGGGGCAGCAGCCCTGCCGACCCTAACATCCGAGAAGGGCCCGCGGTGGAATTCGACCGGGAGCCGACAGACTCGCGACAGGACGACGGTGCCACGAAACAGTTTGATGATGACCGCACCTTTGAAATGGCCTTGGACAATGGACTGATGATCCGTCTTCAGGCGTATGATGCCGCCACTCGAGACGAGTGGGTTCGGCGACTGGCCGCCTTGGTCAAGTACTGGAGGACGCGCTGCGCCGACGATGCCACCGAGTTCCAGGCCGTGCGGCGACGCAACCTCAAGCTGCTGGACATCGACGAGGAGATGGAGTCGATTGTCGGGCAGTTCGCCGAGAAGTGGGAGGTGAAAAAGGCCGAGGCTTCGCCGCACCTGCATAACATGTGTTCGCTATCTGGGTGCCGGACGATCAAGGTGAGTGACTCCCTCTTCAATGGAAATGCCTGAAAGACGTCTTGTGGGAGGGATGTTAACTGGTAAAACAGATGTCGGGCCAGCTCTACCGCAAACCACGCCGCCACTCCACCTTCTACCAATGCAACGTCCTCCTCACAGCCGGCAAGCTCCTCGTCTTCCGAAGCACGCTGCGCAAGCGCAACGGCATGGAAATCCCCCACATCCACCAGCAACTCGAAGCAACCATCGACCTGCACGACTGCTACATCTACTCGGGCCTGCTGACCGAGACCGACCTGCTATACGCCAACCAGACCTTCGACAGCAACAACCCGGGCCTGCACGCCCTGCCGCGCGTGTATCTGTCTTCGGACGCGTTCACGAGCCGCGACGAGGACACCGCTATCACCTTTGTGGTATGGCAACCGCTGAAGAAGAGCTATTTCCGTGCCGAGGAGGCCGATGCCCAGGGTCAGGCGCACCGGTCTCTGCGCCATGTCTCGACGCTCGGTAAACATGGTCGCACGATTGTGTTTAAGGCAAGGAGTCGGGTCGACAAGGATCGGTGGGTGCTGAGTATCTCTTCGGAGATTGATCGCCTGCAGGAAGAGCAGCATGAGGATATCCGGCTTGTGTCGTGATGTCTTTTTGGTTTGGTCCGGCTCTCATATATTTATTTTTATTTACGTCCATTCCTCTATCTCGGGCATCGCCATTCTCCGCCACTAATGGTAGTAATACAATGATATCCAAGCGTCTATATACATAATACAGTAAATGCTACATAACCCCCATAGACAAGAGAAAACGCCAAGGCTAAGCTCCACCCCATCAATCCAAACTCGGACGCTTCAGCTTAACAGCCTCTTTAACAACACGATCCCGCACATTCTGCCGGTACGCATTCTTCGACTGATCGCCCTCCACCGGGCCAGCCTCCCAGTCAGCCCAATCCAGCCAGCGCATGCGCGGGCCCAGCACGGCCTTCACATGACCCGTAATCAGACTGACACTGACGGGCCCGTAGGTATTGCTGTCGAGCGAGCGGCGCGGGTCCTCGGCGTCGCCTTCGAGCCAGACGTGGTTGAAGGGTACGATCTGGGTGGGTTTCATGCAGGGCTCGCGGGTGGTGACGCGGTCGCCGGGGAGGCCGACGACGCGCTTGATGGCGACGTGGGAGGGATTAGCGGGGGATCTATAGAATTAGAATTAGTATTTATTAGTATTGTCAATGACAATAAGAAGTGAAGTAAAGAAGATGATAAAAAGAGAGAGAGGGAGGGAGGGAGATATACCGGAATGTCACCACCATCCCCCGCTCCAGCCGCCGCGTCCGTCCCCATGGCCACACCCTCCCCCACGGCCACATGCTGACCAGCACCATGTCGCTCTTGGTGTGCGTCTGCTCGTAGTCCTCGTTGAGGTACGGCGTCATCGACGGGCCCCGCACCCACATCACCTGCATGACATGCTCGGAGAAGAAAAGCCCGATCGGGACGAGCGGCGCCAGCACGCGTGCGACCCGGCATGCGCGCTGGACGGGGATTGGGAGCGCGGCATAGCGCTCGCGGAGGTGTGAGAAGAACGCGGGGAGGCGTCGTCGCGGCGCCAGGCTCGGGCCGGGTGTGGTGTGGTCCGGTGTGTTGTGGGCGGATGGGTGAGGAGAGGATGTGGGATTCAGGGTGGAAGAGCGAGAGGCCAGTTTTTTGGCGACGTCGGGCGTCAGTACGCGCATTTGGGGTTTATCTGATTGGGGTTTGGGCATTTTGTGTTGTTGATTCGAGGTGTTGGGTTCTCGGGTTTGGTTTTGTCTGTTGTCGATGAGAGAGAGCAATGTCACGTCCACAGGTGGGGGATTGGCCGGGTTCCAGTCCCAGTACACATCCTCTGGGAGGAATTGCGTGGGTTCTAGTCAATTAAGGAAGTAAGGAGTATTCAACGGAGTTAAGCAGTGCGGATGCTACGAGTCGAGCCTGATCTGATAGGAAAAATATGTTTGCATTGTTTGACTCCCGAGATGCGATGGTTGCATGTGCACATTTTCCTAGTAAAAGTTCAGAAATCCTCTGCCAGACCTCAATTCCATAGCCTTGGGACCTGATCTCATTCTCCCTGGAACCACAAGATCCCCAAGGCGCCTACAGACCGAGCGCCGAACACCGGGTATGAATTACGCTGAGAACAAAGAGTCATAAATTCGTCCATTTCGTGTCCTGTGAGGAGCGATAGCACCTCACCAATGGGGTGTGCCGATTACTCGTCCTCGGGGGAAAGATCCCGCTTGGTCGGAGGGAAGTATTGCCTGCAGAAGAAGTTAGCCCAGGATGTCACCAGCAAAGTAAACTCAGGCCAGAAAAGAAAAAAAGGGTAAACTCACGGCAGGACTCTCTCGTAGGAGCGCTCATCCTTCAGCTCAAAGTTGCAGAAGATCACTCGCTCCAGCTTGCCGATGTTCCCCGAGCGCTCCAGGAACTTGCGTACCTCATCGGAGGCAGCGTGGGCAGCTTTCTCACTGGGGTAGCCGTAGACACCAGTGCTGATGGCAGCAAAGGCAATGCTCTTCATGTTGTTCTCGACGGCCAGTTCCAGGCTGCGTCGGTAGCAGGCACGCAGCAGCTCCTCAGGGCGGCCAGGGTGCTTTCGCATCTCTGCAAAGTAGATGGGCCCCACGGTGTGGATGACGCGCTGGCAGGGGAGGTCGTAGGCAGCTGTGATCTTTGCGTCGCCCGTGTTGCACCCATCCAGCGTGCGGCACTCCTCGAGAAGCGCTGGGCCGGCCCGGCGGTGGATGGCCCCATCCACACCCCCACCCCCTAGGAGGGACTCGTTGGCTGCATTGACAATGCAGTCCACCTGCAGCTTGGTGATGTCACTGCGGATGAGGGAGATGGTGTTGTTGAGCGGCTGGGAGGGTGTCGCGAGAGTGGTCGGAGCAGGTACCAACTTGTTGAGCTTGTACAGCAGCGAGGCAGTGGGGATCTCTGAGAGTGAGATTATAGGTGAAGCCATGATGATGCGGGTTGTGGACACAACCAGTGATGGCTGTAGGGCTTTCAAAGTGATAAGAGAGATGTAGAGAAGGCCGCCGCAATAACTTTGTTTTAATCACGTGATATATATATAGAGGGGAAGATTCACTCAACGAAAGAACTTGAGGAATGAAGAAGCTTAAAAAATAAAAGCGAGTTTTTTGTATTGATTTGGGATATTTAATGGTATTTTCAGCATTGGCTATATAGCCAAAGCAGCAAATATATTGCTAGTTAACCTAGGCCCTACTGGCTTAGTGCCTTTATATTAGAGACCTTATTTCATTTACTCTCTGAGATACCTTGAGAGTTACATGAAGGTATAGTAATTATTGAAAATATACCCGTAATCTGAACATGAATACTAACTTGGTAGGAGACATCCTACTCTATGCTTGTACAGTAGTATCCATGACATCCATAGATATATTCAAGCCTAGTAACAAACACACATCCAACATCTTATAGGCCCATCATTTATGTGATTCAGCAATGTCTATCCGGGATTTTCCCGCCTGACAGCTTGCCCCCTGCAGGATCATAAATAGAGCACTCCATACGGCAAGCTGCATTGCATATGCAGTCTGCACGCAACCCGATGAGAACAGCCCTGAGTCCTCGATATTCGGGGGAGGAGCACCCCCAAACCCCAGGATTGAGCCAAGCCCGGGATTTGGTCCTTTGGGAGAGGATCGCGGATGCAGAATAAATGAAATGATGAAATGAAGTAGCCACTTTGGGCTTCGTGCTGGTCCTCGGAGACACATGGAATATCCGGATGACACCTTGAGGAGAACCGAGGTGGCTGGAGTTATGCATCGATGCATCACAGACCAGGTTGTGCGAGACTCGGCTTGGGGGAAGTTCTCGTGTTACCGGGGGTGCCTGGGGCATGCAATAGGACAACCCCTGGTCCAAGTCACCACACTCAACACATCCATCTCTATTCTCTATTCTCCAATTTTCTATCTGCCTATCTATCTTCCCATCTATCTTCCCAATCCATCACCTCTGAGAGATCACAAGACATGTCCTGAATCCCCCCCCAGTGGAGTCCATTTCCCCTTCAGACCCGCAACGCCCCCACAAGCTGTCAGACGTTTTTTCCCCGTCAACCCAAAAAAAAACCAGGGAACATAACCCGTGGCCCTGAGGGGCCCACCACCAGTTTTTTTTTCCCATTTTGATTGAAGGTTGCCGATCCTTCGGCTGTTGAGCTGTCGTCGATCGCACGGATCTCATTTCGTGGGCCACTAGTTCGCCCAGTCTCCTTCCTGATGGAGCGATGGAGTGGGTGATTGGAGCAGAAAAAGAGAGGAGACCAGATCAATAGCAATGGTATTGTTATGTCTTACTCCGTCACTCCCATTCCACTGGGGCGAACCTGTTCTTCCCCTGGCCGTTGGCCGTCTACCGTCTACCGTCTACCGTCTCTAACGGCGAGAACGAGGCTTGTTCCCTGGGTCTGGATCGGGCGCGGTGGATCAGAATTGAGTTGAAGCCATTGGTATGCCGTTTTACCGTGGCGAAAGCAAGACTCTGTCTTTCTGTCTCTTTCTGTCTCTTTCTCTCTTTATCTTTTCTCGGGGGGGGGGGCTATGGTCTAAGTTGGTTGCTGGCATCTCTGTCAGCAATTATGCAGGCCAGATATGACAATCCCTACCAAGTATCCCTAGCCAGTATCTGGAATTTTCTGTAGGTATATCCATGGATAGATTTGGAATCAACCCCCTGTCCTGTCTAGTTCCCAGAGGGTGGTAGCTCAGCTGTCACGAAAACTCAGGGATGCCGCCAAAAGGCTTGGGGAATTTAGTTTTTTTTTGCACTTTGATCAAATCCCTCCACCGACAGAAGGGGGTATACGTAAGAAGATTCAATGATTTACAAGGATGCTGGATCCCGGATCAACCAGACGGGCAAAAGTACGATCTATTTTGGAATGTCCTTGGTGTTTTCATGATTGTCTAGACTCGACTACTTCCTGAATATCGTATGATGCTGGATCAGGACTTTGTACAATTGACACCTCATCACGGGTGTCTTTTCCTAAACATGAGAGGAAGAGAAGGGGTGGGGATTTACTACTAGGTAAGAGACAGCGCGTTTCGCCACAGCGCGTCTGATCTGCGCTTGTCTCCTCATTTCCTCTCAATCTAAATGACACGTCTACTATCTTGTGATTCTCCTCTCATATTCTCTCTGAGAGAGAGTTCCCCTTTCTGGTCTAGAGGTCATGGCAAGGGGTCTGATCGTGCTGGATACTCATCCCCCAGGAGAACCTAGGGTATATACTGCTTGGAAGATACTGTGACTATTAGCTGATTCATTTGAAGCACGTCAAATGCTGTCAATGCCACAAAATCCAGCACTGACCACATCGGTTCCGCAATCCTGCGCCACCCAACCCGGCTCAGCAAGGTCCATTGCGTTGAAATTCTGGACCGCGGGTTGGAGCTCTGGAGCTTCTCGCAATCCACTGTGTCTCCACCCTAAGCCGATCTCCTGGGAGACTTGTTTTTTCAATTTTTCACAGATTTTTTTTTACCAAGGGCCTGGTACTCATGGTACTGTTCCTAGAACTATCCAATCCACGTCATCGGGACCAAATGGGTTATCTCCGTCTCGCTTGAGGATGAGACTATGCCAAAGAAGACGGTGAGAGAGGGGGAGAAAGAGGGTGATGGAGTGGAGCTTTGTCGCGTTTAAGTTCCCAGGTTAGGAAGATGAAACACCCGTAGATTTTTTGGTGAACTCACTTTTTTGATCTCGTGATACTCAGGATAGTTGTGATCCGAAAGAAAGAAATAGAAGAAATCCAGATCAGGCCAAAGCAAAAAAGTACCATATTTTATGAAGTACTTTACTTCTTTAACTCCGGAATACTTCAAAATCTTCGGGACCATCGGGATTTGCCTGAACGGCCCCGTTGTTGCAGGTGGGTCGATGGAAGCCTCTTTTTTTTTTTTAATTATTATTATTTCTATCATAATCATATTTTGGCCCTTAACGTTCCCAACGCCTGGGAATCTCGGCATCGACGCCAATCGTGGATAGGATCCGCTTCCCTTAGACTATCAAGACATCCACTAAGCCCGGGAATGGTATAGTTCGGGGGAGAAAAGGAGAGAGGGGGAAAAGGAGACCCGCTCGGCCCACGAGGCCAAATCCTCATCTTTTTTCATCTTTTTTTTTTCTTTTTAATTCTCTATTTAATTCATATTTGCCCCCTCGATCGAGGCGGTCTAACTCGGTGGGTCTGGGAACGGTCCGACGTGCTATCTTGGCCCGTTTTTCTTTTTTTTCTTTCTTGTGAGTCTCCTTTCTTTCCCCTGTCGCCTTGGGGTTTTTTTATTTTTCCTTTTCTGTTTTTCTTAATCTTCGGGCGATTCCAGTCTGTCGGGGAAATAAAGTCCACCTGACTCGAATGCTAGAGGAAACTTGGAAAACACCACAAAATTCAGAGATCCTGGGTAATTACAACTAAAAATCTCTCTTGGTTACATTTCCATTTCCATTTCCATACATCCATGGATACTATGAGAAAGGAAGAAAGTTTCGTGGCTCCCGTGTGGGCTTAGACTACTCGCTGGAACGTGCAGAAACCTGCCTGTTGCATCACAGTGATAGTGCACGTAAGGAGGATACACTGCGTGGCATGATCTTGCTAATTTTTGGGTTCAATCTATTCCAGCGTAACCATCATATATATAATCATATATAATTATATCTAGGCTATATCTCTAAAGTACAGTATGTGCATCCTGTGCATGGGATATCTGTATACAGCTCCACCGAGCTATAGTCCAAAAACGCCCCAAGGATTCTCATAGATCTGACACATAGTTGGTCCCGATGAGGTGTTCGGGATCCACTATCACCCTGGTCATCCAGAGATTGCTCCGTTGCAAGACCTGAATCATGGCCTGCTAGACAATTGGTCTCCCCCCTTTTGTGTTCTCATTTAAGTGTTTCCCCTTCTGTCACAATGCAGACTCTCCCCTTGTCTAGTGCCTCGTGGATCCCAGCCTGTCAATCAACAGCCCTCAAGGTTTACCTAGGGAGTAGTCAGAGATGAAGATGTAAGATGATGACAGCCATGGGTGACAGCAGATTGCTTGATAAAGATAGTCTGTAACCCTGGTCCTATTACAGCTGAGCTGCCAGATTTTTCGGTCTCTGCACGGGAGCCGAGATCGGAGCGATTTCCGGATGGGTCAGTCCCCTGGTATAGGCGAAGGCGTAAGGAATGAAACAGCCCTAGCCACGCCACTATGACTGTCGAGTACAGTAAGAGGGGATACCTAGGCAATGTCCCAAATACTATGTTCTGAATAGAATAATCAGCAAGGTATGAGATGAATGTCAGGCCATTTCCCAGATTTCCCACCGGAGCTCTTACTTATTTAGGAGTGAACCGTGCGGCCTGGATCCTTAGAGTGGAGGAGAGAGAGACTCGCGATCCTGCCAAACGAGAGGTTCCTGCGTGTCTCTCTCCCAGACAGATGGGCTTGAAGGAATCCATGCAATGCACGCTTGTCTCGACGGGCTCGTCAATCCTTCTCTCGATGAGGTCTGTCATTGCCTGTTATCCCTCCCTTTTTTTTTCAGTTTCTTGGCCATGATGAGAGGGCTGAAGATCGGCGGGAGAGCTACTTACACAGCGTCCACTAGCCTTAGCTGGGTATCTTCCCCCTATGTCATTCCATTGCAGACATACCGTTGAGACTTGCGAGGTCCATAACCCACTTCGGCTTTGCGATCGGCCTCGGAGGATTTCCGGGCATTCCAGGGTTGTTGTCTGAACGGTTCTTAACGAGGTCATAGATGCGCCAACTCAACTTGATGTGAAATGAATCAGAAAGAATCCATGATTTCCCGTAATTCTGAAGATACGAAGATACGAGATTGAGTGGCAACAGTCAAAATTGCGATCGGATCTCCCGTCCACCTCTCTCTCTAGCGCCGCTGCCCCTTTGCGGTTAGGATTATCAGATCGGCCGTTTAGCGATCGTCCCCCATGCCGGGGGGAAAAGCTGAGCAGGTCCACGGATGGCTTGTCTCTGTTTTGTCAGGCTCAAGTCAGCAGGAATGAGACAGAGAAGGAAGAAAAAAAATAACGGTCCTAACGGTCCCATCGCGTGTCGATCCCTCTTGCGATCGCCTGTCAAAATTATTTTACTTCCCCCCCCCCCTCCCCCCTCCATATATTATCATCGTCATCATCGTCATCATCGTCATTGCCACCTCGCATTCTTCCAGCTCGGAGTTGGACTCGATCTGGAAATGAACTGTCTGGGAGGGTTTTCGGTGTGAAGGCCTGTGCAGTTGCGAGCATAGACCCTGCATGTAGATGTAGATGAAGGGTTGCCCTCTGCAAAAAGGCAATTCTGCAATTTAGCCGGGGCAGTATCTCCAGACGGAGGCTCCGAGGGGTTCCCACCCGCGGAAATGCCGCGACCATCTGATGCAGCAGATTCTGAGGGTTCCGATAGTTCAGATCCGTGGGGAAAATTGACTTCTGCCATGTTTAGGCCTTCTCCCAAACACCAGTAACCAACATTGTGCCCTTGTAACCCTTTCGGGGCTGAGGAACTTCGCCCGATCATATTTTTAGCAAGGAAGAGTTTTTCTGTTTCTTCTCGCCCAGTGCCCGGTTCCATGCAGATATGTGGAATGGATGGTGGATGGAGGAGGGTGGATCCCCAAGAAAATCCTTGCTGGATTCACACTCGGCAGGGCCAAAGTGACCTACCGTGCATGCACTAAATCGCCAGGTGCATGGAACGCATCGGCTGAACAGTTGAGATCCAGATGGGCGCTGGGCGTAGATCGATGCGTAGTCCACGGTATTATTTTTCTCTTTTTTTTTTTTTTTCCTTCGATCAACTGTAGTGTACCATACATACCTACTATACATGTACACACTGTACACAAGGGAGTGGAGATGATGGGGGAAAAGCAGGGTTTGTTTTGACCGGACTTGAGGTTGACAGCGAGAACATGATATTATATTATTATGTATACAGTACTCGGGAGTTTTCTATATAATTTAAGAGTAAAAAATAGTAATAAAGTAATCAATAGTTTACATAGGTAGAGTTGGCCTCTACTAAAAAGATCGGGCCAATAACCACGGCGATCGCGATTCGCAGATTCTGCATTATATCACAGAATATTATCGAAGATTCACCTCCGATCTCAGATATGATATGAAGAAAATTGTGATTTCATCTGTCACCGGCTGTGCCCGAGATCAAGGGACTCGGGAACCATGGTCCGACCTGCCAGTGTGATTGGAAGAGTGCGATTTGAACCGGTATGGATGTGTGACAATTCTCCACATTCCTTGATGTCTGGGGACTGAATATAGTGAGTTACTCTTTACTTAGTATCAGTATGTACTTACTTAAGGTACCTACAATAGGCACCTAGGTAGTATCATCCAATATTAAGCCTGAGGCACCTGGATATACAGTTCCTTAGTAATCAGTTCTAGTGGGCCTCAGGCACTGCCTAGGTACAGTCGATATCCAGGGCAGTGACGTCATGTTAATAATACGCCCCAGACTCGAACAGGGGTCATGGGGGGGGGGGGCATATCCACTCTGTTTAAATCGGAGATCTCTCACCCATGTGACGGGATCGCGACGGGTTATATCGCCGTGAGCTATAAGTATAGTCTCTTCACTAGCCCGTCCCTTCCTGCTCAACCACTCTGCCGGGAATACAGCCTGTTTCAGACCTCCCCTAAGCAGTATTTTTCTAGGTTGATCGAGGTCGAGGTCATATATTTCTTTCTGGGCAACACAGGGGGGAGGACGGGCAGTGACGGGTGGACGAGAGGGGGCGGGATATGTGTTCCTGAGCAGGGTGGTACGGGGAGATAGGTAGATGAGATGGAGTATACTACCTCTCCTGCCCAGGCAGAAATCAATATATAATAAATAATAAAATACTCTCCACGCAGATCCGTAATTTGCTAGTAAAACGGGGTCATGACGATCTGCCAATTTCCCAGTATTTTCGCAGTAATTAGGCGTAATTTTGTAAGAAAAAAAAAGAAAGTACACCGTCTCCCGATCCCATCTCGATCCACCGATGCGAGAAAACGCTTTATTTTCTTTTTATTTTCTTAGTGATTTCTTTTTATTGATTTTTTATTTTTTATTTTTCTATTTTCTATTTTTTATTTTCTACGGAGTATTTGTTATTTGATTATCGTATTATTTTCTTTCTTATTTCTTGTTTGTCCCCTTCGCATCTCCAACTGATCTCTTATTTTCCCGACATTCTTCTACTTCCTCGTGCTTCATTCTGACATTCTCCCTGGGTTCCACGCGCAATTCGTCCCTTGCGTTGCCAGATCGATCTCAAGTCTTTTTTTTTTTTTTTGTGATAGGGAATTTGGTCCTTTTTCCGGTTGGATTTCGTTTATGAAATCCTACCTTCGACGGGAACCTCTCTCTCGGACCCGTCGCATCGGCCTTAACTCGTCCTAACCGCCACATCTCTCGGGGATTTCACTTTTCCCATCTTCCCACGCCACTAGAAACCCCGAGTGGAACCCTTTTCCTCTGGGGAATCCATAAAGGTCGCACGGGAGGTGTTCCGACTGTGGCTTCGAATCTTTTTCCCCTTTCTATTTATTTGGTCGTACCCTGATTCCGCCCCCCCCTCCTCCTCGATCTCCCCGTCAATCGTCTATCGTATCACTTTCCAAGACGCGATCGGATTCCCGGGAATCGAGTATCACATCCTTGGTCGATGAGACCAGAAAGGTTATAGTGTGACAAAGTTACCTCCCCCCTCGATACCGTGATGGGGTCTTTGGAAGCTCCCAGGCACAGGTGAGTGGTCCTCACATCGGTCAGAAACAAAATGCTGATTTCTTTTTTTCCCCAATCTCCCCAGAGATCCGTTGCCCGCGATAGGCTTCCTCGGCAAGGACGCCGGGTACACTCCTAACCATCCTGCCAGCGCGACCGCTTCTCCAACACCTCTGATGAGCCCCAACACCATGTACGCCGGACAACCACTTCCTTACTCCTACGCACCCCCGGCCACCAGCGCACCGCCGCAGCCCGGGTATACCTCGCCGCCAGAGTCGCGTCGGGTGATGGAGGACGAGAAGGACAGGCATACTCCCCGGCAGTCCCTGCCATCGATCCACGAGGCCCTGGGCAACGATAACCCCCTCCCTTACCCAGCACCAACATCTGCGCCGCCCTCGCAGTCCACCCACACCGCACCGCATTCGCACTTGATCGGACGCAGCAGTGGCGAAGGTCCAGCGGGTCCTCCTAACCCTTTCAATGGCCCGGCCACGGCGCCACTGATGCGGGAACCCGGGTTCCCGCACCAGGCCGAGGCATCGCGCACGAGTCTCACGTCCATCAACACGCAAGAATCACGAAATGCGTCACTACAGTCGCTCAGTACGGGCAAGTCACCGACGCAGAGCGCAAAAACTGGCATCACCTCCGTCTCGGGCTCTCAAAATTCCGGTTATGAGTACAGCGCGCCTCCCTCAGCCGGCAGCGTCGCCTCGCCCAACGGCTACTCCCATTTTCCTCCCAACTACTCCTTTCAATCCCAATCTAATGGCCCCGCCTATGCACCAGCTCCGTTCGACAATCGTCCCTATATGGGGACGCCTCGCATGGATGAAGCAAAGGGGGCGTTTGTGGGCCGTCCGATTCCCGGACAGCCCCATAGCGACTCCGTAAAACGGCATCTGGACGTCTACGATGTGGAGACGTCTCTCAATGAGGTATGGATTGACTGTCTCTTTTTCTTATTTTAATCTTTTGGGTGGATTCAATCGCGGGGCCAAAGTTCGATTAACTAATGGTTTGGTAGATTGCCGAAATGAGCACGCGAACACTGGACTTTTCGCGGCACTACGCGACCCGGGCGCACCAGACACAACGGTCTGGGCCGGTCTTGGGGTCTCTCCCTTCGCTGAATGAGGTGGAGGACATGCTCCACATACAGCGGCGGAACCAAGATGCCCTGGTGCGGATACGGACGGCGGTGGTGAACCAAGAACAAGCACTGGCGGAGCAGATGGCCCAGCGCAGTGCGTTCAAGCCGGGCGACGATGACCACATGGCCATGTACCAGGATGGGTTCAAGGGCGCAGGCGGGTTCGCAGGTGCCGACCCAAAGAAACGGCGTGGAGTAAGTTCCCTTGTATCTCTTTTTTTGATTACCCGTTTACCCTCTTCCTCTGCTGTCACTGGCTTGACTCCAGAAAGGACACTCCACTTGCAAGATTGTGTCTGGCTAACCACGTTGTCTGCAGAAGGCGGCCCCTCCTGGTCGTTGCCACAGCTGTAACCGAGCCGAGACGCCAGAATGGCGTCGGGGTCCAGATGGAGCCCGAACGCTGTGTAACGCGTGCGGACTGCACTATGCCAAGCTGACGCGCAAGATGGGCGTCAAAGGCACCACGTCCCTGGGGTCGAACCTCAAACCCAAGGCTGTCGACTCGGCATCGCCCACCAGTCATTAAGCTTCGGTCTGATTTTCATGTGGCGTTGAGCAAAAAACGGTTGGGTCATAGAATTGGGGGAGGCAAAGGAGTTCAGTGGCCATTTTTCTTTTTTCTTTTTTCTTTTTTGCCCTCTCTTTTTTTGGGGGGAGGTATGTCATGGGAAATTCGGGAGAAGACTGGCCCCAACCATCTTTCTCTCTTGTTCGGCATTTTATGGTTTTTTATTCTTTAATTCGGGTCTTTTTTTGTTTGCTTTTTTGCTTTTGCTTCCTCTTGGCTTTCCCCATTTTCCCTTTTCCCTTTTCCCTCCTTGCCCTGATCTATAATACCCTCGCGCGTTGGGAGCAACTTGGCCTTCTAGATTACGTTTCCCTCCCTCTCTCTGACTCTCTCTCTCTCTCTCCCTTGATGTGTGCTCGAAACTGTCCAAGATTTTGTGTTTTTCTGGTTGGTTTATACCCTGCATCGTGTGCCCTGAGCCATTGGAAGGCCAAGTATGGTTATGATTTTGGTGTTCTAGTATGTCTGATATGTGTGTACGATCGTGTCTCTATCTAGCGTGTCCATCTGGATCTTCCTTGAACCGTGTATTGTATGATCATCTCTTCTCTCTTCTAAACTGATGCTGTCATTGCACGGGAATTCCTTTGCGGGTGGCGATCAAAATATCCGTCATTTCTCGGGTGCATCGTGTGGCGGGTGTCGGCCGTAGGAGTCGGGTCCGGCCGAGGGCTCCACCCACAATCATGGTTCCATGTTAGGGATTCAGTATTTAGTATTTAGTATGTAGGGTAATGAGATTCCACGGGATAGATGTGTAAAGTCAATGTAAATAAATGATTTGAATTGTAAGAGTCAAAAAAAAGGGCGCAATAGTACACAATTTTTAGTAGGGTCTCGGGATGTTCTAAACCTGCATCTTCTAACCCTAAGAAAGATTCTCCAAAGGGGATATCGGGATCTGAACCAAAGGACCTGACTTACTCTATCTGGAACAAAAAGGAAGGAAATGGATGGCAAGATCGTCTCCAAGAGGTTAAGTTGCCGAAGCGGGGGCGCAGCGATCGCAGAAATGATTTGTGTTTTGTCGCCGATCGGGGATCGTGGATCGGAGAGATCTCAAATTTCAGATGTTTGCCTTCTACTCGGCATACTTCTACTGTCGTTATTTCCCATGTATATACTATTATAGATTATAGTCACTGTATCTGGTTGTAGATAAGGATAAAGAATAATTAAATCATTCTCTACTTCACCAGCTACTCTAGGTACCGTACCTACTATAGACATAGGTAATATAGGATCAGGGATAGTACACATTTCTAGTGGACCCGGGCGCGTCGCGCGTCTCAGGATTTGTCATGGCCAGGTTGACAGCTCCGGGGGGAATGGCCTCGACAAGGATCTCCCCTGTTCGGAGGGATCGTGGAGTGGGCCGATCGAATGGAGTATGTGGTCCGATTTGTCTCTCCTTCTCTCTGTTTCTCTGTCTTCCCCTCCCCTTTTTTTTTTTTTTTTTTTTTTTTTTTTGTTTGCGTTATTTCCGACAGTCTGGGTGCGTGGAGTAGGTTGGTGGCACTGTTTTTCACCCGATGAACCTATAGATTCAGCAATTGCGCGACCCGGGGCTGTGGTCGACGGTCCAAGGTGAGTAGATCAACGGGGCGACCATTTGTGATTGTTTTGTCGGATATACAGTGGACTTGTTTTCTGTATCTATACATCTATATTAGAGGAAATCATAGTCTAGTTTAGTACAGTATAGTATAGCATAGTAAACTACTACAGTTGCTCTGTACTACCCCAACAGTTCGTGCACGGAGCTAGCAAGGATGCGAATCGATCGAGATCGCACGTTCATCCCTGTGGAGATCTTCATACCTTAGTGTCTGCTCGGGGTATTTGTACCCTGGGTGTCATGACTAGACGCGAACGGTTCTTTTTTGTTTCTTTGAATTCCTAGTGTTTGGATATTAAGGTTGTTGGCTCGATCTTACTCCGTAGATATGTCCTACCTAGGTATATTCCAAATTTGACTTAGGTTACCAATGGCCACTTACATACATCCTACCAGCTACCGGAATATTTTAACTATTTTATCCATGGTTGATTATCTAGATAATAGATATTTAGGCGATTGCCACTACGAACCGAGTCAAACTCCCATATTCTCTCGGGCACATTCCACTACCTTCTTCCGGAATCGCCGATATCCCGGCCGAACACCTCAAGACCGATATCCATACTAGGACACCACGCAGATTTATTGTAACCATTACACGGAGAACGCAATCAGCGGGGCGAGATGTCGGTGGCAATTAACTATCTTTATTTTTTTCTTTCTCTCTTTCGATTTATTTCTTTTTCTCTCCCTCGTGGCGCCGATCGCCCGGCTAACGAAGTCTATCTCTCTAGGGGGGGGATGAAGAGAATTGCCGATAGAACACCAACTCTAATGCGTCGGCTCGGCTCCACTTCTGCGTACATTCCAGCAGCAAGCAGAAGCCAACAGGGCCTGCAGGCCGCGTTGGATCGGCGGTGTATAAGCCTTAGTCGTGATCCCGCGCAAACCCTATCTCGCCCTAATGGAATTCCCGTCGAGCAGTGGTATGTTACTATTGATACCAGGTAGTATGGCAGCTGCTAATTTATAGTAATATTGTAATATCGTAAGAATAAGAGCAATAGCAAGAGTAATGTTCATGATTGTAGACTAGACACAAAATATACAATAGAGTTTTGTCAAATCTCGCGAGATTGCAGGGTCGGTCCCCAGTAGATCGATATTTTACCCGCTCTCGGGCCTCTGGCATATTCTCTCACGGTGGAGGCCAAGGTTTTTGTTCGTCGGGTGTTCTTCTGCCCTTCTGTGCGCAGACTATTGACCCATGTCCTTCTGTAGTAGGCAAAGTCACGTACTTTTGCATCTGGGATCATCTGTGCATTCGCTAGTTGGTTTTCTTTTTTCTTTTTCTTTTTTCTAGAATGGAAGACTTTTTTTTTCTCTTTCTCATATTGCTTAGAGATATCGACTACCATAGTGAATCTGGTGTAGGTACTTAGGAGCTCTTATTGTTATCAACTCAATCGAATAGATCGTCTACCCGCCCAACACCAGATCAGCGACTATGCAATCCCCGAGCTTACCTATTACCTAGGTCATGAATCAAGCGGCAATTGCTGAGGGAGATAATCCCCTAACAAATGCCCTCTTGGGCACTGGCCATGATTGCCCGTGGACTCGACCCGGCGTGCCGGGTCGGGCTATTGAGGCCATTGAGAAGGAAATGGATCAGTTGTAATCAAGGGAATTTCTCTGTCTCCAGACATTCATGATCCTCTGGGCCCCACTGGATCCAGTGGATGCCACTCCATGGTTTTTTATTCGGGAGTGTTTACACCTTTACCTACAGTATGTGTAATGTGTATAGCGTACAGTACAGTAGTGTCCACGATGTATGTACAGATCGCAGGATTGACCGCCAGATCGAGGATCGCCCAGATCCATCCGCAGCGTGCGTCCGCCTCAGACCGAGATCCTCCGCCTTTATTGGATGACATGCATTCATTGTCGGTCTTGTCCGGGGAGGGTTCTAGTCACTGGTTGGTTGTACAGAAAAAAAAAAGGTCTTAATCTAGTATTTTGTTATTATGCCCTGCTGTTTAGGCCGAGATCGTGCGGTTTGGCGGATCCCCGGAGCCCTGTATGCCAAGGACTCCCGAGTGGTGGCGGTGAATAGACTGGTTTTTCTTTCTTTTTTTTTTTTCTATTGCTATCTCTGGTTCTATTACTACGTCATATTTTTACCATATCATATTCGTATCCCCCGTGGACCTCTAGCTTTCTCGAGGAATGACTTGGATTTGGCCTGCCACGTCACCTCATAGATCTGGCCCCCAAGTCAGACAAGTGCAGTAGTCGATGGGGCGAAACATGCTGTTACTGTATATTGTATGGTCTGTATTTAAGCCCAGGAGTGAAAAGAAATAAATTAAAATACCGTATTTTTATAAACTACATATTGCGGCTCCGAGGCGCCAGCTCGTACATGCTGGAAGTGAGATTCGATCAGGATTTTCTTTAGTGCCCCGATGGTCTCACTAATGAGATCTCAACCAATATCCATCGATTAAGTGGCCTAAGTATTGGACCCCACTGGATCTCTGCTGCATGCTTCTGCATGTTGACTAGGAGGGTATACAGTCAGATTTGGTAGATGGTGAATTCCAAATTATAACTATGTATGCCATTAGCTTTTTTATTGCATTACGGGATTATTGTCTGTGAACTATTCTTGTGCATAACTAAGTCAGCTCCAAGACCCAGTCTCGGGTGAACCATGTCTCGGGGGATGTTGGGTTCGTGATGCACCCGCGTGGCGTAATACTCAACTTCATTGTAATCGATGGATATGCTTGGGATTAGCTGGTTTGTCTCGTACTCAGGTAAATATGGCTCTTATTGGATTTATGGAGGTATGTCTGGATTCTAGATGATTTATAGATCAAATGTTACATCTATAGCTATCCATCCATTGTATACTTCAAGTATAAAGTAAGCAAAGGTATCTTTAAATTTTTCACCAGGATAACTACATCCTCTTTCGATCTTTCATACCCCCAGACTTTATCCCAAAGATATCGTCAATATCACCATGCATCTACGCATTGTCCTACCAACTCACTGTCGAGTGGAGGGTTGCATCGGATCACACTCCGATACCCAGCAGAAACAACTTACTCGAGACAGGAACCAGCCAATACAGACCCTGTCTGCCCCAAGTGCTGTACCACACAAACCAGATCGCATGAGATGGAGTGCAGGTCATACAACGTGGAACCGCCAGGCGCAACGGTGACAGCAACGTCCACAGAGATGGGCTAGAACAAGTCAGGGCTGGGGAGGTGGTGGGCGTGTTGAATAATTGGAAGAAAAGAAAAGAAGAAGAAAAAAAAAAAGTGTCAGATATATCCATAGATAACATAAGAAAAGAATGAGAACGAGAGAGTAAGATATGATGCCACATCCTTACTACAGAACCCACCATGAGCTGTACATTGCCAATCTACTCTCGCCCAGGGCCTCTAGCCCAGCAGCAAGAACAACCTCCACCGCCACCTTCGCCTTCGATCTCCCCCCTTTTCCCATCCGAAGAATCCGCCATTATCGCCACAACGCAAGGCTTCCTCTTCGCGCTGCGCGCCAAATCCCGCACCGACTTCGAAAAGCACTGCGTGCGCGCCGGCGGCATGACCCTGTCGCCGCCGTCGTCGACAACCCTGCGCTTCTGCACGATCGGCTCGTTCGTCGAGCATATCGCCGCGCTCAAGGACGATATCGACGAGCGCATCTGGGACCCCGAGGTCAAGGTCCACGAGGCGGGCAACCTTGCGGCCGTGTGGGCGCCGTTTCGGGCGAAGATCAATGGCGTTGTGGACCATGTGGGTGTGGAGTTGTTTGTGTTGCATAAACTTAATGGTGAATGGAAGGTGACTGGGTTGGCGGATTCTTGTCAGCGGCCGACGGAGGAGGAGATGACGTTGGATTGACTATGGGTGTAGTTGGGGATTAGGAGAACATATCAGGGGAGTAAACCTCTGTCTGAAGAGATTAATCGAATAACTGTACTATTGTCAATGCTGTGTTATATGCAAATCGATTTGTCTCTACATGCGACATGCGCCCCCAGGATATCTATGTACGGGAATAGGACGATGTCTAGTTCCTTTTTCCTCGCAGAAGCTCCCATCCCACGGAGCCATGGCGGCCCTCCTGCGCCGTCATCTCCTCCACTGCCTTGACCAAATCGTAGCAGATTTCCTCGGACACCACGCTGTCATGCTGGTACCGAGGGTGCTTGGCCACGAACTCGCGGATCCAACGGGCGCCAGTCCAAAGGGTTCCGTCGGCGCGTTTGCGGATCAGGTCGAGGTAGCTGGCCAAGAAGCACCGCGTCTCGACGTCCACATTGACGCTGTTGAGATACGACTCCACAAGCGGAATCAGACCCGGGAACGACCCATCAGCGCAGCCGTTGACGATATCCGAGATGGTCATCAGCTCGTACTCGGTCTCGACCGGACCCAGAGGAGGAGACGGTGGCGGCGTGTTGACCGCAGAAGAAGTGGTGGACGAGAAGGCGCTGCCGTTGGACGGTTGGGTGCTCTTGGGCATCCGCCGGGGGAACGGGTCCTTGCGGAAGTAGAACTTGCGGTCATGGATGGCGTTGCGGGCGTGAGCCGTCTCCATGTTTTCTGTCGTTCGCTGGATGGGGATGTAGAAATTGAGATCGAAGCTCAAGATCGCCCGCGTAATGAGGACAATAAAGATGCTGAATGCGGCGTTTTCGAAATCCGTGATTTGGATTTCCATCGACCGAAACTCGACCCGCCATCCAACATCATCTTTGTCCGGGGGCGGCGGCTTGAATCGCATGTGCTGCCAGTTTGTGGACTGCAGATTCTCAAAGTGGTCTGCTTTATTGAGATCCAACTCTTCGAGATCCTCGGAGAAGATCACCAGAGGATCGCGAATGAAGAGGTGTGCAAAGTGCGTGGCCAACAACTCATCCATGCCTCCATCCATTAGCCGTTTCTTGATATCCTCATCCACGACCAGATCCGGGTCAAAGTACTCCTTTCGCAACCGGGGATCTTGCGAGATATAAGTCGAGTTCGAGGCATACCGAGATTTGGGGATCCGCCAACGGTCGTTCTCGAGAGGCTAGGGCAATGTCAGTCTCTTGCGGATCAAGAAAACTCAAATGTATAAAACTCACAGCTTCACCGAGTTCTTCCGGTGTCCGGTCATCGACGGCTCCACCGATTTGGTTCCATCGCACGTCCGTATCCACGAGGAATCCCTTGTAGATGGGGGTGGCGGCAGTGAGAGCCAGGAGAATCGGCCCCAGTGGACTCAATTGATCATAAAGTCTTCTACCCTCCGTCATATTCTTCGCCTGGAAGGTGATCTGCAGACAGCAACTGCCCATCCCAAATGCCATGGCATCCATATACACATGGTCGACCTTGGCGGCGCCATTGCGCACATCGGCGTCCTCGGGCCAGTTATAAAGGTCGTAGTTGACAGTTGGGTCTTTGAACGGAGTGGGCGTATTGGTGTCTTTGAAGACGGGAACATTCAGTTCTACCTTGCGCCCTCTTCGCGATCGAATATTGGCGGCCAGCGTGGGAAATCGAATGTGAGGATTGGCAATTTGGTCGGGGACAAACTGAGAGCGGAGAGCGGGCCCAGATGGCGCATAATATGGTTGGATATAGTCGTCCTTGGTCCCCAATCGAGGAAATGTCGTCAGTGTAATAGGGCATTCGTTCGGTGCCATGTGCGCTTTCGCAACCTCTCGCCTAAAATAATCAGAACCCGGCAGCACTTCCTGAGCTTTGACTGAATACCCACCTCCACTTCATGTTGGATTCCACCTTTAGCAGGTCTTTGAATCCAATACCCCACGGGCGTCCGGGTGTAGCCTCCAGCATAAATCTCCCGAACTCGGGGTGGAAATGGGGTGGTTCCTCGCCGTCGCTAGTAACCGTGAGAATCTGTTTCGCCTCCTAAAGTGACCATACCACACTTACTGGCCATTGTCCTCATTGTTCTTGCAAGATCCAGCCTTCCACAAGGCCTCGTCTCTGGCCAATGACTTGAGGATTTCAGCTTGGGCCAGAGACAACCGGGATTTCTTGGCTGCATCGTCGAGGGCTACCACGAGGTATTCAACCTGCAGGTGAATGCATTATCAGTCACCATGAACATCAAAATACGAGTTTGCCAGCAAGCAACATACCTCGTCTCCCCAGAGAAGAGCATCCCGCTCTTTGCCCTTTGCTCGGCGCCAATTCGCAAGTAGTTGCTACACCATGTCAGCGAGCTCAACCTTTAACCAAACTAACAGGATCGTCTGCAACACCATGGGCCACAAATCTCATACCTCAATTCCCCATTGCCGCACCTGGTGTGCCTTCTTCTTGGCCTCGGGCCATTCCAGCGCTGTTCCAAGCGCTCTAGATATCAAAGTCAATGTAAGAATCTCCATGGCATTCGTAATGGCACACATACAGCAAACCCATTGTGCTGGTGTAACTTTGGCAGCAATGTACTCAGAGAAAAGAAAGTAAGTTAGCAAAAAAGAAGAAAAATCGCGAAGTCCGAAGCCCGCGGGAAAAGTCCGAGCAGGCAACTATGAGTGATAAGAAGGCGGAATTTCCCAGGGCAGACTAAGTGGTGATAAGGCAACCCCGCGCATGGTCAACCAAGGAGCGTTCTCTCTGCTTCTTTTAAATTCGCAGTGTCTCTTCTGAGGGGGAGATTTTCAAACGCCGCAGCCGCCATGAGCAGCGGGGCAGAGCAGCGGGCCCGGGGATCGATAACAGATTTCTAAGCAGTCATGTGACGTACCCGGCACGTAATGGGGATGGATTGCATGAATATCCTCAGTTAGTATGATGATTGAAGTCTAAAGGGATACGAGGGCCTGCAGAGAACCCCGAGGGCTACCACGTTTCTGTGTGAGGGGTGGTGTGTGCTGGTGTGACTCGAACTCTGCGGAGACCCCAGATCCAACACGCTATAGATGTTGGCCAGCAAACAACCCTTGAGAGATCGGTAGTCAATCCGAGGCGTACAACGCTGCTGGAGGCACCTACTTCCAGGAAGATACCCAGGGAGTGTCCCATGAACCATGACAGTGCTGACAAATACATTTGCGCGAGGTCATCCACCGGGCCTCGGGGCCATAGATCCATGCAAGCTCCCAGAGCCTCGCGGATTCCCCGTTTGCGCAGCTAATACAAGGAGTATAGAAGGCCAACACGCTCTCCCTGTCACACACTGGGAATCACATGACAAATCTGCGGGATTCAAGATCGACCTGCAAAACAAAACGGTCCCAACGCCCGAGGCATTTCCATAAGCAGTCTCCGTGTATCTTATATGTACATAACCTGCTGCGTGGCAGCCCTAACCACCCAATTGTCTTGCTCAGTTGCTTCGGGCGCCGTCCTTGGCCGCCCGCAGCTCATCCATCTTGGCCACCCGCTTCTTGAACTCCTCGTACTGGCACTTCTCGTAGGAATGTCTCTCGTCCTAAGGGCAGCAATTCCACAAAGGTTAGCAGCTATAATCTGAAAGGTTTTCCATGGGTCGGAATGGTGCAGGACGGGCATATATCCACAGGAGATCGTACCTCACACTTCCAGGGCAGGTAGTATTCTTGTTGCCGGCACCGGTTGAGCGGGATCAGCAAGTTTGCGCACGAGTCTCGATATTGCATAGGAAGACGGGCTTCCGACATTTCCTGGCGGGATGCTGCGATACTAGGTCAATTTCTGGAGCTCGAACGGTCGGTGCCAATGGTCGCAGGATCTTACCGGAGGTGTCCGCAAGACCCACAGCACTCTTCAGTGACTCGGTGACTGTCATTCTGATGGAATTCAGAAGAGACAATGGCAGGGCGGGGAGGGAGACAGGCAAATCGAGGTTGGCGACTGCCCGATCGGTCTGCGACGTTCCTTCCCTCCCGTGATAGTCACGTGCTTAATGTCACGTTGTGATCACGTGATTGATATTCTGAAAGAGGGTTAGCGTCCAAAACCCACTTTACGCGGTGGTCCGAGGGATCGCGTCTCGCGTTAGGAGATGCCTTACTTGCTGCGAATCGTGTGTCCCTGTGCCCACGCCTCCAAATTCCTTTGAATTGCGTGCAATGTGTCAATCCTGCCCACATTCTTCTGTCCATTGACTTGTGGATCCTCAAAAGGTGACGTTTGAGTTTACGTGGATGCGTTATCGTTTGCCGGGAACCGACTGGATTGCAGCGGCTTGCCACGCACATCATGGCGGGGATGGAGTCAATCTATTCTGCTACCTACAGCAGTGTAAGTCCCGCGTGGTTCTATCTCTCCTCCCTCTTCCCTTACTTCTTCCCTATGGAGTGCCGGTTCCAGCTTCTGACCTGGTCCCGTAGGTTCCGGTGTATGAGTTCAAGATCGGCAGCGATAGTGTGATGAGAAGGAGATCGGACGATTGGGTCAATGCCACACATATCCTCAAGGCGGCAGGGTTCGATAAACCTGCTCGGACTCGCATCCTCGAACGAGAGGTTCAGAAGGGTGTGCATGAGAAGGTACAAGGTGGATATGGCAAGTACCAAGGTATGATTTCGGTCTCTCTAAAAAAACACAATCGGTCGCATGATGGCTAACAGCATATACTACAGGAACATGGATTCCACTTCCCGAGGGTCGCCTCCTGGCAGAACGCAACAACATCCTTGAGAAACTAGCACCCATCTTTGATTTTGTGGCCGGTGATCACAGTCCCCCGCCAGCACCAAAACACTCCTCAAACCCCGCAAAGCCCAAGGCGCCGAGGAAATCCGCCAGCAACAGAACTGCAGCATCAGAGATCTTTAATGTCGTTCAACCGCAGCGCAGCATGGGTCCCCCGTCCCTCCCACAGGAGCACTATGAGATGAGCGCCGGGTTTGATGATAATGAGTCAATAGAACAGGCGGCTCTTGAGTCGTCATCTATGATTGCAGATGAGGATATGCTTCAAATGTCACAGCATGGGGGCCATTCACGAAAGCGAAAGCGAGGGATGAACGAGTCGAATGCTATGTCTATCAGCGAGCAGGAGCATATCATCTATGGCGACCAACTTTTGGACTACTTTATGACGGTGGGAGATTCCCCGGAGGCAACACGAATTCCTCCGCCAGAACCCCCTGCCCATTTCCAAGTCGATCGCCCCATTGATGATTCGGGGAACACGGCTCTCCACTGGGCGTGCGCCATGGGAGACCTCGAAATTGTGCAAGATCTGCTCCGTATAGGGGCCAACGTGAAGGCGCTTTCGATTCATGAAGAGACACCGCTCGTTCGCGCGGTTCTTTTCACCAACAACTACGAAAAGAGAACTTTCCCGGCAGTGTTAGATCTGCTTCTGGACACTGTTTCTTTTCGGGACTGGTTCGGCGCTACTCTGTTCCACCATATTGCAGAAACCACCAGGAGCAAGGGCAAGTGGAAGAGTTCACGATACTATTGCGAAGTGCTTTTGGACAAGTTGTGCAAGACCTGTTCACAGGATGAGATCGATCTCTTGCTGGCGTGTCAGGACCATAACGACGACACTGCGGTCCTTGTTGCTGCCCGCAATGGCGCGTTTCGTCTCGTCAACATGCTTCTTGTTCACTGCCCCCGCGCAGGTAATCTGGTGAACAAAAAGGGGGAGACAGCTACTAGCATCACGCAGCGCTCCCATCAACCTGATCATGAAATTCCACCTGCCCCATCATCTGTGACCATGGCCAACGACCACGTGGATGGCGAAATGGGTGGTATTGTGGCCTCGGATCCGCAGTCCTTGGCTCCTGCTGCAGACTCCTCTGCGACGTCAGACTTGCTATCCAAGATTGGAGCGATCATGGCCGATGCAAATAAGAAGCTTGCTGTGAACTATGGTAACTCCAAAATCAACCAACAAGACACCAATGACGTGGCCAACCCGGAGGCATTGTATGAGCAACTCGAGTCAGATCGCCAGAAAATCCAGAAACAGGTGGCCGCCTTAGCAGCAAAGGAGGCTGAGTATGAGCCAAGTGACAGCCAACTGGGACGGTACGAGAAGCTGCGGGCAAGCTATAAGTCCCTGCTGGAGCAAATGCAGCACATTCATCTAGCCCAGCAGATTTCTACTGCAGCACCGCCGGAATCATCGGATTCGTCCTCGCTGGGTCAAGACGAACTCTTGGCCCGGTACCAACTGGCTCGAGAGCTCTGTTCTGCCCAGAAGGTGCGGCGTGACGCTGTCAAGGATCTCGCCCAGCAAACTGCGGATGCCGGCGTCAGCACCAAATTCGATGTGCATCGCAAACTGGTGGCTCTGGCCACTGGGTTGAAGGAAGAAGAGCTTGATCCTATGGCCGCCGAATTGGCCGAAACCCTGGAGTTTGATCGCATGAACGGCAAGGGCGCGTCGCCCGAGCCAGGGCATAGACGGTTGCCCTCACAGAACGAACAAGCCATGCATCCGCCTGGAGCGAGTGTCCCCGTGGATGCTTAGTGGCTTTCTCTTGTCAAGTTCCTTTTTTTCTCTCTTGCTCTTTAACGACTCTCCTCATCTCCTTCTGGCATCCCTCAACTCCTGCAGAGATTTTGCCAGCAGATACCCTGTTTCGTTTTTCTTTTTCTTCTTCACCTTTCACCTTTCACCGTTCTGGTTCTTTTTCAGTGCATCGGCATCTTGCCCTGTGTGTGTATGATTCTTGGGCGTTTGGTGATCAACATCCAACGTCCCTTGGGATTCGGAGTACCATGATTGAGTGTACATAACCATCCTCGATTCTGTGTGGGATTACAATTTACATATTCCCGGCGTCACGTGGCAATATAGTCATAAAAACCAACTGTAGAAGAGTTCGGGGGGTGACACGAACGATGTAGATCACAATCACGCTAAACCCCCATCGGACCCCCATCGGACCATCAGCAATCGACCGTGATCAATTCCCAATTGACTATTTTAATTGCCACTTTTCGGATATCGCGCAAGCGCTGAAACCAGCCCTCGAGCCGCCCGGGCGTGGGTGGCAGCCAATCGAAGCGCTGGGGATGTGATGGGCGGCGTCGGGGGCTCACGCTGTGACAGAGACTCGACGCTGATTGGCAGTGCCTGTGGTCCAGTCAGAACCCGTCAAGGCCTGTCTATACTCAAAGACTATGATTCCATTGTACATAGCATATACATGTTAAGTAGTACACAATCATAGATTTAAGTATTCCATAGGCTTTGCTTGATCTACACAACTACTATATCATATTTCTGACTGCTTTCCTCCAAAGTTGAAGTTTCCCGAGTTTCTCGAGGTCGATGGGGCCGTCAGGCAGCCGGTTAGTCAACTGCAGCCTGAGGCACCCAGGCACAGGATTCCCCACATCCACTCTCGCTCGCCTCTTCTTCCTCTTCCACCCCCATCGACCTAATCTTCATCTTCGCTTCTTTTCTTTTTTTCTTCCCTTCTCGTCTGCATTCCTTCATTCTTTGCAGCTCGCGTTTATTGGAAAAAAGAGAAAAAAAATTACCCGTTCGACAGAACCCTGCAAATAGTTCGCTTAGTTTCGCCCCTGAGGAAAAACGTTGCTCGCGTCTGGCCGAGACCCCCGAATTCACTTGGATTCTTCGCGACCACACGACTTAACGCTTTTCACGCCTTTTGCTGTCGTGACTCGGTTTATTCCGTGTCGCGAATCCTTGAGTGTCACCCGCTGAACTCGCTTGGTCTTGACCTTCAGCTGGCGGTGTTTCAGCCTCTTTCCGAGCCTCTTTACCCGCGCGTTCAACTCGTTTCCTTCGGTTGGGATTTGCAGAGCATCTCCCTCGGCTTGTTTTCTAACTTCTTTTTCTTTCTTACTTCCTCGGTCATCCCTTGTGAGATACTTTCAATACTTCGCATAATCACTGTCACTGGTGCCTCTCTCGCTTCGTCACCATCATTCCTGCTGTTCTCGAACCCCCCGGCTTCTCGGTTCCCATCTCCAAAACAATTCTTGTACAGCTTGTTAATCCTCGCTTTCACCCACACTCTTTTTCACTCTCACATCAAGTCTGTCCTTCGCTTTATTTACATATTTCTACTTGTGGCCGGTACGCGACATCATTCTACGTCCCTTTTCGATGAAGCCTTGCTGACCATCACCTCGCTGAATTAGACTCGCTCCGTTCGTGTTCACAATTCTGAAGCCATCAAATCTCGCGCTTGTACTGGTCGATTCCGGTACTTTTTCCTGCTAGACTCCCATAATTCCCTAATCCGCTGGAACGCTAGCTTTGTGGTTGACCCCAAACGCTCGCAACGAACCCGGAACCAAAAGACCAAAAATCCTCGACTTACTCCGCTTGGACTCCTTTGCACATATCCACATCTCGCCCAAACTCCACGACAATGAGTATGGACGCTGGCGGTCTTGCTCAAATGACATACAACTCTTCCTTCGGCAATGGCAACACCCTCGGTGTGCCGAGCTCGGGCTTCGCCTCGCGGGGAAAAGGCTCCCACATCAAGCGCTTGAGTGTGCCTCCCCAGGTAGCCACAATCGACGAGTCTCAGGCCACCGCTCCCATCTCCACGCCACGCACTAGTCGCTCGCATCTCCTGGCGGGACTGCGGACTGCCCCCAGATCTGCCACGATACCCTCCCAGCATCAGCAGCGCAGCGGCATGGAAGGCTCCCGATTCCCTGGTCCTGCTAATCGAGGGACCGATCGCGCGCCGCAAACTGCGACAGGAACTGGATTCCCGCAGACCACGTTCGCTACAAATCGGGGCAGAAGTGCGCAGCAAAACCCACACCACCCCATGTACACTCTGCCCGAGCAGGTTCTCGCCCCTCCGACGCTTGATATGGGCAACGATATCCCCATAGACGAGAACCTGTACGCGGAATTGATGTCGACCAATCTCTTCCTTGCCGCGCAGCAGCAGCGCCTGCAGCAGCAGTTGATCAGCGTTACTGCCGCCGCTCAGCAATTCCAGGGTCTCACTCTGGGCATGGCTCTGCCCCAACAGCAGTCCGCTTCTTCCCTTTCCATGCCTGGCGTGGGCTTCTACCAGCAGCAGCTCCAGCAGGGTGTGCAGCCTATTGTGCAGCCAGTTCCCGGACAGCCTGGCCTGTTCTCTGTTTACAATCCTCTGACTGGTCAGCAAAGCTACGTGATGGACAACAACCAGGAGGAAGAGGTTGCCTCGCAGTCCTATCAGGATACCCATTCTCCTCCCCAGCAAGTGCCGCGGTTCCGTGCAGAAATCTCCCCGCCCGCGGACTCTGTTCAATCGCCGATGCACTTCCCGCAGCCGATCTCTCCTCCCAGTGGTACTCCGTCTCCGCCGCAGGAGCCTGCCAATCCCTTCCGCCGAGGCCACCGACAACACTCGCCATTCAATCCCGCTGCAAAGACTGGCATTGATACGCAGAAGGCGAACGTGGGACCCGCCCCTCGATCAGCTGCACTGCCGCCAACGCCGGCCACTGGAACATTTGGACCCGGCCAAAATCGCGCCGGTGAGCATCCGATCCGCCAGCCCCGTGGGCCGCCTTCGCTCGAGGATCTTGTGGCCAAGCCGACGTCGAAGCATGAGGGTAGCAAGAACTTTGCGACTCGTCAACGTCGTCGCGCCGTCCACAACCTCGTCCGTGCGGGAATTGAGCGCCGGGGTGACACGCGCAGCCTGGGATACCACAGCAGCGGCGGCACTAACACACCTGCGAGCGAGAAAGAGTTCACTTTCTCAGACGGAGAGGATGTGACGGTGCGCAGTGGCAGTCTCTCCAGCAAGCCCAGCCTGGGTAGTCTGCGGGCGGCGGCCAACGGTGCCATCGGATCCGAGAGGAAGGAAAAATCCAGCCGCGGGCGCAAGTCTCCCGAGAGTCCCTTCCAGAGTGCGACCCCGACGAGCGAGGACAGCGGCTACTTCGGGTCGAGGTTTGCCGAGATCTCGTCCTCATCGGGCACCTCGTCTCCCTCGGTGGCTGCGGTCGTTGCCGGTCAGGGACCGGTGGCTCAAGCGCCCGAACGGCGCAAGACGCCGATGCTTGTGTTGTCTAGCGCTGAAAAGCGCAAGACCCCGATCATGTAATGCCGAACCTTCATGTGATAGCGACGAATGACTTTTCTTTTCGTTCTTTTTCTTTATTTTGTTCCTTTCTCAAATTGGGTCGGCCTTTTTCTGTTGTCTGTGTATGCGGTTTGTCGAGCTCTGTTGTAATCACTCTATCAAGGCCGACCCATTCCATTCTTTTCTTCGTGACTTTATTTCTGGCAATCCCGTGCCAATTCTCATGTCTGTTTGATGAAAGACCTGGTCCAGTCTGAAACGACTCTTGATTTTTTTTTTTTATTCTTTTTCACTTCCATTCCTTTCTTTTTCTCTTTTTACTGTCATTCTTCCAGCCCCATCGTCTGCCAGTAAGGGTTTGGTGGGAAGCTTGCGATTCCTCGAAGATTAGGCAGGCCATTGTGCCGAGATGGGGATGGAAGTCTTCGCTTTCGATTTCTGATGTACATCTGGTCATGTACAGACCGACTCCCGGGCCCTGGTTATCTCGGACCGGGATCACTCTAGTGAAATACATATCCTAGCAGCTGTTTGATTACTTGTGGTAGTAACTCCCATTCTCTCGATCTAAGATGATTCCTTGTTTCTATTTCCTCGCGAATGTAGTCCAATTTGTCGCTGGTGTCTAACACGGTCAGGCTCGTAGGCTATATAATTGACCCGACACCCATTACTCTTTACAGAGACCGGGTCTGCTTGCAATTGAAACAGGGAGATGCCGAGGTCAGCCGCCTTTCAATAACACAGTTGACTGGAGAAACCGGGCGAAGCCAACCAAGACGACGTGCCAATATAATTAACCTTTGTCCATACCCCACAAGGGCATAGGGCACCCAGGAAGAACCAGCGGGGCCCTCTAATCCTGCCAAATTCTCCACAGGAGAAGAAATATCTAAAACCCCAGCACGATTCCAGTGCTCCTTCATTGGGTGCACACGAGCCCATGAACATGTTCGATGTAGATCCCTGCAAGCCCCTCTAGAACGAGTGAGTGACCAGGCCCACTCCTCAGCTTGGACTTTGTGTCTTCTAGCTTTGGGTATACTAGATTCCCCTACCAAATTGCCCATGGCGTATAGGAAGCTCGTCGGGTATTGGTTGGTGGGTAGATATCTGCGCGCTGACGGCCCCATCACGCTGCCCGTCTCAGCAAGCCGCTTCTACCAATGCGGACGCAAAGGCGAAATCACCTTCTCTGGCATCAACAGTGTCTGCGAAACTCTCTGTAGCAGCTGGTGCTCCACCGACTGCAATATCTTCGGATACGCATGCGACACCTGCCAATACAAGTCTGCTGGAGCGCCCCCGGATGAGGACCATCGCAAGCTGTCGGAGTGGTGCATTCCTCATACCTGGGAGTCGGGCTCGCATACCAGGCATGCGAGCCTGGACTGGTATACGTATGATAATTTTAAGGGGCACCGTTTGATCTCTTGTCCTCGGGGGTGCGCTTATGTCGACACGCCTGTTTAGAGTGGGGATTGCAGTAAGATCTTTTCCTCGGTCTATATTTAGTGGTGGGGAACCCAATCTTGAGCTAGGGGTGAAATGAGGTTCAGTCGTGTTCTTAGCGATTTTTGAGGTTGGAAGCTATCAATGAGTGTATCTAGGTCCAATTTGTCTTATATCTCGCGTGGTGTTTTCTCTTGCTGGGGTAGGTCCATGGGGGGAAAAATTAATCTTTAAACCCATGGTTGCAATTAATATAACTGAATTAAGTGAAAGGAAATAGTGGAATATGGGTATTTTAATAGACAGTGCTACAAGAATAGTCTACGTCGACATAGTATTATATATAGTCACTAGTCGAGGAAGAAGAACATTGGTCATAGCGAGATATAACAGAAGCAACACCAAATAAATAAATACAATAATTTCCCCATAAAAGAATGTGATAGATACCAACTATAAAGGTTAAAACAAAGTAGGAAGCTTATTCCGACCCCGGTCAATGGTCCGAGTCTAGATGTGATACTAGGTGTAAGTGCGATTATGGAAGCCTTGGAAACTGGTTCCCCATTACCCCATCTTAGTATAGTGGTAAGTCAAATGATAAACTGATCTAGAAGGTCATCGATAGAGTATATATCGTGATAGAATACAGAGATTTCGTGGTGTTCAGGGAATACTTGATTCATAACCCTATTTTTAGACTGTAGGTGATTATAAATTCTAGAGAAGCTAATTTCTCAACAAGCGGGTCCTATGGACTAGTGGTAATGTCGTTCGGTTTTGATCCGAAAGATCCTCAGTTCGATCCTGGGTGGGACCTCATATCTTTTTCTTTTTCAAACTTTTTTTTTCACCTCAACTCAATATTTATCACTTTTCACCTTTCTTCCTTACTGTTGTCTTGAAACCCTTGGTTGGCCACATCCCTTTCATGTGAAGCTACGACCAAATTAACTTCAGTATTAATAACCACCCAACTAGGTAAGGTCAAATATACAATCCTTATTTATTACTTCGCTTCAAGAATGATACATAGGCAACTGTTATTTATACCCAAGGTAGATCCGTAGGTTCTGCAACCAAGATAAGCTGCTGCCATTTCCTACGATCTGTATTATAGCAACCATTACGGGAGTCCCAGAGTCTTTGACCAAGTAGTTGCCAGGCTTTGCTATAACAGCATGAGTTGCTCACCAAGAAAAACCATTCCCAGACTGCATGTTTCATACCACAGACCTGGGCTTGTAAGTAGCTCTCTACATGTGACCTTTGCTGGGGTAGCCTATTCTCATTCTAGCGAGCTTAAGAATATATATATAGAGAGAGAGAGATGGTCAGACAGATGCATTGTCCTACCATCGGCCACGTGGAAACGGCTCGGCCTGGCAACAACGGGCTGCAGTGAGAGTGCCATAGATCTGTCGGACGGTAGATGCACGGTGTGCCAGACTTCTACTGATCCTGAGCTACACGAAGCTTAGGTGCTGTTCAATACGTGTTGAGGGTGGGTACCTCCCAGGAATCCCTGGTAGACCTGATTTGGTCGCATATTCCGTGATGACGGGCTTGGGTAGGATGCTGACATTCAGTACAATGACTCGAAGGTTTGTCTCGGCAGATATTTTTCCATGCATGTCCTCGTGTTTAAGCTTGGCGTGGAATGAGTCTTGGGAAGGAGTCAGGCGCAAATGTCAGAAGTCTATTGAGGATTTCTCCGAGGGACACAGCCAGGTATGTTCAACGGAGCTGCAGTGAGGTCCCGGGGGGAGGGCTAGGAGCGTAGGAATGTAGACACGTTCTCAAGAGACATTCCTCTCAAACCTGCTTCCCCCCCTCTTCCTTGACTCTGCCATAGCTTGGGCTTTGCTTTCAAGGGTCTCTTGCACAGTGGCAATGAGATCTAGACGGGTCGGCTGCGACAGGAATGGTGGATCCTTGATCTGAGCAAGAGACTCGGGCTGGAATGTGAGCGACCCGCTCCCCTATCAAAGACCAACAAGATAGCACAATCCAATGAGAGTGATCTCAAACATTGCCAGTGAGATCGGTGGGTCTCGGGCCATCAACCACGGGTCCATCACGGCTGACCTTAAACCTTGGATGCAAGCCCTATTGGGGGGGAACCCTACCGGGGAATGAATCATCGATTCATAGTTCGGTGGACAGACCCATCCAGAACAAGCGAGAATGTGGGTTAGAAACAAAAATAATGTAATTGTGTTCGATGCGAGTTCCGAGGAACCCTTGATCAAAGCATTGTGAATGGGCTGTACACACCCGAACAGAGCATACGGCCGTGGGACAAGGTGTGTCACGATGACGGGCGCGACACGCCGGTTCTGCCGTCACAGATTAAGTATTGGTCCCTGCGTCTTCCCTGGTGGCACCGTCATCCTCGGTAGGGCCGGTCGGGGGGAGTGGACTGTGTGACGGCGAGGAGGGGGGGAGGGTGGGACGGATGGTGCCGTCACATCACTGAAGAAGGGCGATAAGGTGGAGAGTGGGTTGTTGAGAGGAGGTAAATGAGAGGCAGCTAGATATATGTTGAGGTCTGTCAGAAATCTTCTCTATATGTCGAGGTAGAGGAGAGTGTGGTTTTAGTAGTATATGTCCGAGTATCAACCACAGAAGCCAATAGTTAACTCCTTCAACGGTTCTGCAAGTCACCCCCTGATTGACACAGGGTAAATCGCGGGAAGCTTAATTCCTGACCCGAAGCTCTTGTGGACAGATTCTGGACCGGAATGCCCTGAGCACTCAATCCTGCCGAGATGATGGTTCTAGGTGGGTGACACAATGACGCGCCAGAAACCCGTTGAGACACTTTCTGGCATTATGAAAAGGGGGGAATTGGAGCCGAGCAAACAGGTCTGGGGAGGAGACTTGCTTCCCGGACAGTGTTGTTTGTAGGAGTGCTGGAGGGTACTTGCTTTAGTCACGCCCTGCTACCCGCCTCGACACGTCTACACGTCTACACCTCCCAACCTCACCTCCCATACTCCTAACCATCCCCAAGGATACATCTCTATATTTTGGTACCTAGAGGAGATCCAGGCCCTTACAGAAACCAGGAGATGGATCAAGCAGTTTTGCAATGTCTCATGGACCAAGGCCAAGGCGATTGTCCCGATTTTTTTTTTCTCAATGCGGCTTGTGGTACCTCTTCTCCCCCCGTGAAACCGGGATCGACTGGTCTCTTTGTCAATCTTCGATAAGCTACGATCCAGACCAGAGCTCTGAGAGAGAAAAAAAAATTGGGTCCGGGTCCCTTATCTCGTGGGATACCCACCAGGTCTCAACTGTTGACGTCTCCCACTCCAAGGTGGGCCCGGTGATTTATTTTTATTCTGATGACCAACCCATACTCTCGGAAATGCCCCCTCCCAAGATGACTGTCTCTGGTCCTGCTTTATGTTGGTCCGTGTGCCCCTGCTCAACGGCCTGCGCTTGCAAGCCTGTCTCTAGCCGGGTTTCGTAAAGCGGCAAATCTGCCCTGGACATCTTTTATATCGACACCTCGTCTCTCCCCGGCTGTCCGACCTTCCCCCAATTTCACCCATGTTATTTTCCAAGTTATCACTGGCGTCCTGGGACTATGTGCCCGTGACATATTTCTCATTCCTGGCAGCGGGCCTCTGATCTCTTCCCTCTTCTGTCCAAGCTCCAATCCGGCTGGGTGTAGGACCGTGTCCTGTCTGTCAAGCTATCCTGATTTTGATTTTTTCTTCTTGGTTGATAACGCAGTGATTCTGATTGCTGGTTGGCTGTATGTGAAGCTCATGTGGCTCCTTCGGGGAGAAAAGCTCTCCCCTTGATGTTATCTCACATAGCTGACCGGTTGCTAAGGGGCAGCTTACCACACGAACGACACCGTGTCGACGGTCTTCACTGGTTGAAGGCTCTTGGACCCAGATTTGTGAGCTGCTCAGCAGCTTGACTAGTAGAATATAGTTCTCTCCAACAGCGATGGCGGGAGGCTATTTTGACCTCCCCGTCGCCTCCCGTCGCCCCAGCAGCTTGGATCACACGAGGGTATCAAGCACACTGTCGCCTGGGTCCTCTATATCGCCCTGCACACAGCCTGGTGAGATCTCATCAGGCTCGCAGGCGTCCCAGGAGCGGAGTTTGAGTGACGTGGGCGCTCAGGACAAGCGTCGGAATGCGGGCATTCTGAAAAGCTCCAATCGCGTCAAGTTCACTGTAGGTCCTTCTGATCAGAGGGACTCCAATGACGGAAGCACACCCGAATCCCGGTTGGACCACAGGGGCACGGTGCTGCCCCAAAGACCGTTACCCACTGCCAGCATTCCATCTGTTCAGCAAAAGGCCCCCGCAAATCCCCAGCGCGAGACCCTAGTGGAGGACGGGAGCTGGGGCGCGTCAATCGATGTCACCGGCCTGACGATCCACACCCGGACCAGCTTGCCGGGGACTGTAGGGGACGATGAGATCCGGTTAGGTGCTAATGACAAGGGGCGGGCCATCTACTGTGCCCAGGAAAGGGCCCAGCGGCTTGCATCCCTTCTCAGTTGCGCCCAAAAAACTCCGAAGCCAAGTCCTCGGGCGAGCCTGGTGTCATCACTCGCGTCCACTCCCACTGAGGTGGTGTTTCCGGCCGAGGATGGCGATGAGATTCCTATGATCAGTGTCCCCGAGAAACAACAACTTTTTGACGACTTGACCGATGAGGAGGAAGGGGGTTCTATAGACGAGCGATCTACATCACGCTCCTCCGAAGGCCATTACATTGTGCAACAAATGTCACGTCGAGACATTCATTTTCTGTCCCGCGTTCGTGCTCCCTCTCCCAGCGTGCTCTCCGGCCAAACTACCCCCACCGAAGACCGGGACTCCGAGACCTATGTCGAGCGGCCGACGCATTACCGCGGAGGGATCCTGTCTGCTCTGCTTAAGCTCTACGACCAGCAGGCTGGTGGTCATCATCACCACCACGGCCGGGGCCGGTATGGTAATTCCCGACAGCCGAGCTCCTCTGAGTTCAGTGGACGTGGCCTGTCCCCCGATTCTGTCTGGAAACCACATCGGCCCAGGAAGTGGTACGAGAAGACCCCTAGCCAATCCAGCTCGTCTTTGGTAGGCTCCACCACTTCCCCCATTACTATGCTCAAGCGGTCCCGGAGTAGCGGTGCCATCGGAGGCATGGCCCGCCGCTGGGCAAAGCCTCAGCTCGAGGACGAGATCCGCATCACCGTGCATATTGCCGAACTCCTATCCCGCCAACGGTATCTGATTCGGCTCTGTCGCGCTTTGATGAAGTACGGCGCTCCGACTCACCGGCTGGAGGAATACATGCGCATGACCGCGCGTGTTCTGGAGATTGATGGCCAGTTTTTGTATATTCCCGGTTGCATGATTATCTCCTTCGACGACGCCTCTACGCATACGACCGAAGTAAAAGTCGTCCGCTCCAACCAAGGCATCGACTTGGGAAAGCTCGCCGATGTCCACGAAATCTACAAGGAGGTGATCCACGATGTGATCGGGGTCGAGGAGGCTATTCAGCGCCTGGACGAAACCATGAAGAAGAGGAGCAAGTTCCATATCCTCTTCTTGATTTTCGCCCACGGCTGTGCTAGCGCATCGGTGGGTCCCTTTGCCTTTAATGCCCGGCCTATCGACATGCCTGTCGCCTTTCTGCTAGGATGTCTGCTCGGCGTGTTACAGCTCATCCTATCGCCCAAGTCGAGCTTATATTCGAATGTATTTGAGATCTCAGCCGCCGTGCTCACATCTTTCCTGGCTCGCGCCTTTGGGAGCATCCGATATCATGGCCAGCCACTCTTCTGCTTTTCTGCCTTGGCTCAAGCCGCCATCGCACTGATATTGCCCGGGTACACCGTACTATGCGCCAGCCTGGAACTCCAATCGCGTAGCATTGTCGCGGGCTCCGTGCGCATGGTCTACGCCATTATATACTCTCTCTTTTTAGGGTTTGGCATCACCATTGGCACTGCCGTGTACGGCCTAGTCGACTCGCAAGCATCTACCGCATACACATGCCCGGCCAGCCCTATCAACAACGAATATCTCCAACGATTTCCTTTTGTGCTGCTATTCACCGCTTGTCTGGCTATCGTCAATCGCGCCAAGTGGAAACAGATCCCCATAATGATGGTAATCTCTTTGGCCGGCTATGTCGTCAGCTACTTCAGTTCCAAGCGCTTCTACTCCAACACCCAAGTGTCCAATGCCCTCGGCGCTTTTGTTATTGGTGTCATGGGCAATTTCTACAGCCGCCTGCGTCACGGCCTCGCTGCCGCAGCTATGCTCCCCGCAATCTTTGTCCTCGTGCCTTCTGGGTTGGCCGCCAGCGGATCCTTGATTTCCGGGATTACCTCTGCAGAGGAAATGACCCGCTCCCCATATGGCGTTGTGAACAACGGAACCCAAGGGTTTGTCGACGCTGCCAAGAACCTCTCCGCCGTCGAGGCGCGCAACCAAAGCTATGGGGTCGTCTTCGATATCGGGTACGGCATGGTGCAGGTTGCTATCGGCACCACTGTCGGTCTCTTTCTAGCCGCGTTGGTTGCCTACCCGCTGGGAAAGAAGCGCAGTGGGCTGTTCAGTTTCTAATACCTTCATTCCCACCTTTACGGACCCTCTCCCCTTCTCATTCTTTTCTTCTCTGTGTTCTTGCTTCCTTTCGTGTTCCTTAAGCGACTCTCTTGACCCGCGAATTTTCTGGAGTGTGTTCGTATCTGGGACCCCACCCCGGATTCAAATCTTTGCATAATCGATGGGCGTTTTGTGCTGCTGTGCTGTTCTCTTTTGTGTTGCTTGACTGGTAGTTGGGGACGGTGCGGTTGTTTGCTGGAAGTTTTTACCATGGGGTGGTTGAAGTGTTCTGATACCTCTGATGCTTGCATCGATCGAGAATAGGTGTCCTATTTATTCGATATCCCTGTATCCTGTGTCTCTGCTGCTTTGCTTTGCTTGAGCTTGTCTGTTTTTTTTCCCATACACCCGATCAACCCTGTATTGACTCACCACCCTCGGACCTTTGTGTGTCTGGACATACATAGAAGCTATGATTCTTACGAGTCACGACCAAAATCATCGAGCCACCCCCCTTTTGCGAGTGCTTTTGTTTTGGGTCTTTTTCTCTCTCTCTCTCTCTCTCTCTCTCTCTCTCCTGTCTCTTATGTACCTTTCTCTCTTTTGAGTTACCTATTTCCTTGCTTCCATGTTCTATTATGTGCTTGTTTCTGTACTCTGATTTATTTCATCATCTTTTTTTGTATGTTTGTGTCAGCGATATCCTGGAAGTATCAAGGGGGAATAAAACCCAGATCTTGTCATTTACTTAATTTTTTCTCTATATCTTGTGTGTTTTGTACTATATGTATGCCTTATCCCTTATACTTTCCCCCTCTGGTGTATACACTCCGCCCTCTACTGTGAGATACCTAGTCTATATCAGCTTGTTTTGATTCTGCTTGATTTGGTGGATGTCTTGATTTTATTGCCTATTTACAAAAAAAAGTTGGAATGGGAATATTGTACCTGGATTATTATTTGCATGCTGTTCGGATGATGCACGGCTTATAGCATAGCATGATGATGGCGCCAAGGTTGACCTTGCATCCAAGTCGAGTTGATTTAGCCCTAACTCGATAAACATCTAGCCGATCCCCAATCCTACTAAACAGGATCCCTTTCCCTAGAATTGTTTTTTCTCCTTCAAATTGAACTTGAATACCATCAGAAATACAACCATGATCAAGGGCATGGATTGAGGTACTATTTTGGCTACCTAATTTGCCATCCTATTCTCTACCCAGTCAACGCAGACATCACATAAGAACCACCCCCAAACTCCATGCTTGCGGAACGATTCAATGCATCCCATCCCAGCCCAAGAAGTGCGCCAGTCCCGGTCCCCGGACTCAAGAAAACGGGTTCATCAAGATCATCAATCAGTTAAGTTGTGTGAACCTCGCCGTATGTGAATCCTAGCGAAACAGAAGAGAACAAACCCAAAGCGAACGAACGGCCCGCTTGAAAACAATATGGAAAGGAAAAGGAGATAAAAAAAAATAAGTGAGATTTCGCTGCAAGCGTCCTTAGTTGAGGAACACTCATCGTCGCTCGACTCGACTCAGCGCGCCCAGGATCAGACCCAGATCCTGGCGGGGCGGGGCGGTGGTTGGATGGCGTGGCCTTTTCTCGCTGTCGCTGCCTTCAATTGCGAGTCGCCGCTGGGTGTTGTGTGCGTCGCGCTCTTCTAGGCGCCGTGCACAGACGTGCAGTATTCGCGAGGACACGGTATCGGATGTGGCGCGATATAATTCGATGTCGTGCATGCCGGCTGCAAAGGTATCAAGCGTGGGTGCGAGGCCGGTGGTGATCCGGGATAGTCGTGATGAAACGGCTGAGGGGGTTAAAGGTGGTTGAGGAGCGGGAGAGGTAGATGAATCTCCTTCCGGAGACTGAGTGGAGGGATCCAGCAGTGCCAATATGGCGTGCTGGGAGGCGTCGAGGAGGGAGGGATCGATGGGGTCGCGCTTTGATTTCGAGGCAGGTCGTTGCGTCTTGGGCAGGTCGGATTGTGCATCGGGTGCTGCATCGATGCGTGGGATCGTTGGCTGTCGGATCAGTGCATTTAGAGCATGCCTTTCTCGTTGAAGTCTGTTCAGCCAGGTTAGTCCATTTGCTTTCTCCCTCAATGATTATACTTTCTCATACTTTTGTATTTGCTGTTCCAACTCCTTGATCTTATCGGTGTTCTGCACGTTCCGCGGATTCGGCTTCTTGACGACTACTGCAGGAGGGTTCACGTCTTCGCGATCAAACCAGTTGGAGAGCTCCGAGTTGGACGAGAATTCTTTTAACAGCTCTTCTTGAATCACACGCGCTGTTCAATTCCAAGTCAGTATTTTCGAACCCTTTGTGAGTCGCCTGAAAACCGCATACCTGCTAATCGGGCACTTTGGTCCTCCGAGTGAGACCCTGACGGCTTGTCTCCCATCGCGCGTGTCGCACACCAGATCAGCAGTTGTCGCATCCTCCGTGGCTCAGAGAGCCCATCATCGGCGATGTGCTTATAGAAGTCAGCAGTGCCGACCTCTCTATGGGGTAAAGCTGTCAGAGCAACCGTCAAAAATTAGCACGTTCATTATTCATCTCGGCCGCTGCGGAAAACCTACCGTTGGATGTCCCCGAGTCAATCAAGGAGCTGGCTCTTCGCCCCCGCATCCCCAAACTACTTCGCCGTCGCCCCTTTTCTGGTTTATTCCCTCCCCTCAATTCCTTGTTCCGTTGAATGACCGGAGTATCAGCCGCGGGCAGCGCTACTTTGGTGCCTGCTGTTGGTTGCTCCGGGGACTTGAATCCGTTCGGTTCTGGTTCATAAACCTTGGGCCTTCCTGGCCGACCCTTCTTCCGCTTCTTCTCTTCGGGTGGCACCTCTGGGGGATCGCGATTCCTTAATGAGCGAGAGGCATTTGCTGACTGAGGTTCTGTTTCGGTGGATGCGGTCTTTGCGGCCCCCCTCGTCGGTCTCCTATTCACAGGCTCGGCGGCTGCCTCTTTTGCTGGCGCTACGTTCACACCAGCATCTTCGCCTGCTCGTTTCTTCGGAGGCCGTCCTCTCCGTGGTGACGGTTTTGGACGCGCGTTCTCTGCATCTGAAGGGGGAGTTCGGGAACTGGTTCGACTGATGGCTTGGACTTCTTGGACGGCATTCGAGAGAATTGAAACCCTTCCTCGTCTTCCTCGTAGTCTACGAAAGTGTTAAAAGAAAAATTTCACCACTGGCCGTGGAAACAGAATCGTTCAGAGTCGCACTCACCAGCTTTTCGTTTCGCATCCTTGCCCGTGTCCTCTTCGAGTCCCTGCTGAGTCGCACTCAGACGTGTCGTCCTCCGTTCCCCTCGACTTCGGCCCGACGCAGAGGACGCAGGACGCGATTGCGCCTGAGAAGCCGCCATCCCAATCGTCCCCAGCGGTTCACGACGCTTCGTCTTAGTCGTGGTGGCCGCCAGGACCGCGATGGTCATGTCAAGAGAGATCACGTCGGGTTCGTTTGGTCGTCAGGGAGAGAGGAGTGGGGTGAAAGAGATCACCCCGGTGTCGTGCGCACACGTCGCTGCGAGAGGTCGAGAATTCCAGCCTTAATACTCCTGGTGGGACCAGTACTTTCCCTCACAGTGAGCGAACGCGACGTACGGCCACAAATGACCGCCAGGCTGAGGTCGATTTCTTGCTGCTTCAAGACAATTTCGATGCGATGTGCCCGAGTCGACTAGGAGATCTTGGTGACCCGTGTGTTTGGCGTGTGGCACAGGTGGGCACGGGAGGCAGAAGGCGGAATGTTGGGCGCGGGTCGCGTTTCGCGCCGATCGCAATTGGCAGACAAGCGTCAAAAAAAGGTCGATGGCAACGGGTTGAATGGGGTCTGGGAGGCGCAAGGGAAGGCAGAGGTGGGTTGGATTCTCGCACGCGGTTGTTTTGGTCCGGCGCGTGGGGACTGCGCTAGTCCGTTTTGGGTTGCTGACTAGGAGGTACTCGGTACGTGGGCGGGCGGTACGCCGACGCGGGCACAGCGGAGGGGTGATACTCGTGCTATCGGTAGACGATACTTGAGATTGGATCTTTATAGTGCGCTTTAAAACAATGCATTTGTAGATGGCTTCACCTCTGCTTCTGCTCCTCTCCCCATGATATGACTTAACAATGCTATGATTTTAATCCAGACCCTTAACGCCCATGTTGAAAATCCAAGATGTTCAAACGCAAGAGAACAGGAGTTGAGCCCGCTCCCAAAGTACAGATCACTGCACGGCCGCGAGCGTGGACGCATCACTAGGCGGGGCAAAGCTACCCTCGATGCGCCGCTTGGCTTCCTGCATCTCTTCGGTTGTGACATGCTCCGCCTTCTTCGGCATGTCGGGCTCAAACTGAGGGATGTCGGGGCTGTGGCCAACGGACATGCCCACTCGGATCTGAAGAAAAGAGAGCCGCGTATAAGTATCTCACCTGAAGCGTGCAGCTAGGGTGATTAAAGAAGACACTTACCAATGTCTCCAGAGGACCCTTGGAGTTGTCTGAAAGGTCCTTGTCGAAGTTCACCATCCCCTCCTCAAACAAGATCAAGAGCGTGCTGCCGCCAAATTTGAAGTAGCCCAGCTCTTCTGCTCGGGCAACCTTGTCACCTGGGCGGCGGGTAATAACGGTACTACCGACCATCATGGCTCCAACGCAGACAACCATAACTCGACCGTGCGCGACAGAATCGATGGGGACCAAAACCCGCACGTTCTCGCCGTACACATCCAGCGCAGAGCGGACGGCCATGGGATTCACCGTATAATACTCGCCCTCAATGGTTTTGGGTTCCCCCATAATCCCATCGACGGGGATGTGAAAGCGGTGGTAATCCTGGGGCGCCAGGCGGAACACGCCCATCGCACCGTTTCGGTAGCGCGGAGCATCCTGTGGATAGGCATTTCCCAGTAGTCTTTCAACTGAGAACTCTCGGCCCTTCACCCAGACACTGGTTGCCTCGTTGAGCCGATCAAAAACCACCGAACGGCAGTCCGCAGGCGACACTATGACCTTCGGCTCCTCGGGAGCCGAGCACGGACGGGCCCCGGGCTTCAATGCGCGGTAAAAGAATTCATTGAAGCTGCGGAACTTTTCAACAGGCAACAAAACTTCGGACATGTCCAACTGATGGAAGTTGATGAAGTCATTGATTTGGGTAGCGGAAGCGGGATCGTCATACTTTCGACCTTGCTTGATGCTCAGGGAACGCAGAACACGGCGAACTGGGAATTTTTTTGTTAGAAAATAGTGCCCTCGACTCCAACATGAATTTCCCGGGGGGCATACTTCTCTTTTTCTCCATGTCACGGCTCTTGAGACCCTTATAAAGCAATCGGATCCCAAGGCGAACATAGACGCTCATGCGCTCCTCGTTAATCTGACCAGTGATTCGGTCCTGCACCAAGATATTGGCCGAGTTTGCACCAAGGCGGTAGCCACCGTAGGAGATTTTGGTGATGACTTTGGAGTACCACTTGCGCTGTGCCTGGCTGGAGGTCACGAAACCACCCATTACGAGATTGTCGACCTGCCGCCAGTCACGACTCGCGCAGGTAGCAATGTGTGTGATGATATCCGCATCAGAGCGTTTTGCAAGACGAGGCTGGTGGCAAAGTGGACATTCGCGGATTTCCACGACGTGCTCTTCGCCCCTCTCATCCCCGAGGTCATCGGGGTGATCTTCATCGGTTGAAGAAGGCTGCTCGTCGCTGGTAAAGGTTGGAATGGCCGTCTTCTCGGGGTCAGCATTCGTCGGTGCGGTAGTGCTGGTTTCCAAGACGAGCTCATCGCTGCTTGAGGGCTCCTCGCTGTCTTGACTCCCTGTTGACGGCGGGACAGGCACAGGGAGTGGAATAGCGGGCGCTGAGTTTCGCTTCTGCAGTGCCTGAAGAGTGTCCTCGAGACAAATCACGGCCTGATCAAAGGTCAAGTCGACTGTCTCACTCGGCTCATTCTCTGCGCTAAACCGTTGGAAAAAGCTATCAATCGTCGATTCCTTCAGCGTTGAGCCCAAAGTATCAAGCATCGTCGTCATTTCAATTTTGTCAATTCGGCCGCTGTCGTCGGCGTCGTATTGCTTCAACATCAGTCTCCAGAACTGCTGCCTTAGCGCGCTATACGGCAGATATTTGGCCTTGACATGTAGCTCGGGCGAGTGTTTGTCCTCCCATCGTTCCCGGTTCTTGAGAATGAGAGGGATGGTATAGGCCCGGAAACCATCCTCATCTACTGGGGGGACCATCTCGGTATCATCCGCAATCGTGGAGGGGACTTGTAATGTGCTGCTGCTATCTAGCTCGTTTCCGCGCTCCTCTGGAACACTCGTAGGCGGAACTAAAGTTGGCGTGTCATGAATGGAATGGGTGGAGAGAGAACGTGCTGAGCTGCGCGGCTTCAGTGTCGGCCGTGACATTCTCGAGAGGCTCTGTGACGAGGGTGACGGACTGACCCCCTGTCGAGGGCTGGGTCTGGGATTGGTAGAACTGGGGTCCTCTGATTCAGAAGAATCCGCGAAGCGGTAAAGACCCGACTCCGATTCCGCCTCTGGGGCAGACTGGATGAGAGTCTGAAGAGGAAATCCAGCGGAGGCAACAAAGTCATTGCCCGAGAACTTGTCTCGATCCATCACAGTAAAGCCGATGGTGTAAGACTTTTCATGTCGCATCACTTGGAACACCATCTTTTCATAGTATAATGGGTTCAAGTTGTGGCGCACGACAGGCGTTCTCAACGTTTTCCTCCCAAGAGAGGTTACCACAAAGGGATCCATGTCGAACGAGGTGCGCGTCACTGGGGTTAAAAGTCAATCACCTAGCACTCCATATGAAGACGAGAAACAAATCGTTCCATACCATTCCGTTCGGGAGGGAGATCAGTCACCCGGACAATTTCCATAAACACGATACCCTGCACCCCGGTCCCGGTGCCCGAGAATTGATATGCTCGGGCCGCCAGAGATTTGCGTCTTAGACGAGCCAGTCGCAATCGTCGCCGGCGCTTTTCTACTATCTCTGGCTTTGTCAAATCATCGGCTTCGTCGGACGTCTCTTCGTCCGGGTCAAGGTCGTCGAGATCAGCGGACGGAAGCTGCTCATCCCCTTCGCCCGCGCATACTAAGCTTTTGAATCTCCTGTATGTGTCGGCAGGCGAGGCGCTGGGGTTTGCAGAGTCAATGACTGAGAACTGCAGCAAGATTTCGCCTGAGACAGTGCTGTCCTTTTTCTTCGCTGGTTTCCGCTTCGACTTTAGTGTATACCATTGCGGCTGCGGATTCAGTCAGCTTTTTTCACCCTTTCAATCCCAATTCAACTCCACTCCGGATAACATTTATTTCTGCACCCACCTGTTGGTTCACAGCCCCTTCCGAGAAGATTTCCTCGAGCGCAATATCGAACTCGCCCATGTAGTCCTTACCAAACCGGTCATGATCCCAGCAAATGCACTCCAACAATGGAACCCCCACCACCGGCATTTCACAAGAGACATTCCATTCGGGGTTCAAGGTTTTGAATATCGTTGGTGTCGACTGCCTCGCATCTCCCAGCGTAATCACCAAGTACTGTACGGCGTGTGAGCGAACCAGGTATTGTATTGTGCGCGGGGTCTCTGTCGAAAGCTGCTTACTGGGTCACTGGTTCCACCTCGGTCTTTGGGGGCAAGATTTCGTCCCTATAATGTAGACAAATGTCTGAGTTAGCGAGGAGCTCTGGTAAATGTAGATCACACGATCTCTTGCCTTTTCCACTTACCCGGATGACAGTCACTTTTAACAGTAGGGGCTTAAGGTCGGGGGAGCGCATCGGACTCGTGCTTCTGCTTTGCCCCGGAGTTGATGTCGCGCTCCTTGCAGACAGATGCGAGCTGAGCCGCTGCGGGAGTGGCAGCCGGACCATGGCGGATATGCAAGTATAGGTATATTGGGACCAAAAGAAGCAGTCGGAGAGAGGTGAGGCGAAGAGTGGGTCAGGGAGGAGAAAAAAAATCAAGCGTGGCACCGAGTCCTTGAAGTCAAAACAACACGAGCGTGTTGGTTCAAGGACCCCAGGCTGATCAGCGATCAGCTCGGGTCGATCACAGGATGTAGCCAAGAAATTCGACCCAGACAAGGCGGAGGTACTAGGGAAGCATGGAAAGACGCCAATGCCAGCAATTGAGACTCAAAGGACAGGTGTTGCCCGAGAGGCGGGGTGTGGGAGAGAAACAAGAAATAAGGTCCTTGAGCGGGGAGTATCGTGGGGCTCCGAGGCAGAGACACTGTACACAATCCACACAATTAATAACATCATAACACCGAGACCAAAGGGCTCCACTTGACAATATCTCCCCACCGCAATTTATACGCCAAGATGGATGCCTACAAGAGTATCTTGGATGGCAATCTTACAATGCTTTTTTTTTTTTTCTTGAGGAATGCCCATGGATTATGCATTGGGCCAAGCTCCACAAGGCTTTGTCACTCGGAGTGAAATTGCAAGTATACGCCGTACGAGTCATGTGTGACAGATTGCTAATGCTGAAACTTGCCCCGATTCCCTTTAATCTTCCCGTCGATCAGCTCGGCCCCAAACCTCGTCAGCATTAGCCTTGCCTTTGGTCTCCGGCACCCACCGGTAGATGAATCCTCCCAGCAGGGCCGCCATGACCGCAAAGACCCAGTAGACCTTCCCACGGCCACCCAAGGCATCATTGAGCACCGGGAAAAACTGGGCAATGATGAAAGTCGCGATCCAGTTCGCCGCCAGCGCCCAGCTTTGAGCCGCACCGACCGCTTCGGGTCCGACGAGCTCCGAGGCCAGGATGAAGGGAACGGGACCCAACCCCACCGCGAAGCATGCCACAAAGAGCAAGGCGGCGATCGCAGACAGGGCTTTCTGGTCTGTGGAGATGCCCAGTGCCAGCAAGATGGAGCTGCACCCCATGCCGCTAATACTGAGCAACAGACAGGTTTTGCGGCCAATTCGATCCGGCAAGGGGGAGCACACCAGCGTCATGACCAGGTTGAGCGCCGAGATCATTACGGTGAGCAACGTCGCTGTCGTGGGCAGGATGCTCTGCAGCAGGGAGACACTGTACATCACAATACTGTTGACCCCGGTAAATTGCTGGGCAACCATTACCCCAACCACGGCGACGATGGCAGGCCGGTAATAAGGATCCCGGGCAGCTTGAATGATTGTGACGGGGGCTGGTTTGTGGGATGGCCTTCCGATGGCACAGCGAGCAAAGATTCCTCCTCGCCAGATGTAGGGGCTCCGGATGCCCGCCAGCCCTCGATCTCAGCGTCCAGGTCAGCATCCCGGCCGCGGATACGCTGCAGAACCTGGCGCGCCTCGTTGACCTTGTGATTCTCGGCGAGCCATGTAGGACTTTCTGGCACGAGAAACAACCCCAGGAGCTCCAATGCCCCGATGAGACCAGCTACCGCCAGGATCAATCTCCAGAGGCTTCTGTGGCTCCAGAAATACCCCAGTGTCTGAGTTAGTAGAATACCGACATTTGTCATGACCTGCGTAAAAGCGCCGAAGAGGCCCCGGGCAGCAGGAGGCGCAATCTCGGAGATATAGATGGGGCCAACTACAATGGCCGCGCCGGACCCAATTCCGGAGAAAAACCGGCCCAAAATCAGGAGCGGAATTGCCGGTGCCACTGTTTCCGCGACGGGACCTAGGACAAAGAATATAGTGGTGGCGCGTAGTGCGATTAGCCGCCCATATCTAGTGGAGACGGGCCCTGCCAGCAGGGCTCCAAGCAGACCACCCAGAGTGTATACCGATGACACCAGGCCGAATTGGGATGGGGTCATGGGGAGACATTGCGGGAGACTGTCCGATGTGATGCCTGCCGAATTGATACTTTTCTTTTCGCACGTTATCACCGCTTGGGGAGCATTGAGTTCAGCCTGAGTTGGATGGGGTCAGCCGAGACAGGGGAAAAGACATCATGCCACAGGAAGTCATAAGAGGCCGTACTAGGTGGTAACCGAACTGGAGTGGACCCAAGGTAGTGATAAACACGAGGTAGATCAGATACGGAGTGACCCTCCCTGACTTGTTCAAGGCCATGTTGACATGCGAGAGAGTGGCAGGAGAGGAAGCGAGCTCGGCTCAAAATGACGTTTACCGGTCGCAGCTGAGCTAAGATAGGAGTCTCGGGGGTACCTGAGGCCACCACTGCGCGATTCAATCTCCGAATGAGTGGAAAGAAAGATGACATAGAAATACTCTGATTTTGATCAAAGGGCTATTGGGGCTATACTTTACACATTCAGGTTTTACTTGCTCTTGTTTACTAGAAATTTACCTAGTTCGAGTGCTGTACCTAGGTAGATAAATATCTGCTGACTAACCACTCTCCGTTGGCACAGCTCGAAACCTTGAGCCTTGAGCGATCTTGAGAGTTCGGTGTCTGAACGGCGACTGGTGAATATTTCTCTCTCTCCCCCAAATCCCACCTCCCTCAGCCGACACTCCTTTGATTGTTCTCAGGCTCCATTCGTGGAGAACACTTTCCCCACGCCAATGGATCCGATTGAGTGATCCCCCCTCCCCGATCCACAAATGAGTCTGACCAACCCGCCCTCCTCCGGCTCGATCTCTGCCCGAAGGCCCGGTCAGACCTTGAAGCGCAATTTGCAAGCTTCTGTCGATGGTAATTCCTTATATTTTCCTGGATCTGCGTGTTTGAATCATGCCCTGTGCCTGATCCTTTTTTGTTGGCTGTGTGTTTCGTGTCTGTTTTGAACGTTTGAACATCTGATGTTGCCTATCGTCTGTTTCCATGATGTTTGGAAAAGGCTTCCCCTTCTTGAATTCTGTCGGAGGATTCTATTCTCGTGGTAATTTTTGGCCCCTTTGTGTTTGTGGCTTTTCTGGTTGGTTGTGGTGTGTGTCCGGGGGTCCACGGGCCTGCATGCTGCATCGTGGATGGGGTCGCAAGGCTATCTTTTGATTTGTCTCCCTTGTCAACCGGCACTTCGACATGACCTGTTCAACAAGAAGCTGACAGAATCTCTGTGTAGAGGCCCTCGATTCGAGAAGACCCGCTGGGTACACCAGTAAAGTCCGGGTCCGAGATCGGTATCACATCGTAGGGTTCATCAGCAGTGGAACCTACGGTCGTGTGTACAAGGCCATCGGCAAAAATGGCCAGAAAGGAGAGTTTGCGATCAAAAAGTATGGCCGCTCTCTATTGACACTACTCAGAACCTTCGTTGAGACTAACCTCGTGCAGATTCAAGCCGGACAAGGAAGGCGAGTCGATCCAGTATACGGGTCTATCGCAATCGGCCATCCGGGAAATGTCGCTTTGCACAGAGCTGTCGCATGCCAACGTCATCCAGCTAGAGGAAATCATTCTCGAGGACAAATGCATCTTCATGGTGTTTGAATACACCGAGCATGACTTACTGCAAATCATTCACCATCATACGCAACCCCAGAGACACGTTATCCCAGCGATTATGGTTCGGTCAATCCTATTTCAACTGCTGAACGGGTTGCTGTACCTGCACACCAATTGGGTCCTGCATCGAGATCTGAAACCGGCCAATATCCTCGTCACTTCGGGCGGTGCCATTCGCATCGGCGATTTGGGGCTTGCGCGTCTGTTCTATAAACCACTCAACTCTCTCTTTTCCGGCGACAAGGTTGTCGTTACAATCTGGTACCGAGCACCTGAGCTCCTTCTAGGAAGCCGGCACTACACGCCCGCTGTCGATATGTGGGCCGTTGGGTGTATCTTCGCCGAACTTCTCTCTCTACGGCCCATCTTCAAGGGTGAGGAAGCCAAGATGGATAGCAAGAAGACTGTCCCTTTTCAACGCAACCAGATGATGAAGATCGTCGAGATCCTCGGTCTACCACGGAAGGAAACCTGGCCGGGTCTTGTTTCCATGCCCGAGTACTCGCAGCTTCAGTCTCTAGTCCTTCACCGCCAACCTGCACATTTTCATCGCGGCTCCAATCTCGAGGGCTGGTACCAGAGCTGCCTCAAGAACGGTGGCTACTCTGCTACCTCGAGTGCCGGAACCCCTGGCACCGACGGGTTTGATCTATTGTCGCGCATGCTTGAATATGACCCCACCAAGCGGATCACGGCTCAGGAGGCTCTGGAACATCCGTACTTTACCAACGGGGGTCCTATCAGCCCTAACTGCTTTGATGGAGTCGAGGGTAAATATCCGCACCGCCGTGTCACCCAAGATGACAACGATATCCGCACCGGCAGTCTCCCTGGTACTAAGCGGAGTGGGTTGCCGGATGATTCGCTGATGAGAGCGTCAAAACGGCTCAAGGAGTAAATTCTCTGCGCTTTGCGGTCCACGATTGCACCGTGTGTAATCGATGGGCCGTATTTAACATTCCTACATTGTTGCATTGCATCGGAGTCATCGGGTTTCTTGGGGTTCTTTATGTCATCTACAGACAGCATCTGTTTTATACATTCAAGTCCATTTGGACCAATGAGACTAAAATATACCAACATTGTGGCTCGGATTATCTTGTATTTGATCCTACCCACGAAGAGAAACTGAAACTGGCAAATCAACATAGATGATTTCTGTATTTTAGCATATCCAGCTCATCTTCGTATGTCTCAAAGCCAGCACGTCAAGGGAACAACGGAACAGCTCGAGGAAATGAAAGACCTTGGCAACCCGAAGCGGTTTGATAGTTCTAGGAGGTACTTGCTTCCTCTTGTCAACCCCAATTTATGTTTCTTACTCTCTTCTTCTAAGTAGAGGGAGCTCGAATCCGAGTTGTTCATGCTATTCCCGTGCCGAAGATGCGCCTATTCCGAAACAAATCCCCACTGCCGCACAGATTGAACCTTCCCACCCAGAGAACATCCTGAAGGATATCCAGCCCCCAAAAAGGAATAAAAACACAAAGCAACGAAGTCAGGTCATCAGTAGCCTATCAAGCGCAGCAGTGAGTAATCGGCCTTTACTACCGAAAAGGAAACCAGGGGAAGCCTACCATTTTGCTCATGTCGGTTGTTCTCGTCAGGATCATCGCGACCACCACCGCTCATAGTCGATGCGTGGCCTGCTGCATCTTTAATTCCTTGATCGTCGCCACGCAGCTTCTCGAAATATTCCTTGATGTCTTCCGCGCGAACAGCCTGTCCGCTCTCGGCGAATGGCTTCAGGAACTCTTTAACCTTGTCGCGAAGGTGGTTGTAAACAAACGCGCCCTCGATGGCACGCACACGATCAATGTTGTTAAAGGCGGCCTCGCCGCGTTCAAGAATACTTCCAGTGCCTGTGCTGGGGGCACCGTTGGCATCGCCATCTTCCGAAAGAGGGGGCTCGTATGTATCTTCCTCCTCGCGCAGCTGTGGGTGATTGGCGAGATGAGGGAAACATTCGGGACATCGACAGAGACGATCATAAAAGTTTTCTTGAACGAAGAGAGAAAACGACTCCACCGGAGCTGACTTAGGGAGAGAGGCGTGTTTCGGGGTAGGCACAGAGGCCGGAGTAGGGCGGATGTCCTTCTCATTTGCGGGTTCTTCATCAATAGTAGAAAGCTGAGACTGCGGCTCTTGGACTGAGAAAGTCTCTTCCTTGGCCCGCTTCGCTTTTGGTCCCTCCTGAGATTCCGACTCATCGTTGGCTTTGCGCTTTTTCGAGTTGTCCGCGATCAAGGTATCTGCGGTCGACTTCTCTTCGGTCGACTTGTTTGCGGTCGACTTGTTTGCGGTCGACTTGTTGGCATCGGAGGCTGAAATCTTCTTCAAACCACCTTCCTTAAACACTGGAGGGAGAAACCCGGGCGTCCCCGCGTACCGCTTCAGCCACGGGTTAGAATCAAGGCACTTAAAGCAGATAAGTTGCCAGAAATCATCCTCTGCAGGGAATCCGGGAGGAAGTGGAGTCTCTTCATCCTCCTCAGCAGCACCACCAGCACCATCCACGGCCGCATCACCACCGCCTAGCGCAACTAAGGTAGTATTATTCTCGGCTGAGGTCCTCTGAAGACCGATCAGACATTCTGGATGCCACCAATCCTCGCCACATCCCCCAGTCTCAACCGTGCCGACCCCAAGGCATTGAAACATTGTACCCTTCTCTATATGTGGATCGTATTGTTCACCACAGCCACAGAAGCGGTTCTGGAAGTTCTGGTTATACTGGTTACCCGGCGCGGCTTCTTGGGAGTGCACGCCTTTAGAGCCAGTCTTGGGATCTTCACGTAGTGTGCAAGGAGCCGACGGGGGCATGCGAGTAGTTCCACAGTCGCATACAAAGTTGCGCTTGTTGAAGAGCTCGACTAGAGTATGCTCGCCGTGACACGTAATCGAGCAAGAATAGCAGACGGCGGCAGAGGGAGTGGAAGTATTTTTATCGGCTTCGGTGCTGGTCGGTGGATTGCAAGTAAGACAGGCAAAGAGATTCTGTCGCAATGGTCCGAGGGCGTATGTACACGAATCGAAGGACTAGCAGAGTTCGACTATTATTAGCAGTGCAATCATTGGGATTGATCGATAGTCAGATGGACTCACATAAGGCAGAGCTTCCCGCGCATCAGCCTCCATCTGCATCTGCGAGTCGATATATCTACAGATAGTCAGTATTAGATCGTGCTAGCATAGAATAGACGTTCATACTCTTTGGCGGTTTGGGAGTTTTGCGAACCCAAGCTCCCGCGACGGCCCTTACCGTCTGCCTTCGGCTGAGGGACATCCATCTTGAGTAGGCTGCGGTTGGAATCACCTTTCACAGCGGATGACCTCGACAGATTCAAAGATGAGCAGAAACCACCTCGGTCGCAGAGTGGCGTCGCCGACGGTTGTCTGCGACGCGACGGGTGTTTGTTGGGTTTGCAGCTGAGTCCTCAGGCACTCCTCGATCAGGTATGCAGTTGCAGATTGAGCGATGGAATGGATCGAGTTCAGGGGACGGAGATGAAGTGATGGGGATGGTAGAGGTCTTCTTCTTTTCTCTTTTCGAGGGGTTCCTGAGTCTTGTCACGTCAACTCGTTCACACAATGATGCCGAGCTTTTCCTGATCGGGCCTTAATTGAAACGCGTCGCGTCTCCCACACGCGCCCTCCCAAACTCGGTCGCCGCCCGTCTGCTCTCCCTTCATTCTGTCAACCACGCTACACAGTGATCCAATCCTAGAGACACTACCTGGTTTTTACTCCTTTTTATCTCTGGAAATCCGATCACACGTTGCCGGTTGATACACAATGGAGTCAGTATTCTCCCAAGGCCTTTCTCTCCTTTTTTTTTTTCTTTCCTTTTGTGTTCCCTTGAATGCTAATGCACCACAGTCCGCTTCAACCCAGTGACTCGGCCGCAAATCGCGGTCCGAGGGGAACTACTCGAAAGAGATCAAGAGATCCTGATGATATGTCTTCTCCGGGGCCGCTGCCGCCTTCCAGCCGTATGTGTGACTTTTCCCGTTGAATTCCTCGAGTACGCCCTTCTAACACTACCAGCAGCGACCGCACTTGGGTCTTCTCCTCCACCGATGCCATTCGATATGGGAGATGAGGATGAAGAAGGTGAAGGCGACGAGGTGCAAGACATCGATGATATTGATGAATTGGCCGAAGATGAGGATGGAATTGATCTGTTCGGAGACAATTTTGAGCGGGATTATCACGACGCAGCGCAAGATCGCTACCAGAATGAAGGGTACATTGATGACGAGGAGGAGCATGATGAGCTGGATGCTGCGACCCGTCGACAGCTAGATGCTCGGTTGAATAAGAGAGATCGAGAGCTTGACCGTCGCCGCCGCATGCCTGCCGCCTTCTTGCAGGACGATGATGACATGGACATGGACCTGTCGCGCCAACCACGACGACGGAGACACCACTACGATGAGGACCGCGAGGATATCGATATGGCAGACGAGGGAATGGAAGAGCTGTCACTGGAAGAGTTGGCAGATGTGAAGGCGGCCAACATTACGGACTGGGTGATTCAGCCCCAGGTCCTTCGTTCCATCTACCGTGAATTCAAGGCCTTCTTGACCGAGTTCATCGATCCCACCGGTCAATCAGTCTACGGGAACCGGATCAAGACCCTTGGTGAAGTGAACTCGGCGTCGCTGGAGGTGTCTTACGCCCACCTGAGTGAAACCAAGGCGGCTCTGTCGTACTTCCTCGCCAACGAACCTACCGAGGTTCTGAAAGTGTTCGATCAAGTCGCACTGGATGTCACACTGTTCCACTACCCGCAATACCATGACATCCATAACGAGATCCACGTCCGCATCACCGATGTGCCCATCATCTACACCCTGCGCCAGCTGCGTCAGTCGCATCTGAACTGTCTTGTCCGCGTTGGTGGAGTTGTCACTCGCCGTTCGGGTGTTTTCCCGCAGCTGAAATATGTGATGTTCCTCTGCCAGAAGTGTGGTATCACGTTGGGTCCCTTCCAGCAGGAAGCTAGCTCAGAGGTGAAGATCTCATTCTGTCAGAACTGCCAGAGCCGCGGCCCCTTTACCGTCAACTCCGAGAAAACGGTCTATCGCAACTACCAAAAATTGACTCTGCAGGAATCACCCGGCTCCGTTCCTGCAGGACGACTGCCACGTCAGCGCGAGGTCGTCTTGCTTGCCGACCTGATTGATACTGCTAAACCCGGCGATGAAATCGAAATCACCGGTATTTACCGGAACAGCTACGATGCCCAGCTGAACAACAAGAATGGATTCCCGGTGTTTGCCACCATTATTGAGGCCAACCATGTGGTCAAGGCCCATGACCAGCTGGCTGGTTTCCATCTGACGGAAGAAGACGAGCGCGAGATTCGAGCTCTGTCCCGTGACCCCGAGATCGTGGACAAGATTGTTCGCTCCATGGCGCCCAGTATCTACGGACATCAGGATGTCAAGACCGCTGTCGCTCTATCGCTATTTGGTGGCGTCAGCAAGCAGGCCCAGGGCAAGATGTCTATTCGTGGCGATATCAACGTCCTGCTGCTTGGTGACCCTGGTACGGCCAAATCGCAGGTGCTCAAGTATGTGCAGAAGACCGCGCATCGTGCTGTCTTCGCTACTGGTCAAGGTGCTAGTGCCGTCGGTTTGACAGCCAGTGTGCGCCGGGATCCTCTGACTAGCGAATGGACGCTGGAAGGTGGTGCACTGGTGCTCGCCGACCGAGGAACTTGCCTGATCGATGAATTCGACAAGATGAACGACCAGGATCGGACGTCGATTCACGAAGCCATGGAGCAGCAGACCATCTCCATCTCCAAGGCCGGTATTGTGACCACGCTCCAGGCGCGCTGTGCTGTCGTGGCCGCCGCCAACCCTAAGGGTGGCCGCTACAACGGAGCAGCGCCCTTTGCAGAGAACGTCGAACTGACTGAGCCTATCCTGTCCCGTTTCGATATCCTCTGTGTGGTGCGTGACCTGGTCGAGCCTACCGAGGATGAGCGCCTGGCCAACTTTGTGATCGAGTCCCACCACCGCGCTAACCCAGCCCGGCCCATGCGAAACGACCAGGGTGACCTGGTCGATACGTACGGTCACCTCATCGATGAAGAAGGCTTCCGTCTGGATAAGGAAGGTAACAGGCTGCCTCCATCTCCCGAAGAAGTTTCTCAGCGTGCGGCAGAGCAACAAAAAACAGAAGAAGAGAAGGAGGGCGAGATCCCCCAGGAGCTACTGCGGAAGTACATTCTGTATGCCCGCGAGCGTTGCCACCCGAAACTCTATCAAATCGACCAGGACAAGATTGCTCGTCTATTTGCGGACATGCGCCGCGAGTCTCTGGCCACTGGAGCGTATCCCATCACGGTACGGTGACATACTAGTTCTCCTATAAACTGTGCTAATGCCTATTGTTTAGGTCCGTCACCTCGAAGCCATCATGCGTATTGCCGAGGCGTTCTGCAAGATGCGTCTATCGGAGTACTGCTCCGCTCAGGATATTGATCGGGCCATTGCCGTGACCGTTGACTCATTCGTTGGCAGCCAGAAAGTCAGCTGCAAAAAAGCTCTCTCGCGAGCCTTTGCCAAGTATGTTTTGCTTGGTCTGTCTGCTCAAGGTTCATCCATGCTGATCTTCTTGCTCTCAGATACACTCTGTCCAGACCTAAGCCCCAATCGAAGCGTCGTGCAGGCATCCCGGTTCCCAACCCTCATCTGCCGCGGTCTGTGCCCACTGCGCGGTAATAGCTTTGAAAAGAAGGGGTTTATGTTTCCTTGCGAGTCTTATACCATCTTGTTGCATTTTATGTGCCCGGCGTTTATCTCAAGGCGTTTGTTTTTTGGAGTGATCCATGATATGTTAATGAATGGAAAATCAATGAACACAATTCTGAGAACAATACTGGCTAGGTTTTCCCTGATATCCCAAAGCCGATGGCATATACTCCAGGTCTTGGGCTACTCGATCGTCTGTAGAGTATGACGGGTCATCTCGGCCTGCTGGGCCTGCAAAGAGCTACCGATGTCCTTTTCCACAGACTCATCTGCAGGTCCTCATCAACTGGGTGGAGAAAGGGAGAGATCAATGCGACGGTCCTTCAGGGTGAGCACGTTGGGGAGAATCGCCAGATTGGTGCCTGACCCTTGCGGCCAAAATGAAGTACAAGTATGACCAGTCGATTGATGCTGAGCCCAAGTTAGATGGGTGGCGATGCCAGACTGAAACAAGACACGGCAGATATAAATATCGCAAATCTTCAACATTAGTTTAAATATGAAAAAGAAATATTCCCACTTCTCGCGTGCATTCCATGACATCAACCGGGGGATGCTAAGAATGCGTCATTCCGCGCGGTTAGGGGGCTTGGGGAATCCGTGGAAACTCCCTTCACGCACCTTGGAAAATCCAGGGCCAAGTTGATTCTCTCCCTTAGAAAAGAAAAAAAGAGGTGCCTTTCGCAGTGCCGAGCGGCAGATATAGTGGATCTCTGTCGATCGTGGTGTCGTACCCCCTGGATTTTTTGTAAGAAAGGGCCCCCGTCTCAACGGGGCTAATTGACGTCTGGGGGAGATTCTGCAGGGGTCAAAGAAAAGAATAGAAAAATGGACCTAAGCTTATGACTATATATCATACAAGTGAAAAAAAGAAAAAGAAAAGAAAACAAGTCTACGAAGCCTCACACTGCGCCGATCGCTGGGCGTTTTACGTAGGCAACGTTGATCCCGTTCCCCTTGCCCCCTCTTTCTCCTCGGTCCCCTCTTGCTTTTCTTCTCTTCTCTTCTCTCTTTCTTTAGTTGTTTCACCACTTCCTCTCTCCCGCTCTCGTGCGACACTTATCAACGCCCCATTGTTCTCTCCCTGTTTCATCCATCGTCTTTGCCATGAATGCCCCTCCGGCGCTTGGGTATCCGCCCGGCGTGTCGCTGGCCCCGCCAGGTGCGTAACACACTGTTTGAGAGAGACCCCCTGATTGTTGCATTGTGTTCTCGGCCTTTAATGGATGGATGGATGAGTTGATGTCGCCTACCCTTATATCACCACCCCCCTCTGGGACTCTCTCATCTGTCTCCCTGTGTTTCTGTGACAATTCTCCTGTTTCTCTTGAACTGTGGCTGACAGCTAGCGTCTCGTTGGACCAGCAGATCGCCAGGTGTCTCCCACTGCTGTAAACTTTGGTTCCAATAATCCATTTCGAAACCGTGCCTTGTCGCCCTCTGTTGGCTCGACCACCAATTCTCGCCCAGAACGACCTCGGTCTACCAACCCTTTCCTGGACGACACCGAGGCAATGTCCCCACAATCTGCCCCGGGATTATCGACTGGTGCCACGATGTTCTCTCCGATCGAGAAGCCGGACATGACCAACAACACTCGGGACCTCTTTGTATGTATGGTGAATTGGGAAGTCGCTAGAATTGCTTCTAACTGTTGCGCAGGAGAACCTCTCGCTCAATCCTACACCGCAGTCGAACGGCACTCGACCGGCTCCGCCTCTGGCTGCCCCGGCCCCTCCCCCTAAAGCGACACAACGCATGCCGTCAAATCGCAGCCAACCCCCGAGGGAGCGCCCACCCGGACGGCCCATGGAGTCGCGACAAAAAGATCCACTGGATATCTTTGCCGATCCTTCCAGCCAGACCAAGCCTGCGCTGATGGACCCTCGGGAGAGGTCTAGCCGCAGACCCCGCCGAAACTCCGAATCCTCTGTTATGGAACGGGCATCAAAACTGTTTGATGATGATGACGAGCGCCGCCGGCGGGAGAGGCGCCATCGCGATCGCGAGGGCCGTCACCGTGATGGCAAGCATCGCTCCTCCCGAAAGAATCGGCAGCTGGACATTATCGACAAGCTGGACGTTACGAGCATCTATGGTACTGGCAGTGAGTGACTTTCAACCTCACAGTGATCATCTGAGCGGGCTGACAGAGAGACTAGTGTTCCATCACGATGGCCCATTCGATGCATGCAATCCTCATCGCAACCGCAAGGGTGCGCGCACCGCTCCCATGCAGGCTTTTCCGAAGGGTTCCACCAACATGGCTTTGGGTGGTGCAGGCCCCAACCGATCCAACATTGATCTGAACCTTTTCCACGGCCGCATGGAGGAAGGCTATAATGACTTCTCATCCGCCCTTCCCCTCCGCACCAACACCGAGACGGCCAGCTTCGACCCCAAGGCTCGGGTGGATCCTATTCACGGGGCGGAGAGTATGGGTCTGGGAACCAGTACATTCTTGGATGGTGCGCCCGCTAGTCGCTCGGCGATGGCACGGCGCGAGAGTGAGAACGAGGCGCAGATTACGCAGAACGGTGGTCTCCAGCGCAAGAAGAGTCTGGCGCAGCGACTGCGTGGACGTGGCGCAGGGCCTGGCCGCGTCGTCTCCCCGACAGAGAACATGGCCGGCTCGGCACCCATCAGCTCGAGTCACATGGGGTCTTTGCGCGGGAATGAAAGGAGCCCGTATGCCCAGGATCATGACGAAGAATGGGACAAGAAGGGAGCCCGGATTCAAGAATCGCGCCTGGAGACGGAGCCTGGCCGGCTGCGCTCGTCCAGTAGCCCGAAGCAGTCGACGGGGCTGGAGCGCAAGTATACCAACGAGCGGAACTACGACGAGTCGAAGCTCAATCCCGGCGGCGGCGGTTTCCTCAACCGTATGAAGAGTCTGCGCAAGCCGCGCCCAGAGCGCCGGACTAGCGACTAAGCTGGTTGACGAACACACCAACCAACCCCACGAATGACACGAAAATTGAGAAAACACAACTGCGCCGCTTGTGACCCTCGGCCAGCATGTGTTCCCACTCGTTCTCCCCCCTCTTGCCACCATCTTGCACCTCTTGCGAGGACTGATGATTCCCCATGTGTAATACCCAGAAACGAGCGTTGCCAATCATCCGGCGCTTGACATGGCGTTGATATGACTGGAGTAGATTGATTGATCCTGGTTTTGTTTTTCTTTGTTCTTTTCTTCTTCCTTCGTTTCAAACTACCAGGAAACAAACCCTGGTCTACTATGGGCCATGATTCGGAGTCCTTTTTCTTTTCTTTTCTTGTACTTCCATTCAGTCTTGCCTTTCAGGAAATGTATTCTTTACCCGTTTTTGTTCCCTATCTATTTTTGCATCGAATAATCCCATGACTTTTTGACTTGAAATTTGTTTCATTCGCTGTTCCTGTGTAGCCCCTGTGGCTGTTGAGGGAGAAGGGGTAACCTATGAGTTAGGGCTCGCACCGCTAGTGTCTTACACCCTCGGTAATTTCGCTTGCCCCTGGGATTGCTTCGGAGTGCGCACTGACTGTTGGTGTTTTGAGTACTCTTACGCGCCTGACATTTCAAATTCTGGGGCATAACGAGTGTCTCTTATAGGTCTCGTCCGCCACTGAGAGGGCGCCCGTGCCTTTCCGCAAACATCTCAGACTGTCCGAGCACCGATGAGCCTCAATCCATAGCTCCTGCGATGATTGGGTCTGGCGCCTATGGAAACCAGGTGGCTTCGTTGTGGCCGTGCCATTTCTTTGTATATATCTGTGCCAGGCAAGAGACTCAGGTACTTAAGGCGACAGCAGTCACCGTAGATGTCCTCTACTTCATCGACTACGAATCTATCTCGCAGTTTCTTGCAAATCAATAGATAGGCACTTCAGCAGACTTCATCTTGTTTTCCACCAAGTCCTATCATATACACCAGAAGAAGTATTCGCAACCATGCAATACTACAAAGTCTTCATCGTCAAATTCACCCTAACCACCTACGACCCCAACATGCCCACCCCGCGCTACGACACCACCATCTTCGTTGAGACGCACCCCAATGGAACAGGGTACATCCACCATGTCCTGGGCGACAACGTCTCCCCAACAGCCCTGCACTACGAGCGAAGGATGCAGGTTCTGCCCGAGGAATCGCGCTGGTTCCACTCCCGCACCCAGCTCGGCGTCACCCGCGCGGCCACGTACCCTGCTGCCTGGGATGGGCTCCTGCAGCAGATTTCTCAGGCGACGCAGTCGGGTTCATCCTCTCGAAGTATGTTCGTGCCTTCGGGTGATAGTCGGGGCACGCTGGTCAAGGGCACTGAGTGGACGTTTGAGCAGGCTATTCCGGCGTTGAAGGCGGCGGGGTTGCTTCAGGAGGTTTATTTTCGGTGATTTGAGGGTTGGGGAGTGTATTGATATGTCCGGGTGTCTGGATGTCTGTAGTTTTATGTTTTTTTTTTTTGCGTGGGTGTTGGTATATTTTTTTTGTTGATAGCAGCCTTTTGAAGCGTTCTGTTGATTTTGGGAGTTTCCCTAGTGTTCACACTAGTCCATTTCCCTGAAGTAGGCTACTTGAACTATTCCACGTTTCATGTTCGTGGCATTCGCTCCGTATCATGACCACGGGGTATGTGGTGATGTCGAAGTAGACAGAAGATCGGCGTTCCGCCTTGCCAGCTCCCTCTTTTGTCCTCCACAGCTCCCTCTCCATCATCTCTGTCCACACCCACGGAACCTCTTCAACATGGAGGAAACACATCCCCCTCCGACCCTCACCAACCCTCGCTTCACTCTCGAGCTGGAGTTTGTCTCCTCGCTTGCCAACCCCTACTATCTCTCACACCTTGCCGTCAACTACCCGAATCTCCTGGGCATCTCCCGCGCCGACGACGGCGATACCGATTCCACGTCGTCCCCCGACGCCCAAGCCTTCGCCGCATACCTGGAATACCTCTACTCGTACTGGAAGACGCCCGAGTACTCGCAATTCCTCACCCACCCCGGTCCCACGCTGCGGGCGCTGCGCTTGCTCCAGGAAGACGCCTTTCGTCGGGATATCATCCTACCCCAGGTTATCGAGGGGTTGGTCGGGGTCAGCATGCCTGGTGACCGTACACAGACCGAACCAGATACTATGGAGGGAAGCCAAGAGCAGCCGGATGCACAGAATGGAGCGAAGACATGAACGAGTTGGACCACTCTCTGTCACCGACTTGTTTTTATCCTTCTCTACCGGGTTCCTCCCTTCCTTTACCTGTAGATCTGCATTTACACGGGGGGACGGCAACAGGGATCCAATACCGGCAGACAAACTCGGACCCTTTTTCCTTGAGCTGCACTGGGGTTGATTGCGGGGAGCGACAGCTGCGAGCGTGCGCTTCATGTGTGACCGAGGTCTTTGTGCAGCGCCGGGTGTCGATCAACAGGAACGTGTGGGTTCGCTCCAGAGAACCGCACCCTGGAAAAAAGAAGAGAACCATCGCGGCGGATTGAACGGCATTGCGGGGTTGAGAGAAGGACCATGCGCCTGTTGGGGATGCAAAGACGATGATTTCCCTGAATCGGCTGTCAGGGAGAGCGCTTCATGCCATCCTCATTCGCCCGTACACTCGAGGCTTGTTGCCCCTAGACGAATGCAGAGATGCCCAGTGATTTGCTTGATTTTGAGACTAAACTACCTGGAGTAACTCATTCGACCAAGCAAAGCAGAACAGAGCAGAGAAGAGAAGAGTAGAACCAAGTGCAGCAGAGTAGAAGAGCTGAGTAGAGTGGCAGTTGGGTGTTAGTCCCGAAGCCGCGGGACACCCAACCTTTTTTTTTCTCTCTTTTCTCTTTTCCTCTTTCCATCTCTCGTCTCTCGCTCGTTTCTCCTTGAAATCATCCGTTTCCAGTCCCTTTGCCTCTGCTTTTCGACGTAATCTCATTTTCCAGTGCAACGGTGGCCGCGCCCCACCCCCTGCGGATCGACCTCCGACTACCTCATCAGGGCCCCCGTTCTCGTCAACGGCACTGAGAACATTGTCCGTTCACCCATGGCCTCACAATAAACAGGCGACACATTCTGGCGCCCTGAGTTCTTCCCTCGATCTCGTCAATCTACTTGATCTTTCCTCCCTTCGCTGTTGAGCCGTCGCGCTTCTTGGAATTCTGCATCGGGGGGTTCCTGCATCACCCACCTCCCCAATGGAGTCTGTCCGCCAGTCTTGTCGGCCAAAGCACCAGGTCCTGACTCTAAAGTGCTATCCCCGATATCAGAAGGGTGTTTCTGAGGTCAAGCCCAACCCGAGTGAACTCTCGTACCTGCTGTACTATACGAGCACGCGACGGAGCAAGCTGACCAAAGTCGGCGCCTTCCTCGAGAAGAGGGTGGCCCGCGATGTCTGGAGACGCCGGATAGGGTGAGTTTACTTGATAAGAAAAGATTTATCGCGTGGTTCGCGCGAAAAAAAAAAGAAAGTAAAATGGCTGATCGGCCGTGCAGAAATGTCCAGGTGGCGCTTCACATCCTGACAGCCCTCATCGAAAAAGTCCCCCGCGATCTCCCGATCTACGCGCGATCGGTCCTCACCGTCATCGAGACTGTCTTGCGGTCCAATGATATAACCATGGTGGAGGATTCAATTGCGACTTTTGAAATGTTCTGTCGGACCCAGGACATGGCGGCCATTGCCGCCGAACAGGGCCTCGCAAATCAATACCGCGAAGTCGTACGGACATACGCTAATCTCGCCGACCCGACATTCCAGTCCCAGTTGCACACGAAACTCAGCCCTCCGGTGGCAATTCGGTGGAGAAATGCTGGGCTCCGAGCGATCAAAGGCGTGGTCAGCTCTGAAAGTCTCGCCGCTGACGGCGGAAACTCGTTGAAAACCATCCTGCCCGTCATTTTGGAAAATCTGTACTCGGGCGAAGAGGACATACTGGTTACGCTAAAAGAAAAACTTCAAGAGGCCGAGAAACCTGAGCGGGACAGGGCCAGACCTCGCCGGTTGAGTGTCACGACGGTGCACACTGTCGACACGGCGGAGGGCGACCCTACGCTTGCAGCGCGATCGCCGGCCGATGCAGACCGACAGGCAGAGATGGATGCGCGACTGCTGGCCTTGCGCTGCCTCGAACAGATTATTGTTTCGGGGAGTAACCGTGGCCAGACCCGTATTGCGGCGACGATCATCCTCCGGTTCCTCTCCACCAAGGGCCTTCCACGGACTGCCAGTCAGGACCAATCGGGTGCTACCAAAATCAATGGCAATTGGGCGACCTCACTCATTGAGCTCATTGCAAATTGGTGTCCGGTACAGGTTCGCTTTGTGATCTTGGTTACGGCCATGGAAATTCTGCGCGACACAAGCCCCAAGGAAGATGCCTTGAAGTCATCCTTCACCCTTCTTTATGTGGTGGACTGGCTTTTGAAATCCTCTGTGAATATGATTGGATTGAGCGTCATGGATATCCTCTTTGGACTTATGCACTATGCTTCGGAGATTCTATCGCATCTCGATCAACCTGCGAGAGCAGAAACGGAAGAGAAGCAGGATGAACATGCTGACAAGAATGCCTCTATTTCTCCTCAAAGAAAGAACCTCTTGACTCTTCTGGAACAGTGCATTGGGGATTTGGCGACGCATATCTACTATGGTGACCAGGTCGCAGACATGATGCGGGCCATTCTAAGGCGCTATAAGCCTACTCTCAACCATGAAAGCTCTTCGCCATCCGCCTTGGCTACAGTCCACGAAACCGGGGCAGTGCCGGTGGATCCGGCAAACTCTGCTGCCGAGATCAACGGGGAAAAGACCAGCGGAGACACCTTCTCGCATACGACCGCGAAACTAACCGCCCTTCGATCCGTCAAAGCTATCCTAGTCGTGGCGAATCTGAGGACGCCAGCCGCCACAGCCGGAGTGGAATCAAGGAACCCGGTTGGTATCCATGTCTGGGAAGGGACGCAGGGGCTTTTGCGTGACTCGAATCGCGACGTTCGTTATGCCTATGCCGATGCACTCCTGTCCTGGTTACATCTGGAAACGAACAAGGGCGACCTTAAGGCGCGGGTAGAAACCCCGAAGTTCATCAAATCGCCGTCAAAACGCGACTCCGACCAAGGCGACAAGCTTAACCGACGGAGTGTCTCAGGTCCTGTGAATCAGAGAGAAAAAGTGATGCAGGCAGCCCAGTCGAATTTCCTGCGTCTTCTGCATTTGGCCATCTATGATGCTGCCCACGAAGGGGCCACCGATGAGTCTGAGATCCTCTTCTTGCACCTTCTTCTGGCAACTCTGGTCGAGAATCTCGGTGTCAATGCCGCTCAGTTTGGGATTCCCATGGTGCTCAGGTTACAAGACGATCTATTCACAGCGGTTGACTTGGGTTCTTTTACGGCCCGCGTGAACATTGGAAGCTTGGTCCATGGATATTTCTTATCTCTGTCCGAGAAATTTAACCTGATATCTTCTCCCGTCGGTGTCGAAATCTGCAATGAGGTCGAGAAACGCCAAAACAAGAGCCAATGGCTCACCAAGGTCCAAACGCCCCCAGTTGGCCTTGACGACATTGCCTTTGATGATGAGAACAGATCTGCCAATAGTACCTCGGACTCTCCGCCTCTGCTGATGCCCTTCCGAAATGTAGAGGGGCTGGTCAGCTATATTGACGAAGCGTACCGCCTCTCAATCACCTCCCCGCCACAGAGCCCCCCAACCTCGCCCGCACGGGGCTTCAGCTTCCCGGTTCTGAATCACGTTGCGGCACCGCAGTTGCAACCTGATGGCAGTCTTCCATATCCTGTCAAGGAGCAAATGATGTCTTCTTGGTCGCGGGACTCATGCTTGGCAGCCGTCGAGAAGGAAAGCGTTAGAACACTCTCGATCAGCGGCTCTCGAGTGGGTACCCTGAATGCGCGCAACGGTCATGCCAACGGTGTGGCAAACGGCTCTCCTAATGGCTCAGCCTTGAACCAAAACCGCCGCATGAGTGTCCCAGAAATTACGAGTACGCCAGCCCCCAGCTCCAGCAGAGGTTCGCCGGTTCGTGTCAATGAGCTGCGGCGTGTTCTCTCGGTTAGCAACGACGCTCACCCGCGGCGGCTAAGCCCGCTCCGCGGCCGGGCAGATACCTCGAATGCCAGTATTCTTTCCTCGGACAGCGAAAGTTTGCTCAGCGGTGCCTTTTCTGTGTCTGAAGTGGATGGAGATGCCGCCTCGGTCCAGCCGCAAGACAGACAACATACCCCCGACGGCGACGGGATGGAGACGCCCCGTGCCGCAGCGTCAGCTGTTGTCCTTGCCGGGGACAAAACTCCCATCGACAATTCCCAGCAGACAACGACCCTGAGCCGGGTGAACTCCGATGAGATTCCTCCTGTTCCTCCGATTCCGGCTGGCTTGGCTATTCCTGGCGGCTTCCCCAACGACTCGCAACGCTCACTGGTCTCAGTTGACCGTCCATCCACGGCTCCTGGTCTTTCGCGACAGTCTTCCCTGAAAAGCAAATCTGACTCAATTCCCGCTCCCCGGAATACCAAGTCTCTGAACCGCAACAAGAGCCGGTCTAGCAATAGTCTCGTTGGCGGAGTGAGTCCGACAACCGCAGTGTTCCCCGACCTGTCAAATGAGACCAACGGGACGGATGCAGCTCTGGACCAAAGTCATCGAGATCACCTGCGACAGCTTTTGGACGGCTTCCTTTCACCTCATGACGGCGCCTTACCGAACGGGGATCATCGCCCGGCAACTGCACAACCGTCCTCGAAGGGCCCGCTGAGCGGGAGCAGACGGCAAGTCAGTATGAAAGGCATCGGCCGGCCGCCTTATTGATTTTTTTTTTTTGTTTGGGACCTGCGTTCCACTTTGTACAGTCTGTCCCACTGAAAAATCATTTCCTGGGACTCTATTTTCCATTCTGGACTTTTTTTTTATATGTTTATAATTTCTTCAACCGCCTTGCCTTGCATGGACATTGTATTCAGATTCATCTCTGGACTCTTGAGTCGCTTGTTTTTATCCTTGTTCTCCACAGACCTGGTTTCTTTTGTCTGTTCTGTTCTTTTCTTTTTGTTCTTTTCGTATTCGCTCTATCTTCTGTCCCCTTTGTTTCTACTTTCTTTTGCTTGAATATGTTTATCTTTTTTTTTTGAAACCCGCGGCTTGACGGGGTTGCTGTTGACCTGTGAGCAGTCACGGCATGTATCTAGCTTCATTGTCGGTAGACGCAAATAGACGGTACAAGACTCCGAGTCAAGGCAGGGAAGAGTAGTACTATAGCTGATACAACTTTACAAATCTCATAGACCGAAATTCTGGATTGGATTATAACTCGAAGAAATATGCGACACCATGCACTTGAGATATCGTGAGCTAAAAGAAAAGAAAAAGGATCGAATTTCCTGGCATACTTCAGGCTGACTAGGACGCCTGTTGTACGACAAGGCCTGGTGACGAGGGCAGCGAGTCTTTGATGGCACCAAAGTACTCCTTGAAGGCGTCGGCCAGCACCTTATCCGAGAGGTGCATATGCTGACCCGGAATAGTCTTAAAGTCCAATTTGCCCTGCTCATCGAGTTGCTTGAGCCCGAGCCAGTCCTCGGTGTAGAGGGGTCTCTGCTGCAGCGGTATGACAGAACCATCGGTGACATTGACCTCCGCGAACCAAGAGCTCTCCTTGGGGACAGAGACAGTATCCTCATCAAACATGAACATAGCGAAGCGGTTAAGCGCCGCCAAGTGGCGTTTGTAGGAAGTGTTCTTAGTAGAGCGCTCATTATTGATATCGGCAAGGAAGTTGCTATGCTCCAAGTAGGCGTCCAGCTCAACGGGGTCCCGGAAGTACTGCGCAGGAACAAGATGCGACTGCACGAAATCTGTCCAGCGGCCCGCGCGCAGCAGCGCCTCGGCACCATTGCAGATCCAGTCGCCTACGCCGCAGTCCTGGAACTCAGCGATACCGTTGTGCTGGCTGCCGAAGGTGACGAGGTTGTGCACCGGCGGCACATTGCACCGCTCCACGTATCCGCGCAGAAACTGGCCGCCCTGCGAGAACCCCAGTGCGTTGACGGCCGGCGCCGTTCGCAGGATCGGGTCCGCTGCTAGCTGCGAGCACACCGCCGCTACCTGCTCCGTCACGTTGCCTATGAATGTTGCTTGTCGGTCCCCGCTGCCTGTGTCTGCTAGTCGTACGAGGTGCACGTATGTGCCTGGGTTGACTTTCGCTGCTAGTGCTGCTATCTCTTGGAGCCCGTCGCGCTCGAAGTCGTCGCCGAGTCCGTGCCAGATCACCAACGGGAGCTGCGTTGAGCTGTCCTCATCGAGGGTTGATGGGGCATGGGTAGCAATGGAAAGAGCTGGCAGTGCCAGCCCAGCGAGAATGGAGAATGGTCGCATTGTGAATGAAAACGGGGTGGACTGGATGATGAGGAACCGCGAGTGCTATTGAAAGGGTGCTCTCTATGGGTCACGTGGTACCACGCCATTCAGGTAGACAGGTGCTCGTTGTGTTGTTTTCGCCTTTTCTTTTGTCATATTGTGTTGAGGATCGTAGCTTCATTTTATTTGCATAGGTGCTTAATAGCTTCTGGCAGAGACCCCTTACAACTCGAATTTCGTTGTTCTGTAGAACTATAAACGCTGCTGGACATGCACGTTAATGTTGATCGTAGAATGGATTCCAGGATTGGCATAACTTGGAGGATTACTTTTTGAGAGTTGATTTAATACTGTGGATTTCGAAATTGACAATTGTCATCTTTAGGTTAGAATTTCAAGGTCGCTAGGTAAAGATACCTTGAAGAGGGCTGCCTGGGTCAGCGAGGCTCCTCATCTCCTTTCTCACTTGACCACCCCTACGCAAGATGAACTGGACGGGAGGCCAACTGCATCGCCATTCTAGAATGGGATCCAAGGGTCACAGACTGAGCTTTCAACCTCGGCTGACTGCGGGTGACAAGCAATTCACCCCTTTCCTGGATGGTCCATGGAAGCAACACGATGGAGTAAAAGCCGAGGCAGAAAACCAGTCAGTGGAGAATGGTTAATTGATTTAGCTCTGCTACTTGTCATGAAATGTTTCTTCTCTGTCACCTGGGGCTAACGCATGATCTCTGACGGTTCAGGGTTGCAATAGACGATGGGCCTCGGACGGGCCGCTCGTCGTCTCCCAGCGGGAACCACCTGGAGCACATCAAACGTCATCTTCTTGAGGAATCTGACTGGGCTGCAGTTGCCACTGCTCGTCCCTTGACTGTTTCATTTACGGCGGTCGGCGTAACTGAGCGCTTTGGAAAACGGCGAAAGTTGAATGACGGCGACAGAAGACGATTGGTAGATACCAACGAAAGTTCCGAGCTTGCCAAGTCCCACCAAGCAAACAGAGATCTTGTTTCAGAGGTAGATGTGGTGAGGAACATCAAGATCCGGATCAATGGGCGTCCAGTAGGCTTCTCTTCGGCGGAGAGCTCTGAGATGGCCAAGGACACACTGTCATCGCAGTCCATGCTTTTTGGCCGCGAAGAACCCGCCATTCGCAATCAATCAGACCGAGGAAAAGAAAATGTTACTCCTTCAGCCGCTTGGGAAATCAATACTCGTGTCTCATTGAACCGTCGCCCGGAACTTGCACGGCTCAGCTTCGATACGCCATTGCTCATGACACCCCACACCCCAGTAGCAGCTCGCTCTTCTGATCAAGACATTTACTCAATTCCCAGTTCAGATTTCTCTGGAAAGACAATCCCGCGGCCTCAGTATCCAGGAAAAACAAATAATAGCGCTTCCCCACATAGGATCTTCAGTCTAGCCTCTCAATCACCCAAAATCCCATTACCTCGACACTTTACCATTGACGACCAAATTCTCGCTGAGGAGCTGGGAACTGACATTGGGTTGGGATCTTTGAGGCGGCCTCTCCGGGGATTGTCCCCAGCCCCTCCGGAGAGAATGAGTGAATCCCGTCATGATTCAGATGCTGTTTCCACCTCCAGCTGGCAACAAAATAAACACCATATTGACCACCATATACCTCTACAAACTCCCTCTTTCCGTCTGTTTGATGATGCTCCTGCTCGACCGCCTCTTGTCCGGGGGACGCAAGTTCTGGATTCGCCGGATGATGCTGATGTCTCTCCCGTGAGAATTGTCGGGCAACCCGTTCACTTTCATGATGGAAGTTGATAAATTTCCTGATCCCTCAGCTTTCATATTGTGCATTTCAACCATTCATGGATGATAATTATCGTGATAGTCGTCCGAAGTATAGTTATATAGCTAGCCTAGAAAATGAGGCAAAAAGGCATACGATATAGTCAAACAGTACAAACTATCATGTGACCACTCAAAATCTCCTTCTTTCTCCCTTGAAATTTGTCTTTTGCTTTCCCACACAACTCGGTCGAAATGGAAAAATGAACAACCAATACTCACTTACTTGTCCCAGGGATTGGTACTCGCCCGGGCCCGCTCTTCAGTAAGCAAATACTTTTCTTCCTTTTTCTTGCTGTTTCAGCCAGTGTCTCCAGGACCTCCTGGATGATGATCAACAATATCCAAAGCATAGTTCACCTGAAATCTTCGGATTGCTGAACGACAACCTATAACCATCTTTCACCTTTATCTGACCCGTCACATTCGTCTACTTTTTTGCAAAGCCTTTTCTCATTTCTGGGGCATCTTGGCTGACTACATGAAAAGGAGCCCGACGGCTGCATTGCTGCCCAACGTGGGTCGGGATGGCTCGCCCCGAGCCGTTCCTAGAGACGCAATGCTTCAGATAGACAAAAACAATTCATCATCGCAGGCAAGCCTTGTTTTGCATCTTACATTTTCTTTCTGCGACGTGGTCCTGTAGCCCTTGTAATCGGTTGTCACTGGATGTCTCTCTGCTGCACCTCCCCCTCCGTAGTCCGACGTGGGATGCTCTCCTCCACACAATCCACGAAATGCCTGCTGATCGTCCAATGCAGACATCATCTTGCAGCGTCAGCCCAGCATTGCCACCAATCATCTGAGCGCACGCGTGCCGCCAAGCAACAGCAGACGCGCCGTCAGTCTCACCGCTAGAACGCAGTCGAATTTCCTCCACTTGGGGACCCGCCCACTCGAAACCCGCTGCAGATGCCATCACCGCCAGTCCGCAGCATTGGCTCTCGATGGTGCCAACAACGCAGGCTGGCGCTGCACCATGCGGGCCGGGCACGCGCTATGTTTGATAGTCTACTTGGCCCCCGAGTGCTCCTATGCCTCTAAAAGGCGCTGATCTCCCGTCTTGGTCTATTTCTCTTCTTCTTTCTTTCCCAACTCTGGATACCCCTCTCTCTTCTACGCCTTACATTTTGAACTCGACCATTTTACGATACCCTTTTATCACCCTCTTCAAAACATTCAATCCACTGGATCTTGGAACACCCTGAGCCACAAGATTCCCCGGTTCTTGAATACCTCAAATTTGCCAAAGGATCTCTGCCACATTTTTTCCCCGGACAGGATTGCTTTCTTGTGATTTCCCAGGCTTTTCCTTAGTCTGCATCCATTTCTCGTCGACAAACCACAATAGGTAGTCCCTGAACACTTTCCTTGCACCTGATTCTCCTATGCGCTTTTCTTTTCCTTTTGTTTCTTTTTTTCCATGGACCTGTACCACCTTCAACCTGTCTTGCCCCGAGGATTTCGACCATCAACCTTGCCCTAAGGATCCGTGGACCATAGAACTACTCCTGTGCCGGGACTCTTCCCCATGCTGGGAATCTGCCAATTTAAGCAGTCCAAAAATGATGAAATGATGAAACTTCGCCGTGGACTTTTGTCCTCAGCAGCCGCTGAGTGACTGGATTATTGAGTGATGTTTTATGTTGCACACTCAATTGATACTGCCGATGGATTTCTCCCCTGGATATTCCCAATTTTCTGGCCTTGCATCTTCTCCAAGCCTGGAGTCGAGAAGATGGATTAACCCGTGAACTTTCTTTGCCTTACCCCTGGAACCCAAACGTCCTGGATTGAATACCCAAGGAACCTGAAAATGATGACATCCCATTTCCCTGGAATCATGATGCTTGATGCCTGCTACCTATGGCCTTTTTCTTTTTACTCCGACGATAATGGACCTTGCCCGAGGAGTATACCGAGTTAATTTGCTCGAAATGGAAAATGAAGCACCCGCTTCAGCGCTTACCTAGGCCACTGACTGATGGATCCATGCCATGTGTACCTATGACAATCACAACTGGGCAAAAAGAACAATCTTTTCTCTCCTGGACTGCCATGGACGATGATGCTTCACTTAGTAGCGCCGGCCTTGAACACCAATCTCGACCCTCCTTGATGCTGCCCTTCTATACGATGCCCGTGGACTAGTGCCAGAATGTCTGGAATCCAGTTTAGATGCGACAACCTCTCTCGGACCCAGTGAATCCAGGACTCGGAATTTTGTGTTCTTCCACACGGCTTAGGTTTGTTTTCATGATGAAACAAAACACCGTCGACATTGCTGACACCAATAGGTTTCCGAACACCCTTGGACCTTGGAGCTTCTCTTTCGCTTAACTTTTGACTTTTATTTTGCTTTTATTATGTCTAAGCTGCGGGTAACTGACTTGATGCTGTACAGTGCACTTTTTTATCACCCACATCCACAATGTCTCCCAGGACCAGCAATACCCCTGAAAGGGTATCTCTCTCTCATTCCAGACAGACCTCCATGGTTCAAGGAATTTCAAATCTGGCCTCCCGCTCCATTCAGGATGATGAATTGTCAAGCCAAGACAACTCATCGCTGTGTTCAAGTATTCAAACAGCCCATGGAAACCCACAGGATCTCAAGGACTGGACCTTGAATGATGCAGAGCCAATTGACCAGGCTATGTCCTCATCAAAACCAGAATCTGCCGAAGTGCACATGCTGTCTTTCTCGCTGTCCCAGCAGCTGATGACCCCGACAGTTGGACCAAATGATGTGATGTACCCAGGAGTGGACTTCCCAGCAGTCCCAGACTTGAATGACCACAATGAAGTGCCCCGGGAATTTTTCTCCTCCTTCGTGGACCTTTCCTCCATGGATAACGATGTCTGTGTGCAGAGCGGCACATCGGATGATGCGCTCTCCGTCGGGCATAGCTCCCACACTGAGGATGGCCAATTGACATGGAATTCCATGATGTCTGATAACCAATACCCTGGAACAACCTTGGATCAACTCTCTTCTGGTCTCTTCCAGTCTGTTCCAGTCTCGCCACCTCTGACGGAAGCTAGCAATGATGTTTCTGTTACTTCTTGTTCTCACCCGGGATTTCCTTCATTTCTGGCCCATGATGATACCCTCATCGGAGACTTTACCTCGCCGATTGGCACACAAGGAATCAACCCATCAGATCCGCTGTTTCCCAGTGCCTCTCTCAACGAAGGAGACCCCAATAGGTGAGTTTCGGGACTCAATAGTTAATTCTTATATTTGCCCGTGTCTAACCACCCAACCCAGGACTATTCGACCTTCGAAGCCGTCTCGCCGGGCTGCATTGCCAGCTACATCCCAGCCCCAAGGAAAGACCGACCCGGATTTCTTCCCTCCTCTTCCGGCGAGAGAGAGTCGCCACAAGTCCAAGGATAGTTCCGAGGTCCGCAACCCGCGGGAACATCACTTCTACTCCATGCCCACCCACAGTGATGGAAAGTATTACTGCCCTTTTGCCTCTGGAGACAAGCCTTGCAGCCACCCGCCAACCACGCAAAAATGCGCCTACCAGTACGTGCCCTTCTTGGAAATGAATCTCAATTCAAAAGCTAATTCAGGTGACAACAGCAAATACCTGGATTCCCACCTGAAGCCATACCGATGCAGGGTTCCCACCTGCATGGATGCCCAGCTGCGGTTCTCATCCAATGCGTGTCTGTTCCGCCATGAGCGCGAAGCCCACGGATTGCATGGCCATGGGGACAACCCACACCTCTGCCTCTGGGAGGGATGCGAACGATCCGTGCCCGGATATGGATTTCCCCGGAGATGGAACCTCTTTGACCACATGCGGCGGGTGCACGACTACGCCTCATCTGAGCGCCACAGCTCCCCTGAGACATCCCCGGGTGCCGCCCAGCCCAAGAAGAAGGAGCCCACTGGCCGCAAGAGGCGAGGTGTCACGGGTGCCACCCCGGCGCCGACCATGAAACGCACTCGCTCCGTCCACTCCCAGGTTGGATCCGTCAAGGCCGCACATACCTCGCCCCACAATGGCCAGCGACTGCAGAACGCCGAGCGCAACTACTACAAGTGCCGCTCGCGTCTGCTCGAGGAGCTGGGCAGTATCACCCCACAGGATACCTCGATGCACGAGAAGGTCAATGCCAGCCTCCAGGAATTATTCACACTGGGATTGAACTACCGTCACATCGAAGCCAGTGAGGCCTTTACCCAGATTCCCAATGGATTGCCCGCGTGAAGGCACCGTGGAGGAATGTTGCACTTGCTCTTTTGTCTTCTTGACTGGAGGCGCAACAGTGATGGAAATTGATGTTCCGCGGAGGACGCCCGACCCAGGCTTGTAGGCATATAGTTGCCGCAGCTCCATCTTCAACACCAGGGAGACCCAACGATGCCACCTATGGCGAGGTCATACTTGTTTTCCACCGAAGGAATGGTCCCGATGGAGCCCAGTACCAAGCCAGAATGGTACTATGGGGCACACAGGCTGTTCAATAGACAGGGTCAATATGGAATTACGTGTTCCAGCGCTTGTGATCAGTCCTGATCGCAGGGCTCTTAGTCCACACAGGGATATAGACTATGATGAGGATGAACTATTGACCAGATTATGGATCCGATTCAACTGCGGAGAGAAACCATGAGGCAGGATGAAGCAGAATAGTGATGGAGTGAAGAATGGGAAAGAGGAGAAAGACAGAAAAGTAGAGTTCTGTGTCTTGGCAGGGTTGGGGATATTGTTTTCAAAGATTTCGATAGATTTTGATTTTATGTGTTTTGGATTGGCAAATGATTTTGACAAACCTGGTCTCGAAAAGTAGAGTAGCAACACCAAGCATTCAGCTCCTGCGTAACCAAAACATTCGACCTCGTTAGACTAGAATATCGTCTTGGAGTAGACAGATCAATCCGACATACAGTCAGCTGATACCTGAGAATGCACCTCGCATCCCAACCAACTCTCCATCCCCTCCACCTTCGAATCTACTGGTGGTATCTATGGGAATTGCAACATCGCCCCAAAAGAGCCACAACTGGCGACAATGAGGACGTTTCCCAACTCCAGCTTCTTCCGCGAGAATCGCGCACCTACTCTTCCCTCGCCAGCAAAGATCCGAGCCATCATCCAACAATCTGGCAAGGAGACATGCTTCTACCGACCATTACTGGTGACGGCGAGAAAAAGGGTCAATGACATCCTCTAATATTATGATCTCAGGGCCAAACCCCAAGGTGATGGCGCTTGTTGACTGGACTCAGTCGGGATGGTACCCTGCCTACTGGGAGTACCGTAAGGCATTTCGACTCGGGGTGAATCCAAGCTTTTACCCTAAGGAATTTATGGACGAGTGGTACCGTCACTTGCATATGATTTTGGAGCCCGTGGAAGAAGCAGTTTATAACCCTTGGCTTTACTTTGTTATACCTAGAGGCATCTGAGTAAACAGCATGAACTGACGACATTTCAAATCTATTCTCATATTTAACTCAGTCTCTAGTAAATGATTCATGAAATTCATTAGCCATCCAGAGGCTTTCTCCCATATACGGCCACTCTGCTCATAGTTAGTACGTATACGGGCCGTTAAATCATTGATGGAGGTGGACTATACGTTTGAACATAGGCATGCAACTTCTTATCGCGCAGCTGCTGTTTGACCAAAGCATTATGAATCTTGGCCACATCCGAACTCCACCCCAGCACGTGGGTGATCAAGCGCAGGGAATAAGAATCGATGGCCTGCTGCAACTGCACCGCCTGGTATTTCCCCAGGGCCTTGAGATGGGGATCGCGCGGCCAGGGCGAGAACGGCAGCGCGTAGACCGACGCGTGCACATCCTCGAAGCCGGCTTCGATCATCCAGCCCTTCAGTTTGTGGTAGATATTCAGCTCGCGGCCGATCTTGGCGCCGGCGAAGTTGATCGCCTGCTGCCATTCCATCAGCGGCGAATCTTCCTTGAGCGAGCCGTCGTCGCTCTGGGCCCAGACGGCACTCTCGTGTGATTCGAAATAGCCGCCCGGTTTGACGTGGTCGTAGATCCGTTGGATAAACGCGGGCCAGTCGGCTACGCATCTGCTCGTGTGTCAGTGTTAGGTGTGCTGTTTTCTTATTGAACCGCTGGTAGGGAGCATACCCTGCCAGGCATCGTGCATGGACAAAGTCAAAGTGGTTTCGATCGTACAGCCATTCGCTTTCGAAATCCTCCACGATGAACTCGATATTTGGGGCCACCCAGCTGGGCTGGATCGGGCTGATGTCATTCCCAACGACACGGGCGTTGGGGAATTTCCTGTCATAGGGTTAGTCGTGCTGGCCATACAAAGATAGAGAGGAATGAGGGATTTCACGTACTCGGCCATGTCCATGGCCCAGATGCCTGTTCCGGTTCCCAGGTCAAGAATGTTCCGTGGTGATGATGATATAGGGGCATTGTAGAGCTCGCCTCCCATGAGCATCAGCCATCTGCATTACTCTGTTAGCGACACTCGTTCACCAGGAATGAGTAGCTTGATGGACATGTGGTGTGTCTGAAGAGAGAGTCAGTTTGAATGCACAGTCACTGGGAATGGTGGCTTACTATATCCATTCGATCTTGCTCCTCTTCATCATTTGGCATCCTGAATTGGTCAGTCTTCCCGTCAGGGGCAGGGGAAAGTGAGACAATACATATAATTGCCCTATTCATAGGTGAGTTGGTCATTGTAACCTACTAAGGTCATGAGTTGGGCAAGCCTACTTACTGAGCGGTTACTGCAGTACCGTCGGCCATTTTCATACTCAAACTCGAGCACACTGGACGACAGGGAAGTGAGATCGGACAGCTCATCGTCGAATTCACTGTTGGTGTCCTATTAAAGAGAGATTTAATTTCTGCCATGAGCCCGGCATTTTTCTTTTTCTTTTTCATTTTCACATACATTCTCAAAGTTATCGACGACAATCGGACCGGGCGCGTTGACAGGGGCTGGCTCGGATGGCGCCCGTGGCGCTTCAAGGGGAGTTGGAAGCATCAGGGGCTCTGGAGAAAAGAATTTGTGGAAGAACGCGGAATAAAGAAAAGCTTGCCACACGCTTGTCCAGCTCATATAGTGGAGAGAGGTTTAGGTTTGTATCCAAACTGTCGGGTTCTAGGGGCCGGGGGTTTTTGGGATCTATCGTTGCCGGGATTCTACCAGCGCCAATAAAATCCCCTTCAACACGCCCGCGTCTCCAGTCCCCATTTTGAAAACTACTCTTGTCCTCACTCTTTAGTTCGGAATATTTCTTTTCCCGCCTTGACCGTTTATTTCCTCGTCGGGTCTGGCGATCCCAGACCAGTTGATTTTGAATCCACCCACCGTCTTAGAATTCCCCGAAATTATCCAACGCGAATCCTATGCAGTTGCTGTAAGATGTGTGCCTCAGCCACTTCATCTTCATCTTCCTGTAGTGCGCTTCAGTAGTCTACTTGGTTCTTCATCTCCCGTCCCATTGCTTTTCCAGTCATGGCAGAACATGGTCAGGAGAACACACTCGGTCCGAGCATCCCCATTGTCACGTCGAATGCGATGGATTTTGACAGAGCCTACCATCACCATGGAAACTTCTTTATTAAAAGATCCCTTCGGCCGAGCGAGTACATGACTAACATCCGAGGAGCAAAGATCATCCCTCGGCTAGGAAAAGACCGACTCCAAAACGAAGCCGCGGCATTGAATTATATCGCGTGATGCGACTCTCGGAAAAGGACGACTGGCTCCGGAAAGTGAGCAACAATCACGAATACAATTTCTGCCACAACGATCTTTCCCAGTCGAACATTCTTGTTGACCCTGAAACACTGAAGATCCGGGCGATTATCGACTGGGAATATGCAGGCTTCTTCCCCAAATCCTTTGAGGGGCTTTTCTACAAAAGAATGGGTCCCTCGGTAGCCTTTAATGGGGAGCCTGATGATGCTGCTGAATTGCTGCAATCCATGAAAGCTACCTAATGGAGGCGGGAAACCAGACACACTGATGGGTTGATGAAACTAGCTCGTAGAGTTGATGTATTGATGTACAAACGTGAACAGTGAACATGATTAATCGAATCGATCAGCTAAATCTATCTTCGAAAACAAGAAAACTTTCTCGACGTAGGTTTTCCCTTAGTTGATTCGAAATGCGAGACTAGTACCTAAATTGCTCTTGAATCATTGAAAACAAAAATGATTGTCTCCTACAACAAATGTGGAATTTGTTATAGTCGGAAATAAACCAGCGGCGCATGCGAATCAATCAAAGACAGACACCCCCTTGATCCTATACTGTCCATCCAAGACGATCAGGCCCCATATCTTTAGGGGTGTTTCCCTCATTTGGCAACCTGATGAGGGCTAGGAAGGCACGCCTTCTGGCTCAACGCGCTGGAGCATGGAGGCGAGGGTGGCCTTAGCAGGTGTACACTAAGCTCCTTCATACGGCTAATGATTCATACATACTTAGCCCAGTGAGGCGACTTGAAGCAGACAGGGCATTCAGCCTGGGTTCCCGAAATCGCAGCACCACAGTGGCGGCAGCTCACGATTTCAGTAGACATCTTGTTGCCTTGATGATAACTGAAATGAACATGTCAAAACAAGATATCTATAGAAAATTGGGCTCAAGATTGACTCACCAGCTCTTCGAGTCTTTGGGGTCTGTCAAGGATGAGAGAAAATTCATACTTGGAAGATATCAATTTTTGAGCAGTATCCTGGCTCTCTATACATGTTAGGCTCTCCGATCACAACTTGACCTAGATACCGAGCCTCATGTCTGTGCTCTAGATAGACACCTGTTTTCTAGCTCAATTGAAACTAGTTTGGAGCCTGGGTGGCAGAGGAAGCAATGTGACCTCGACCATTTGACCATGGATTTCGCAGACGGAGTGATATGGAATATCAGCGATAGGATATAAAAGAACCCTGCACCACTATAGCCACTTAGTTGTGGCTTTGCTGCCTGATAATAGAAGGTTGTTACAACCAATTGGCTATCTATGGTTTTAGGACTGTTGGTTGCGCGGTTAGTTTGCAGAATGCGCAATTATATAGGGTTTAGATTTTTTTTTTTCTTTTGCATATCACTCTGGTGCCTAGATGGCGTTGAAATATGACTTTGATTGCTTCAAGACTTGCCTCAATTAGTGGTAGCTAATTACTGGCCGGGACATCCTATGGTAGCAATGACATCCTATATCGGTTGCGCTGCCAACATCTATGCATAACTGTGGTTTTATTAAGCGCCACCTCTGTACCTTGCCACGTTTTTTGCTTTGGTGCCTAGAGAAATGAGTAAATCACTCGAGCCTCATTGCCTTCATGGAATATAGACAGTCATTGCTGGTATTGGCTCTAACTAGACCGCTACATCACTGTGCATAGGAAATTGCCCGCAAACGCTTGGGCACCATCGCTATAGACTAGAGCAGAGCTCTGGAACCCCTGACCCCCAGCAATAACGCCAGCTGCTACCCCCGAAGGAATTCCGTTCCCGAGGAAGTGCTCAGTCTGTCCAACGAACTCTTTATGGGAAGTCTGAGCCTCAGAAACCTTCTCTCGAACATTACAGGCTTCTTCCTCGTGCCTGGCAATCTGGATAACCTGCTTGTCCTGACTGGGTGTCTTGGACCGTCGTGCCATATCCTGGCGGATTGCCTTGAGGGAGTCCTCCATATCGCCCAGCTCCTGCTCTTTTGCGGCAAGATCAGCGCGAAGCTTCTTCTCAAACGCTTTAGTTCTCTCTTTCAACGCTTCCTTTTCCTTCTGATACATCTCCTGCATCGAGCTTCTCAGCGTTTGTTTGTCTTTTTCAACACCCTCGAGCTTCTTTTCCAATTCTACCCTGAGATCATGTAGATCGGCAGCATGATCAACATTTCTTTGACTTTTCTCGGCCTCGTATCTTGCTTCCAGCTGTTGTAGCTGACGCTTGTGGGCTTGTTGGGCCTTGTACAGATCCCTTGCGACGGCAATACCGGCCTCGGTCTCGCCAAGCGCCTTTTTATGCTCGATCATCTCCCGCTGCAGCTGCAAGGCTCCTGGAGGATGTCGTTCCGCTTGGAGGATGAGATGCGCCACTATGCGCTGTGCGGATGCCATCCACTCAGGCGAAGCCTGGTGACCCTTCTCATTGTGACGAAACACCGTCGCTCCCCGCGTAACGAGTGCGCCGAAGAACCTTTCATCAGATAGCAGCTCGCTTTCTCGAGTTCCTAGAGACACTGCCCCGGTGTAGGATGGTGTCTCGGGCCACATGGTTGTAGCGATAACTAGATTGTCGTACGTCGTGAATCCGCACATGGTCTTCATCATTTCAAGGTTGCGCATACTCGATCCCGACATACGGTTGTCTGAGATGGGGTGCAGCATTACAATCCCATGAATGCGGACCCCGTTTGCATGCGAGGCTCAGAGGTAGGTGGCGAGGATGCTCAGCGTGTCGATATCGGAGCGGTTCGTGTCGTTGAACCCAGGCGTATCGATCAGGTATACGCGGCGGTCATTCCATTGGAAGTCAAACAAATCGATCGAGTCTGTGCCTGGGATGGTGTTAACAGAGTGAAATGCGGATTTGATTCGAGAGCTCGTACATGAATATAACCCGTGACCAACAGTGACATCTTTCCCCGTGCAAGACTTTGGCAACTCGGAATGGATCGCTCTGTATTCGAGAGGATGGTGGAGTAAGTGTCTGCGTTGGAGGTCACGATAGCACCTTGGTCTCAACGGAATCGGCAATCTGGAGTTCTGTGTTCTCGGATCCGGACAGAGATGCTTTGCTCGCTGGTTGAACGGCATCTGGAGTAGCTGGACCAGCGATGAAATCAACACTGCCGTGGTGAAATACAATTCATATCGTGACTGTAGGATCGTGGCGATGGCTTTTGGATACGGTGATTCCTATGTGATTTCATACGGAACGGCCTCGAACATGAAGCAACTCGGCAATTGGTTCGATCTCAAAGGGTACTATCCGGATCTTTATCAGACGCTGCAATCAAACAAGCCTCTGAGTATATATGTGAGTGTTTGATTCCAAGTTCGTGCCTATTCTATGCTTACAGCTACCTTAGGCTATTGCGCTCGATCCCACGAGTACGACGAACTATATCTTGGTTTGGGGGTACCACAAAGATGGGCTCTATCGTGTGCGTTGGTTTTGTTCCAATACGACTGATTCCCAATCCATTCAGAGCTGGTGGGATCAGGAATGTGCGTAGACATTGGACAGTCGCCAGCAATTGATACAGCGAGGCGGAAGTATGGAACTAGTCATTGTATTGAAGTTATGTTTACCTCTTCGCTTTTCCAAGAACTTGAATGGTTATGCATCTCATGACTCGACCGGAGATCATCCAAAATCATTATCTCGTAATATCATGCCTACTGCTCGATCTCGCTCTATAATAAATTGCCACACTAGACGTCAGCATCATTGTCGACGTCGCCCTGAGCTTCATCTCCGAAATCCGCATTCAGGAACCGCACAAAGGCATCCCCGACCTGATCCGCCGCTAGCCCGCCCTTTGACGTTCCATGTCCATGCCCGATGTAAGAACGATTCAGACTGATCCACTGCCTGCGCAGCCGCTGCAGCCGCGGCAGGGCTAAAGCCCCGCCCACGCCGGCCAGCTCGTCGGTGGTGCCCGTCGTGGCAACGTGCGAAGGAACCAAGACAGGGAGAGATGCATCGGGGACTTCGATGGCGATGCCCTTGGCGTGGTTGCTCTGCGCCAGAGCCGTCTCGGCAGAGGGATTGGATTGTGTGAAGGCGCGGATCGCAGAGACAATCGCCGACGTGCGTTTTTCCATTGCGTACAGGGCGCCGTGGTCGGTGGCGACGGCTTGCACGGTGGCTTGGTGGGGCACGATCCTAGGGCGCAATGATTGACCGCGGTTAAAGGTCCTGGCCCTTGTCGCCGTGCTGGCTGTGTCGGAGAGCGTGGATGAGGCTAGAGATTCCGTCATACTAGGGACTGTGGCATCGACAGTGGTCTGAGCCGATGGAAGAACAACGCCCGTTAGTTCCTTGAAAATGTCGGCGACAGGGGGTTCGCGGTCGGTCCATGGGACGGTGAAGAGAGGCTTATCCCAGCGGCTGTGGGTGCTGGGCTCTTCATAGCGAAAGATGAGGTTGTTCAACAATTCCGATGGGTAGGCCTCTTCATTATCCTCGGTGGAATCTGCCGGTTTCCTGGCCGGTGCATCGGTTGAGCCGGGGTCTTGCTGCTGCGCCACTTGTCGGCGCAATCGAGCGTCGTTATTAGCGACGCACTGGTCGACGGGTGTTCCCACATGGACCTAGAGAAGTGTGCCACCGGTCAGCGGGGAGAAAGTGCAGAGACTGATGCGTCATTTCTAATTCCATACCACACAGCATGTTGTTCCAGCTGCCTTGGACTCGCACCATAACTGGTACCTCCATCCCTTAATGTAGTTCATCCCATCGAGGATGACGATACTGTCCCGCGCCAGCACGCGCTTGGCCCGCGCATAGGCGACACCGCGCGCCTCTTTTTCTGTTCGGGCATGGTCGTACACTATGCGAGGATGCCCGGCATCATGCGACGGCACGACATGGACCTTAAATCGCGACTTCAACGAGACGGGCGACGTGGGGTCGGGTGCCGCAAAGAGCTCATCCTGCCCTTTTTCAAGGAGCGACGCGAGCTGGTTGGCACGATAGGTGAGACCAGAGCACGGGTAGCCGGTGAGAATGACGAGCTGGAAGTTGTGAGCCTAAGGAATTTCCTGGGAGAACATGGCACGTACCGGCATCGTGTGATGTCGCAACGTTGTTCGCGCGAACTTTTTCTGCCCGCGGGGATGCCATGTGACTCGACTCCACCTGGAGGTGAAATATGAATCATATTTATCAGGTGCTGGATAATTTATATGAACACTTAGAATGGGTATTCTAAGGTAGTAAGAGTATATATTTATAGGATATATGGCCATGGATAGAAAGAATTGCTCGTAGCGTTGAAAATTCGTGAATGACATCTATACAGCATCGGTCTATATACTAAATCACGCCGTGTGCAATTGGTCTTGCGCCCACCGGATCTCATATCCAAATACCGTTCGTCGAAGGCGTTCATCCTAAGCAGATTCTAGGTTAGTATAGGGCACTGCCGTATACCTCACTAAATATCACTTACGCCCGGGTCATTTTCAAAAAGGACTTCCTCCGTTAGCTTTTCAAAAACCTTGGTGACTGTAAATCCGCTTGCCTCCGCCAGTGGGAAGAACTTTTCGGTTCTGGGCAACAGCCACGGCTCATACGGCGTGAAAATAACCAGCGCCACCGACTCTGGGTCTTTCTTCATGGTCTGCTGCATGGTTTTGATGAGATTGGGATGCTCGCGGTGGCTATACACCACGTCCGCCATAATGAGCACATCGAACAGCCGGGGTGCATCATTGGCAGCTGCGGGCAAATGTTCCAGCAACGGATCAACCGGGCTCCCCCATTTGTAGCCCTCGACGTAGAGTCGGCGCTGGGCATGCGGACTCTCGGAGATGAGATGCGCCGAGAGGTCGGCATTGTACTGCATATTGCCCACCAGATCCGGGTCGGGATAATCTGTCATCACGGTGGTGCGGGCTCCTTGAATGGCGCTCACGATGCTGGGTACGCCCGCTGCGGCGCCGATCTCGAGGACATCTTTGTTTCGGATAAGCCGATCGGTATGGTCTTCGATGTAGTGCGCGCTCGTGCGGCCGGCATTCCATAGCAAGTCGCCCTGTATTTGCCCGGAATTCGTCAGTATGGCCACTGCAAGGAAAAAGAATCGTCGCGTGTGGGGGTTATACGTAGAGGGGGTGGCTGCCCACAAGACGCACGCGCACAATTTGTCCGGAGCGCATGCGGTGATCGGCAAAAGTGGGCGGCTTGTCCTCGGGGTAGAACCCCTCGGGGTCCTTGAACAGATCCCCCGTTTCAACGTCGGCCATGGCGCAGGAAGGTGGCAGCCCTCGGAGAAAATATCTATCAGCTTATCGGCGGGGTTGGTGCCTGAGGCAGGAGTGTTTTCTTCGATCAGGTCAACATGGAATTTGCGAGTACCAAAACTCGTAATGATCGTATGATTGGTGTTGAGTAGTAACTCATGGTAGCTCTTCAAGTGCTTCTCGGCCAATCTCCAGTATGGGTATCGGCTCGTGCATTTCAAGGCTAGTTGCATGCTTAGTATGCAGCTGGGCGATTATAGTGTACCATCCTGAGATCCAGTCTTGCACGTACTTGGGCTGACAAGAATACATACTTAGCCCTTAGTTTATATTACTTTATATTGCAAATCTCTCTCTCTTTTGTTTACTCTCGTCTCTTGTACATCCCACATGTCGGTCACCTGACTTCGGCCGAGGCTTGGCTCAGCCGAAGTGTGGAGATACCGTCACTTTACGCCTTTTGATTTTCGCGTTATATTTCCTGGAGATCTGCGATCTGTCGGGCACTTGCATCCCTGACTGGATGCATCCTGGAATCCTTGACCCCATTTCATCCTCTTTTTTAGGCCTTTCTGCCTCCTCCCCGTGACCACATCGTCTAAAACGCCCTGGTTAGTCGTATCCAAGTAATCAGGGACCCCGCGGCTAGCAGCGTCTTCGCCTCGCACTTGCATCCTCTACCGAAGTGTTCCTTGCGTATCTTCCGTGATTCGTCTTCTTTTCCCTCACCTCCCGTTGCCCTTTCACCTCATCTCGCGTGGCATGATTCCGGCTGCCCTCCCGGCTATCTGACTTGAGTATTCTCGGTGCCACCTTACTGTCCTTCGCATTTGCTTCAACCTCGGTTTTCTTTTGCCCCGACGTCATGAATCATACTATGCAGTCAAATTTTCCTCCCCAAGTCCCCATCACGCAAGCGTCTGCCTCATTTCCTCCGTCCACTTCGACCCTCGATCCGTCAGTCGACCCAGTAGCCATGGCAGAACAGTCGCAACAAACCCTCAACATCCCATCCAACCCAAACAACCAGCCCTTCCCCTCTCCTTTGCAAACCGCCGCAGCCGCCTGTGCTCCGCAGTCCACCTTGTCCCAAACTCAAGCGTTGCCCCAGACGTTGAACAATACATCTCATGCCGAGGCGCTGGCCGTGGCACCTCCGGCTGGCAATACCCAAGCCATCCCGCAGTCAGGCGCCGCGCCCGTCTCGCAATCCGGCCCTGATCAATACCCTCACCGGATCGACAGCCTGGGTGGGCCGACAGCCACCGCTCCCTTTCTGCAGGACTTTAATCTCGTCGCCGAAGCAGCCAAGCGTGCCCAGATGGGGATTGTTATGCGTGATCTCGAAAGCGTCACTCTATAGTTCAGGCAGTCAAGCGATGGCAGACGGCTGATTCCGAGTGGAGGGGTGAAGACGGGTCCGGGTTATAGATATATGGTGTTTGGAAATGACTTGGGCATCTTGCTTTCTGTTGGTCTACGGACACAATGAGGCGAAGTGATCCTCTGGGACACAACCTGGAAAGGTCACGCGGTCGCCTTTTGGTTGATTTTGGCGTTCCAGTCGGCGTTGGCTTGGTAGATTTGCTTTGTTTTGACGATCTCAGCTTATACCACTGATCTACTCACGAGCATGGAATACATCTATTTATTTTGCTGTCAAATACTAGGTAGTGCAGGGCGGCGAAGATGTCTGTCTATAGTAAGCAAGTATTACTTCCCACGCTTTCGCTTAGAGTCCGTCCCTCCCTGCTTGAACAGCGCATCGAGACTCTGCTGTCCTTTCTCCCGTCGCTCCTCCCTAACCTTTTCGCTGGCGAGAACAGGCGGGCGACCCTGAACTCGGCGCCGCGCATCCTCGAGCAACTCCATCTCTCGATCGCGCTGTCCTCGCACGGTGGGAATGGACCAAGAGTTTGAAGTGGTCGACTTATGCGCCAGCTTATACTTGGTGCCGGTCAAATGTGTCTCGTAGGTATTGGCATCAATCTTCCGCACATGCTATGATTCAATGCATTATCCAATATGAGCAATCTTGATCAATTATTCCTGGATCGGTCTCTCTCACCTGGTGCCCCACGATATACCAGTGATACTCCGTCCCCACGGGAGCACCACTGCCGCGCGGAGCATTGCGTGCTCGCCGTTTGCTGGATTGGTAGTCGATTCGCCACCGGTCCGGTTCTTCTTTGGTCTCCTTCCACACTCCCGCCTCGTAGTTCCAGGTGTGCGAGGCGCCGACGGCCATGCCGGAGTATACTTGTCCTCGATGGGTCTTGAGGGCATTGTATCCTGGTCTGTCGGAGGTGAATTTGGTTACCACGTTGTCTGCGATGCCTTCCTCTAGCGGGTTTTCCTCTTCGTCTAGCAATGCGGGATCCAGTGAGTCTGTGGTTGAGGCTGCGCTGGCCGGACTGGTTCTGCTGTGGTCCACGCCATGGTCATGGCTGCTGGCGAGGGCTGTTGAATCTGCCATGGTTTTCTTAATAAACTGCTTGGATATACTGAATAGAAATAGACATTTTTTTATCAGTGTTATTCTGAAATCTAGTGCCACTGCGAGTGATGTCACCTTGATGATTGGGATCTGTCACGACCTGATTCAAATTACGACGGTGAGGATCTATACATGACTCAGGAAATGATACAATATCACATACAGCCAGTAAACGAACTGGATGATTTATAGCCACTGCTGCTTTCCAAGTAAAGATGTGCACCGGCGGAATCCAGATCTAGTATCCAGTCGAATTCACAGCAAGATATGATCGTGCATCACTCACAATCCAACAGACGCGGAATTTCCGCGTTCAAAGGCGGCTGTGCATCCGTACGTCTTAAATACTTGGTCCTCGGCTCATGGACACAGCGCTCACAATTCAACTGCCGATCAATGGAGGTGGTGTATTATGTGGGTCTAGGGGCGCTTGAGGGAATTCTCTCCGGGGTTCTTGGTTCCCCATTCTTGTCAATCACTTCCTAAGAAGCTTGTTGACGCTGAAGGCACAGTAGACGGTGGTTGCGCAGCAGATCGAGACTACCTGCTTTGAGCGCTAGGCCGGGCGCGTTTACAGTGCTGTTTGTAATGATGTTCCATATCGAAGCAACACGATACAGAGATATAAAAGTACCCAAAATCCCAGTGGTGGTAATAGACGGGGAGGAAATAAAGATAACCAGAAAACATTTTCCTCCGAGCCAGGAAAGATAAGATTTATTGTACTATAGTCACTGTATCGACCCAGGCCTTAATAAATTGTCCTCTCACGCTATATGACGAGGACTGCAGGGAAATGCATGAATTGGGATCTCGCTCCTACCAACACTACTATAGGGCTATGGATCATTGCAGCGGGCCTATAAGAAAACCAAATTAGCTGCGCCATTTCATGTTTCCCAGCAAAGATAGAAAACTTATGTGGGTCCCAACCTGGCTGCCGCAGCAGTCTGGCACCTGGGCCTATGGAAATTAGCACTCAAGCGCGCTCTGGCTCATGGCTTGTATATTCACCACCAGACCTAGCCTCGTCGATTCGACTGACGGATGTAAGTTATAACCCCTAATCGTGATAAGTACAGTGGGCCAACATGCATCTATAGTCTAATCAGTATCCTTGTACTAGTCCCTTGCCCTCGAATGGAATCGGCTCAACTTGTGAGGGCTTGGGAATCCAGTACATGGGCCAGACTCAACATCTATTCGAATTGGGGTCTATAAATTGAGTGTTGAGGCAATCATAGAAAAGGTCAAATGCACTACATGATCCTATACTGAAAAGCAACGGACTGAGACGATGTTCATTCTTAACACCCACGCATTCCCCCCAAATGTAGCACCGCAATCCTTGGCGTTACACATCTCCACGAATGGCTGACTGCCCTACGATCCTTTGCCGGATTCGGCACTTCCTGGCCTATCGCAAGCCTTAGATGGCCCCAATAGAAAACCCCGATAGGGTAAATTCGGGGTAAATCCTGTTAGAGTTCCCCGGATTCTCTCCGCATTTCACCCCGGACTTCGGTGCGGGCCCAACATGCTTGGGATCTGAGAATTTACCCGGTTCCTTAGCCCTTTGCCGGGAGATGGTGTCGCTATATAAGCTGTGGACCCCCACTGGGTTATTTTACCTTGTATACCGGAAGCTTAGCCGTGGGATCTAATTTGTTCCTTTTTTTATCATCTATTTGTCTACTCATTTATTTTAAATTCTTTCCAATGACCGCCATACAAAGAAAGAAAAAGCCCTACTTTGGGCTGACCGGAGGATGGCTCACATTCTGGGTGACGGTATGGATGCCACACCTCAGTATAGAACTCTACTAATGGGATCTGGTATTTTGGCCTTAGGTTGCCTGTGCTACCGACATGTCCTTGTTCGGCTATGACCAGGGTGTTTTCAGTAAGTCTCAATCCCTTGTATATCTACGATGTACAAAACACTCTAACCAAGAGCAGGCGGCGTGGTCCTCACAAAAGACTTCCTCGAAGTCCATGATCTAGTCGGTCCCACAAAAACAAAAGATCTCTCTACTGTGACGGCCATCTACGACGTGGGGTGTTTCTTCGGCGCCATCATCGCATTCACCATCGGCGAGCGACTAGGGCGCAAGAAAGCCATCTTGCTCGGGACGACGATCATGGCCGTGGGTGCCATCCTCCAGGCGAGCTCGTTTAGTCTGGCGCAGATGTTTGTCGGCCGCATCATACTGGGGTGAGTACTTTTTCCCTCAAGCACAATGCCTAGGTAAACACTGCGAGTATACATCTAACTCTGTGATGAGTTGCACAGTGTGGGAAATGGAATCAACACGGCCACAGCGCCGATCTGGCAGACAGAGACCTCGCAGTTGAAATGGCGTGGGAAGCTAGTGATCTTCGAGATGATGATGAATATCGCCGGCTTCTGCCTCGTCAATTGGATCAACTACGGCTTTTCCTTCTGCGGCGGATCCGTCGCCTGGCGCTTCCCGCTTGCATTCCAGTTTGTCTTTCTTTTTATCCTGTGGTCCACGACGCCGTGGCTACCAGAGTCTCCTCGGTAGGTGTCTGTTCCTGAGTACTTCCAAAGTTCCCTTACTACGAGATGCTAATATAATATAGATGGCTCCTCGCCCATGGCCGCGAAGAAGAAGCAATGGAAGTATTAAGCTGCCTCGAAGCCAAACCCATCGACGACCCCTTCGTCATCACGCAACGCAACGAGATCACCTTCAGCGTGCGCTACGAGCGCGAGAACGCCGTGCGCTGGCGCGATCTCTTCAAGAAGCGCGAGCACGATACCAAAACGCTGCGCCGACTGCTGCTCGGAGCCGGCAGCCAGTTCATGCAGCAGTTCGGCGGCATCAACATCATGTCGTATTATCTTCCGACTGTGCTGGTCACCAGCGTGAAACTGCATGAGAAGATGGCGCGTCTCTTGGCGGCATGCAACGCTGTGTCGTATCTCGTGTTCTCGGGTCTGGCAGTCTTGCTTGTTGAGCGTATGGGCCGCCGAGGACTTATGATGCTGTCGACGGCGGGCCAGTTTGTATGTTTCTTGGTTATTACGATTCTGCTGCGCTTCTCGGAGACTAGTCCCGATGGCAAGAAGTTTGCTTCGGCGTCTGTGGCCTTTTTCTTTCTTTACTATGGCGCCTTTGGGATCGGTATGCTCGGTGTGCCCTGGCTGTACCCGACGGAGATCAACTCACTGCCGATGCGGACCAAGGGGCGGCTGTAGCCACTGCAACGGACTGGTATGTTCTTTCCAGGCTGTGTGAAAATGGAACGTCTAATGATATCCACGGATGCAGGATCACCAACTTCGTCATCGTCGAAATCACCCCCATCGGCATCCAGAACATCGGCTGGAGGTTTTGGATTGTCTGGACTGTCTCCAATGCGGTTTTTCTTCCGATCCTGTACTTTTTCTATCCCGAAACCGGTGTGTTCGACCTGCTACGCGCGTTCTTCTTTCATACTGACATTTTCTTCACAGCTAACCGCAGCCTCGAGGACCTGGATGCTTATTACCGGTCCAACCCGTCGCTGATTGTTACCAAGGATCCCGATGCCATCTGTCGCCGACGCCCTCAAAAGTATATTGAGCACGAGGACGAGGAGATTGAGAAGACTGCCGCCGGCAAAGATGTTCTCTCTTCGGTAGAAGCAGCGCATGTGGAATGGTCGAAATGAAAGAAGTCCGCGTTGTTTGGTACGAGGCATTATTAGTGCAATCCCACATATCAACAGGGGGGTATAGATAGGAGGGGGGGGGCCGTTGGATCAGATCTGAGACATTTTTGTGCGAATGAGCCCGTTGATTCGCAATTGAGTCGCCGGATGATTCAACTCCTCGCACCGAGTAATTCATAAATCTTATGCTTTGGGAGGATTCACCGTGGGATGCAGTGAGATTCGAGGACCTTGGGCTCCGGGGGTTATTTTTAGAAAATCGATGCACGGTGGCCCACTGCATTACGGTTGGGTGGCGCAGTTAGCGCCAGGACTCGTAGACAGTCGGAAGGGCTTTGTTTATAGAAGACATAATTGCAGGCATAACTGAATGAATCAGTAGATCAAGTATCAAGGGTGAAACCCAATGCATTCCCAAACACCGAGCTATGCGCGACCCAAACCAAGTAAATACAGGAGAATCAACGAAATATTAAACACTGAAAAAGAAAAGAAAAGAAAAGAAAAGAAAAGAAAAAAGAACCAATAGTCTCCCAATATATCGCAAATAAAAGAACACCCCAAACAAACAAAATGTGGCACCGAAACACCGCGACCGAGAGAGTATCCATGGATGTATGAAAAGGAGATCATCGCTGCACTGCCGATCCCACATGGAAATGACATCTTTTTGTATAGATTGTCATTTTCTCCTTCTCTTTTCTGATTTTTTTTTTCCTTTGTTGTAGATGAACCATCGGCTTTAAATAAACGAGGCTTGGCTCCGGGTGGCATACTGAGTCGACGAGCCGATCAGATTCGGGGACGAGATGCTGGCCGCCTGGGAGCCGGGCGCCTTGCCGCGCTGACTCCAAATCGACAACCGGTGACTGAGACGACGACTCAAACGGCGTGGTGGCGACGACCAGGCGTCAAAGGACATGATGGACATGGGCCGCGACCGGGGAGGGCCACCAGCCGTAACGGGGGTTTCGGGACGCGAGCCGGCATTGGGGTTAAAGGCGCTGCCGTCGAAGATGAGGGTCGAGCGGCGTTTAAGCTTGTCGGCCGTGGAGCGCGGGTCGATTTGCAGCGAGAAGTCTTCCTTGATGTCGTCGAGGGCGTGCGACATGCGGCGCAGCAGTTTGGGTTTCTCGATGATGGATGGCGTGCGCTCCTCGAGCCCGTATGCTTGCACTGGTGTCGATTCAGAGCCGTCGTCCATGGGGGTGGAGTAGAATCGGGGGGATTTGGGCATTTCTTTGCGGCGGATATTTGACCCCAGCGACAGCGACAGCGACGATGTCGGCTGGTGGTGGTATGGGGAGGGTGTGGTTCCGAGGATGAAACACTCGAGGAATACGAGCTGTTGGTGGCAGAGGATGTCAACACCATGGTGTAGAGATGTAAGAGTGAGAAGATTCTGTTAGTAGTCGGGGGAAATGAAAGTGAGAAAGGAAAAAAAAAAAAAAACATCTCATCTCACGATGAATTCCGAAAGAGACTAAAAGTGGATCAGAGACATGAACACTTTTAGTTCCAAGCTACCAGGCGCCGGCCCGCGTAACACGTTGATGACGGTAATTTCGTCTCCTGAATTCTTTTTTTTTTTACTATGGAATTTGATGTACGCAAGGAGAGAAAAAGAGAGAAATAATCTGGAGATCTAGAGAGAATTCACCCTGGATAAGTGAGGATGCAAGGTACTTGCCACTCGATCTATACTCTCCATATCCTCTCAACCACCGAATGTACCGTACAACGGTGGATCCAACTGTATTATTGCCGAGAGCCCACCAGGTTCAAGCGGAGTTCTGTATCAGATCACCCATGGATGTCTTGGATTTGACACAAATACTCTCCTGGCCAACGCGGATGCCTACGTGTTTCCAACCTGACCGAGTTTTTTTACTCTATCCATTCTTATTTTTCCCTTCTCTTTTTCTCTTTTAACTGCTGATTCCTCGGGATTCCTTTTTCTTCTACAGTCTTCCCCGTACTTGGCCCCACTGCGATCGCCCCGATGATCCGTTATTGGGCCGATTCCCCCTGAGGGGGATCGCGCGACGTTTGGGAGAAGAGGGGGTATTCCAGGGAGATGGCGTGCTTCTGATTCTCTCGAAATTGGAGAAACGGCGATCTGAAATGCTGAACAGCCTTACGATCCCTATGATATCAAGTGTCAAATGTCATATATCAAAAATTGGGACTGTCCCATGTGGTGGGTTTACAAGCGAAGATTTGTCGAGTTGCGGTGGGGCAACGCGGAGGGGGCTGTGCCGCGCAGAAGTACGTTTAATTTCTCATAAAAATATACCAATAGACCAATATAACACTATAAAACGAGAGATATATAGTTATATAGTACTATGGTAGATGCCATCTTGATGCAATTCAATCATATACCAACCCGACACTCCCGAGATTCCATGTCTTAATAGCCGAAATATCCTCTCAGGACATCCCAGTTCATGGAAATCATGGGGATCATGGGGCGTTCGTCCCACTTTACATCACAAACCGCAGGTTGTAATCTGTCGAGTCAGCATGCGCGACGGGTGCCACGGCAGATCAACTTACCAAGGGGATGGCTGCAACTCAACTGCGGCTTCTGCGTATATTTGCCGTCCAGCTCGGCCCGGATCGTGTTCAGCAGCTGCAAATAGCTCTGCTGCGGCCATTGCTTCAGGGATTTAATAAATGCCCAGCTCAAGGCGCCGCGCGCCTGTCCGTCCTGGAATGTGTCGGCGCTGCTATAATTAGTCCCTCTCTTTGTTTTCTTTCTCTGCTGTCTGGTCCAAGGTTCTTTTCTTGTTACTTACGAAGTCTGCGTATCTTTCGATCCGGAAAACATCACCACATCAGCCGGTGACGTCTTGGTCATAATCGTGCGTTCGCGCGCAGACCCTCCATTCGCCGCCTTCTTGAAGAAGCCGATGGCGGTGTTGGCGACACTGGACAGATCGCCTTGGCCGTACGAGTTAATAGCACTAAACAAATCCTGCGCCGCCTCCTTGGCCAGGTTGGGCTCCTTGAGCACGCCTTGGGTGGAGTAGATGTACGGCAGATCCAGCGCAGTGCCTGAGTGGCACGAATCAAAAATGGCCGTCAGTCGCACACCGGGCCGCAGCGGCCGCACCATGATGGCGTGCATGTCGTCGTCGACAATGTGGCCGGCCACGCGGTAGTCGACCGGGTAGATCACGTCGTCGTAGCCGTCGTCCTCGTCGCCATCCAGGTCGGGCGTGCGCCCGCCGTGGCCGGAGAAGTGCACGAAGAGCGAGTCGTTGGGCTGCGCATCGCGGACCAGCCATCGCATTGCTCGCATGATGTTGGCCTTGGTGGGCACACTCATCGGGTTGCGCTGGTCATCGGTGAGAATCACCATGTCCTCACGTCGGTACCCGAATCGCTCGTGTAGGAACCTGGACATGTTGGTTACATCGTTGATGCATCCGTGCAGTGCATTGGGTTGACCCGTGTAATTGATTCCAATCAGTAGGGCCTTGCGCCGTCCCGTACATGTCGAATATTGGAAGTGGTAGTTGGAAGGTGCGCCCGCCCCAAAATGCTGGGCGCCTTGCGGTGGGGGTGGGGGCAAGTTGGGCGAGGGGATTCGTGGCGGGCCTAGCAGATCTCCGTTCAGTCATTCTTGATGCATTTATTGAAACAGGATTCATCATAACCAGAAATGATTATGATCAATAATTTCAATGTCGGGGTCAAGTACCTTCACGATGCGAGCTGAGACTGTGCGAATGGGGCCGCGGTGAAGGTGTATGGCCATACGGAGGCTGTGGGGGATAAGGGGCCGGGGCCGGGCTGGGAGGATACGGGCGCTGATATGGATATGGTTGTTGATAGGGTTGGTGATAGGGCTGAGGCGGATGTTGGTGTGGGGGTTGCCACGGGGGAGGTTGTTGATACCCCCAAGGAGGGGGTCCTGGTGGCGGTGGTCCTGGTGGTGGATAGTACATGGCGGGGAGAGAGAGAGAGAGAAAAAGAGGAGAAAATTCACGAGAAAAATGGCGAGCTGGCGGGTTTAAAAAGAAAAGGCCGGCTGGCTGACCGGTGGGTCGCGCAGATCAGCTTGGTAGGCGAGGGGATTTTGAGGCTGGATACAATAGAAAGATGGGGATTGAGGGATTGAAGGGGGGTTTGCTAGTCTAGATGTATATTTGGATGGATTCTATACACTATACATTATACACTACTTACTACATTCATCTCGTTAATATTCAATCCCATGGTATACAGAGATATACAGAGAAGAGAAAGTCCACTCCACCCGTAGGGCTGCAGATGGCCAATTCAGGCAGCCACGTTTACGGGTCACGTGGGTGTTTATTCTCAGGAACACGCGATTTCTTTCGTTTGTTAATTTGCAGTATATTGATAAATGGATAAATTGATAAATTAATTACTTACTTCCTTAAATATCTCTGGATGTTGCTATAAGGTTGACTCTTGCTGAAGGAGTGTATTGACGTATGTCGTGCTGGATCCCTCGCCCTGGAGCTGGAGGCCCCTTCTCATACAATAATCATGGAAATCACCAAAAAAAAAAAAAAAAAAAAAAAAAAACTTGCAAAGCCCGAGTCCACATGGGCGATCTGATCGCAGTGGGGTAGAAATGCTCTGCGGCTCTTTGATCACAGTCTCAAGTCAGACGTAATCAAAGTCATCCGCATGCTACATCCGAGTGGAGCCTGTTGGGTTCAGTGTTGAGCCGCATGTCTCATTCGCCCCTGGATGTTATGATGATTATTATCTCTTTTTGGAGACTCGCACTAGTCGATCCTTGTTCTTAGATTGGTCAATTTTCAGTATCTGAGCTTCCATTTTTCTTTCATGGATGTGATCCGGGGGAAAGGTGATCGGCTGTTGAGGCTCTGGCGAGGGGGTCGTATTTGAGTCTCAACTGGGCCTCTTTAAATGCTTTCTGACTGTTCTTGTTCCTTCATCCCCAGCCTCACCCTCACCTCTTTTCCTTTCCTTTTCTTTTTAGGTCACTATGATCGCCTTTTTCTAATATAATTGTTCCGCCATGTCCCCTCAGCTGGACTCGCTGCCCTTCGATGTGTTCTATCAGATCGCGAACTCGCTGGACGACTGCGATGCCATCAGCTTGAGTCGCACGAACCGCTCTCTCCATTCTCTGATGGACAGCGACCTAATTGCGCGCAAAACTGTCGAGGTATTTCTTTCCTGCTTTGATTGTCTCATCTCATTCATCTACCTTCTTTTGATGTGTATTAATTTTCATCTTTTCATCTTTTCATCTTTTCACCTTTTTGTTTCTTTTTCTTTTTTATTTTGTTATTGGGACGAGAAAGGGGCAAAGGGAAATACCACATCGCTAACCCCTTGTTACAGAATATCTTGCGTTACAGCAAAGAAGGCCAGTCTGCTCTGGCGGCTCAATCCGGCTACCGCAAGGCCGTCGGGCATCGGGTGGCCATCCATGAGGCGGTGGCCACTGCCGCCCCGTATGCCGTGTCCGTCTTGGCTTATGGGGCCGATTTTCTCTACCATCAAGGCTATCTATGCTATCGAGTCGGGCAAGAAATTCGGCTGCTGGACGTGCACCACGGGCGCCGCGTCGAGCGCGTCCTGAATCTCTGCGAGGTCCACCCCCGTCTTCTGGACGGTCAGCCGGGCACGGACCAGAAGGTCCGCGTGTCTCTCCTCCATTACGCGGACGACATCCTGGTGTTCCGCGTGTCGGGACTGACCCATGATGACTCGCTGCTTGCTATCGACATGGAGCCGCGCTCCGACCATCTCCGCCGGCGCCGTTTGCTCCTTCAGCGCTCCTTGCCGGCTGCGGCGCCCATTTTTGTGCGCCATAGCCGCTCCTACATCTGGTACGGCACTTTTACTGCCGTCGATGGCTCCGATGGCGTATGGTCTGTCTGTGGCGTAGATCTGGCAACTATGCAGTCAATCGAGTTTCCCCTGGACCGCGTCGTTGATGGTGATCTGGGTCAGACCCTCTGCTTCGAAATGCACCAGGACCACTTGTATGCAGTCTCGACCCAGGTCGCGTCAGACGAAGACGAGGAGCTCTCCTCATTCTACCATTGGCTCTGCCACGCGCCGCGTCATCGCAGCCAGAAGTGGAGCGGCCGCCTCTGGCGCCGCGAGCACCGCGAAGGCCCCATCAATGAGATGTGGACCGATCTCTCCATTCGCACCGACGAGGCCACCGGCCGCCCCGTCATTCTGGAGTGTCGACGTGAATGGCGTCATGGCAGGAGTGAAAATCACCGCACTTACTACACCCAGCCGCTGCCTGTGCCGCAAGAGGCCTGGGCAGCACCTTCGGACGCTGTGGGAAACTGTCCGCCTCGAGAACAGGTGAATCACAACCCCAAGGATAGTGTCGCGGCTCGCCGGCCCTATGACCAGTGGCCCGAGAAACGCCTGCGTCGCCATTACCACGCCGAGTACGAGCCGGGCGCCGACACCGCACCGCGGCAGGAATTCATTGCCGCGCGTACCAAGCACCGCAACTACCATCTCGCCGCCTCGACCTTTCTAGATCTGGTCAACGACCCCGCCCCTCACGCCGACGGTGTGCGTTCTCACGATCGCCTGCGCCTGCGGACAGTCTCCCGGAAGCGCAAGTGTCCGATCGACGAAGAAGGTGCCGAAGGACCGCGCGGCTTGCTCTTCCAACCGACGCAGTTTGGTTCAGACGGTCGTCCGGTCGAAGGTTCTGAAGAGCGCTTTGATTCTCGCGGCGTGTGTCTATGGCCTCCGGATGATGCTCCCCCGGCTCTCCATCATCTGCTCTGTCCTGATTCCCGCACCGCCTCCATCTGTGCCGTCTCTGACGAGCGCTCGCTCATATATTCTGTCCCATCACCGGGTGTGCCTAAAGACCATCAAGCTCTTATACTTATCAGCTTTGATCCCTCCCTCCACCTGCCCACCCTCAATTCCCTTTCTTCCCTCGATACGGCGAACGAGCCTCCATCTCCTCCGACCCCGCCGCCTCCATATACCTTCTCTCGCGACGTTGTGCGTGAAGCACCGGCCTATTACCTTACCATCCAACACGGATACAGGCTACGCTGACCGCACACAGGTTTATTTTGAGATATAATCTCAGAAAATGGCATATGTATTATGAAAAACAGCGAGCTATTAGTCTCTAGTAAAGACCGGTAGCTCGGCCCAATATCATATATTCATATTCAGTTGATCCCTTGGAAATATAGTTGCGTAGCAAGTATAGGAACGGCTTGAGGCGGCTTTCATTTCCTGCGGAGATAGTAGCCACAGAAAAGGACCTCGGAACGTCGGGCGTTCGGTTAATAGTTATTACTGGGTAGACGTCCATGGGTGTTCGATTGGTATCTGTAGATCAACCACAGGTAGACGATTCCAAGCATACAATTCTAGTCTTTCATCCGCGGCTGACCTTGGTCGATGTAGGTTGTTTACAGTATAGACAAACTATGTCATGCATATACTCATTGATTTATGAATTATCTTATGAACTGAGCGGGAACCTTCACGGCCCGTTCAGGCAGTCATGGCTATACAAAGAGCCGCCCCTGGACAGAAAAGGTCGACAGGGATATTGACCGCAAAACCCATACACCAAAACTCCAGAACCCAGCGAACCCTGTGGACACAAGACCACAACCCAAAGGGGAATCAAAATCGACAAAAAGAAATAGAAGTCATCTCAACGTCACCGCGGAGCCCAAAGACAGCATCATGTACATCGGACCAAAAAGAAAACATTTTCATATGCCAAACAGAGCACGTGCAGGCTCACAACTTGGTGTATAGCTCGACTAGCGAGTCGATGATCGAGTCCCGCTTGACCGGATGCTCATCTCGAAGCAGGTTGCGCACGGCGAGGTTGTTCTTGAGCTTGTTGGACAATAACGAGGTGCCGCCTCCGCCGGTGTTGTTTCTCGCCGAGTTCAGGATATCCTTCGTGATAGAGCTGTTGCCGCCAGCCGAGTGCACCATATCGCTGAGGCTCGTGTTGCTGTGCAAGAGGTTGTGGATGGTGTTCTTCAAGAGCTCGACGATTTGCACGTTGGCCGTCAGCGTGAGCTGCTTCATGACGTCTGTGTAGTACGGCACCAGGGTGCCGTTCCACGTCACCGTCCGGGTCACGGTGTCCAGGCTGAGTTGGCCCTTTGAAAGGGAGTCTTTTTGCGACTTGATCACCTCTGGTAGGTGTTTAAGTATGGTTCCCAGATCCAGGATCCCGGTCAGAGGCCAGACATTCGGCCCCGGCTTGAGTTCGAGATTTTCCAGGGTAGTATTCCCAATTAATAAATCCCCGCTCTTGACGTCGAGTACTAGCGTGCCAATTTCCAGGGTCAGCACTGATGGGTTCGGGAGCGAGGCGTTGCCGACCAGGTTCGTGCCGTCGGGGCGTGTCGCGACCAGTGATGTGTCGGAAATGGAAAACCCAGAGAAGGAATCAAGAGCTGTAGCCAGGTCAGTGATGAGCACAAAATATATATTTGATACAGGGGTGCTTACTAGGAGACAACACGTCTTTGTCCATAGTGACCCTGGACTTAAGCACCCCCAAGTACGAGTTCGTTGTGCCCTTGATCGACAGGGCCGTTTCTTTCTTGAACACGACATTGTGGACATAGTCTGTCCAGGTGGTCAGATTGACCAGTGGCGTGTGCTTCTCTGAGATACCGAGGGTCGTGTTGCCCTTGATCGTCTTGCCGTCGATAGTGATCTGGGCCCAGGGGTTTGATGGGCCCGTGTCGCGCACAAACAAATTCAGATCAATATCCTCGATGCGCACAGGCAACGCGACCTTCAGGTTCAGTGCCGACTTCAGCGTCAGCTTAATTGAGTCGGGGCGCGGCTGCATCACGGCGGCATTGACGAGGACCAGGTCGGATTTGTTCACGACCATCTGTGAAATGGCGGGGATGGCAACCGTGAAGCTATTCCATTAGTTTACGAACTTGAAAATGCAGAGCAAGAAAGAGTTTCGAAAAAGAAAGCAAATTCGAAGAATGCGACAAAAAGAAGCACGCGACTCACAAGACGGGCAAGAAAATAGCAAGAAAGATGATATTCAGAAAGAGGTAGCAACACCAGAATCGCTTCCAATGCTGAGCAAACTTCTCCTTTTTCTTGCGCTCCTTCTTCACGAGCGAAAGACCACCGGCCGACTCGACATGCTCGAGCTGGGAGCTCTCATCGAGGCCAGCGGGCGGCAATGGCCCACGATGCACGCCGAGCGAGTATTTCGCATCGTCGGCAGTCAGATACGCGGGACGATCGTCCAGATTTTTCTTGCCCATAGTAACGGCTCTCAATTGACTTCCAACAAAGAAGACGGGGTCTCCGCACGTATATATGTAGGGTTCGGCTCGGGGAGGGGAGGGCTTGGGCCTATGGAGACCGAGCGAAATAAGCCCACGGACACACCCCAGGATTTTGGGACCTTCCAGTCCCCAGTCTCCATCGAGCGGGTCTGAGGGCAAGCGGGGCTTCGAGTAACGAAAAAGCAGTGAAAGAAGAGAGAAAATTGTGGGCTAGTGACTCTCGCGTCGGAGCACTATTGCCTGGTGCGGGCAAGGATCCACTTGCAACTGAGGAGATCGGCAACCAGGAGATGGCGATCTGCTGTGAACCGCGGCTTTTCGTCATGGAAAAAAGGGAGCTTCACATGGGCCGAGCTCAACGATCGCCATTGGAGACGGTGATTCCGGGGATGTTGCCATTCGAGGGGGAAAAAGTTGGAATTCTGGGGGATTTTTGCGGGGACGAAGAGGGTGGCTTTCTTAACGGGGGATTTTCGTCACGTCTTCTCTCTCTCTCTCTCTCTCTCTCTCCCACTCCCTCCCTTTCTCCTCCCCCCAAACTTCTCTCCCCAAACCTCTTCCCCCACTATGTCTTCCACCTCGTCTCCCTCTCCCCTGGACGAAAAGCCCGGGGCGAGTCACAGCGATACGACCATTAACATCACCAGTGACTCCGGCCGCCTTCATGCACTGGAACAGCTGGAAATTCTGCCTCAGATCCTTCAGGAGGGCATTTTGTTCGCGGGCTCAGGAGCAGCGCTGTTGCTGCAAGCTGCCTTGCCCGGTATCCGCGAGGAGGAAACCACCGGCGGGCCCGATGTGTTGGCAACCGAGCTCCTAGATGCGCTCCAGGCACATATTAGCTATATGTCATGCCTCGTTTTTGGCACCCGCGAAGAGCGCAAAGCTCTGCTGGATACGCTGCACCGCGGCATAGCCCCGCTGTTGGGTGGCGGGCGCCAGAACCGGTTCTCCCACCACCCACCGCTGCAGCTGTGGATGGCCGCCACGCTGTACGCCACCTCGACCGATTTCTACCAGCGCGTCTACGGGCGCGTCGAGTACCACACCGCGCAGCGTTGCTACAGCGAGTTCACGCTGATCATGAACTGTCTGGGTATGCCCGCCGATATCTGGCCCGAGACCCGTCAGGCCTTTTGGTCCTACTGGGACAACCAGGTCGCCAACCTGAGGGTTTCCTCGGACGCGGCTACTTTTGCCAAAGACTTACGTGAGAGCACCGACATGCCCCGTTGGGTGCAGACCATCAAGCCCTTCCTGCGGGTGGTCACCATCGAGATGCTACCCCCGCGTCTGCGGGATGCCTATGGTCTTCGCTCCACGGCTGCGACTCGCGCCCTGTACCGGACCTGGATGGGCTTCTCTGTGGCCGTCTACCCAGCAATGCCCAATAAGCTGCGAGCATACCCCTTACGGTTCTACCAGGACCGCCTACGCGAAAAATTGCATGTGGCTTGATGGGATATGATGTGTCTTTGGTCTTGCGTTGTATATACCCGATCTTTATGAACGTGATGGTTTATGGCATTTATTTTATATGTCTTTTTTTTTCTGTATATATTTGCTTCAATTTATATTCATTTGATTCCATTGAAAACCCAGTAGCAACACATCAAACCAGAAAGTCATAAATCATTTCCTTGCCTCCTCACAGTGACCCTAACACGCCGCCCAGCAATTTGGAAACATCCTCGACCAGCTATTGAAATATTAGTGCTAACGTTGATATTTCTTCTGCAGTGGAATACATACCGGTGTGGCATCTCCGATCAGCGTTGTTGTGTTGTCGACAAAGTCCTTGGTCAACAATCCGTGGGCGTTGGTCAGGATATCTTGTAAGATATCGATGTTTTTCGAGGACAGCAGCTTGGCGGCACCGGTGATGATCACATCGAGGTCTTTAATGGTATCTTCACTCAGCAGCTCCTTTGCACCGCTCAAGATCGAGGGCAATTCGCTAATCAGCCCGGTGCCATCCGGAGCAGGCGCCGCAACGGGGTTGGGTCGAGGTGCGGGCTCGGGGGAAGCGAGGGCCAGAGGAGCCAGGACCAGAGGAAGAAGACGAGCGAACCGCATGGTGAGCTGAATCTAGAGAGAGAGAGAGAGAGAGAAATCTGAAGGTGTATGTGTGTGAAAAAGAAAAGATCTCAGGGAAAAGAATGGAATCGGCTGGATCGACGCGGACTCCGCCTGTCTGGCAGTCTTATAGTCACTCTATTCCGAGCGATGCCCACAATTTTGCGAATCTCCTCAACGGTCTCTTTTTTTTCCCACTGTCACTGCGGAGTCCACCAGACCATTCTCAGCCAGAGAGAGAGGGGGGTAGAGGGGCACTTTAGAGCCTAGAGGAAAAAAATCCCCGAGGCCGAGCCAATGTCTTTTCGCAGGCCGTCACAAGCAGCAGAAAGGCTCAGGCCGGATTGGCAGTGAATCTTCGATCCCGAGGTCGATCGCAGTGCCATGTGAAGCAAGGAAGCAAAAGGGAAAAGAGCGACATTCCCATGTCCTCGTCATTGGTCGTTCCAGCATCAACACGACGATACGACTCTCCCCCCGCAGTCGACTCTGACCCCGGATGACTGCGATGCGGCAAGGATCGACTCCTTCGATCCCGTTTTTGAGAGAAAACTGGAGAAAAGGCGACAGACCCTGCTTGACTTTTTTGCTAAGTGGAGTGAAATGATCCACCTCCGGAGAAGAGGTTCTCTTGGGCAGCGATCGGCAGTCTTTTGCGCTTTGAGCGTGTCCAAGCGAGTGAAAGAGAGACGCGCCACATCAATTAATTTACTTGGTCTCCAACCACAGGGACAACCCGAGGGAAATTCATGGATTCATGTGCCGTTCATCATTCCACTTGGCTTGGTTCAGCAGTTCCGCGGGTCGGAAAACTGGAATATGGAACAAAAATGAGGGGGGGGGGAATGGTTCTGGCGGAGAGAGTCATGCACGTCTCTCGCCACGATCATCTACAACCTCGCCATCGCCTTATCTCTCTAGATTTCTCCACTGTGACGGGCGCACTCGCTGCATGCCAAAATAGCCCCGCTTCCAAGGATACAGATCCCACTTCACAATGCCAGAGCCAACCCTAGCACGCCTAATGCCCCGATCACCGACGCCGTGAGACCCGTCGGTTGTGCCGCCATCCCCTGCGACGATGTCGTCGTCGGCGCCCCAGACTGAGACGTGGTCGCTGCGCTGGTGGCCGTACTGGTCTCGCTAGCTGTCAGCGCCCCGGCTGAGACCTGGGATCGCACCACCGACATGTAGCTTTTGACATCGGCCGGCAGGCTTTGATACCAAGCTGGCGTGCTCCCGGCCTTGAACTGGCTGGCCAGCGAGCTGCGTTGCTGTGGGTTGATCAGCTCCCAGAGGACTGAGACTGGCACCACGGCGAGGATCTCAGGGATCAGCGAGCGCGGCGGCGGCGAGATGTTGTGGAAATTGGCCGTGGCCGTTTCAGTGGCCGTGAGGTTTTGTCTGTGGATGTCAGCGATCTTATATCACTTGTGCAGCAGACAGAAGTAGAGAGTAAAGACGTACAGTGCACCAGAGATGGATGCGAGATTGAAGCCCGGAGCAGTGGTCTCTCGTCGCTCTGGCTGCGCAGTCCACGCGGTAGCCGTAAAAAGACAAAGCAATGGAAGTAGTCTCATATTGATGTTTTGGGGGTTGTGGAAGAAGGGAAGTGTCAGAACGAAGCACTCCCAGAGATCCAACGCCGGCCAAGTATATAGGACTCTAGGACTAGAGGGTGCTTAACCCCTCTTGGCCCATTGCTTGACCCCATATATCCGGTCATGCGAACCTGGGTCAGCTCGCTTACCCCGGAACAGTTGTGACATAATACTTGTGGATGGTCCGGGTGCCTGGGCTTGGTTCCATGGACATGCCTCGGAACGCCTCAAAATGTAGTCTCAGCCGGAAATGCATGCTACGCTGCAGACAGATGCATCGGAAAAATTCACCGATCCCCTGTAGGTAGTAATCGTGTACGGTAGCAAATAGCCGCAATCACGAAAAAATGATATAATTAGTATTTTGTCTGGCAGAAAATCAACCCCCCTTAAATTATAGATTTATAAGATTTGTATAAAAAAATAATTTACTAAAAAAAAAATATATATCTATAATAATATAAATAAATATAAAAAAGACCTCGTCTATAGCCTTCGATATTACTAATCCTAAGCTCTTTAATTAATATAATCTTAATTATCCGGAGTTATAGATATTACTAAACTGAGCAATCTACACGAAATGAAATTCTAAGGTATTTTCGGATAGTATAAAACGTATAATCTAATATTCAGTAACCTTCTTTATACAGAATCTAAAGGATTTCTTTCATTAATAATCTAACCTTGGAGATTAAGGTCTTTATATAAGTATATAAACTCTCGTTTTATATAATATTAAAGGTACGTTATCGAATTTACTGTTCTCGAAGACGATTTTAAATTGTACGAGAGATAATATTAATACTATATTCCTAAAGGGTATTCTAAACAGTATTAATAGTTATTCCATACTAAGATAAGGAGATAATTATATTTTTAAATAGCTACAAATCAATCTAGCGGCGTAGTATCCTAAATATATACTTATATAAAAGAGAATAGATAAAAAAATAAAAATAGCAGTTAAAATAGATAGTTATAGAGATATTTTATAAAGGCGGAGCTTAAAGCAGTCAGAAATAATATATGGCTTATGTCATTTTTTCGTGATTGCGGCTATTTGCTGCCGTAAATCGTGGCAGAATATTCTACACTAAGTGGATCTGCTGATCAAGATTGGATATGGGGCATGGGGCATCTACTTTTATACAGTTGAATGTAGCGTAGAAGGTCAATTTCCCTTTGGAATTCAAATTGGATATCATATTAGGCCATCGTGAACTCGTGATCGCGAACAACACCGAAAAAATACCACCGAAGGGATGTCACTGGAGAAAGATCATCGAAAGCGTATCGAAAATGATCGCAATGTGCAGGCGACTGGTGTCAGTTTACTGACCACCCTTCTGGGCAATGTCCGCCTCAGCACCACGCTGGCGCACCTTGCCCTCGTCATGGATGTCACGCCACTTCTGCTCTTCAGCACGATTCCCAGTCACCGCAGCCCCAACAGACCCCAGCGCACCCTGCGCGCGGTCCTGGATACCCTGCCCCAGATCCTTGAGCTGGCCCTTGGCCTCTTGCTCCTTACCGGCGGCATTCTGCTCCACACCCGCACGACGCAGGTTCTCGTTGCCGATCAGGTTGCCCACCGACTCCTTGGCCGAGCCGAGGGTCTGGTCCCACGAGCCCGTCGCGCGGTTCGGGTCGTCCTTGGCCGTAGCGCCCGTGTTGGGGTCGGCGGAGAAGGGGCCCAGCTTGGCGGTGGTGTGTGAGGCTTCGTGCTGGGCCTGACCTTGCTCGATGTTGGCGTCGCCCTTGTTCTGGGTGGTTGTTAGTGGGGTTGGTCGATGATGAAGTTGGAATGTTGGGTTGGAGTAGATTGCTTACCTGGGTCGAGGAGTCGCCGGTCACGGTGCCCACTGCACGCTGGGCAAGACCGGATGCCTGGTTGATGGCAGACTGGAGAGTCGAGGGGTTTTCGTTGGACATGATGGAAGTGGAGGTGAGTGGCGATGGTAGTTGTAGATAATTGTAGAGATGGTAGATGAAGAGTTAAGGTTGAGATGTTGGAGATTGATGGAAGAAAAGTGAGAGAAGTGAGAATGACACCCTTTTATACTTGGTTGAATCTGGCAAACAACTTCCAAGCTTCTGCCATTCTATGTTTAGGGCTCGATGACCTCACGAGTGATGTCACACCATGTGACTTTGCAAGAATCGACAGAAACCCCAGAAGGTTCTACAGAGCGGGGCTGATATAGAGAAAAAGAAAAAGAAAAAGTATGAAAGATCAAGAAGTGGGTAGTACAGCAAAACATGTGGTAAACATGTAACTGTCCATGAATGAGATCGTATCTTGTAGTAGACTCTAACACATGCCCCGAACAACACCAGACTCCAGATTGCTGCAAATCAGACCCCATATGCTATGCCGCGCTTCAAAGACAATGTGCATCTTAAAAATGGTCACCAGTGGCAGATGCCACCCTCACTATCATCGGCTGTCCATGTCCCGCAGAGACCGACGATTTCGAGGTGGCCGTCGGGCTGCTCACCGACTTTACTCAGTGCTGCCGAGTGCGCCTCGGCTGGACCATTGCTCAGCAGTCTCTGTGCCCATGCATCGATGGCGGGTTCACCGGTCTCATCTCGAGCCTGTTTCAGGAACGGGATGAGAGCGGTCCCTCCAGTTCCGCGCAGCTTCTTGCTATCGGGCGGGGCGGCCGTGGCCAGGTTTGTGGGGACCGAGGCCTGCGATTGTGAGCCGCGGCGGGCGCGAGACTGGACAATAATATAGCGCGACACAATCTGGATGTGCTTGTCGCGGAGAGCGCGCAGCATGGCCAGACAGGCGTCGTAGGCCAGCCGCAGCGCCGCGTCGTTCTGTCGCGCTTGTACGAAAGCACGAATATTCGCCACAGAGTCAACATGCTCTAAAAATCGGCGGTGTGGGCCAGGCATGTAGGCGCGCATTTCATGGATGAAGCTGTGTCGGGATTTCGGGTTGGCATCAGGAGGGGAGCCTTGGTTGCGAGTCACCCCTGTCGGTCGGTGTTCGACTCCCAGAGCAATATCAAAAAACTGGATCAGAGAGCTCTGTGCATTGCTGCCACCTCCATACTGACGGTACTCGGGGTCCCCACGCCCATCGTCGTACAGTAGTCCCTTGGGTAACCCGGCATCGGCCATGTTCTTACTGCCAGCCAAGTACGGCCGGATGCGGTGGTAAAAGACATAGGGGTCACAGTTCTCATACATCCGTTGGAGGAGTGCATTGATCTCATCCAGAATCTCGGCCAGCTGCTGGAGACACTCGGTCACAGTGTAGTTGTCCCCTGCCCGTGCTGCCGTAATCGCCTGGAGTACAAGGGGAATCGAGGGACCTCCACGTGCCTCGATGGCCACGGAGACCAGGTAGAACCATTGTTCATCCAGGGATCCTGTGAATGTTTGGAGACAGGCCAGGTTGTCAAGGTCATCGGCGGGTTCATTGGGGAAGATCGGCTTGTAGTTCCAGAGACAGACACCGGCATAAGTCGCAACAGGCGGCACTTCGAGCCGCTCACATACCCCAAACAGGGGTACAGTCAATTGAGGCGGAATTCTCTAGTTTCTCTATGTGAGTACAACGCCTTCGGCCATTGGTATTTAGGGCAATTCCCTACCTCTACTGGACGGTCACCGCCCCAGACATAACCATGCAACATAAATACCAGCACCACATATGCCCGTCGCCATTCTGCATCGGTGTGGAGGTGGGTTGTGGACAGTACTGGTAGGCGATCAACCATGGACCGGAGGCGTTTGCTGAGCAGGAGGGCCTGCAGGTTCTCAATGATAGCTTCCCACTTGGCATAGTAAGGGTCTGGCAGGACCTCTAGTGGAGGCTCCGGAGAGAGAAATCCATGGTCAGATGAAACCCCATAGACCGCTGGAGAAGGCACTGGAGGCAACATGATGACGATGTCGGACACAATATATGAAGAGAGAGAGAGAGAGAGAGAGAGAGAAAGACGAAAGCAGGATGGGCACGTGCCCCAGTCACGATTCAATCAATACCATCCGGATCTGAATCCCGCAGACCGCAGTGAATGGCCTCGAAGTGGTGGAGTTGTTGAGAGTCAGAGAGAGAAAAAGAAAATCTTGCAAGGACCAGGAACCCCAGGTGGCGTTTCCAGAAAACCGACTCCCCCGGAAAGGTTATTTGGAGGAACCCGGAGCTTACAAAGATGATGATGATTATGAACAATATGAACAATATGAGCAATATATATTTACTATTCCCCAGAATTGATCAAGCAGAGTTTTCTGCGCAAGGCAAAGCACGTAATCCATTTCTCACCGGGAGAAGGGATCGGAGAGAGGCAGATTTCTCAGCACGGAGGGGCCGGAGATAGCAGAAAGAGGACCCGAGGAGGAAGGAATCGTCCGATAGAGGCCGACATAGGAAACATTGAGGGATGTTTAAAGGGGTGGATCAGAGGGACTATGGGGGAAAGGAAAGGTTCAGTTTAAATGAGGTTGTATATCCATGGACCCATTCCACTGGGGCAACCGGGGCAGGATGCATGGACGGGACGATTGGGTGCTCGCGAGAGAGGTGGATGTTTAGCGAGCATTAGGCTGAGTGCTAGAGAATGAACCGGAAGGTGGTGGATGGCGCGTTGGGTGCGACTCGCCGATTCCGGGGGGCTTAAGCGAGCTCGGCGGGGGGACTCGCCTACACCCACGCCACTTTGGGGCTGCGGTGAAGATCTACTTTAATTGCAGTGGCATATATAGAATTGTATATAAATCATATAGTAATGATTGGATATCATGATATACTATAGAGCTACAATTGCCAAATCTTGGACATAATAGCACTACAATCTATTCGATATCATATACCACAGGAATCAATTCAGTCTGTACAATGGTGTTACACGGCCAACGCCTTCCCAAAGGGGAGTTTTTTCTCTCAAAAGTCATGCCACAACATTAGAAATGATTAAATTGAATCAGTGCTGGCTCCACTCGATCGTGTTCAGATCAACCCCCTCCTGCACCAACTCCCACAGCGGACTCAATTCCCGCAAGAAGTGCACGCGATCCTGCACTGCCTTGAGGACATAGTCAATCTCCGCGTCGGTGGTGAACCGGCCAATACCGAATCGGATACTGCTGTGAGCACTCTCGTCGCTGCTACCCAAAGCCCGCAGCACATAGCTGGGCTCCAACGAGGCCGAGGTACACGCACTGCCCGAGGACAGCGCAATGTCCTTGAGCGCCATCAGCAGCGACTCACCCTCGATGTAGGCAAACGAGACGTTCACACAGCCGGGGTAGTGGTACTTGGGGTCGCCATTCAGCGCAGTGTGTTCCATAGATAACAGCCCCTCGCTCAGACGCTTCGACAGGCGGTCAATGTGCTTAGTGTCGTACTAGATTCGAGACTCCCAGTCAGCATCTGATGATCAAACAACAACCATTCCCAACACATGTGCCCAAGTCTGCTCAGTACCCCTGCGTTTGGCATCATCGAACCCGGGCACCATACCCAATGGGCAGGAAGCTACCGCCCAAGGATCTCCGACCGTATGCATATTTTACAGTGTATAATCATCGCGGCAAGCACATGTCACAAGGGGGGAAAAAAGAAGAATCTTACCTCCATGTCTTGAGCGGCGAGTCGGCATGCCTCGCCGAAACCCACCACCAGGTGCGGGGCCAGCGTTCCGCTACGGAGACCACGCTCCTGTCCACCGCCCGAGATGATGGGATCCAAACGGACACGAGGACGACGGCGAACGAAGCATGCACCCATGCCCTTGGGCCCGTAGATCTTGTGGCTGGAAATAGACATCAGGTCGATGTTGAGCTTGTTCACATCCAACGGAATCTTTCCGACTGCCTGGGCGCCATCCGTGTGAAAGAAGACCTTCTTGGACCGACAGAGTCGGCCAATCTCCTCCAGGGGCTGGATCACGCCAATCTCGTTGTTCACGGCCATGATACTGACGATGGCGGTTTCCGGGCGCATCGCAGCCTCAAGGTCCTCCATCCGAATCAAGCCGTTGTTCTGCACGGGCAGGTAGGTGACCTCGAAGCCCTCGTCCTGCAAGTGTCGACAGCTGTCGAGTACACACTTGTGCTCGGTCTGGGTGGTGATGATGTGCTTCTTCTTGCCCGAGCGGCCAAAGAACCGGGCCACACCCTTCAGACTCATGTTGTTGCTCTCCGTTGCACCGCTGGTGAAGATAATCTCCTTGGGGTCGGCTCCAATCAATTTGGCGACGTTTTCGCGGGCCTGCTCAACCGCCTTCTCCGACTCCCAACCGTAGGCGTGTGTACGCGAGTGCGGGTTGCCGTAGATGCCGGTGAGATAGGGTAGCATGGCATCCAAGACCCGGGGGTCGAGCGGGGTGGTTGCCTGCATGTCGAGGTAGACGGGTCGGGTGCCCTGGTCCATGACTGTCGCTTGTTTGAGGATGCCGGCCGACGGGCTCATGGCAGTGTCGCCGGAAGTTGCCGAGCCGGGCAAGTCGACGCTCTGCGGAGCAAGGCCGGCACGTTTCATGAACGACTTTTGCTCTTCTTTGATGGCGGCGTCGACATTGACCTGGGCATTTCCGGCCTTGGTCTCGGAGACGTAAGACCGCGTCCCGGTGGCGAGCACTTGAGGGGCCATCCAGGCACCGCGCGAGGCCAGATGCCTCGTGCAGGCACGGGAGGCCTGTCGCAAGGCAGCAGGGGCAGTGTTTGACATTATGGAGATGGATGCCACGAAAGCATGAAGATGGCAAAGATAATAAAAAGGCGCGGCGATTTCGGGGTTTTGCCCATTGAGGTCATCCGGAGAGACGGTTTCTCCGACTAGCCTCAGGCACCGCAGAGCACCGAACTATTTATGCCTGAGGCGCCACTTCCAAGGCATGGTTTCTTCAATGACGCAGGAGACACAGGTCGTGCTCTCTCTCCCCTATCGGCCTGCACACTCGCCGTGAATACTTGCTTTCTATTCCCACCATATTACCAAGTGTTTACATCTCACTTATGCCTTGACTCCTGTCGGCTCTACCCGTAGTCAAATATCCATTCGTATACCGCGGGTAAGGCTGCCGAACCCAGCAGCTCAGCCCTGGAGGCCCACCTTGACCATAATCCTGGTGCCTTGAGATGATTCTCCCTGCGCCACACTCGGCTTCCAGGGTTTTTGCCCAACTAGGAATATCATGGCATGTCACGTAGAGAGTACAGCCACAACCTGGGGGTGGTACTGGGTAGGCATCGCGAGTCTTATGTCATAGGTGAAGCGAAAATTGGGAACGGAAAGGGCCCAAAGACTCACCCCGCCTTGGCGCTTCCTCTGTCTCTTCGGTCCTCCCTTCCCTCTTTCTCTCTTCCTTACACTCTCCTCCATCCGTCGTCATGAGTTTTAAAGGCTTCCAGAAGAGCCTTGTGCGGGCTCCGCAGCAGTTCAAGGTCAAGTTCAACATGGGCGAACACACCAAGGACGCGGTGTACCTCGATGCGGAACGCCGCTTCCAGGAACTCGAGAAAGAGACAAAGAAGCTCCACGATGAATCCAAGAAATACACTGGTGCTATCAACGGTAAGCAGGCAGGTTCCGGCTGGTCCGACGATCGCTGACGCTCTTCCGAACCCAGGCATGTTGAATCACCAGATCGAATTCTCCAAAGCTGTCGCCGAAATCTACAAGCCCATTTCAGGCCGTGCTTCCGACCCCAACTCCTACCACGATGAAGGAAATGCCGAGGGGATCCAGGCCTGTGAGGATTATGAAACGATCGTGCGTGAACTACAAGAGGCTCTGGCTCCCGAGCTGGAGATGATCGACAGTCGAATCGTCAGCCCTGCGGACCAGCTGCTCGAGGTGATCAAGGTGATCCGCAAGGTTGGCCTCAAGCGCGACCATAAGCAATTGGATTATGACCGCCACCGCGCTTCGCTGAAGAAGTTGCAGGACAAGAAAGACAAGTCAATCAAGGACGAGAAGGCGCTTTACAAGGCGGAGAACGACGTCGAGCAGGCGACACAGGAATTCAACTACTACAATGACCTACTGAAGGACGAGCTGCCCAAGCTGTTTCTTCTTGAGGCTGAGTTCATCCGACCGTTGTTCCAGTCGTTTTACTACATGCAGCTCAACATCTTTTACACCTTGCACGAGCGGATGCAGGGCATGAACATCAGCTATTTCAACCTCGCGCTGGATGTCGAGGAGGCCTTTGAGCAGAAGCGAGGTGACGTGAAGGAACGCGCCGAGGCTCTCAGTATCGTACACTACAAAACCCAGGGAGGCCGTCGCACCAATACGCGGCTGAATCCACTGGGCAAGGACTCCGACAGCAAGAGCGCCGCGTCCCGAGAGCGCTCTAGCTCTACTGCCGACGAACATCCCCCGCCACCGTATTCTATGGCGGCAGCCACCCCCAGCCCGACTGGGAGCTTTTCCTCTGCTGCTAAGAGCAAGCCGGCTCCGCCGCCTCCAAGGGCGAAGCCTGCACACCTGAGTCGCCCCGTCGAGACCGTGACCGCACTCTACGATTACGAGGCCCAAGCCCACGGCGACCTGGGCTTCTCAGCGGGCGAGGTCATTGAGATTGTCCATCGCACCGAGAATCAGAATGAATGGTGGTCCGGGCGCGTCAACGGTCGCGAGGGCCAGTTTCCTGGTAAGTGCCGGCGGATCATGGTTCTCGTACAATGCTAACCGTTGATCTCCAGCAAACTACGTGCAATTGAATTAGCATTGGGTCTTTGGTTTTCCGGCGCACGTGGCTTTATACATAGAGCGTTGCGGCTGTAAATAATCTTCTTTCCCCCTCGTTCAGCCCTATGGAAATGGTAACATCGCGCTGATACTACGTCGGACTGCCTCCGAGTTACACCCATGTTGCATTGTAGCGGGACAATGTGGTCTTTGTATAAATGTGACTTCGTCGCGGGGCTTCCACGTCCATTAGTAAACACCTCTGCATCCACCATGGCCCATGTCGTTCAGCTCACCAACACCCGCCTCGTCGACGGCGACCAACTCATCGCCCAGTCCCTGTGGTTCGATTCTATCAAGGGCATCTTCGTCTCTCACCCCCAGCACGCTCCTGCGTCCACCGTCGACTGCCAGAACCGGATCGTCGCCCCGGGCTTTCTGGACTTACAGATCAATGGAGCCTACGGCTTCGACTTTTCCGAAGATGTCGCCCGGTGCGCTGAACAAGGAGTGTTCTATGCTGATCGCTTCCGGGAAGTCTGTCAGAAGCTGATCACGACTGGCACGACGAGCTTCTTGCCGACAATGATCAGCCAGCTGCCCGAGAGGTACCATCAGGTATGCAGGCCATGCCTATATCATTCGCTATGAATCGAGAGAAAGAAGAGAGTAAAGCCGTCGCTGGTAGTGACTATTCCCCGCAGAACCTGCCCTACCTGGGTCCATCGCGTTCTCGACGTCCTTCGGAAGGCACCGAATCTCTGGGCGCGCACTGCGAAGGTCCTTTCTTCGCTCACAACCGCATGGGTGTGCACCTCCCCGCCGCGATACACGCCTCGGGATCAACAAGCGAACCAGACCGTGTCTTTCAGACGTATGGATCTAGTAATCTCGTCGATGCAGAGAGCAAAGAACGAGACGCTGGGTCCATCCCGTCTCACGTTCGTATGATCACCCTTGCGCCCGAGCGACCCGGTGCCCTTGATACCATCCGTCAACTCAGTGACGAAGGAATTGTGATGAGTATCGGCCACATGGCCGCCGACTACCAGCAGGCTCGGGCGGGTGTTGATGCGGGCGCAACGATGGTTACCCATTTATATAACCAGATGAACTCGCATCACCACCGCGAGCCAGGTCCGCTGGGCGTGCTGACCGATACAGATGCCGGTCCTGAGATGAGAATCCTGGGCCAGGGAACTGAAGATGGAGGTGTCAAACGTCGCCCCTATTTTGGGATTATCGCGGACGGTAGCCACGTCCATCCGGCCAGTCTCAGATTGGCGTACCAGGCGCATCCAGATGGGTTGGTCTTGGTCACCGATGCCCTGCTCCCCCTGGGAGGCGAGGACGGCACGGTTGATTGGGGTAGCCGCCAGCTCACGAAGCAGGGAGTGTCAGTCAAGTTGGAGGGCACCGACACTATTGCGGGAAGGTTAGCTCTATTCTTTTGTGTGATTCTCCTCTGCCATCTCTTAAAGGCTGATCTGGACTTAGTTGTGTGACTCTCCTCGAATGCGTCAATAACTTCCGTCGCTGGACCGGCGCGTCCATCCCCACGGCTATGCGCGCGGTGACCTCCACCCCGGCTGCGGTTCTGGGTCTTGAGCATGTTAAAGGAACCTTTCAAGCCGGTGCAGATGCTGACTTTGTGGTATTGAGTGAGGAAGCAGTACCGGGGCTATCGAGCTCGGAGCTAGTGGTGGATCAAGTGTGGAAGTTTGGGGTGAAGGTGTATGACCGGTGCGACGTGTAGTGCGGTGGCTGTAGACGGGGGACAGGATACTTGTGCTGAGATCATAGAACCATTTCCCTTGCTGCTACATGGCAGTCCAATCTCCATATACAGGCAGCGTCCAGTTACAATAGACATCTCATCTACACTTGGCTCAAAGCGGGTGTCTTTAAGCCACATTTATAATTAATTCATCGCCATTCCTGGGCAGAATTCTCAAATCCTGGGACCATTTAAAAATCACAAAGGAGATTGTATTAGGCATGTCACTGCGGTTTCACCGAAGGATTGCTATGCCCTCAAGTACACATTGAGGGTTATCAGAGAAAGACAAATTAAATGCAGGCCATGGGCAGACCCGAAGAAAGTAATAAGACCGATAACCACTGTTCATGCCACAGATCCGCCGTTTCAACTCCCCGTCCATTCTTCCGTCTGCACAAGCTGACTACAGCTGCAACAATCCAGCCATTTGCCTGTTCACACAGGTGATTGGTTCCGACGAAGAGTTTGGATGGAGATGTCATGCTCGATAGAGATTCCATGGTGGGGGTCTGGCTCCGAGTTCTTGTTGGCAGACTGCTCGGAGTAGCACAGGGTCTGGGCCGCGGTGCTTGCTGACATGTCCGAGCCCACGGGCTTAGCAGGTGCTGTGCCGTTGCTGACACCGCCAGCAAGGTTACGCCACAAGTTGCGGCGCTGATGGATGGGTGTGGTGGTGCGACGCGAGGACTCGAGGGCGGCACCAGCCCAGATTGATGAGAGAGGGAGAGAAATCACCACCAGCGTCAGAACATTGGACATCAACTCCGGCACGACGATGAGGTACTGCAGGATGGACAGAATGGCCGGGGCAATGAGAGTCTGGCATCCCATGACGAAGATGACCTTCATCGGGCCGAACTCGCGCAGCCCGAGCCGGTGGCGCTGGCGGATGGCATAGCCTAGCTTAGCGAGGAACACGACGCAGAAGAAGCAGATGCTGATGGTGATGACGATGTTGATCGAGCTCTCCAGCCACCAGATCTCCTCCATGTTGTCCAGCGAGATGATGTGCATCGAGTTCTCCACCATCCATCCTGTGCGGAATCCGATCGGCACCAGGGCCACCACGATAGACAAACACAGGAGGGCTCGGCGGTACCGACGGCGCAGGGTCGAACACACGACTTGGACCTGGAGCACGAGCGAGACCTGGACACAGATAACCAGCATGGTTTCGAAGATCACGGCAAGAACGGAGATAGCGTATGCGCTGGTCGGGACATCAGCGTAGTCATAGGCGAAGTACGGGTAGAACTTCTCAAAGGCTGTGGCGAAATGGATGACCCGGAAGAGCAATCGCGCAATGTTGAAGAACAAGGCCAGGGCATTGAGGACAAAAACTGCCGAGCTTCGCTTGTCGGAGTGCGTCAAGAGCAGGAGAATCACCAGCAGCGCGATCGACGCGCCCAGTTGGGATCCATAGTTGATACAAGCCCTAGTATTGTACTGGATGAACATGTCCACATCGGTCATGGATGCATTCACGATCCTTCCACTCCGGTCAAGGAAGGTGACATTTTGAGTGTACACGCTGAATTTCGAATCCATTGCTTCAGTCTGGCTGTTTCTTGTGTTGAAAATCGAGTCAAATGCAATGTACCATGCAAGCGCCACGGTTGCAGAGATCTGTATAAGAGCATGCCGGGCAGGGGGGGATTTTGAGCCCTTGGAAGAAAGAAAGCCCAGTGAATGCCCAGCAATATCATAATGGAACCGAAAGACAATATGAACCATAAAGGCAACGGAGCTCCAGAATCTCCATTCGAGAATGGCCGAACGGAGAGGACTTGGGGGATGTGGCGAGGGGAGAACAATGCGACGGGAGCAAGAACAATATTAAGCCCGAACAAAGACACGGGTTGCCGCATTCATTCGTCTCGGGAGTCTCCCGTCTCGACTTTTTCATGGACTCGTCAATTTGGATTGTTGATTGGAAGTGTATGACATTAACACCGAGTCGCGAAATGGCTACATTCGTCAGCTTCTTGGGATCTATTCATGAATGTATACAAGTTGCCCCTATCTTGGGTCTCAGATCACCTCGTGGAGATTGAGCCTGTTTTACACATGAAACTCTTACCGTTCTCGTTGCGAAGATTTCCTCTAAAAAAGAGAATAGAATTTAAAAAATAATCAAAGGGTTAACATGAGATATATTCCATTTGACCCCAGGAGAGTCCTGATGTCTATTGAACATAGGAACTAGGCAGTCTGGATTATTTCCTGTCAATAGCAACAATAACAACAACTAAAAGAATCGAAACTCGCAAAGGCTTCATCTTGCCACCATAGATCAGTGTTAGCCTGGGTTATTCTCTCACGATTTCCCTGGACCACTCCCCCAAAAAAGCTCTAAATATTGCTCTACGGTAGTCGGCTGCACGGGGCACAGCTGGTTCAATGTAGGCGAGACCACAGATCCATCCTGTGCGCAGGCAAGGGATAGCTGACACTCCATGCGGGCAATGAATTCGTGAGACGGCATGCTTGTTAACCTCGCCTGCAGTTCTTGCTCAGTCAAGCGCCGGATGTCAATCGTCCTTTCCACGTGTCGCTGGCAGAGGGCGATCAAGGTCTCGAAGCTGAGAGTATCTCCGGCCATTCCCAGGTCCCGACCCGCCCATGGCTCTTCAAGATCTAGTGCAGCCACTATAAATTGGCCCACATCCCGGATGTCGGTCATAGTAAGCTCTGGGAACGTCCCATCAGATCTAACAGGCACCTCGACCCAGGGCGAATCATGATCGTCAAGATGGATGAGAAACGGGCCCTCTTGGAAGCCAGCCAAGGCCTCCGCACGCTTTGATTCATCGGGACATCCTATCCCCAGATAGTTCATGAACATGCCACATGGAAAGCGGGCGGCATCAATGTGGCCTTTGTCAACCGACGCCTGAACAGCTCTCCAGACTTCGTTCTTTGCTTCAAGTATGTCGACCCTTGTCTGCGCCCACGAGGTAAGGGCAAACTCCGACGGTGCAAAACGGCGACACCCAGCCACCTCAGCAGCACGAAGCAAGTTCACCTGTGTGGTCACCCACTCCGGACCCGGGACAAGTAAGACACTGAGGACCACATCCACATCACGCAGAGCGGCCACGAGAGATTCATGGGAATGGTAATCCACGTGACGAGTTTCCACATTTTCGTACGCTGGACCCAGTTCATTCGAGGAGCGCCCGTCAATCTCGCGGGACAAAACTATGGGGACATAGCGTCCATGGGTGGCAAGCAGGGCGCAGACAATAGAGGCCCCTAGTGTGGGACTTGATCCACCGGCGATAGCAACTCGCATGATTGAATAACTGCCAGGTTTAGAGAAATTTAAGCTTGAGTTGGAATTCGACATTGGAGAAACCCGAATATCTATTCCCCAAATTTGTTGAGTCAGAAATACGATGTGTGTGAACACATGTCGTCATCATTCTGGTGTCGGTCAGACCCAGCCTCGGAGGGGTGTTGACAAGGAAAATAAAAGATGGCACTAAGCGGTATGATGCAGCCTTAGGAAGTTGATTTAGAAAGCCAAGTGAGCATGTACATGGCCACTTGAGGAAGACGCGCTGTAGCGGCCATCTGCACGTGTCTTTAATGGTAGAGGAGCATCCGCCAATCAGAGCTTTCTTCATAGCACGTGATAGGCTTGCTGCCTCGAGGCCTCGAAGCCTTTCTGCCTTAGAGCCTTACTGCCTGACGCTGGCCCCCTGCACTTCCCGGGGCGGCAATTTGTATATAACCACGCACATAATGAGCGCCCCCCGGGTCATGAATTTCTCAATTCTCTGGGCATCCCTTGTGGACCCAAGCAAGATGTTTTCCATGGCGCTGTCCCTGGCCAGCTCTCCTGTGCCGACCATCACTCCGGGTGGCTCCTTCTATCCGCCTCTGCACTCGCTGTCGTATATCACCGACAATAAACAGGGCACGTTTGGCGGCGTGTATAATGCGCCTGCAGAAAAGCCTACCAAAGACCACTCGGGGGATTATGACTACTGCACAATGCCCCATCCCAGTCCGAAGAGCTACTCCGCCCCGACACCCGTGCAAAACCACTCGGTCCAGGCGCAGCTGGTGTATGTCGAGTATATGCAACGACATCAGCGTCGCACCCCGTACAATATCCTGCCAGGGGGTGAGGTGTGTTTGAATCCCCGAAGGTTTTTCTCTTTCTTGTTATGCTTGTTAATAATGGGAGCAGGACCAACCATACGAGTGTGACAATGTCTTTCCGTATCTTTATTCCGGGCCTGCTGATGGTGATCAGTCGCGGGCATCTCTCCCGGTATATGCACAAACATATACAGACAACACCAATCCTTTTGTCACAGGATACGTCAATGGTTCTTGCCAATACCCCCAGCTCACCCTCGGTGGGGTGTTAGACGGGCATCAGCACGGCCGCGACCTTTGGGCAGTATATGGAGAAAAGATGGGTTTGTTACCGTCTTCACCGAAGTCTCCAAAGGTCTGGTTCAGGTCCAGTAGCTCGGCTCTAACACAGGACTCGGCTGGCGCCGTTCTCCGAGGCATCTGGCCCGATCATACTGGTCCACTGCCATTGCATCAGCAGGCAGCCTCCGTGGATACGGTCAACCAAGGATTCTCGTGTGCGGCTCGCGACAAACTTCTCTCAAACATACAGTCCACCGAGGAGTGGAAACGGCATCTCGAGGCCACGCAGCCCCTGCGCCATCGACTCGCGACTCTGTTTAAGGCGAACACCACGGACTGGATGTCCAGCTTTGATCACTTTGCAGACAATTTCCAGGCAAGGCTATGTAATGGATACCGGCTCCCGTGTAGCCTATCCAACTCTTCTGCCTGCGCCACTGCGGATGATGCCCATGAGGTTTTCCGGGCGGGTGATTGGGAATGGAACTACTGGTGGCATCGGAACCAGCATGCTTCACAATACATTCAACTGACAGAGGGACTCTTCTTGCGTGAGATCGTAAAGCGACTGGGGGCAGTTGCTCAGGGCACTCTTAGCCGTGTGTATACTCACAATTTTATTCATGACGGTGATCTGGGGCCTGTGCTTGGGGCTCTGGATATTCAGCAACTGCGATGGCCTGGGATGGGGTCCAATATCGCTTTTGAACTGTGGTATGTATTCGACTGTCCCCCGGCCTCGATGGTTGTGCCTTTCTTTGGGTGAGACGAGACGCTGATTATGTAGGAAAACCTCGAATGCTCAATACCATGTCCGCGTGCTATACAGTGGGCACGCATTGCGGACTGCCCATGGGACCTTGGATTGGGTTCCACTTTCAAGAGTGGTGGATTGGCTGAAGCCTCATGTGCCAGACGACATTGTGTCGATGTGTAAATCGTAGCCAAAAGGTGACCACCCTGAAAGGGGCCAAGAGAAGTGGTTAGTTGGGCTTTTGCTCTCGGATAATTCAAAGTCATCAACTCGGTCCATTCCAAACGCGAATGTCTCATGATTTCTTGCATGAGCGATCGTCAATACCTTACTCAATTCGACCACAGTGGAGAATCCCCAGATGAAATCATTGCGGTGGAGACGAGAGGAGCGGTTCCGCCGGGGTTTTGCCTGACTCGCAGCTCCCAAAATTGGGCGGGTCATCGATCTGCACGGCTTTATCGCAAAGAAGATGGTATCTGCAGCCCTCCCTGCAACCTCCGGCGATGGTATGGAAGCACGAGGCCAAATAATCCCTGCAACTGGGGTTCATATGACGAAGTTCACTTGAACTTATCTTAAGTATTGTATGTATGGTCTTGCTACTTTTCTCGGGCAAAATGTACCGAATTTCTCACCCAAAATATCGCAATAGCTAAGTCTGATTGCTAGGAGGAATCGAGTTATCTAAGGACAGTGGTGCAAGACGGTACTCCCGAGGTTTCACCGGAGGTTTTTTAGTCAAAGACGAGATATCATGCAACAGCAACCCACTGGCATCTTTTTCTATTGCTAGCGCGGTGATCAGTTCCTCATGTCCAGTTTCTTTGCGGGGTTCATGTCCGCTCTGCCAAGTGATCCGTAGCTATGGCCCCGTTCCGATATTGGCCAAGTTCAAAGTGACTCCACTATTCGGTTGAATAGGTCGTTCTTACACTGTAGTGTAGGGAAGGTACTCCCGTGGATTCCAAGCAGTAGGACGTGAACAATCCTGCAGACGCGAACCCAGCTCGGCTGCGATTTAGAGAACTCTCGGTTAAATATGACACTTCAGAGGTATAAGAAGAGGGTCAATATCCACGAATGATCCAAAGTATCGCTGTCTGGAATCTCTCTTCCCATAACTGAAAATGGTGGCTACTCGAGCTCTCGATTTAACGTCTGGTCTCGCAACTCTGTCACTCCTTTGTGGCTTGTTCGGCAGTGCCAAAGGAGTTTCTCTCGAGGTCTCGACAGAAGGCGGTAATTCCTCCAGCCCTCTTCTCTATGGATTTATGTTTGAGGTGTGTGGAAGGTGTTTCTGCCTGTGAGATGACTATTCACTGAGTATTGCGCAGGACATCAACCATTCCGGCGATGGAGGGATCTATGCCCAGCTACTTCGCAACAATGGCCTGCAGGGTTCCAAGCCAGATTTGACGGCCTGGGGTAGTGTTGGCAATTCTAAAATTGCAGTGGATTCCGACAATCCCTTGACCTCTGCTATTACACACACCTTGCGCGTGGATGTTCCCAAGGAGGCCACTGGCCGCGTTGGGGTGACCAACGCAGGATATTGGGGAATCCCCGTGGATGGCAGCAACTTCCACACCTCTTTCTGGATCAAGGGGAAGTTGGACGGCGATATCACTGCGCGACTGGTTGGAAATGGCACTGGCACCGAGTATGCTTCGAAATCAATCTCGGTTTCCTCGAACGGGAACAAGTTCACTGTCGTCGACGCGTCCTTTGAAACCACCAAGGCACCCGACGGAAATGTTTATTATGAGCTGACTGTGGACGGCAAGTCGGTCGCCGGCTCCTCACTTTATTTTGGTTTGGTCCAACTGTTTCCTCGAACTTACAAAGACCGGTTTGTTCCCAGTCAATGCTCCAATGGGTTATTCATTGGACTAATCTCATGGCTCTGGTAGGCAAAATGGTCTTCAGCCGAAGCTGGCCAACGCCCTGGAGTCCGTCAAGGGATCTTTCTTGAGGTTTCCAGGAGGTAATAACCTGTGAGTTCAACTTCCTGGCGGAATTTCATCGGGACAAGGATGCTTAATGTTGAATAGGGAGGGTGACGATGGCGGATCGCGGTGGAAGTGGAATGAAACTATTGGGCCGGTGGAGGATCGACCAGGACGACAGGGTAAGCATGATACAATGTGGAATCTGACGGTCCATCGTCTAACTTCTCACTAGGAACTTGGACCTACCCTAATACCGACGGATTGGGTAAGAGACGAACAGCCGGGTACTGCGGTGGGTACTAACTGCAATCAGGCCTCGATGAATATTTCTACTGGTGCGAAGATATGGGCTTGGAGCCAGTGCTGGATGTTTGGGCTGGGTTTGCTTTGCAGTCTGGAGGCAATACTCCAATCACCGGCGATGCCCTCAAGCCGTACGTGGACGATGTGTTGAACGAGTTGGAGGTATGGCAACTGAAACCCACTTCGAGGTCTTTTTCTCACTGGTTGCAGTATGTTCTCGGGGATAAGAGTACAAAATATGGCGCCCTTCGAGCCTCTTATGGCCGGGATGATCCGTGGCCGCTGAAGATGGTGGAAATTGGGAACGAGGATAACCTGGGAGGTGGTTGCCAGTCGTACTCGGAGCGATTCACCGCGTTTTATGATGCGGTTCACAAGGCATACCCAGACCTCACTCTCATTGCCAGTACGTCGGAGAAGTCCTGCCTGCCCAGTTCCATGCCCAAAGGAGCGTGGATGGACTACCATGACTACAACAGCCCCGATGGCCTGGTGGGACAGTTCAACTATTTCGACAATTCGGATCGATCCGTCCCATATTTCATCGGCGAGTATGCCCAGAATGGCGTGGATTGGCCAATTATGCAGGGCTCGGTGGCAGAGGCCGTGTTCATGATCGGACTGGAGCGCAACAGCGACGTGGTCAAGATGGCGGCCTATGCGCCGTTGCTGCAACTGACCAACTCCACCCAGTGGAAGGTGAGATTCCCTATGGCGATGATACTCAAAGTATCTCTGGACTAATTAGACACAGCCCAACCTCATCGGATACACCCAGAGCCCTACCGGCCTTGTGGAAACTAGCAGCTACTTTGTTCAGGAGATGTTCTCCGTGAACCGGGGTGACACGATCAAGAAGGTTACCAGTGACTTATCATTTGGGCCAGTATACTGGGTCGCATCGAGTGCGAAGGACGCGTACTTTGTGAAGCTGGCCAACTATGGCAGCAAGACCCAGGACATAAGCATCGCCATCTCTGGAAAGAACCAGGGCAAACTCACGGTGGTGGCCGACGATGATGCAAAGGCCGCCAACACTGACACTGAGACCCCGATTGCCCCGACAGACTCCACAGTAAGTGCGAAGGATGGGAAGTTCACGTTTACTTTGCCTGCGTGGTCTGTTGCTGTGCTCGCTGCTAGTTGAATGAGGGAGTTAGATCATAGTATCCTATGCGATCAAGCAACCATTTTGAAGACTATGGCCGAAAGTTGAAATCTTTTCAATGCTCGGATGCCTGTAGATCATTTGCGGAATGAGACCGTGGAACTCTTGCGCGGAGAGTCGATTCCAGTTGAATAGTTCGCAATGAGTCTAGTCCGGCACTGTAAAGGTCCCTCGTCGTCGGTACATGAGCCGACATTCGACAGATAGAACACGAGCTTTCGAACCAACTTCATAACAGTTGAGAGAGGTCTGGAGGAGGTGGCCGGGTAAATGGAATCACTTCCACATCCGGGCGAGTGTGGAACTGCTTGAGTTCATCCTCGTAATTGCTTGTCACCAGTCTCCGTTGCATTTTTTTTTCCCCTTTTGGTGTCGTGGAGAGGGGCTTTTCTCATGAGATGAGCACGATTTTGGTCTTTATGACATGTTCATGTGCCGGGCTAATTCGATCCGCGTCCTGTACGGCTGATCAGAACAAGTCGATCAAGTTCCATGGTGACTGGGTTGGATTTCTCACCGTTATTCAAGGCAGTGACATCGTCTAAGCGGCCATGGAATTCTCACGGATTTGGCATCGTTGGATGTGGTAAGTACAGGTCTTTGGTGTGATAACAGTTGAGGTCAGCAACGGTGTGGAAGATTGGCTGAAGCTTCCGGCTGCTCGTCGTGTCTGCACAAGACCATCTGGGCTCCATTTCAAATAGAACCGGTTGCCGTTCTCTGGTAGAGGGACAGCACAACCTACGGGCATTGCCCAGAAGCCGATCAGCCGGGTGCATTCACTGACCTTGCGGCCAACCTCGGGAGAGACGGGAGTCGCCTCTATACACACGTTTGAGCTTGGAGATAGCATGCTACGACACAAGGTTTGCAGCAAGATCATCCAGGATCGACGGAGAGCAGAGTGCTGGGGTTGGCCGCGTGATTTCAAGGACTCTGGCTAGGTCGGTTGACAGCGGCTTGTCTGGTATATCACACTCGTCAGGTCGCTAAGGGACTTACGAGTGAATGATGTACTATCCAAGTGGTAAAGAAACACAGATTCAATTTAATTCAAAATTGACTGGGGAATAATATCTATAGCGCAAAATAGCCATTTGAAATGATGGGGAATAGAGCGAAGAAATTGTGGTCGACATATAAAACTACAAATCCAAAGGTGTTCCGCGGTGCACAAACTCTTGGGGAAGAGATCTTGTCAAGAGATGTGCACCTCACCTGTGAGGGAAGACACCACAAATTAATCGGAAGCAGTCTTCTCCTCACTCTCACCAGTGCTCATGGCCATCTCAGCCTTCTCGTGCTCAATGGAGTGGTTCTCAGCGACGTTCAGGCCCAAATCGATCTGCATCTGGGCGATCTGCTCCACGGTGAGCTTGGGCAGTTCGTTGGCGACCTGGTAGGGCCATTTGCCCTCGACGTGGGCCTTGGCGAAGATAATGTCGACCTCCTCCAGATCACGACCGGCAGTCTCGGGGTAGAAGAACCAGGCGAACGGAACACCAATACCGTTAAGGGCCGCAAAGAAGAGGTACATACCCCAACCACTGCTAGAGGAGAACACCGGAACGAACATAACAACGGCGAAGTTGGTAATCCAGTTGGTGCAGGTCGACGCGGCAGCAGCCATGGTACGAGTCCGGAGAGGGTTGATCTCGGGGGGTAGATCCAAGGCAGAGGCAGAGTGGTAAAGGCGAAGAAACAGATATAAACGAAGATACCGACGGCGGCGCCCTTCGCATTCTGAGCGGTAGGGTGAATCAGGCAAGCCATAGTGATAATGAAGGAAAGACCTTGACCAGCGAAACCGATCAGGAAAAGCTTGCGACGACCGACTCTCTCGATCATAAAGAATGACGGAATCGTGGCGAGAGCATAAACGGTAGCGAAGACACCGCCCAGAACCAAGGCCAGCTTGCCGTGGATGTTCAAGTTGTTCTTAAACAACAGAGTCGAATAGTAGATAGCGGCATTACAGCCAGTGAATTGTTGGAAAAACTGGCCCGAGCAACCGATCATCATCCGCTGGAATTCTTGGGTCTTGCCGAAAGTAAAGAGAGTCTTCCAGCTAGCCTTAGAACCTTCCTGGGTCTTCAAGTCGGCCTTCATAAGATTGTAATCGGTAAGGACATCTTCGCCGTCGACGGTGCTATCATTCAGGGCCGCGAGGACCTCAATCGCTTGCTCGTCGTGGCCGCGCATCACAAACCAACGGGGGGACTCGGGGAGCATCAGAGCGCCGCCGGTAACACAGATAGCGAAGAGGATTTGGAACGCAACGGGGAACCGCCACTGGACGGACAAAGGGGTATAAGAGAAGCCGAAATCGACCCAATAGGCGATAAAGGTGCCGACAGCGATAATAGCACCCTCGAAGCAAACCAGGAATCCACGGTTGTGGGCACGAGAACACTCAGACTGCCACACAGGGATCGTCGCAGTGTCCATGCCGTTACCGAGACCGGAAATCACACGGCCGATCACAAACTGGCCCAGGCCCCATTTGTCGCCGAACGCAGCGGTAGAGATAACAGTACCAATCACCATCAGAATACCGCCGCTCACCAGGAGCGGAGTACGGCCGATACGCTCACCGAAACAGAGGGTAAAGATAGCACCGAAGAAACAGCCCAACTCATAGCAGGCCGTGACGGCACCTTGAAGGACAGAAACATGCTCCTTATAAGCCGCGGCGCTGCTGTAGCCAGGGGGAGGAGGGTCGATCTTGTCGTTCAGGGGCGGGAAATCCTGGACGAACCGGTCGCCAGAGATAATACCAGACATCAAACCCTGATCATAACCGAACAGGGAGAAGCCAACCACCGAGGTGAAGGTGATGGCGAGATGAAGCTTCTTGCCCCGCAAGCCAGAGGTAGTGGTCCACATCTTGATGGAAATGGACTATGCCTCTCGAAGGAAAAAAAAGAAAAGAAAAGAAAAGGAGAATATGACACAAAGGGTAAAAGAAGAGCAAGTAGCGGGGGAGGGGGAAAGGGGAGATCTTATATATCGTTTTCTCCTCAGATTTCCCCCGTGGACGTCTCCAGAGTTTCAGGGCCCGCCCACTGGACTGTCGTCAGCGTGGGGCGGGTTGGAGGCAAGTCGCGCGAAGGAAAAGGGGCCAAGAGGAGGGCCAAGCGTTGAGTGGGCTAAGATTTTTTTCCTTTTTCATTTTCATTTTTTCAATTTTCAAATTTTTAATGTTTTCATTTATTAATTATTAAGTTTTCTTTTCCCCTTTTAACTGTTTTCTCTACTTCCCCTGTGGACGCCACCTCCATCATTCAATACCCGTGGGTCTAGGAAGTATACGACTTCTACATCTCCGAGACTCGATGTGCCTAAGGCGAACAAGGCGAACCATGAATCGGACCAAGAAAAAGTGGGGAAATTCGTTCGCGGTTGGCCAAGACCAAATCATCTTTTCTAATTAATTTAGCCTGGATGCATGCGGCAAGTCTCGCGAGCCGAAAGGCCCAGGGGATTAGCGGCTGAGATTTTACGGGTTGCGTGCGCCACCAACGTAATATGGCCGCATTCGATTGCCAAGCAATTGCTTGGTGAATCAAGCTGCCAAGGACGTTGCTTGGATGAATCAAGCTGCCAAGGACGTTGCTTGGTGAAACAAGCTGCCAAGGACGTTGCTTGAAACGCCACCGATTCATAAAAGGGTAAAAGTGTGGGAGTGAATCAATTGCAGGTTCTAGACTTCAGTGAGAGAAAGAAAATTAAACAAAACAAAATAAAATAATCGAGAGAGAGAGTGAGTGAGTGACTCGGGATGGACTCTCGGCCGGGGAATTACGGGGGAAGGTGGAGTCGGATGGTTTCAGGGTCAAAGTTTTTTGAGTTTCGTTTAACCCGACAGGAATCGGGGGGCCGGAGCCGAGGATTATATAAATCTCGCCTCACTTACCCTTTTTGCCGTGGCCCCCAAATCTGGGAAAGGGGCCGTTTTCTTCTCTTTTGAACCCTTTTCTCTCTCTCCAGGCTTTTCCCCAAGCCACGTTGGGGGTCACGTGTACTCCCCCAGGTTCCCCGGCCCCTTTCTCTCTTTCTCCCACACACACACACTCCTCTCATTGACTCGGATTCATCAAATCATCCCCACTCTTCATCTCATCAAACCACGTTTCGTACAATCAGAATTTTCTTTCTCGCTTAATCTCTTCTCCTAACCCCGACTCGGATGCGATCGTCGGAGTCCCCGTAACCCAATCATTTCCGATCGAGTGGATCCTCGGTAGGGGGCTTTGGTTATCCACTGCCGACTCCGACCAACTTCCACTCCCGAAGTGTGATCCAGGTGGGGACAACTTCCCGACCCGGGGCTGAACTGGGGACGTTGGCCTGGGGGGCGCCGAACGGGGGCGTCAAAAAAAAACTTGGGGCATGGGATGGGGCGCCGTGGAGCAACGTCTCTCGCCAAACACCCTGACCTCATCCCCGGTCGGAATTGTTCATTTCCCGTGAAAATTCCTTCGCCGGGATTACTCGCAGGATTGAAATAAGCCTCCACGTCGGTGGACGGTCCGTGTGCCACACTATCCTCAAAGCCGCTTAGCCGCGCAGTGGATGCATCCATGCTTCGATTCTTCTATTGGACTTGATTCGAGCGTGCATATGCACGTCCACACGCCCACACGGGTTTACATAACATTTCAAGAGCCACAAAGAAAAGAAGAAAAGAAGCCAACACGGAAGATTTCTTGGCAAAACAAAAAAAAAAAAAAAAAAAAACGCAGACCACTCTAGAGTCTTGGCCAGTTGCAAGGCTGAAAACACTGGACGTGCGACTTGCATCATCTCCACCCGAAGCTGAAGCAAGGACCAAAGGATTCCGCCCGGGCACGTGTAGGATGAGCATATTATGGAACGTGGAGTCTGCACGTACCCTTTCTTTCTTTTTTATCCTTTTGATGGACAATCCATACCCTTTTTTTAGAATATTGGCACGGGGCGACATGGTCACGCTCTCACCAGGGTGGATTGAGGGATCTCTCCCCGAGAAAAACAACACATGACATTATCCACACTTCCATTGCTTCCCCTCCACAACTTCAACCACGACAATTCTGCGGGGCGTTGTGGGACACGCCTGACCTTCTCGATAGAGCCATGGCTCACAATCTGAGTCAATTTTAATCTCTGTACTTTTTTTCCCCTTCCCTAGTGTGAGGCATTAACAGAATGGCCGAGATTCATGAGAACGAGGTATGATTCCATGCGTCGGAATCGCCTGAACCCAACTCATCACCTACAAGTCAAGTTCAAGTGACTTGCCCACTGTCCTCGCCCTCATTGCCCGGGTTTTCCACGGGGGTCCACCCGGTTCCAGCCTGAACCACCGCGGCGACCAGTGCGAGAACGCTGCCCGCGAGAAAGAGGATCCGGATGGCTCGTTCGTAGCTTTGCATGGCGATGAGCCGCTCGGGCTCGGGCAGCCCGCGGACCATCGCGGGGCTACCGAGCAATTGGCGCACCAGCTCGGGCGACGGCACCCCATGTGTCGCAAAACCCGTTTCCAGCGATGCCTTGAGAATGCGGGTGAAAAGACCCCCGCCAACCGCGGACCCAAAACTCGCTGCGAATCCCCGAGACATGGCGACCAGTGCGCTCACAATATACTGCATCGATGGGCTGGTGAGATACAGCAGATGAGACAACGTATAATTGATCACTGCACCGGCGAAGAGTCCGTTCAAGAACAGAGCGAGCAAGTACGCGGCCGTCGGGGATTGGGGCGTCGAAAGCAGCGAGAGGGTGAGGACAGCAAGGACGAAAAGGAGAAAGAAAAGGAGACAAAACCTATGATTCAAGGGTCAACCCAGAACTCCCTGGTTCCAACACCGACTAACTGACCCATAATAGCTCCGGGCCTTGCGAATGTGAAGCCATCCCACCAGCACGCCCCCGAGACCAAAGCCGGCATTAGTTGGAACCAATATCAGCCCGGCCGACGCCGGTGACCATCCCCGGACTGCCATGGCATAGACAGGCGAGTAGAACAAAACAGCCCACCGGGCCATCATCAGACCAAGACCGGCGAGGCAGGTCAGTAGGACACTGCGCGTCCGCAACAGTCCCACGGGAATGACGGGCTCAGCCGTCCAGCGGGACTCGATCACGAGAAACCCTGCGAAGCAGAGCAGAGACAATACAATAGGCCCGGCAGTCACGGTGGGCGATGCCAAACTGAAAAGCAGAAGAACGACCGAGATGGTCTACCCTCGGGGGTCAGTGTTCATGATCATGGCACAGGAATCGAGTCTTACCAGTGCAGCGGCGCCTGCATAATCCACTCGTGCAAGACTGCGGGATAAAGAGCCATATAATGTCTCTCTGTGGTCGATGTCGATGTTGCTCTTCGGTAGGCTGGGGATTGCTAGAAAGAGAAGAGGTCCTAACAAAAGAGAGAGCGGAGCTTGGATCCAAAAGATGAAACGCTTATGGATTCAAGTGAACCAAGTCAGTAGATAGGGTCTTCGCCATGGAAGGCTTGCAACGCACCCATCCCAATATTGGCGTCAGCAATCCAGCGAGAACGGCACCCGAGGCGAGGCCCGTGGTGTATCCCAAACTGATCAACCCCAGACACAGCCCTCGCCGCTTCTGGCTGGCCAAAGTCAGGGCCAGAATGATCGACGTACTCATCAACCCACCGCTGCCGCTGCCGGCCACAACGCGTCCAAGAAGAAAGACCGCCAGGCTTGGTGCAGCCGCGGTGATGAAAAGACCTATTGCCAGTAGAGCACTCGAGAAGATCACATACAGACGGGGGGTAAAGATCTGGGACAGTCGTCCCGCTAAAGGTGTGATACTAGACATGGCAATCTGTGAAGTATGAGATTTTCGATCAATTTTTCGGGTATATTCCTCTTTTTTTTTCACGTTACCATAAATGCAGCCGTGAACCAGGTCGCCTCTGCAAAGGCATCGAGATCGGCCGCGATGTCCGATTGAGCTGTAGTCATCATCGACATGTTGGTCGCTGCCGAGACGATTAGCATAGGAACCTGATGCTCTCAGTGGATGAAATCCCTAGGTTCTTGATTCTCACATTGGATTAGGATCAAAAGACCCATGAGAACTATGATGGCCATCCTCGGGGAAGGCTGACGGACGATTCCGAGCCATTCTTGATTGACGCAACGAGCGGCGTGTTTTCAGACATTGCCGCTGGACTCTCTGTCATCTTGAGAATATAATTGAGCTGAATGAAGCCAAGGGGGAAGGGCCCATTGCAGAGAGGGTGAGAGAGCGAGGGTGAGAGGGGCGATGTGCATTTCTAATCGCGCGATAAGCCGGGGCCGTTGTGGACGCCGGTCGGTTACATATGTTGATTCTCTGGTGATCTCAAAGATGAGCTTGAATTATGGTATCCAGCTGCTGCGAGTATTTTGCTCCAAATAAAAAGAAAACATGACCGAGGAGAGTAAATCAGTAAATCCATGTTCTGCCATCTATAGAAATGGCCCACGGAAATGGCGGGGATCGATATACCATTCTCCCTCAGATGCCGCTCATCGATAAAGCAAGGTCTGTAAATATAATTCAACCTTAGTATTTCAAATCTATCTATATCGATACTATGAATCTCCCGACTCTAGATGACCCCACGGTGCAAGGCAGTCGAGGCTAGATGAGTACCACAATAGGCAAATCAGTGCCTTGGTGCCTTGGTGTCTTGGCAGCGACGTCGTTCCCGTCTTCCTCTTCCCACATCCACCACTTCACGGCGTGGAGTTGGAGATTATCTGTCCATCATGCCCCGCGCAGTCCGAGGTAGACCTTTCGGCCTCCCCGCACAATCAACCCGTACTAACTAACCTGCTGCTTTCAGGCCTTCTTATCGAGTGTGACCCCTCGATTAAATCGATGATCCTCAAGTACGATGAAGAGCGCCACGACTACATTGTGGAGGACCTGGATGATGAGAATCATCTGGTCATCAAGGAGAGTCAGCTGCAGAACCTAAAAGCCCGTCTGGACCAGGTATGCGTCTCCATTGATGGCGCATCCCACAACCACTCACACAAGCATTCAAACAGGATCTCGACGAGAAGATCATGCAGCTGGAGGAATCCGAGTCTGAATAGAAAACATCCATCTGCCATCATCAATCGATGCCTTTCGCACTCACCTCCATTCATCGAGCATCCGACCCTTCGGAGTCGACAAAACCCGCACTCCGAACTGGTTGTCACATTGGCAGTACTGACGAACCATTGACCGAATGTCACTCCTCCCCTGAGTCATCTGCGACTATTCCATCATGATTCCCGTATCCCAGTTCGATTATAGGTGACTGGTCCTGTCAGAAAATGAGGCTTGGAGCAGGATAGGAGATTCCCGTGAAGTTCCCGGGATTCGGGGTAGAGACAGTGCAGCCTCGCCGCGCATTTTGTGGGGATGGAGGAGGTTCCAAGTTCCATCACAAGCTCTCTGGCCTCTTCCACTATCCGTAGATTCTCTATGGACTCCTAACTTGAGCCAAACTTGACATGTCGATCCCTCCACAGTATGTATCACGTGACCATAGAAGCGTGGAGAAGCTTCCACAGCCTGGTGGAAGGCGCCGGCGACATCCAGCAACTCCGCGTAACGTCGTGGAACTGCCAAACACTGCCAGAAATGAGGTGCCTAGCAGGTTCTGGCAGTTTCCTGTCAGCTCGTGCCTGCAGCCTTCCCATCTATTTAAGAACCTTCAAGTGACCGTATCCTATCTTCTCTTTTCATCAATCAACCACTCTTGACAAGTTCTCAAGCTCTTCTCTCTGGATACTTTAACCAAAGTCCATCATCCAAAATTACTCTTACATCTCTCTGAACCACCCATTCATCATGTCTCTCTTCCGTGCCAACTTCCCGACCTCTGGCGACTTCGCCCCTCTCTTCCGTCTTCTGGACGACTACGATGTCCACCGTTCCAGCCGCAGCGCGCCGGTCCGTTCGTTCTCGCCTCGCTTCGATGTCCGTGAGAGCGATGATGCCTACCACCTCGACGGCGAGCTGCCTGGCATCGCGCAGAAGGACATCGACATCGAGTTCTCCGACCCTCAGACCCTGGTCGTGAAGGGCCGCACCGAGCGCGAGTACCACACTTCGCCCGAGGCTTCTCCCGAGGGTGACGAAGCCAACCTCGACCAGAAGGCCAAGGACGCCCAGCCCGCACACCATTTCTGGGCCAGCGAGCGCTCGGTCGGCGAGTTCCAGCGCACCTTCTCCTTCCCGGCTCGCGTCGACCAGGACGCGGTCAAGGCCAGCCTGAAGAATGGCATCCTGTCGGTCCTGGTGCCTAAGACCACCGCCGCAGTTAGCAAGAAGATCACCATCGAGTAAACCACTCGACTCGACGTCCGCACATGAGCCACGATTGTTCTTGCTCTTTTTCTCATTGTCTTACACATAATCGCATTGCCACGAGGAAGATGGACTCGGGGATTTCTTCAAATTGACATGTATTTCTAGCTGCAACACAAATTAATCCTGATGGCACTCAAGCCATAATATCTACAGTCCTCTTGTAAATCTGATCGTCCTCAGTAGTGTCATAGTTTCTTATCGCTTATCTACAGCCGAGGCATATGAAAGGCATCAGTCTGGACAAGCCCCTCAGACTCCCTTAACCCCCGTATAATCGTGAATATAACGCGAAATATGAAAGTCAGAACCTCCAGCTAATTCGCAGAAAACATAATATTCCAGAATGATATATATATAAGAATCCAAATCTAATGAAATAAAATGGTCGCAGGATTACACCTTGGGCGGCTGCCCAGAGATCGTGCCGAGGTCCGCTCACACATGTCCTTTTATTCCCCCATCCGCCAGTGTCCTCAACTCATCGACAACCATGGCATACTACGCGTTCCAACACTTCACCGTGCGGTTTCCGCCTGAGCATCAGCATGTGGCCCATGTGGAGATCAACCGGCCAGATAAGATGAACGCTTTCTTCGAGGCGTAAGTTCCCCGCCACCTACGCGAGTCTGTGGTTAACATTATCGCAGCATGTGGCTCGAGTTGAGCCAGATTTTTACACAACTCTCCACGGATTCGTCGGCCCGCGCCATCGTGCTCAGTGGCGCAGGTGACCGGGCATTCACGACGGGGTTGGACGTCAAGGCAGCGTCACAGGGCCTGCTGTCGGGGGATGCAGCTACCGACCCCGCCCGGAAAGCAGCTCATCTGCGCCGCCATATCGCCTCATTCCAGGATTGTATTAGTGCCGTGGAGCGCTGTGAAAAGCCCGTTGTGGTGGCCATGCACGGATTTTCACTGGGGCTCGCCATCGATCTGTCCACTGCGGCAGACGTGCGGGTATGTGCACGGAATGTCCGTTTCGCGGTCAAAGAGGTGGACATCGGGATCGCGGCAGATGTTGGTACCTTGAGCCGGCTACCGAAGGTGGTTGGGCACTATGGTTGGGTGAAGGAGGTGGCCCTAACGGCACGCGAGTTTGGGGCCGACGAGGCGCTGCGCGTCGGCTTTGTCAACGCTGTCTACGACACCCGTGAGGCCACCATCGTCGCAGCTCTGGAACTGGCAGCGTACATGGCCACCAAGAGTCCCGTGGCGGTGCAGGGCACCAAGGAGATTCTGAACTGGTCGCGCGATCACTCCGTGCAGGATGGGCTGCGCTACACCACCGTGTGGAACAGCGCGGCTCTTCAGACGCAGGATATGTCGGCTGCACTGATGTCTGGATTGCAGAAGCGCACCCCGACCTTCGAGAAGCTGTAGCGAGGCGGCTGGTCCGCGTCGGCTCTCTCTGGTTTTAAGGTGCAAGGGTACTCGGTCAAATATTCTACCACTACAAACCCGGGTTGGATAGGTGGAAAGCAATTCAACAGTGAAAATACGGATAATATTATTTCTGCCATCATCGAGTAGCCGAGATATATCTCTCGGTGAGGCCATCACTCGCGTTCAATCGTGTATTCCACCAAACAAAGCTCTGCAACATCCTTCACAAATTGGAAACACCGGTTGTTTCTCCGTAATCCGACAGTCTTGTTTTGATTTTATTTTGCGCATCCCTGTCTCTGTCTATTCCGCCAAGTAGATGAGACCCAGGTGGCACCGTCATTCGGGCTTCAATATTCGGGTGGACTTTTTCCACGTATCCACGTCAATCCTGGAACCAAGACAGTGCCATACATATATATGGTTGATGAATCTGACCAACGGCAATAATTGCCTCGAATCGATCACACTGAAACCACAACACTATCTGACTGCTATGAGATCCAAACTGCTATTATCCTTTGGGGTTATTCCTAGTGCACTGGGAACAACCATCTATCTTGCCAGCGACTCGACGATGGCCAGCGTTGAAACAGGGCCCATCACTACAGGTACACTCTCCTCGACCCCGAGATAGAATCGTACTGAGACTCTCAGACTCTCAGGCTGGGGTGACTATGTCGCACCCTATACGACGCTGGATGTATCCAACAAGGCCGTGGGTGGATGCAGCGCGCGGTCATTTACGCGCGAAGGGCGGTTCGATGCCATTGCGGCGGAAGTACGAGCCGGAAACTGGGTGATCATCGAGTTCGGCCACAACGACGGCAGGTCATTGTCGACGCATAATGGCCGCACGGACTGCTCGGGCACGGGAGACGAGATGTGCACAACAACCTACGACGGACAGACTGAGACGGGTGCTGACATTTCCGGCATATTTGAAGAACACGGCCAAGCTGTTGAGGAGCCAAGGCGCACATGTGTTGATATCCAGCCAGACCCCTAACAACCCCTGGGAGACGGGGACCTTCTATTCTCCGTCGCGATTTGTTGAATACGCGAAACTGGCAGCCGAGGCGGTGGGCGTCGCCTAAGTCGATCATGGAACCTACGTAGCCGACATCTTCGAGTCGCTGGGTGCGGACACCATGGATGCGAATTTCTCGCTGGATCACGCACACCAGCCCCGAAGGTGCCCGCGTCGTGGCCCGGGCATTTTTTCAAAGCGGTGGTCTGCGGTGGTGTGGCCCTGAAGAGCCCTCTGAGCACTTCCGAGTTCCCGGGAAGTTGCCTGTGGAGGAGAAACATGGGAGTAGTGACCAGGCGATAGAGCGGCACAGATCAAAAATATCACACTTTGAGCAGATTTTGGCTTCGTGGCCGTCAATGAGATTCGTAACGACATATCATAGTATGTTCAGCATCTATCACACATATACTAGAACCTTTATTCGTCCAGAATGGTCCGAACAATTCCCCGTTTCTCAACTCGATGGTAGTATTGTGTCAGGTTGGCAAATCGAGCATCGAATGCACCCTGAGTCTGCACCATCTCCCGCAACACAGGCCAGAGTGAACAGTCATCAACACTCAGCACACTTCCGCCGAGATAATGCTGTCCTTCCAGGGCCTGTTCCCAGTCATCTAACCCAGATTCAAACCTGTGGACAGTCTTTGATTCAGACTCAGGTGGATGGTGATCACGCCAACGCGCTAGCAGGTCGTCAATCTGGAGCAGATGATTGCCCCCCCACAAAACGTCCACGCCTGGCCGGGAGGGTTTGCGATCTGCCAGATGCTTCAGGATGGCCAGATCGCCGGTTACCACCGTTCCTTCTGGCTCTGCATAGGATGGCCATTTCGAAAGACGGCCGTCTTCCGAGTTTGCCATCTTATTATCGGCCACCAGATCGTACCGAAGGCCGTTCTCCCCGAGACAAAGGCGCACTCGAAGATCTGCCACAGGATCGCCGCTGAGTACTAGCCGTGCGGCTGTCGTAGAGACAAAATTCACCACGTCGAATCCACCTCCATACACCACATCCCAATCAAATTCAGTGGCGCGGTTTTCCTGTCCAAATGCATGGATGAGCTGTTCCGTCTCGCCAGTATCTCCGTGGATGACCGTGCGGGCCTTGTCCGCGGTCTTACCCACGGCTCCTTGTCCCCAAATAGTGTTGGCCGTCGGGTCAATATAAGTGCCGATGTGTCGAAACGTGAGAGAGATCCGCTCGCCTCCATACGCCTGCTCCTCTTCTGATTTGGCCGATTCGGGCCGTTTATCAGCCCGAATGCCGTGCAGCCATCGCATGTTCGTTTTCTGGCCGAGAATAAATAGCGACCGGTGCGGGAGCGGGACGCGCTGTGTGGTTCGTCCAGGCTCCGTTCCCTCCCCGGATTCAGATGCAGAGGTCTTGGTACGAAGCACCATAACACGCTGGGCACCCAAACTAACATTGCAAATGGATGATCCCCGCACAATATCAAGCGTTTTATCAGAATGCTCAGAAATGCGATCTTGCCCGTCACGGTATCGCTGGACGAGGACATGGTTCAATGGGTGACCCAAAATGCGCTCCACAGTGACGCGCACTTCGTTCACGACCGGCGTAAGTGGCCTCGGCGGTGGGGACTCGTCCGCCGGATGGCGATAGATGGGAATCGTACCATCGGACTCAGACCGAACCTGGACGGCGACTAGCCGAGGAACCTGGCCCGACAGGTGGTACATCTTCTGCCAGGCAACCTCGGATCGAATACGTTCAAAGACGTCTACTGGTAAATTGACATCATGCACAATACGCGAGTCACCCTCCCCAATTGAACCATCGGAGTTGCGGGCACTCGCGACAGCCCCAGGACTCTCGGTGGGACGAGTGGGTGGGACATTCTCGGAGGCGTCCGCGTGGCTCCCTGCCCTAGGGTCTGGCGTGGGTTCCCGACGTCTTGGGCGACGTACACGAGCACGTATCTTCTTCGATTCTATGGGGACCCGCGACTGCGCGGCCGCGACATGCTGGACCCTCGAGCGATTTGCGAGCCCCATTAGGCTGGGCTCCTCTCCATCAGGCGAGGTTTCCCCTGGTATGGACTCCTCGTTACCTTGAACCCCAAGCTCATCCATCACACTTTCAATACCAGCTGGAGTGGCCGACCGCTTGGGCGGCGGCGCACCTCGGCGGGCAATCGCGTCTGTCTCATCCCAGTCCAGTTCCTGCGTCAGTTCCTGGGCCGTGATACCAGTCGCCCCCAATATGTCTGCCATCCGACGCATAGCTTCTTGGTGACGTTGGAAATCGCGAAACCCCAGGCAATCCTCGATGAGGGTCACTGAGAAACCATTTCGGACGGCATCCAAAGCGGTAGCGTACACAGATACATTAGACAGAGAGCCGCACAGGTACAATTCAGTCACGAAACGAGTTCGAAACGATAGCACTAGGCCATCCGACTCCAGTGCCGAGTATCCTGTCTTATCCAGCACAGTGTCCTGCTCGGCATTGATGGCGGCCAAGATGGGTGCGGGGAACTGGAATCCGGTTGACTGCGCTCCACAGCATGGAGAGGGGTCCGCAGACAGAAAGGCTTCCTCGTCGACCGGTTCTGGAGAATCGCGATCCGACGCCGCTTCAATCACGTCCGTCGACGACGGTACAGTCTTCGGCCGCGGCGGCTCTTTATCTAAGACAACGCGGTCCCCAAAGTCCCAGTCGATAATCGACTGCGGTGATTCATACTGCGATCGCACCCAGACAACATCTCCGGCATGGCGAAAGGCGGCCGCAAGCTGGGGGAGTGTATCGAGAATGTCCGGGGTGTTGGGGACATGGAGGGCACCGGAAGGACGGACAAAGTCATTTTGGAAATCGAGCAGCAGTAGCGCCTTGCGGGTCTGGATGGTGGGCAGATCACCGAATGAGAAGAGACTCATCGTATGGACATGATATGGAGGGGTTTGCAGCAATTAGCAGAGAATCCAGGGTCTTTGGGATGCGTCGAAGTGTGTTTCGTGGGGCAGAAAGCCTTGGGGGCGGTGGTTGACACCTCAGGCATAAAAGTTGTACTTCCGACCAGGACAAAAAAGATGCAGTGATATTGTCGATGTTTGGGGAGCGAGATGAGGGTATTTACAGTGGCGAAACTTTCTCAAGTATATACCAAGATATTGCTGCGATTTGAGCCGTACCTCTGAACTGGTTGAAGCCGGCACATGGATCGATTGCGGCAAAGCCCCCCAGGTAATCGGAGGCTGGCTTTTTGAGCAACTCAATTGGGTTATGGTGAAGCATTGCAAGAGCTCAATTGGTCTAGCAAAGTGCATTGGCCCGGGTAAAATGCCCCAGGATCAACTACACAATGCCTCGGCCATCGAAGTGTCTTGTCGATCTTTGGCTTTGGTTGTGATGGAAACGGCCACTCGGTCCATGAACGAATCGCTGACTCACATCGCTCACCAATCAGCATGCAACCGGTGTCGGCCGGGGAGCAGCAGCCACTCTCCGGGATCACGTGTGGGGGCTCGACATTCAGAGTTTCGCCCAATAATTGCGGCATTTAAAACCTCCAAATTCCTCACCTTTCTTTTCTTTCCTACATCCATTCACCTCTCCACTCTGTCCCTTTTCCCCTCCAATTCTTTTCATCCACAATGGCTTCCCGTGGACTTCCCCGTGCCCTCCGTCTGGCCCGTGTGGCCGCTCCCCGCTCGGTCGTTACGGCTGCCCTCCCCCGGCCGGCTCTGGCCGCTGCCGCCGCCGCCCCTCGAGTGTCCGTGGTGACTCCCACCCGTGGTATCAAGACCATCGACTTCGCGGGCACCAAGGAAGATGTCTACGAGCGTGAGGACTGGCCCCGTGAGAAGCTCCAGGAGTTCTTCAAGAACGACACCCTCGCCCTCATCGGCTACGGCTCCCAGGGTCACGGCCAGGGTCTGAACCTGCGTGACCAGGGCCTCAATGTCATTGTTGGTGTGCGGAAGGACGGCGCTTCGTGGAAGGAGGCCATCCAGGATGGCTGGGTCCCCGGCAAGAACCTGTTCGATGTCAACACCGCCATCGAGAAGGGCTCCGTCATCATGAATCTGCTCTCCGATGCCGCCCAAAGTGAGACTTGGCCCTCAATCAAGCCCCTCATCACCAAGGGCAAGACCCTCTACTTCTCTCACGGTTTCTCGCCCGTGTTCAAGGACCTCACCAAGGTCGACGTCCCTAAGGACGTTGACGTGATCCTTGTTGCCCCCAAGGGTTCCGGCCGCACTGTCCGTACCCTCTTCCGTGAGGGTCGTGGTATCAACTCTTCGGTCGCTGTCTACCAGGACGTCACTGGCCAGGCTAAGGAGAAGGCCATCGCCATGGGTGTCGCTGTCGGCTCCGGCTACCTCTACGAGACCACCTTCGAGAAGGAGGTCTACTCCGACCTGTACGGCGAGCGTGGCTGCCTGATGGGTGGTATCCACGGTATGTTCCTCGCTCAGTACGAGGTTCTGCGTGAGCGCGGCCACAGCCCCTCGGAGGCCTTCAACGAGACCGTTGAGGAAGCCACCCAGTCCCTGTACCCCCTGATCGGTGCCAACGGCATGGACTGGATGTACGCGGCTTGCTCGACCACCGCTCGCCGCGGTGCCATTGACTGGTCCAGCCGCTTCCGTGACAACCTGAAGCCCCTGTTCAACGAGCTCTACAATAGCGTGCGCGACGGCACTGAGACCCAGCGATCACTCGACTACAACTCGCAGAAAGACTACCGCGAGAAGTACGAGAAGGAGATGCAGGACATCCGCGACCTGGAGATCTGGCGCGCCGGCAAGGCCGTTCGGTATGTTTCTTCCTCTCTTCCCATTTTCTTTTTCAAGGATTCTGGCTGACCCAGCAACAGTTCCCTGCGCCCTGAGAACCAGAAATAAATAATATCGTGATACCCGTTGGGGGGTGGAGGTGGGGGGATTTGACCAAAAGTTATGATGTACTATGAACTGTCTTGGAATTCGGGTATTTGAATATATTAAGCCATTAAACTCTCATAAGGCTCTTCAAGTGCAAGTTAAGACTAGAGAATATCAATCGCAGAAATAGCCCTAGAGAAGTCCTTTGCTGACGTGAATATGCCGGTGGAGAAAACCACCCGGGGTAGTGGAGTCTCAGTTTCTCTTCTCCAACTCCTGCCACCATGACTTCTCACGCCGTTGCAGCGCAGTCGCTTACTCCTGCTGCGATCCAAGCCGCCTACGGCTTGATCAAGCCCCATGTGCATCGTACGCCATTACTGACCTGCCAAACCCTCGACACTATCGCGTCAACCCCGCAGTCGCCCGAGGCGCTAGTTGGGACTCCCTTTGAGGGCCAGACCCCAGCACACCCGCAGTTCCGACTGTTTTTCAAGTGCGAAAACCTCCAGCGAATTGGCGCTTTCAAAGTGCGCGGCGCTTTCCATGCGTTGCTGCGTCTGTTAGAGGAGCGCGGGGAGGACGAGGTGAAACAGCGCGGGGTGATCACGCACAGCTCAGGTACTGTTCGGCCAACGTAAATAGGCCACTTCCTATTGGAATTTGACTGACTCCTCTGCTCGTTCTTGTTGAACAGGAAACCATGCGCAAGCTCTTGCCCTGGCCGCTTCGACTCTACACGTCCCCGCCTATATCGTGATGCCGCGCATCAGCACGTCATCTAAGATCGCCGGCACGCGCTCGTACGGCGCCGAAGTGATTTTCAGTGGATCGACAAGCGTGGAACGAGAGGCTGTTGTGGCCGAGGTCCAAGAAAAGACGAATGCCATACTGGTGCCGCCATATGACCACTTCAATATCATTTGCGGGCAAGGGACGACGGCGCTGGAGCTAGAAGCACAGTATGCAGAGCGAGTCGAGTCCAAGACCCTCGATGCAGTCATCACCCCCGTCGGTGGAGGTGGGCTCAACGCTGGGGTGGCGACGTATTTCTCGGATAAGCCTCAAACTCGAGTGTTTGGCGCAGAGCCCAGCTTCGAGGGGGCAGATGACTGCCGGCGCGGACTGCAGGCCGGGCAGCGCGTGGAGGCAGTCACGACCTTGACCATCGCGGATGGGCTGCGTACCCCCGTGGGTTTGCTGAATTGGGAGGTGATTTCGAACAAGGAAAAGGTGGAAGGGGTGTTCGCTGTGAGCGAGGAGCAAATCAAGGCGGCTATGCGGCTAGTACTGGAACGCATGAAGGTGGTTGTCGAGCCGAGTGCAGTGGTTGGGCTGGCCGTCTGTCTCTTCGACGAGGATTTCCGACGCCGAGTCGAGCAAGACGGCGGCGAGAAGGGCTGGGACGTTGCGGTTGTATTCAGCGGTGGCAACACGACAGTGGAAGCCATCGGAAAGCTGTTTGGATAATTTTTCATATAACAAGGTGTGCAGTAAAGTAAATATATTTTATTCATCAGGTATCTCAACTCCAGACTCTCGTACATAGAATGAAAACACTCCGCCACTACTCGCCTGAATGCCATCCACCACACGACGGGGCCACTGGTCCCGTCCCCATGCGTTGACCCAGGCAGAGAATTTTCCCTGGCGGACAACGCTTTGCCGAAGAGGAGCGTCGTTCCGGGCATCCTGCGCACTCATGGTGGGTGGAAACATGCGGACCGAGTCCCGGTGGACAATGAGACGTAACAATGGAAAGGTGCCCCACGGCGCAGGGAGGGTAGGTCGAAGAGAAAAGGTTTGGGGTGCGAACTGAGATGGATCAGCTGCAGCTGAGGGGTCGTTGTTGATGACAGAACGGCCGCTCGAAACTGTCGCGGTGTATACAACCGCACAGCCGAGCTGACCTTGAAGTCGTTTGAGCTCCCTTGCGACATCAGTATATAGATCTGACAAATAGAAGCTCTGTTTTTGCTCTCGTTCGCGCTCAATCTCGTCTCGAGATCGTCCAATGTCCTCGGCACGGGCGACCTCATCCCGCAATCGGTCTTGCCAAAAGAAAGCGGTTGCACTGTCGATGGCAATCATATGCAGGGGGCGAGATGCAGAGCGGTGTCGCGGGAGGTCAAAGAGGTACGCATCTAAACTGCGTAGCGTCGCCAGGAGAGCCGATGACGACTGCGGGCGGAGGACGTGAACGTGCTGCAGAGAAGACGCCAGTACTGTTTCGAGGTCGTCTTCAGAGACCTCTCTTCTTGCACGACGTCCCTGACGGGATTGAACGATGCCACGTCCTACCATTCGCAAGCGGTCTGCATTGAACCGGCCATCGGTGTCGACGAAAACCACGGCTGCGTCCCGGCCGCCCACGGGGATTTCGCCACATGAATGCGGCAAGACGGCCAGAGCAGTCAAATAGTACAGTAGCTGGGACTTTCCAGAAGCAGAGAGGCTGCTCGAGACCTCTACGACAGGACTGGGTCTCTGGATCCTGGGGCTGGGGCCCGCTAGCAAAACACCGGACGAATCTAGGACGGTAGAGGGTACCTGTGGTTCTTCCAGCCCGTCATTTCCACCGCCCATGTCGTTTCTGAGCATTTCTTCATCTTCAGAGTTCTGCTGCTCGCGCAAAGGGATAAGATCCGACGGCGGTCGAGATTGATGTTGGACATCACTCTGCGCATGCGATGGCACTCTCGGTTTCAGCGTAAACACATCCAGCAATGCATCGAGAACAGGCACGCCCAATGACCGTGAATTGTAATTCGTACCAGCGGGAACGAGAGTCGCCAACTCCTGGAGAGTCTACCATGATCAGTCCTTCAAAAACACGATCTACATATGCGGATAATTTTATTTCACACACTTGATCGAGTTCCTCTTGGTGCACATCAGCCAGCGATGTCGCGCCCAAATCGGCGGCCATTGCAGAGAGTGACCGGTAGCTTCATGGGTAACGCATTACTTGAATGAAGGGAGCGGAGGGGGGGGGGGGGACAAGTGTAGAGTCCGCGGTGTGCAATGGGCGAATGTCGGAGAGAAAACGGGATTCCGGGAGCTCCATCGTCTCCCACTCCACCCGCACCTCTCCACGCTACACGAAATTCCCCCGTGGATTTGCCCTTGTCGCCGAGCATTCGGATATAGTCCGATTCCATCATGGCGCCTCTCGTCCCTGTCTTCTCCGCCGATACCCTTCCCGACCATGTCAACACCGTGCGCCGCAATTTTCAAGAGAAACGTCGCAAAGGCCCTCCCGTCGACCTGAAAGAGTGTCCACTGCTCGAGATGACCCAGTATTCCTGCAACCCCCCGCAAGAAGGAATTCCTCAGCCGGGCGTGGTGGTGTGCAAGCCGATAGTGCGATTGTTCCGGCGGTGCGTGAAACCCCCGATGGTAGAGACAATAGATACTGATCAACAAATGCAGCTGTGCTGGTGGATTGACGGTCGAAACAACGTCGTGGGAGCCACTCCGACAAGCTGAGGAAAACCAAAAGCGAGCATCTGATACTACACAATGATGGAGTCGGGCATCGCGTCGTCTACGTGGGCTTGGATAGGGCGTGGTCACAACAAGCATTTGCATTGGGCGGCGTTCATCGAATTATGTACGGTTGAGAATTGGAAATCCATGATCCTTATGCCACCAAGGGGTATCTTTTCACTCATGCTCCTAGAAATACACACTAGCGCCCCGACCCAGAAGAAGACAAAGAGAATCCCACCAACGCCGTATCATTGCCCAGTCAAGTGCGCATTCCGCGATCGATCGGCTCGGTGCTCGCAGGGGGCTTGGAGTGCTTCTCGGCTCGCTCATCGCTCATCGTCGTCGCCCGTCGCCATAAGTCTCGCTCACAGTTCACAATTGGGCCCAGCTCGAGGTTCAATGACACCTTAGACCGACCCTTGGTATCCATTTCGGCGAGTGGCCCCGAGTCGATCTCCATGGCGGTGCTCGCGGGAGCGCCGGTGGCGAGAGGATCTTTTTGGAGCTTCTTAGCCAGCCCCTTGGCCGTCTTCTCAAACATGCTTTCCATGCTCTCCATTCTCCGACCCCAAAGCTTCTTATCCCGGCCCGCCGAGGCCGTCTGGTTGTCACGGAACGCGGCACTAGCCAATTTCCGCAAAGCTTCCTCGCCGTGTCGCCCATCTTCTGCGGCGCGCTCGCGGATCTTGCGGGGGTCACTGTCTCGTTCCGTGAAGACGGCCGTGGCCGAATAGGTGTGCTTACTCGGGAAGCTGGGGAAATGTTTCGGGATGTAGGGGCGATTGACGCGTTCCTCTTCGCCGCTCAGAGATTTCAAGAAGGGGAGTTTGCGTAAGGCGTCATCATCCGGGGGCGGGGAGGGTGGTAGAGTCGGTACCGGTGCCGGATGGGGGAAAGACTCGAGGCAGGAGCGAAGGTCATCGGTGCTCAGGCGGCAACGCTTCAGAGCGTACTCGAAATCTTGGGGGATCGGCTGGATACGACGCGAGGACAGCATCGACTGGCGGACGTAGGTGGACAGGCGAAGTAGGTCTAGAGAAATCACGAATCAGCTATCTCGCCGTGGTGTCGGTGTGTTTTTCATGTGCGCATACACTCCTCGGTCGCCCCGCGTAAGCTCGACAGTGCCACTGGCTCCGCATGGTGAAATCCAGAGTGTTGTAATAGCTGCCCGATTGAGCGATTCATCAGATGGTCGATGTTGGCATCATCCTGTACCGCAGGTTCGGACGCCGGGAGAATCACCGGGTCCTGCAGGCGATGGTGACGATGGTAGGGGCGCGTTGGTCGTTTGCTATGAGGGTAATCAAGGGACGCAGAAGGACGCTTTCCCGGAAAGCCGGATGCCATGGCCGCCGTTCTAACTCTGGGACGTCAATGGACTGGCAGACACGACTTCGGAGGCGCTGGGGATGGACAAAGCAGGTCACGTGGTATTAGTACCTCAGGCAGAAACTGGTTCCTTTTGTTTTCCCTGAATAGACCACGCTTCAAATCAAAAGCAAGCGAAGAGGAAAGTCAAAGATGAAATAGACTGCTGAATAAATCCCTAGATCTCTCTGGGAATTGGTAGTTTCTCTACAATTACTTAGGCGTTGTATACATGGTGGTCGGTGTCGGACCAATCCGGTCACTCGCTTAGTCCGCCCGAAAGCTTCAACGTCGTCCCATCCACCTCCCTCTACCCTCTCCTCTCTCCAACCCCCCAAACGTTCGAGGCAGGATTCTCTTCTGTGCCAAATCCCACTGCAGTGTCTTTTTGGGTTTTGATTGACGCTATTTATCCGGCACAATGCCCGCCGCTCTTCCTCCTATCACTGGCGTAAGTGCCTCCCTTCCCTGAACCCGGCCAACCCCCAGCGGCCGGGTCGGGTTTTGTTGGGAGTCGCGCAACCCCTCACTAACTTGCTGCGCTTCTTGACAGATGCTTCGCCGGGGCCTGGTCTTGGACCTGAGCACTGCCTTTGGTGAGTTTGTGACGTGGTTCCGAGGTGGGACGATGAACATGAGAGCGGAATGTCGCGGGTCTCTCGCCAACAATGGATTGGAATACAACCCCATGGAGGAAGCACTTGGTGTTTTGGAAAGAAAGGGAAATAACAAGATTACATTTTCTGACCCACGCCCTTTTCAATTAGGTTTCGGCACCACCTTCGGCTACCTCTGGTGGTACGGTAAGTAGCTTCTGGCTTCGTCGCCTTCCTCAGTTTGGCTTGGAGACTCTAGGGTCTGACCAGTACATTTTCCCACAGGATACCACCTCCCCCGCGTTCGTGAGCGTGACGCCTACTACTCTCGTCTGGAGCAGGAGCGCGCCGCCCAGCGGGCATAAATCGGTCGATGCTGATTCGCCTTCTCTCGAACCTCTTTCTTCTGCCCGTCGGCCTTCCCTTTTCTTCTTTGTCAATCTGGAAAGTTGGTCAGGTCGATCGCCTTTCCCCGGGGTTAGGTTGACTCGACGGGTCGTGCGCGAGTGTGGGTGATTGGTTTTGGAAATCGATTGTACATATACGCCCGTCGTCAACCAATCTGTGTTTCTTGAGTTTGTTTTTATTGGAATAGAGTGGCCTCTCAATCACCAGACCGATCTCTCCGTGGCACTCTGCCAGTACCCATACAGAAGCATCCACCGCCAGCTCTGAAGGCCCTACCCGATGCGCTCTTTGTCCCAGCTGTGGAGTCTATTGTATTCAACCGCTAATTACGCCAGATATATGTACGCTGAACACCCGCATGATCCCCGTGTAAGTCACAGTCTTCATTCCATCAAGTGTAGAGTGATAGACCAAGTAATTCCACTTTCACTCGAACGGGTTCTGTGATTCCCGTGCTTTCCTGCAAAAGGGCCCTTCGGGAAGACTAGTGTCGGTTCTATTTGAGTACTCGCTCGAAGGCATTTCCTCGGACGGACCCGCCGGCCATGGAGGAGCGCACATTCCGTTTGAAAGCGTCACGGTTGGTACGGAGATCGTCTGCAGCCTCTTTATTAAGAGGATCGGATGCATTTGGCTCGAGAAAGAGGAACTAATTGATCGGACGGGTCAGTGAGAACCATCAAAAGATATGTGGAAGATGAACCAACCTGCATGCCCACAATGACCGCGTTCAAGTTCAACACCGGCTTCCAGTCCTCGCGCAGGATGTTCAGGCAGACATTGCCCTCCAGATCGATATTGGGGTGGTAAATCTTCTGCGTACACTTCACCTTCGGCGGATCGTGGGGGAAGTTCTGGTTGACGGAGAAGCTGAAGTTAAAGATACCACCCTTGTACATGCCCTCGTCCGGTTCAATGGTCAGGGTAAAGTTGAGAATATCGTCGGGGTTGGGAAATGACATTTTCATGGTGCTCCCGAGGGTGAGCTCTTGGAGATCTAGAGGAAAGTCGGGGCAGTGAGCGATGCCATCCCGAGAGAAATATCGGAAAAACCATGGTCATGGACATACCTCGTTGCACCCGTAGCTGCGCAGCCGTGACCTTCTTCTTCTTCTTGCCTGCTGCGCTCTCGGCATTTTCCGCCTGCTGCTGCTGTTGTTTCTTCACAGTGTATCAGTCGCATGAACCTTCCGAGGGATCTCCAGGAAAGGGCAGCTAACCATCGACCATATCTTCAACATCGTGGCTAGGAGACACCACCCCACCTGGTGGCTTGAAGACGGATTTAAGTGATGCCGCGGTGGTCAAGCGTGTCGCCGATGGGAATGGACAGAGAAATAATCCAACCCACAAAAAAAGAAGCAATATCAAGGCAAGAAAGCAGAGGGGGTATTTGGAGAGTAAATGGAGAAGTGATGAGGCAAGAGAAGGAACCTGCGGGGTCTCGGATCAGCAATCGGTTTCGCCGAACGGCCTGAACGGCCTGAAAACCTCCGCAGTGCCACTCGCTGACTACTGAACATCACAGCCCTGCAGGTCCACCAGGTATATTAAAATATCGGATTCAATCATGGCTTGCTAAATGCAGGTACCATTGCATCACTAGTTCAGAAAAGGAAAAGAAAAAAAAATCATGGTACTTCGGTTGTCTCAACAATACACGCTTACATTAGACAAGACAAAAAAAAGGAAAACAATACAATGAGTGGGCATCTTAAGGTAGAATACAAATCGCGACCAAGAAAAGAATAAGGCGAAAAACAATATGCCATGGAGAGTGTGGTTCATGAAACACATCCATACACCCAGCAGGGTCTACCGGCGTGCGAAGCAGCACATGATGCCAGTACGGCCCAAAAACCAACAGGCTCCGATGAACCGGAACAATGCGACAACAGCATTAGACCACAGGAGGGCCTGGAAGAACCGGGCAGTCCGATCAGTGGCCGTATTCTATAACCCAGAGTCAGTCAGTGCAATCATCGAGAGAGGATCAAAACACATACCGTGAAACCAAACTTGTCCACCTTCTCACTGGTAATGCACACCGCCAGGAAAGCATTACTAAAGATCCAGAAGGTCACAAGCCGAGTACGGAAGCTCTTGTACGAGTCCTCTAAGCTCTTTTCCTCGTGTTCCACCGGAGCAACATAAGGGGTCAGCGCACGCTTGACTGTCGTTTCAAACTGACTGTCGATGTCGGCCTGGGGCTTGTCAATTTCCTCAATCACAGCATCCTTGCTACCCTCATCCTTGGTTGTCTTGGCAGACGGCAGTGCATCAGCTTTGTCAGATCCCTTGGTGCCCCAGGACACGTCGTGCCAGTTGCTGAAGGCATAGACATTGAGAATGTTGATATACGATGATTGCACCACCATGTATGCCGGGAATGAGGTGAACATGTGCCATGGATCTGCGTACATGAACGAGGCCACGAAGTAGAGACCGAAGGTGGCCGCCAGTGCGATAATGATGATACCAGCACCGGTCGACCCAAAGAAGGATCCGAGGAAAGCCCCGAGGCCCTTGTCGGTCACAAAGTCCATGGGGGCACCGCCGCTGAAGGCACGGATGACCAGATAAAGCGAGTCTACAATGATGTAGAGTTGAATCAGGCCAAAGACCACGAACGAAGCCAGGTAAGAGAACTTGGATCCCTTGGGCCGATTGCCAAGGGCCAGGATGAACTGCAAGAGCAGAAACCCCAAGTAGATGTACTTGACCATGGTATTCACAATCGGTGTGGCTTTCTCGCCGAAGGGGAACGCAGTGTACTTGTTGTTTTTGCTCGGGGTACCGACCAGGTCGATGATGACAGTCGTCGTCAGCCAGTAAGATGCCAGAGAAAACCAGGTGAGAATGGTGTTGAAGATGTTGTAGAGCATCTGAATGTGCAAGAAGAACATGCGCACCAGATTGTGACCACTCTTATACATGCGGCCGAAATGCATCAGCGAGTAAATGCCGGCGGCGAAGGAACCGTTCAACCAACGTCGACGCTGGGAAATAAACTCTGGAGCGCCCTCGGGCACGTCGGTTTCTCCCTTGGAAGCTTTCACATACGACAGGTGCCATTTAGAGCCTGCCTTTGCCACCAACTCGAAGCAGAGAATGCGATCCTCGGCCAGGAACATATTCTTTTTGAAAATGTTCATTCCTTCAATACCCTTTTTCCCAAGCTGCTTGGACAGCGTATGGTCGCCGTGAAAATATTGTTCGAGCGGGCGTCCCATAATCGCACGGAATCGGTAGGCAGAGAAGGCTCCCGGCAAGACACTAACATAACCAAAGGAACTTTCGAGGGGCTTGTCCAAGATATTACTGATCTTGTACTCAAAATTCTGCGCGGCCACTAAGGGGTTGATCAAGTTGCGCCACCCCTTCCCTAACATAGCATGGATTTCACCGCATGCGCCACCGAGATCCTTGTCGTTGTAGAAGGCCTCCCAAAGATAGAGCAAAGACTTCGACCCCGGCTTGGTTCCTGCGTCCAAGAGAATACAAACCTCGGGGTTGAGGATCCGACCAAAAGCGTTAAAGAGCCATCGATGGGAGTTGATTTTCTTGCTGTTTTTCTGCTTCAAGCAAAACATCATCTGCACCGGGGGTAGGGTGCTCGGCCCGTCATCAGTAGGTCGAATGAGCTGCTGGTTTGGCGTGACAGACAGTTGGGTAGTATATTCAAACTATACAGAATGGTTAGTGATATTTCATCCCGCGATCTTCTGGGCAGTGCTTCTCTTCTCCGAGACCATGGACATACGATATGGGCCAGTGTCTCCTTTCCGTCCACGTCGCGCTTCATGACCCCATCTTGGTAGATACCGATGGTAGCCAACACATCCAGGACATCTTTGTCGCATGGATCAATGCCATCAAACACCAGTGCGACAACAATTTTTTGCCACGCGGGACCACCCTTGTTCCAAAACTCGGACTTCTTCAGGTTGACGATGTCGCGGATGTTCTGCATGACGCCATGCAACGTACGCGCAGTCAATTGCTTGTCCTCGTTGTAGTAGGTGATAGCGATCAGCAGCTCGGTGTGGCGATTGTACATGGCTGGGCGCAGATTATAACCATTGTGGAGAGTAAACTCGTTCGGATCACAAGTCGCAGCGGTATCTGGAGACCAACGGGGTCAGTGAGAGTTGGTACGACGTGCGCCGGCCGACTTACATCGCATATGCGTGAACTCTTCACTTCCACCTTCAAGATCATTGCGGTACTTGGCCTGAATTGCATTCTGAATGGCGCTTGGGACGGGGTAGTCAACACTTAGCACGGAGCCCTGCACGAGCTTAACTTTCCGGGTAGCATAGCGTCGGAGATTGCCTCCTCCAGAATTGCCACCGGGGGCCTGGCGTTGGCGCCATGCCTCGGTGGATGAGGTCTCGCTGCGGGCATAAGGCGATGCCACACGATTCGGGACCCCAAAGGCAGCCGCGGGGCTGTCCGCATGACCGGTATAGGGGGATCCAGTATTGTAAGGGTCGTGGTATGCGGGCGCAACATCCGATGCGTACGTCTCGGTCAAACTGTAGCCGGAACCAGGCAGCACGGGAGAAACTCCCCGGGGGTGGGGGTCATCGAAGGGGCTCGCAAACGGGCCTTGCTGATGGGAGAGCAAACCGCGCGCCGCATCCTCATCCTCGCGATACTGGATATGATCAGTGGTTTGGTCGCAACAGTCAGGCCCATCCACCACTTACTTGCGAGGCAGGAAGGTCCTGAGCGCGATGATGATCATCGTAGCTGGGCGAGTGCGCGCCGGAGCCCTGGTAGGCCATGGTTGCCAACTCAAGACTGTGATGAGAGAGAGAGATCACAAAGCTTCAAATTGAAATGCGATGGGAGGAAAGACAGAAAAGCGAAGAGGGGTATCTGTGAAACAAGAGATGATCTGGCAAAATCGGATGAAGAGACAAGCCACCGGGGCTCAAGCGTCAAAGTGAACAGCGAATGTGTTGTTTTGGGGGGAAGAAGTGGCGGGGGAGAGATATGAAATGTCGATAAAAAAAGAAGAGGAAAGACAGAGAGAAAGAGATGAGATAGGGAAAGAGAAGAAGAGAGAAAAAAAAATTGACAGGGGAAAAAAGAGAGAAAAGAAAAAGGAGAGATCGAATGAGAGAAGATGGTCAAAGGGCAAAAATAGCCCATCTCTAAGCCCGTCGTGGTTAGGCGAATTGCTTTGATGCCCGCATACTCCATCCCTGCCTTGACAGCCTGAGGTACCCATGGGAGTGGCAGCCTTGGAATCTGCCTTATTCCAGGGGCAAAAACCCGTGATTCGATGGAATTTTTTTTTTCTTTCTTTCTTTTTGCCCCTTTCTTTTGCCATGTTTTGAGGCATGTCTCAACTGCTGTTTTTATTTTTATTTTTTAGCCCTACTGCGGCAACTAAAGTACTGACTAGTCAACTAGTCTACTAGTCCACTAGCTACTCCAGATCCCTCCACTTGCCCTTCGGAGCAATCATTGGCCCCACCGGTGAAACAGCTTCATTCCCACATTCTTCGCGGGAATGCTGGCTGTCGCCTTACCCGGGAACACAGGTCATAGTAGCGAAGAAAGATAGTTTTCATGCCCTGAGCCTGAAGTTCCGTTCCGTCTCTGGAAGCGGTACCCAGAGAATGTCCCCTCGGTCGCAGATCCGAAAGAGTGGAGATGGGATGGTCCCGAGGTAAATAGTGTTGAGCCAAGCTCAGGGGTCAGCTGACTTGACCCCTGATCGAGATTATTCCAGTTGAAGAGGATATCTCTTAGAGGGGAGACAGGGATTTTTGATGGTCTCGAGGGTATGTGCGGCCATTCCTGCTCAACCCGAGCCAACTTTCATGAGCAACCCTCACGTCTGCTCGTTGGCAGATCCTCCGGGATCGTCAGGCGATGAAATTTAGTGTCGGTGAATCGAACCCCCCCCCCCCCCCCCCAATTCAACGGCAGATCACCTGACTCTGACACCTCAGGTGTCCAACATGACCGAGGCCAGTAATTTCCCGCATTATTGATAATCCGAGGCCCAGACCATCTGCGACACAGCCCCCGCCCGCACACGCAAGGTGATGAGACAGCCTTGGAGCCTTGGAGCCTCGGAGCCTGGTCGATGTAAACACGGAGATACTCAGAACTATAGAGATTATTTGATGTGGATGTGGATTTTATTGGAATCAACTAGAACAGGGGAATTATCAACATACACATTGATATATAGATCCCTCCATCAGAGAATTATTTGAATCCTTTGTGATTCAATCTCGCCAGCCGCTTCTTGTGGAACCCCCCGTGCTCGGGCCCCATCTCTCCTGTGCCCCATCAGGAGAACCCAGCCGCTCTTCTCTTCTCTCTTCTCCTTCCCTCTCATCCCTCCCTCTCTCTCCCCTTCATCCGATCCTGCGTTTTGCGGCTGCGCCTGTTGTCTTATAATTCCTTATAAGTCACGACTGCTGCCCTGCTGGCCGCAATCCCCCCCCGGAGATCTGTCAATTCCCTGGATCCCACGAGGACGATGACTCGCGACTAAACGTCCTGTTTTCTCATCGACCATTCCTTTTTTTCTCACCTCACTCGACACTCGTTTTCAACTCGACCTGTGGATTTCATGATCTAGCGATTTCGCTCACGACTTGACGCCGATTGAGCCTCCCACTCTCCTTTCGACTTTTTTTTCCCCCTCATCTTCCTTGCCCACGCCGTTGATCGGTCGTATCTCTCCGAATCTATTTATCTTCTTTTGTATCCTTTCCAAATTGACTTTACCCGCCATGTTGCTTCAGCCTATCGATCCTTCCTCCTTGTCGCCCATCAGTACGTTCCATCCAGCGGGTCCCCAATCCCATATACTCAAACTAACAACAAAACAAACAGCCGGCATCTCCCCCGGTTCACTCTTTCGGCGAAACTGCAAGCAGTGCCCGGGCGCCCCTACCTGTCCCTCCTGCCCCGATGGTTCAACATGTCAGATGACTAGTCAAACCTGCGATGAATGTTCAACTACCAAATGTGTGAAGACCTCGTCGTCCAACTCTGACAACCAGGACTCCGACTCCGGGGGTAGTAATGCAGGCGCCATCGCTGGCGGCGTGATCGGAGGTGTGGTCGCCATTGCCATTATCGTCTTCTTGATCTGGTGGTTTGTCATCCGCAAGAAGCGCCAGGGTGGCTCGGCCGACGCCGAAAAGACCAGTGCCTTTGATGCTGCTCGTTCCGAGCGCAAATCGACCAACTCTATCGCCTCAACTGTCCTGACCCGCGCCTCAAACGTCATCCAGATCGCCTACATCCCCGGTGTCACCAACCGATCTCCGCCCGAGACCCCAGCCACGTTGGTGCCTCCCGTGCCTCCATTGCCAGGTGCCACCCCTGACCAGCACTTCTTCATGCCCGGTGATTTGCGTGACTCGGCCTGGACGAACAACACCCACCAGAGCATGTCTCCCACCCTGCGCAGTAGTGTCGCCACCACGGTCTACCGCAACAATGCCATTGTCAGTGAATTGCCAGCACAGCAAATTCAGCGTTCGCGGGCGGCTGTTGTCAGCATTCATAACGGCCCGGGGTCCAACTCTCCGACGCAACCCGCACCTGTCGCAATTACGCCGGCGGATGCACCCGCCGTCCCCGCCATCACTTCGACACAACTCGCCAAAGCCGACGCGTTGCAGGCCCCGAACAGCTCGATTGTCGCCCGCAGTGTGACGGCAAAGCCGGTCATGGTTCGGGGTCCCTCCTTGAAGAAGAAGAAGAACCGCCTCAGTACCCCCGCCGTTGACCCAATTGAAGAGCGATCGGAAAATCTGAGTAGGGCTGTTTCAACAACTAGCAGCAACCAATTCAATCACACCACCTCGACCTTTGACGGAAGTTCGTCGGATGAAGAAGACGATGCACGGCCGCCGAACCCGAGGCGATCTCCAGACGCCACTTCGGATCCAGGCCCCTTTGACGACCGCGCTGCCCCGGGCGGAACTTCTTCCGCCTTGAGCCATCAACGACACTCCAGCGTGGGACATCGCCACCGGCACAGTGCAAGCTCCAGTCACAACGGCCGAGTGCCCGCACGGGTACAAAGTCCGTTTTCGGATGCAAATGAGGTACCATGAGTGAGTTTTCAAGACCACACCGGGCGCTATCGGGTTTTCCTATTTTGTTCATGTGTTCTTTCTGCTTCTTTTGTATGTATGGATTTCTCTTCTGTGGATTGGTTTATACTTGGTGTTTTCGTTTCCCCCGGATGCTCTGTACAGCGAGTGGTAACGTGGGAAGGCGAAGCAGTTTCTTCAATTTGATTCTTTCATTGATGTATGATCTTTTTGTTGTATGGTATGGACAGGACATGAACCCGGTCGAGTACGAGGAAGCATTCGAAGCAAGTTCTCTTCAATCTACATGGAAATACCTGCATGGCGTGTATGAGCTGGAACCTCGACGTCTTGACCCTAGTCCCAATACCAAGTGATTGAATTCAACTATTGTTTATGAGCTACAATTCAATGTTGTCACTCCAGAGGAATCAAAATCAAATAAATTAAGAAGGGGGTATCTACAATCACAGCTGACCAGGCGCATGGAACGGGTGTTTTACTGAACATTCTCCTCCAAGCCCATCCCACGCCCAATCTTCCGGATCAGCGCCCGCTTGAAAAAGGCCTCCCGGGCGAGGCCGCGGGTGTGCCGGGACCACGAGTCCACTCCAGTCACCCCACGAACCAAGGCAGCCTGCAGAGCATAGAGGGCCTGCTGGAGGCCTTGCTCCTCAGCGACCAGATCGTACAACTGCTTACCCACGACAGTAGGGGCAACCAAAACATCATCGATCGGGGGTAGACCAGATGGATGATCACTGGGGATAGCCGTCGTAGACGTTGAAGGCGCGCCCGAGGTCGACACGGAGGCAGACCGGGCCTGTGCATCGTTGATGGTGGCATCAGCACGGTGGATCGACTGCTGCAGGACAGCGGTATTCAATTGGAGAGTTGCATGAAGAGCATTTATCGCAGTGACCTCGCCCTGAAGTGTGGCCAGTGCAGCATGCAGCGATCGCGATTGTGAGACAAGAGACTGTGCTGCAATATCCGACTGGGTCGCGTGCGCACGCAGTGTCTCTCCGAGGGACTGCGAGACAGTATGCAGCAGCGCATCCTTCTCCGGGTTAGGGGGAATTGGGGGTGCGGGCCCCACAGGAGCAAATGACGGTAGCTCGAGCTCAAATGGTGAGGTGAGAAGGTCAGGGGTTTCGGCTTGGCGTGGTGGCGCTGCCGGGGGTGGACGTGGGTAATTCGATGGATATGGAGAATGTTGGGGGTACGGGGGACCTGATGGCTCCTGGTGCTGCGGAAGGTGGGATTGGCACCCCGGGCGGGATGAATCATGAGACAATGCTTGCGTCGGCCATTGTTGAGCTGGCTGCACTGGAGGGGGCCCAGGTGGCCCAGTTTGATGCGGCAAGGGCCTCGGTATGCTCGGTCCCAAGACGGAAGTGGCCTGATCGCCTCTGTTTTGTTGATATGATGCTAGACCCTGATGAAATTGAGGCGACATGGACTGCCATGCGGGTTGCGGAACCGGGGGCTGCGAAAGTGGGCGGGGACTACTGATCGACCCGTGGGGGAAACATAGTGCTGCGATGCCCGATTCCCAGGACTAGCCACCGGCCCGTGGCTTGATGGGGGCATTTGCCTGGGATTTTGTTCTTTTGGAGGGAGTGGTGGCAGAGGTGGCGGTGATTGATATCGCTCGGCCGGGTGAGGCTGCGGCAACTGCCGCGGCTCAACAGTCGATCGTGGTTTCGGGGGGCGCTGTGGAGGTATCTGACCGGCAGGGTGAGAATGCGACATTTGAGGCGAAGCTGTCGATGACCCGACGCCTGGTGGTAAAGGTGGCAACGGTGGCGGAACTGGATTTTGTTGCAGCTGGGGTTGGGGTGGCATTTGTTGTCTATACCGAACTGGTGGCTCTTTGGCAAACACTTCTCGAAGAATTGTGAGAAGATCAATAATTGAGGACCTCTGTAGTGGGGGATCATCCAGTCAGCACTACATCAGACTCCTTTTCAGGTAGCTCGGAATACTAACATCCCAGCCTTCGGCCCAGTGGGCCAGGTAGTGGTGGTACACCCGCCCCTCAAGCGTCACATGTTGCCCGACTCGAACTGCCATGTCCTGGGTCGGAGTGACAAAGACTATCGGGGGCTCGTGTGGGTAGGTATTTGGGATCCATAGCGCGAGGGGAAATTGGTATGTTGTACCACGGAAAGCGACAGGAAGCGTGCCGACGAGGTGGACGAGGAGGGCAGAGAAACCGGTTTCGTAGGCTACAACATGAGATATGTGTCGATAAAAGCAGCTGTTGCCATGGATAGGCAAGACTCACTGTACACATCGGTGCGAGGAGAGAGCGAGGGATATTGGGCGAGCGCATTGGCGACATCGTGGTAGGCACGGTTGGGATCATGGTAGGTCTGCTGGGGGTCATAATGATCCTAGAGTGGGTTAGTCTACGATTCAGAATGGTGAACTGGGGTTCCCAAACCTTGGCTAGGACATTATACAGCCAGTTCAGTGTCCTCTGGGGGACCGCCATGTCGCAGTGGGAAGGATGAAGGTGGAAGAGCTGAGACGCGGTTGGCCTCCGCGCTTCCCCGCAGCGGCTCTTGGCAACCCGAGCGGTTTCTTCGATCTATACACGCCGTGTTTATTTACTTGCCATACATCTTCCTGAGATGTTTTTGATTTGTTTTTCATTGGTTTCATCCGACTAAGGACAGGAGACATATCCATCGACTCCTGGCTGTATCCTCCAATGCCTCGATCCCCCCATCTAATCAAAAACCGACCCCTTCATAAAGTTCGGCTGGATAAACTCGGACGCATTGCGAAAGCTGGTGAACCCCCACCGGATCTGTGCAGCCATTGCAATCTCAACATCCAAGTCCTTGGCAAATTGCCAAGTCAACCCAGGATCGCGCTGGAAGGCCCGTCCAACGAGGATGATGTCAATATCATCATCGTTAAGACTTTTCTCGGCCAAACCACCGTTGTTGATCATACCCACTGCAGCGACGAGCATTTTGTCGCCGACGACCTTCTTAATGGCCGAAGCAAACGGCACTTGGAATGCCGGGCCAGAAATGATCTTTTGAGCATGATGAACGCCACCACTACTGATATCAATCACGTCGATACATCCCTGCGCCGCGAGTGCACGGGCAAATTCGACGGTGTCTTCGAGCTTCCATCCCTTCTCCTCTGGCAGGCTGTTCTCCAGCCAGTCCGTAGCAGAGAGACGTAGGAAGACCGGAATATTGGGACCAGCCGTGTCACGGGTCAATTGGGCGATTTCCAGAGGGAATCGAATGCGATTCTCGAAACTGCCACCATACTCGTCGGTCCGTTTGTTGGATGAGGGGCTCATGAACGACGAGAGTAAGTATCCGTGGGCGTTGTGAATCTCGATGAAATCGACTCCGGCTGCCAACGCGCGCTTGGTGGCCGCCACCCACGCATCTTTGACCTCTTGAATATCGTCTTTAGTCAGGGCCTTGGGGACAATTTCTCCCTCTGTGAATGGGATCGCACTAGGTGCCTTGACATTGTTCACCCAGCCGCCAACGGCATCGGTGCAAGTGACACCCCCCAACCACGGTGGGACGTGCGAGGCTTTACAACCCGCATGAGCCAGCTGAATTCCGATTTTCTGACCCTGGCTGTGGACGAATTCAATGGTTTGTTGGAGCGGTGCAATCTGGGAGTCTTTCCACAGGCCCGTGCAGACCGGGGTGATCCGGCCCTCGGGAAGTACGGCGGTGGCCTCGATCATCACCATCCCCGGCCCACGCTGGGCAATCCCGCCGTAGTGGGCAAGGTGCCAGGGACTCAGGTGGCCATCATCCGCACTATATTGGCACATGGGCGCCACCTGTCGACATTGGTCAGCAAGGGTGCTGTGGGGAAGGCAAAAAAAAATTCAAATGCATACTCCCAGGCGGTTTTGGAACGTTTGGCCTCGGATGGTCAGGGGCTTGAAGAGCTTTGGGATGGGCCTCCCACTCGTTTGGGGATCACGAGCGGTGCCTGCCGGAGGAGACTGGGCCGGGGTGAAGTAGGAGATGCCCTCGGCGGGCTTGATAGGGACATCGGGCCAATTGGTCATGTTGGATCGGTTCTTGGTAAACAAAGAAACCAGAGTTGTAGTTGGCAAGAATACAGGGCAACTATCTACACTTATATATGTGTCTACTGGATCCCGGTAATTTCTAATCGCTAGGACGATTGGGTCCAATCTCTCGAGACTGGCGGAATTCACAATATCCAAGGATCCAACGACTCATCAAAGAACAAAGGGACTGCCTGGATCGGCAATATCTACCTCGTTTCTCAATCGCAACGGGTGGGGGCCGGCCATCGCAGTCCCTAGACTGGATGCAGAATGGGATATAGTTTCTCAAATTTGCGGTGTTCACCACATGTCAATATCATTGGTGGGTTGTTCGCGAATTTTCTCGGCATTGGAGACAGGGCATTCGTAACAAAGAGAAAATGGATCTCGCTAGAGGATTATTGATTCCCCAAAGTCCCCGAGTCCGAGCGCTCGGTGGAATTCCTCCGAGGGAAACAAAGAGCAATACAGCTCGAATAAGGCATTGGTTATATTCGTTAGTAATGGCAAGGGCCAAAGACACAAGTAAAGTGTATATATAGCAAATAAAAGAAATAAAAGGAGGGAAAAATAAAAGAGAGAGGACGCGGCCAGAGATCGAACGTAGGGTTTACTTGTTGGATGAGCAACAGGAACCCATCACCGAGCTCAACACCAAGGGGGAAATCTTTGTGTTTGTGCCGCAGGTGTCTCTAGGTTACCTGAACCGACCCTCAGAAACCGAGGAACGATTTATTCATGTCGGCTCTGCCTTGCGTGGCCAAGAAGGATCGCCTGTCCGACTGTATCGGACGGGTGATCTAGGAGAATGGAGAGACAGGTCTGGCAGCCTCGACTATGTTGGGCAAGCCGATCAGCAGATTAAACGGTCCGGGAATCGAGTGGAACTCGGTGACATTGAGCGCACGCTCGAGGCCCATCCACAGGTGCATTCATGCGTGGTCAAGCAACATCTCCGCAGCACCTCAGATCTGTTAATCGCGTATATTATCCCGTCCTCGAGTATGCGGAAGAACGAGCGCCAGCAGATAATCAGCTGGACAAAGGAGAGATTGCCTCCCTACATGGTCCCAGACCAGATCAAGGAACTCGAGAAATTTCCTCTGTCAACCAATGGCCAAGTAGATCGGAGTTTGTTTCATCCAGAGACGCGCGAGAGACCCTCAAGTGACGTGCATGGCAATGGGACGGCCAAGATTGGAGAGCAGTGGCTTCAATCGAAGCTCCAGGAATCCTTCGACGTGCACTACGTTAATCTACAAGACAACATTTTCTCGTTTGGGACTCACGTCGCTCCAAGCCGCGCAGCTCATCGGTCATATCATGCACCACGGGATTTATGGGTGTATACCTGCTAAGTTGCCTTTTGCCATGCCGACCATCCGCAAAGTCGCGTGTTTCGCACGAGGCCAGGGTAATTTGAGCGCAGGCTGTCGGATCCAGAAGGCTCTTGAGCAATTCGACCTCTGGGACGGCAGCCTGGGGAAGATTCAGAAGATCACCGTGCTGGAAGGTGGATTGGGAAATAACACGCTGGGCCTGGGAGAGGATCAATTCCAGTGGCTCGCCAACTGGGCCAGCGTTATTTTCCATCTGGGGGCACGCGTCAACTGGTGTGAGCTCTACGAAGGGCACTTCGGGGCCAATGTGGTCGGCACTCGCAACATCATTCGACTGGCTGGACAAGGTCGACGGAAGGTGCTACATTACGTCTCGGTTGAGACCTGGAATGTGACCGGGTACATGCACAAAACCAAGCGAGTCTTCGAGGATGAGCCCCTCCAGCCATACCTGGATTCTTTGCCCTATGGCATCGGGTATGCGCAAAGCCAATGGGTTGCCAATGAGATGCTTCATCGCGCGCGAGCACGAAGGCTGCCTGCAGCCATTTATCGACCCGGGTTTGTGATTGGAGACCACCAGCGGGCTCTTAAAAATCCGGACGACTTCTTTGCTCGGTTCATTGTCGGATGCACCCAAAGCGAGTGCTTCTTTTACCTGCCTGACCAGTGATTGGAGTATGTGCCGCTGGATCATGAGTTGTTGCGCCGGTTTGTGGAGTGTTGGGTTTAACCGGGCTTTTATACTGTGTCGGTTTCGTGGAGGCCCGAGAGGCTCGAAATCCGGATAATTTTGAGGAAATCAACAACCCCACGCGTAGGTTGGCTTGTTATTTAGGGATATGTTGCTGTCAGTAGCCTAAGGCCGCGTTTTGATTGTAGCGTGTCGATTTCGGGGCAAATTGGTTATTTTCCATTCATTTCACGCGTCATTTGGGTCTTTATAACTTGGGTAGTAATCTTCTTCCCGGGATTTTATATGAATGTTTTTATAAATTAGTCTGATGTAGCAGACGATTTGGTTCATGGCTGTTGAAATATCATTAGCTTCACCAGCCCTGGTAACCAAAAGACCAATCCATGGCAGCCCAGTCCAGTGGGTCCACGTCAAGATTCAACGAAGACTGCCCTGGCAGGTAAAATCTCGGTAACATGCCCGTCTCCATTCCTGTGTAGCTGTCTTGTCCCTCAGAGCCGTATAACAGACTATAGCTTCCAAGACTCATTGACATTGACCCCGATGTACCACCTGTACCCATTCCTGTAGCTGTGTTGCCTTGTTCGTGATCGGAATGTGTGCGAGACGCTGTCTGCGCGATTTTGTGTTGAATGCGTGACACAATCCTTGGTGGTGTCGGTGGCTGTCCTAACCCCCCAAGCGCTGTCTCGCGGGCGTCCCAAGCCTGGAGAATAATGCGGCTAAACATCTTGAAGAGGGGATTATCGCTTGTTGCTGGGTGTGAGAAACGAGCTTCGAAATTGGCACTCATGAATTCCCAAGCCTGTTCAGCGTGCTCGCCGACAGGTCGCCTCTGGAGGTCCTCGACAATGTGAATATATGCGGGAAGTGGAAAGTATCCATGAGCTAGCCACCGGTAACCCTTGGTTCGGGGGGATGTCATAACCTTAGTATCACAGTCCAGCATGCTAAACGCACGGGACAGAGCGGTGTTGCGCTGTGTTTCGGTATGTTGTTCGGAGGATAGGGAATGCTGCGAATAGTATTCGACAAGTCGGCATTTGGCGAGATACCCTCGCGTTGTCCAGATGGTCATGAAGTGGAGCGGGTTCTCAGGGTCACAGTAATGGAGATAGTTGTCCTCGACCATCTGTTCCAAAGTAGCCAGCTCATGCCCTTCTGCAAACGAACAGTGGTGACTATCTTTAGCAATAGGCTTAAAAGCCGGATTAGTGACGCCAATATACAACGGGACATGGCGGGTGAACTCGGCCAGCTCGCTGCGTACTATGGCAAAGAGGGCCTCGGAGGATTTCCCCTGAACCACCGGTGGCTCCTTCATTTCCGGCCAGAGGGCGGAATCATTAACATTCAGAGGAAGCTTGCAGTCCCAAGTCGGAGCAAGTATGGGATTCCAATTAGCTAGCTCACCGATACGGGTGTCGAAGAGGACGAGGGACCACCAAAGTCTTCGGCGCATCTCGGCTTCAAAGGCGGTGCATTTGCCATAGGTTGACTCGTTATCGAGACCCATGCGGTTTGCAATGCGTATACCAACACCAAGCATGGAGGACAGTGACTGTGGATCTGTGCTGGGTCCGATCGAAACCTGACACACTTTAGCAAAAGCGCCTAAAGCATCTCAATCGACAAGCATACCAGAAAGAGATAGAAGGCAGTCAAGCATTCACGATCACACGTTCGTAAGTAACCACAGTTCAACAGGGCTTGCTGACAGCCCAACTGATATCTCGACAAAAGATTTTCCTTTAACGAGCCGAACATGGCTCGGCATTCATCCGTTGTGAGACTCATAATAGATATAGAGTATATGCTGAACATGAGAGCCTCGAAAGTGGGGTTGATGTTTGCCACATTGCTAGCGGCTTCAATAATGCGTCCTTGCATGCTTGGAGTATGTGTAACTTTGAGCAATGGGTCGACATTGTTCAAATACATCTGCCACAGCCTAAATATTTGGACTGGTTCGGGATGAAATCCTGAGAGATCGAGAGCCGTCTTTCGTGAACTAAAAGGAAGATTGCCAGTACCCGCAAAAAGCTGATCCCATGCCCTGTGGATTCCGGCCTCGCTCATGTCGTCTTGTGAGAATTCGCTTCTATTCTCAGAATTTCGGAGCTGCCTCGAGTGTTAGCCTAGTCATTAGGAATCAAGGTAAAATTTTCATACAGCGTGTTGTCTCATGGCATGCCAGAAACTGCAGGGATAATTAGTTTTATGTCAATATAATTCACCATAAAAAAGTGTGTACGTACTTCGCCCCATGTAGTTCTTCATGTCTTGTAGGTGTTGATATCCCCCTAGATTCGGGTTGTTGGTTGTCCAAATCACAGACCTTTTCCAACTTCGGGGACTCTTTTACCGCATCGTCCTTGTGAAGTGGCTCAAACTGAACATTGTTCTTGCGCAATAGATTCTCGTACTTGCGGATCCGGTCCAACAATTCTCGTTCGGGAAACCTGCGTTTTCGCAGACGTGGGGAGGTCATCGGAACACATTGTGTTTTAAATTTGGTACAATTAGCACAAGGGAACTTTCGGTCACACTTGACTTTGCGCTGTTGGCAGAGGACGCATGCAAGCACCCGCTGAGATTTTGAAGATTGAGAGGATGTGGGAGGGTTCGAGGTATGCTCTCGAGTCGGAGAAACCGTCGACATGGCTATATGATCTGATAAACAAGAGCAGATATGGTACTTCAGCGACAGGATACAGAGAACTTCATTGAAAGAAGAAAGATCTCGTTTGAAGCATGTCGGGCAAGTCAAAAGCCCGAGCGGATCTACATCATGTGACCCTCGGGTTTTCTCAGAACCCGAACACAGCGAGCCTCCAACCTCCTCCAGGCAGAGCCATTTCGAAACAGATCCACGATCATTATGGAGTTTGGCGAGAAATGTGTATTAGATGACATATGTTTGTCGAGTTTCTGTCCTCGACTCACACCAAATCAGCAGCCAAACTCTTGATTTTCCACCTCCGGAACTCGTCTTTCTAGGATGTCTCAATTCAGAATTGCCATCATTGGCGGCGGTCCTGCTGGGCTGACTCTTGGTCTCCTATTGTATCGGAGTGGTATACCATTTGCGATATTCGAGCTCCGCCAAAAGGCCACCGATGAAGAACTCGCCAAGCCTTCCGGGATGCTAGATCTCCATGAAGAGTCCGGTCTAGCTGCTATCAGGGAGTGTGGCTTGTTCGATCAGTTCCTCCATCTCACTGGGGAGTGTGCGGAGACGCACAAAATATCAGACAAGGATGGCAACATCCTTTACACAGACGAAGGAGGGACCAACGAGCGCACAGAGATGCGCCCCGAGATCTCCCGCAACGCACTCACCAAGCTCCTGAGCTCTCAATTACCAGCCGAGTGCATCAGGTGGGAGCACAGGCTTGTCTCGGTCACCAGCCGCACCACGCCCACCGGAACCGAGAATGTGCTCGATTTTGGCTCCCACGGCAAACAAGCTTTTGACCTGATTGTTGGGGCCGATGGCGCCTGGTCCCGGGTTCGCAGTTTTCTAATAGACGTGGAGCCGCAATACGCAGGGACCCAGAGCATCAGCATGACTATCCCGCAGATCACAGCCAATTACCCGCACCTAGCTTCGTTCATCGGGCGTGGTAGCTTTACTGCGCTTGGCCTACGGCATGGAATTATCGTGCAACGCGGACCACAGGACTCGGCCCGTGTTTATATCTTCTTCACGACCGCGGAAGAGCACTTCGCTGCTACATTGGGACTCGTGGGACAGACAGTGGCTGATGCCAAGAATCTGCTCCTGGGAAGCGACGTACTGCTCGGCCATTGGGGCTCTGCCATCAAGGAGCTGGTGACCGTCGCGTATGATGCGGAGTTTGTTGACAACCCGGGTGCTAGCGTGGACATCAAGCCATTATATATGTTGCCTATTGGGATCTCCTGGGAGCACAATGTGAGCGCAACGCTTATTGGCGATGCAGCGCATTTGATGTGCCCGTGGGCCGGTGAGGGAGTCAACCTGGCTTTGTGGGACTCTCTGTTGCTGGCACATGCTATCATCACGGCACACGAAACAGCTGGACAGGATGCTATCTTGTTAGGGAGCTCACTAGATTGGTTGATAAAAGGGGTTGAGGTGGAATTGGTGGAGCGTGCCAAAGAGAAGGCGGAAGAAACATACAACAACGGACAGATGCTGTTTGGAGAGGATGGGGCGAGAGCTTTTGCGGACTTTTTTTTGAACATTCCCAAGGCCGATCAGTATTCTAGCCAAGTACAAAGCTAGCTTCATTAGAGATTCGGCGTATATAATGCACATTATTCGCCTGTGCCAAACTGCCAATCTTCCTTTGCTATTAGGGTTTATGGTGAAAGCAGCTTCCCATGGTCGTCTCATAGCTCAAGATCTATTATCATCGCCTAGTAAGTAATAACCCGAGAAAGCCATAGAAAACACTAGATTCAACATAAGGTTTCGAAAACTTGTAGAGGTAATTTGATTTTACCTAGATCTAGAGCTATATTTATTCTAACATGAAGGTATATAGATTTATACATTGCAGACTATTACCAATTCCACTATCTCCAACCTGGCCAATCTTCAAAATTAAAGGATGAAGGAGTGATGCATCGGAGCCCTTGAGCTCGCCATCGTAGTCCAATCACATGGTCCACAGCAGGTGTTTTGTGTGTCCACTTCGGCCGCTTCATCTCACCAAGCCATTTGGGCCGGGACATCTTATTTTGTTGACATGCAAACGTCTCCCTTTATTTAAGACGATCGATTATAAAAATGGCAAGACCCATTCTACTATTTACCGCAGAGGGAAAATTTGCTGACTGAAGCAGTCGGAGAGCTCGGCTACTTTCACATCTATCCCGATCCTGGATTTCTCCCAAACGCGGTCCCCCGAGACAAAGTCCACCTTTCTGGCATGTCTTCGTGATGCGTTGGTGAATGTGGGCTTCTTCTATCTTCAGAATGCCCCCATTGCCCCCCTAGTGCAACATGCATTCACAGTCAAAGCCCTCGAGCTCTTCCAGTTGCCCCTAGAAAAGAAGCTGGAGATCGAGATGGTGAACAGTCCGCATTTCTTAGGCTATTCGAGACTGGGGGCTGAGATCACGGCTCTTAAACCCGATCACCGCGAACAGTTTGATGTGAGTTAGGCAATTGTTGTGAAGAACCCCGCTCACCTTGAATTAGTTTGCAACCGAGCTTCCTGCGCCAGGACCCGATGAACCCTTGTATAGAAACATTGTTGGCCCCAACCAGGTGTGACCGACCCTTTGTAGGATTCCTGGGAAGATATTCTGACCATTCTGGGGCGTAGTGGCCCGATGAAACGGCAACGCCAGGGTTTCGTCAGGCAACCGAACGATACCTGTCTGAAGCCGGCGATTTGACAGAGTCATTCACAAAGCTCATTGCAGAAGCACTGGACCTTCCCCCGACCGCGTTAGACGAGGCGTTTGATCGTCCACAACAGCACAAGCTCAAGCTGATCAAGTATCCCCCACCACCTGAGCCCAGCGAGGAGTCATCGGGATTCCAGGGCGTTGGCCCCCACAAAGACTCGGGGTTTCTCACTTTCCTTCTCCAGGCCACACCGCATCGTGGTCTGGAGGTCCAAAATAAAGCAGGGACTTGGATCCCCGCGCCTCCGCTTCCAGGGACATTCGTGGTTAACATTGGACGAGCTTTGGAAGCGCTGACCGGAGGAATTTGCACGGCGACCACACATCGCGTCAGCCTACGAGAAGAGGATTTCCAGGATGTGGATGGTCAGTCTCTAGGCCCGCGATTTTCTTTCCCTGTTTTCCAGGGTGTGAGTCCAGATCTTTCGTCCGCACGAATCTCACTGGTCATCCCAGACCACATCCGACGTTTGGTCAAGGATGAAAAGGTCAAGTCGGATGCTGAGGCAACTTTCAACACCATGTTCCGCGGTAGTATCGGCGAGGGCACATTGGTCGCACGGGTAACGAGCCACCAGGATGTGGGGCAGCGATGGTATCCCGATGTGTTGGCCAAGGCATTGCAGGGCCAGCGAGATTTCCAATCGCAGTAGATGCAAGCCTTTTAGGGCTGAACCGAATGAAACCCGGGAAACTCGAGAAACCAGAGACAAGGATGGTAGACACCTGAATGCCTCAGGACTGAAATATACTGCCCCAGGCAAAATATGATTCCATATTGCATGACGTCACTCAATCGAACCGGCCGATAATCGCCCTCCACCGAAGCTCCACCTGCAACGCACTACCGACTCTCCTCGACTCCGATTGGGGCAGCGTGGATCTTGCATCTTGGTCTGCGACCGGCGTGATTAGATGCATTCGACCGTGGGGCAGAAACTTTATGAGAGGGGACAGATTGGATCTCCCCGCTAACAGTACCCCTATAAAGAGGCGGTGCCCTCAGTCCCTCGATCCATTCTCCAACCCTTGATTTTTTTTTTCTTCTCACAAATCCAGTCAAATTACTTCCACCTTACAACATGGACAAGCTCTCTGGTCTCGCTTCGAAGCTCGGCGGCAACAAGGAGTCGGGCTCGGGCTCGAAGCCTGACGCGGGCAAAGAGGACTACCTCGACAAGGGTGAGGTTTTCCACGGTTCGTGGTCTGGTGTTTTCCGCACTGACATTTCATACACAGGCCTGGATGCCATCGAGAGCAAGCTTAGCGGCGGCAAGATCGACCCCCAGAAGATGCGTTCGACCAACGAGAAGATCACCGACGCTGGTCGCGAGCAGTTTGAGAAGGCTACCGGGTAGGGCTAAACTGGCCAAAATATTTCGAGGAACTATTTGCTAACCCTCTTTACAGGAAGAACCTCCCCGATAAGTTCTCCAATTAATTTTCATGAGCACAACTCAACGGCCCCTGCGCTGCCCTGAGTTCGGCGAGGATGCTTGGACTTGGGTCAATTATGCGATGCCAAGCCTTGACATCATGATACCCCGGGTGGAGATATATTAGTGCTATGAATGAAATTGAATCTTGCAAAGATTTCCCTCTGCTTCTGGTGTTGATGTACCTGTGTTCACGATGTAGCCACGAAAGCCCCTGTTTAGAAGCGTTTCAACGAAGACAAGAATCCCCCCAGACCCGACCCAGGACCACGATAGCTGGTAAACATGGTGTTTGCCCGACAGAGTTGCAATTGATTGCCGATTTGCTGGCTGGCGGGAGAATTCGTCCCGCGGGGTAGGAGGAGAGATGGCGTTCGAAGTACTTCTGGGCAGGCTCATACTCTTGAGCAACAAAGTGCATATGCCCCAGCATCTCAAGAGTTGCCTGCGTTTCTAGGTTCTCTTTGCCCTTTCGGTGCTCAACCCAGGTCAGATATCGCGTCAGCCAAGGGAAGGCCTCGGACGCCTGGATACCACGAGGGACGGAGCGATCGAGGTTATTCTGAAGCGCATAAATCATGCCAATGTTACCGAGAATGCCCATGGTAAGTGGATAGTCAGGACCTAGGGCCTCTTCTGCACTGGCTAGAGCACGACGAAGGGTTTCCGAAGCATCCATGTTCTATTGGATCACAGTTTGGGCTCGACCATGTAGCGCAAGGGCACGGATCGTATAAGAGTGTCTGTGGCCGAAGGCAGCGGGAAGCTCTTGAAAGACCTGTGGGAGGACGTCCACAACTTGCTGCACGTCGGGTTGGAAGCGCATTATGACCAGTGGAGTCGTCTGCCCAGAGTGGTTGCAGATGATATATTCGATAGTGTCCAGCCCTGAGGCAAACACGCGGATGTGATTGTCTCCCTAGAAGGCGCTTAAAACTCTCAGTGAGCTTTCGAGACGTCGCGATGGCATTTTCTCGGCGACCGAGACTGTTGTAGGCCATGCCGGCGCCGGGTATCAAACGTATCCATATGATCCTCGCCAATGTTCATTTGCTGGCGTGCCAACAGCTTGGCACAGACCGACTCGGCCTCTTGATACTTTGTTGACACAGGATCTCTGCCATCAGAATCTCGGTCTTCATGGCGAGGGCGTGCTTAGACCCAAAGACGCGCTGGGCATTATCAGATACCCACTGACACCACTCATCTGCTTCTCCTAGGTAGTTCGATTCTAGTTCCACCTCAGCTAGATTGTATCCTACGGATAATGTGCTGAAATGATCGGCACCAAGCGTTCCCAGATGCTCCTGGAAGATCTCGTAGGCGAGTGTTCGAGCCTCATCCCACCGCACCCGGTCCTTGAGCTCAGCGGCCCGGATGGATCGCGGATCATTATCCAGCTGAGTAAAAATGGTGCCTATCACTCGCTGTACCGCCGGTGGCATTCGTCCTTGCCCCTGATATGGAGTACTGCTGTTCGAATGGGTACGTGGTGGTAGCGGAGGCGGCGATGACCCGGCAGCTGGATGCAATGTTGGCCGTGGAATGAAACCTTGCTCGGACAGAAGTGCTTGATCGACCAACTGCTTGGTGTTTCCCTTGATCAAGCGGTACATGGGGCCTCGCGAGCCCACTTTGCACATCTACCAGTGACCCGCATCGAGTTTCAACTGGGTTTCACGTAGACCAGATAAACCAACAACAGCTGATTCCTCGTCCACCACCAGCTGCACATGTCATATTAAACTCTGGGATGGATGGGGTTCAATGATTTACATGACTGACCGACACTGGACCGGTACCCCCAAGCTGCATGGCCTTACCCTCAATGAAGCTAACCACGCGATAGTCTTCTAGGTGATGCCAAAACCGATCAGTCATTTGTCTAGTAAAAAGCGAATTGTGCTCGAGACAGTCAAGAAGATCATTGCTGGCATTGCCCTTGGAGACAAATCGGGCAACTCTGGAAGCAATCTTTCCCAGCTCCACGGCTTTCGCACCGCGATGAGAAGTGCCGAAGAAAACCAAACCCCAAGTGGCCGACCAAATGGAGTTGTACTTCGGATCTTCTTTAGCATTGAGAAGTGCCTGAAATAAGACAAGAGAGAAACCCGTGAGCGGATGCTCAAAGGCGGAGCTCAAGTTGACAAACCTGCTTAATGACCAAGCCTCCTAAGCTATGCCCAATAGAAATAACCCTAGAAAGCATCGAGTTTTAGAAGGACAGGTTACTACGTTGATCAATCAAATATCAATGTAGTCTGTAGCCTACCTGTTGCGGCCCCCGTTCCATATCCAGCAGATTCAACATGGTATTGGCATGGTCCTTGATGCTTGCAGTAGACATGGCTTGCGGGTTGGTTATACTCGAATTGTAGCCATAAACAAAGATCCGAGCGTAAGGGATGTCCTCGGCCAGAAATTTCGTAGGCCCAAACGTGCCATTTGAGTGTCTCCATGTCTCAAATGGATGATCATTTTGGCCTCCAGGTTTCAGACCTTGCACGAAAATAAAGGTGGCCGAAGGTTATATTTAGTGTCATTCTCAAGGCAAGAGTCAGTAGGATGGAGCATCCATACTAGACCTTGGGTGGCTCAACTGGAGAGAAGACCTCCGGTAAGAAGGGAAACTCGTGCTCTCCTGTGTCCTGGTCTCTACATGTGAAAAATTGTCGCAGCAAACAGCAAGTAGAAGAATCTATACCATTTTCCAAGCTCAGG